TAGATAAATAGGTACCACTCCAGCGGGAAGGTAAACGGCATTTCCGTGCCAATCACATCAGCCACCCCGATGATGAAGCTATTTTCTTTCAATGTCAATCAAGGCTACTGACATTAGCATGCAACCATGTTACTGGGGGGGGGCGGGAGGTGGGTGGCGCTGTGGTTTAAACCACAGAGCCTAGGGCTTGCCGATCAGAAGGTCGGCAGTTCAATTCCCCACAATGATGGGGTGAGCTCCCGTTGCTCGGTCCCTGCTCCTGCCAACTTAGCAGTTCGAAAGCACGTCAAAGTGCAAGTAGATAAATAGGTACCGCTCCAGTGGGAAGGTAAACGGCATTTCCGTGCGCTGCTCTGGTTCGCCAGAAGCGGCTTAGTCCTGCTGGCCACCATGACCCGGAAGCTGTCTGCGGACAAAAGCCGGCTCCCTCAGCCTATAGAGCGAGATGAGCACGTAACCCCAGAGTCGTCTGCGACTGGACCTAACGGTCAGGGGTCCCTTTACCTTCTTAAGCCCCACAACTGTTCAGTGCAGTTTGCTCCCCACAGGATCACAGCCGCAATACGCCATCAATAGATGGGTTGGTTGAATCAGTCCAATTAATAGATTTCATATTTTGAGCCTTAATATGTGCAGAATGGAATGGAATGAGAGCGGGGTGGAAATCAAAGCTTCACATTGCAGAGTTTGGAGTGGGGTGGGGAATAATAATTTGCCAGGCACATTAAAGAAAAATTCTCTGGGTTTTTTGTTTTTGTGTTTTGTTTAAAAAGCAATGTTTGATCTCACCAGGTCCACTCACCTTTATTAAGGTCGTTAATTTAAATTGTTCGCAATAATTCCTTAACCTCTGCTTAATTGCTCCACAGAAGAGCGATCTGCTTTCCCCCTGCCCTGCAAATTGGGACCTTGTTCCTCAATGTATGGGAACTGCACCCCCTGCAGGTGATTACTGGTTACTACATGGGGTTTTTTAAAAAATAAAAAACCCAGATCTTTGTATTTTCACCGCCCCCACCCCCCAAAAAAATCTGTAGGAATCGAAGGAGACAAAACTGAGGGTTCTGAAGAATTGTTTCAGGGTTCAATGGCTGGAAAGCAGTTTTGAAAAGTACCCGTAGCATACTGTAAAGATTTGGGGACTCTGAAGGTTATTGGAAACCCAGCCAGATGGGTGGGGTATAAATTATTATTACCCTGACTGGCAACAGCTCTTCAGGTTTGCAGGTGGGGGGGGATTCCCCGTTGTAACTGGAGGTGCTGCCAGTTGAGCTTGGGACCTTTTAGACGCAAGACAGAATGGTCTACCAGTGAGTTTTGTCCCTTCCCTTAAACAACAACCAAGGTTCTGGTCCTCCTCGTTCTGAATAAAGGGGTGGTCTAAATATGAAGCGGGTGGCGCTGTGGGTTAAACCACAGAGCCTAGGACTTGCCGATCAGAAGGTCGGCGGTTCAAATCCCCACAATGACGGGGTGAGCTCCCGTTGCTCGGTCCCTGCTCCTGCCAACCCAGCAGTTCAAAAGCACGTCAAAACGCAAGTAGATAAATAGGTACCGCTCCGGCGGGAAGGTAAACGGCGTTTCCGTGCGCTGCTCTGGTTCACTAGAAGTGGCTTAGTCCTGCTGGCCACATGACCCAGAAGCTGTATGCCGGCTCCCTCGACCAGTAAAGCGAGATGAGCGCCGCAACCCCAGAGTCGTCCACGACTGGGCCTAATGGTCAGGGGTCCCTTTACCCTTTACCTTTACTCCAGAGCAGAAGAAAACAAGCTTGCTCTATCTTCCAGGTGACAGCTCTTCAAATATTATGTATATGTGCACACACACAGAGAGCGGTACCTTGGTTCTCCAACTTAATCCGTTCCGCAAGTCTATTCCAAAACCAAAGTGTTCCAAAACCAAGGTGCTCTTTCCCATAGAAAGTAATACAAAATGGGTTAATCCATTCTGGATTTTTAAAAACAACCCCTAAAACAGCAGTTCAACATGAATTTTACTGTCTAACAAGACCATCGATCCATAAAACGAAAGCAATAAACAATGTACTGCAGTCACACAATCAATCCATCAGTAGCTGAACTGGGTTCCACACAGTCACAAAAACAAAACAAAAAAGCCGCAAAAACAAAAACGCAAAATAGCAAAAACAGACGGACATCAGCGTAACACTCAAATCGGAAGCGTAACACTCAAAACGGCGCACGTTCAGCTTCTGGAAAAAGTTCGCAAACCAGAGCACTTACTTCCGGGTTTGCAGTGTTTGGGTTCCAAGTTGTTTGAGTACGAAAGTACCACTGAAAATTCATTCACAGAAAAATATTCTTGTAAATATGAAAGTTTAACAGAAGATTCTTTCGAATCCTAGGACTCCCCTCCATGGGTTTATTGAAAAACATTTCCAACTGCGTATTATAAGTCCATCCAGTTTACAGTACTCCACTCTATCCAAAGTCTAGGTATTATTGCAAGCGTTATTTAAAACCTGCCAAAGAGATCAAGTGTTTACAGTGGTCTTTCAGATACAATCTATTTTTGTCCCATTCTCTGTTGGCGTTTTGATCTTCCTGATTTCTGATTTTCCCAGTTAGCCTGGCCATCTCTGCATAGTCCAATAGTTACATGTGGCAGTCCGCCCTGGTATCTTGTCATCTTTCCAACTCTGGACAAGCAGAAGAAGAAGAAGAGTTTGGATTTGATATCCCGCCTTTCACTCCCTTTTTAAGGAGTCCCGAAGCAGCTAACGTTCTCCTTTCCCTTCCTCCCCCACAACAAACACTCTGAGGTGAGTGGGGCTGAGAGACTTCAGAGAAGAGTGACTGGCCCAAGGTCACCCAGCAGCTGCAGTTGGAGGAGCGGAGACGCGAACCCGGTTCCCCAGATTACGAGGCTACCGCTCTTAACCACTACACCACACTGGCTCTCAACATCCTTGCAGCTGTTGTAGTATACATAAACAGTCTTTTCAGTTCTTTCAGTATCTCTGCACCTACAAAAAAACACTTCTGGTTTTTTAACAAAGGCCATTCAAAACATTTTCGACTCATGATATATCATCTCCCAGAATTCCTTTATCACTTTACAGTTCCACCACATGTGGCGAATGGTGCCTTCCTTCTCCTTACATTTCCAACAAATAATATTTGAAGATGGTTATCGTGCCACCTTTCCACCTTCTCTGGGCAAAGCATCCCTAATTTCCGTTCCTTATAAGGCTTGGCTTCCAGACCTTTGATCATTGCCCTTCTCTGGACACATCCCAGCTTGTCAATACCGTTACTTCCGTCCTAGAGCTTCAGTATGCTGATGACAATGTAGTGTGTGCATGCTCGGAGGATGACCTCCAAACCATCCTAAATATCTTCACAGAAGCGTACGAAAAGCTTGGCCTGTCGCTCATCATCCAAAAAACCAAAGTGCTGCACCAACAAGTACAAAATAACCCCTCTGCAGTGCCACAAATCCAACTCAATGGTGTAACGTTGGAAAGTGTCAATCACTTCTCCTACCTAGGCAGTTATCTTTCCACAGTCCTTCCACATTGATGCCAAAATCCAGCATCGCCTGAGTTCTGCGAGTGCGGCATTCTCCAGACTGAAGTGCAGAGTGTTTGAGGACCAGGACATTTGCAGGGAAACCAAAATGCTAATTTACAAAGCTACTGTACTACCAACCTTACTGTACGCTTGTGAAACGTGGACCACTTATGAACACCATCTCAAACTCCTCGAAAGGTTCCATCAACAGTGTCTCCGAAAATTTTTACACATCACTTGGGAAGACAGGTGAGCTAATAGCAGTGTACTGGAAGAAGCAAAGATCACCAATGTTGAAGCAAGGATTCTTTGTTGGACTGGTCATGTTGTGATCAACTCCCGCCCGGAGACCTATGTCCCCAATGTGGAAGGACATGTGGATCCAGAATTGGCCTCCACAGTCACTTACGGACTCATTGTTAAAACCGTATTTATGGAAGACAATCTTACTCAGAGCCAGTGTGGTGTAGTGGTTAAGAGCAGTAGTCTCGTAATCTGGGGAACCGGGTTCGCATCTCCGCTCCTCCACATGCAGCTGCTGGGTGACCTTGGGATAGTCACACTTCTCTGAAGTCTCTCAGCCCCACTCACCTCACAGACTGTTTGTTGTGGGGGAGGAAGGGAAAGGAGAATGTTAGCCGCTTTGAGACTCCTGAAGGGGAGTGAAAGGTGGGATATCAAATCCAAACTCCTCCTCCTCCTCCTCCTCCTCCTCCTCCTCCTCCTCCTCTTCTTCTTCTTCTTCTTCTTCTTCTTCTTCTGCTGCTGCTGCTGCTATGAGGGATCGCCAAAGAAGATGATGATGATGATAAAGGACAATGACATTCCCAGATCTACCTACTTGGGGTTAAACCTGGGACCTCTTTGACCCGTTCTACGCTCCTCATTTTGGGGAGGCGGACGAGGCTTTGGGGATGCACAGCACAGCCTTCTCCATGCGTTGCGGCGAAACAGTGGGGTGTGACCCCCTCACTTCTCCAAGGTACCATCAACATGTTGTCAAGCAGGGGGCCTCTTGACCTCTGGGCCGCAAACAAAGCTGCCTCTCCTCCATTTACACGAGAGGTACATGTCTTTCCGGACTGCGACGCACTCGGCGCCGGGGGAAGATTGGCAGGGGACAAGGCCGGTTTCCCACATGGGGGGGCAGCACCCGGATATGCACTCCTCGCCTCCCCGCGGCAGGCGTAAAATGCCAATTCTCATTTGCGCCTGTCAAACAGCAGGGAAATCCTGTGTGTGTGTGTGTGTGTGTGTGTGTGTGTGTGTAGTGGGGGAATTGTGCCAAGAGAGGAATGACCAGCTTTTTTGTGGGGGGGGGATGGTGTTGAGGCCTGTCCACGCCGAGAGAACAGAAGGAGACCACAAAGCAAGCCGTTTTGCCACACAACCTTGCCACAGCAGTGACAGGCGAATTTTTGCAGCGGAGAAGAAAAGTTGCAGAAGAAAAATTCGGGATTTCCGAAAGCGACAAAACGATGCGTTTTTATTTATACGAAGTCTGGTTTAATACCAAAAAACACACAACCGTCCAATCCACCCACCAATCTTCTCGCCTTGTCAGCGCGGCGTCGGCTGTCACTCACCGGCCTTCCCCGAATTCTCCTTCAAGTTGTCATAGCGAGACGGGGGGCCGGGTGTGGGTGGAGGGGGGCCGGATTATGCTAACGCGGTGTCCAGAATCGATTCAAGTGGAACGCTTGTTTGACTAGCGGAACCGCTGGTCTGAGCGGAGAGCGTTGAGACCCTGGATTTTCCCACCTTCCCGGAACAATTTGGCATTGTTCTGGTTCCAGGCTCGGTGAGCTCTTGTCCTGGAGCTCTGAATGACAGAGCTTTTGAGTCTATGCGAGGCTGCTTTGAATTTCTAAGACCCTCTCTGGAAGTCCCCATGGTCTCCCACTTCTGTTGTCTTTCCCTTCTAACCCCCCCACCCTTTGCACTCTTTTGACTCCCCCCCCCTTCGCTCCAATTCTTCTAATTCCAAGCCTTTAGATCCCTAACATATTTCCCCCCTCTCTCATCCGCATGCCCCCGTCTCCCTTCTCCTTTGACCGTCCAGAATTTCACTTTGCTCTCTTGCGGTTGCTACAGACATTTCCCCTTTTCCGAGCAAAATATAGAGAGAGGGGAGGTGGATTTCGGGGAGAGTTGGGGAAATGTTAGGATCAGGGCCCTTCCCGCCCCAAAAAAATGTTTAGGGGTACTCTCATTTTGACTCAAGAAAATCACTGCTTCGTAGTTCAAATTGGGAAAAATAAAGACAGTAAATGGACAAAAGTACAGAGATTCGCAAAATGTTTAGGGGTATGCGTACCCCCAGAAAAAAAGCACTGGTTAGGAGGCTTACCTTACTCCCCACCCCACCCTTTTTTTAACCAGCGCAGCTGCTATTTTGCATACACACACACCTGTATTTTAAATTCAAGGGCTGCAAAAACAAGCCCCGGAAAGGAAAACTTATTATTTATTAGTTGATTTCATAAAATCTACACACTGCCTGGTTGTATTCCCCTCCCCCCCAAAAAAGCAGTTTACCAAAAAAAGGCAAAGCAATAAAATTATCAATAAGAAAAATGAACAATGATTTGAAAAAAAGTAAATAAGGAAAACGTATTAAAATTCGCACCAGCTTTCTGAACATCTGGGGAGGCTTAGCAGGCAACAAAAATTGAAGATATTGATTGATCGCCTACATATTTTTACCTTTCTCCAAGGAGCTCAAGGTGGGGTACGTGGGTTTCCTCCTGCCCATTTAAACCCTACAAACAAGCCTGAGAGGTAGGCTAGGCTGAAAGGTAGTGACTCACCCAGCGAGCTTCTGGTTGAGTCACGCAGCGCCGGATTTACGTATAAGCTGAACAAGCTGTAGCTCAGGGCCCCACTCTCTTGGGGGGCTGAAAAAAATTAAGGGGGGGACTGGATGTACATTTCCAAAATATAAAAAACAAATAAAATAAAACCTACATCCAGCAACAGTGTTTTGTGTTGCGTAGGCTCCTGTGATGTAAGTCATGGGCCCCGCCTGCTAGCCTGCTCCCTAAAATATCACTGCTTTGCTCCTTTCTATATATAGGGTGCCTACATTCTGCATGGACTGGTTATACGGCAACATGTACAAATGGCTTTAGATACCTATTAGGTCCATCAATTACCATATAGCATAGATTCAACACAAAAAAACAGCGACCATTTGTTGTTGACAAAGGACAGCTGGACATAGAAAGGGCCCCATTACCTTCAGTAGCTTAGGGCCTCATCAGACCTAAATCTGGCCCTGCTTGAGTGGGAGGACTCGAACCCTGGTGTCTCCCAACTCTACAATTCTATCATTCTATATTTGGCTTTTAAAAGCCGCAAACGCTTTCGCCTTTCCCTTTCCAAGAAGCCGACGCGGTCCACCATCGCATCAATAGTTTGGGCTCCCTGAGACTTATAATCAAATATTAGAGTTGGAAACCCACTGGGTCACCTAGACCAACCCCCCTACAAGGCAGGAATAACCCAACAAAATTCTACTGGAATTCACGGGCCTAAAGTAGCCACGCCAGTTAATTTCAGCGGATCTACTCTCACAGTTTGGCTAACATTGGATATGGTAAAAGGACCTCCTAGACGGTTAACTCCAGTCAAAGGCAACTATGAGGTTGCGGCACTCATCTCGCTTTCAGGCCGAGGGAGCCGGAGTTTGTCCGCAGACAGCTTTCCGGGTCATGTGGCCAGCAGGACTAAACCGCTTCTGGCACAACAGGATGGAAACCAGAGCACACGGAAACGCTGTCTACCTTCCCGCCAGAGTGGTAACTATTTATCTACTTGCACTTCGTGTTTTCGAACTGCTAGGTTGGCAGGAGCCGAGACAGAGCAACGGGAGCTCAGCCCGTCGCGGGGATTCGAACCGTCAACCTTCTGATCAGCAAGCGCAAGAGGCTCAGTGGTTTAGACCACTGTCTCTGAAGCGCTTTCTGGTCCTCTGTGAGATGGGACGTGCAAGGCCGTCTATGGCGTTCCGAAATACGTCCGTACGTCAGATTTGTATGGAGTTGTTTCTTCACTCCGGTCCCTAATAATCCCTAACATGGAATTCTGCGCTCTCTCTCTCTTCTTCCCCCCAACTGCCAATGCACACTGAACTGACATTTTGATAAAACTATCCGCCGCGACCCCGAGTTCTCGTTCCTGGGAAGGAGACATCAGCCAGCATAAATACTCTGGTGCCAGGGGGACAAGAGTCTACCTTTAATCTCCCAGACGAAAAATAAAATAATAAAAAAGCACCATTCTGCCTCCTGCTCTCCAAGAGCCAGTCTTCCTCCCCACTCACTCTCTCATGTTTTCAGCAAATATAGAGCTTATAAATATATGAATTTATCAGCAGAGAAAATCCATTCTTTTACCTGGAGCGAAATGCTAACGAGGGCTCTCTGCCGGCTCGGCTGACAGTTCCAAAGTGTGTTTCAGTCACAGGCGAGACAACTCACTTCTAGGGGGAAACGAAAGAGGGAAAGTCTGGCAGGAGGCGAGACCGTGGCGGGAAGAGGGAGCGTGGTGTAGTGGTTACAGCAATGGTGCTCTGCTCACGGGAAAGCCTTAGGGCAGTCTTGCCTTTATACTGCATCCCCTATAAGCCCTGTCATGGTCCGGTTCACGGGCGATCAAAGTCCCGGCTGGGGACGTCGGGACCGGGGGCAAGATGGCGGGGTGGGAGCAGGAACAGGAGTCCAGAAGCCAGGAGTCAGGAAGCCAAGGGTCCGAGGGTTGAGAAGCAAGGAGTCACGAAGTCATGGGTCCAAGGGTTGAGAAGCAAGGAGTCACGAAGTTAAGGGTCTGAGGGTCGAGAAGCAAGGAGTTACGAAGTCAGGGATCCGAGGATCAAGAAGCAAGGAGTCACGAAGTCATGGGTCCAAGGGTCGAGAAGCAAGGAGTCACAAAGTCATGGGTCCGAGGGTCGAGAAGCAAGGAGTCACGAAGCCAAGGGTCCGAGGGTTGAGAAGCAAGGAGTCACGAAGTCAAGGGTCCGAGGGTTGAAAAGCAAGGAGCCAAGGTCCGAGAATCAGGAATCAAGAAGCCAAACGCAGCAAGGCAGGAAACAAGTTGCTGTGGCAAAGAGCCAGAGGGAAATGCTGACCTTATATCCCTTCCCGGCTCTTGCCACCAGGTGCTGTGAGTTACCAATCGACCTCACCTGTGTGGCTGCGCCTTGCCTCTTCAGAACAAACTTAGGAAGGCCCCAGTCCTGCAAAGTCCTACTGGTCCCAGGGCCTGGCTCCTGCACGCACTCCTGACAAGCCCCAGCCGGCATGGCTGTTTTGAGCTACCACTCCCAAGTCACAGAACCATAGAATTATAGAGTTGGAAGGGACAGATGGCCACCCAACCTCTGCTTGAAAACCTCCAAGGAAGGAGAGTCCACCACCTTCCATTCCACAGTCAAGCTGCTCTTACTGTCAGAAAGTTCTTCCTGATGTTGAGTCGGAATCTCCATTCATGCCGCTTGAAGCCATGGGTTCAAGTCCTACCCTCCGAAGCAGGAGCAAACAAGCTTGTTCCCTCTTCCATGTGACAGCTCTTCAGATATTTGAAGATGGCTCTCATATCTCCTCTCGGTCTCCTCTTTTCCAGGCTAAACATACCCAGCTCCTTCAACCGCTCCTCACATGGCTTGGCTTCTAGACCAAGTGCGCATTTTGACATGCAAGCTTTCTTGCTTACTCACTATCGGTTTTTTAGATAGGGTAATGTCAGGGGCTGTGTGACCACCTCTGACTCCTCAAAAGATTCCATCAACTTTGTCTCTGAAAATTTTTACACATCACTTGGGAAGACAGGCGAACTAGTGCCAGCGTCCACCAAGAATCATTGATCACCAATGTTGAAGTGATGATTCTGAAACATCATCTTCGTTGGACTGGCCATGTGGTTCAGATGCCTGATTATCGTCTTCCAAAGCAACTACTCTACTCCAAACTTTAAAATGGAAAGTGTAATGCTGGTGGTCAACAAAAGAGGTTCAAAGACTCTCTCATGGCAAATCTAAAAAAAATGTAGTATAAACACTGGCAACTGGGAAACACTGGTCTGCGAGCACTCCAGTTGGAGAACAGCCTTGACCAAAGGTGTCGTGGGCTTTGAAGACACTCGAACTCAGGACACAAGGGAGAAACACGCTAAAAGGAAGGCACGCTTGGCAAACCCTCACCGGGATCAACTCCCGCCCAGAGACCTATGTCCCCACCCGTGGAAGGACACGTGGATCCAGAATTGGCCTTCATGGTCACTTACAGACGCATTGTTAAAACTGTGTTCATGGAAGACCATCTTACTTGGCTACGAGTGATCGTCAAAGAAGAAGAAGACACCAACGCTTTGAGTTCCTTATGCTGATGGCTGCCATTTTTTTATTTTTTTTAAATGATATTTATTAAAATTTCAAAAGAAAAAGATTACATTAATAAGAAAAATAACAATAAAGAAAGAAAAATACAAAGTACAAAAAAGAAAAAACAGTTAAAAACATTTCCATCTTTTCATCACTTCTCTTACGTTTACTTGTTTCCCGGACCTCCTCATACCTCCCTCTTTTGTATTCCAATTCAATTTGTTAGTCCAGCAATTCCTTTCCCTCCTTTTTAATCCTGATCTTTAATCTTGATATATTATAACATTAAATTTTTACGTATTAAAAACCAATTTTTCCATATTCTTTTATACCAGTACAGCTAGAAACCACTTAACTTCAATCCAACATTCTAACATTCATTAATTTTGCAATATTTCTGTAAATAGTCTTTAAATTTCTTCCAATCTTCTTCCACCGACTCTTCTCCCTGGTCTCGGATTCTGCCAGTCATTTCTGCCAATTCCATGTAGTCCATCAATTTCATCTGCCATTCCTCCAGTGTGGGTAAGTCTTGTGGATGGCCGCCATTTTTTAATTCCCTGGTGCCTGTGGATCAAAGCTACACTGCTATCAACTATGGTTTTGCACAGGCTGGGAGCGCAATGAGCTTTTTGTAGAAATACCACCGCCACCAACCCCAAAAGAAATCAACCCGCCCTCCTGAAAAACAGTCAGCAGTGCCCCTCATTCGTGGCCACCGAATGGGGCGTACGAAAACGGAGGGACCATTATGCCTCAGGCCTACACAGCCCTTGACAGTTGAACACGCTCTGGTCTCAGAAGGCTCCAGGATAATGCATGCCTCAAACCCTCTTGGCTGCTAGTAAGAAAGTTGAAGAGGGCCTTAGTTAGCATTTTGCTCTGGGTTATAAAAGAATGGATTTTCTCCGCCGATAAAGTTTTATATTTAGAAGCTCTACGTTTTCCAGAAAGCATGATGGGCATTGGAGGTCCGCTATTAGAAAGGATTTGGTGCTGAGGGACTGACATGAATAGAGAGAGGGAGAGATGGAGAGGGGAGATTTCCAAATACTTTAATTCCCCTTTTCTATATTTCTAGAAAGAGCATGGCAGTGGAGAAATTAAATATACGTGCTTTATTATTATTTTTTAAGTGAACAAAAGGAAGGGAGGTCATCAGGTTCCCTCCCTCCACAGATGTAAAGCAGTCCCAGGAAGTCGATTCTGTTCCCGTTTAAAATAAGATTTTATTCCGGCATAATGAGAGAACAAAATAATTAATTTCCTTCCTCTTTTCAAGTCAAACGAACGGAGAGCTAAGCGTCTCGATTTGAAAAGGGCGATTCCCCGGTCTCGACAAAGCCCAAAGCGGAACTGGCTGGATGAGAGGACAGATTTAGTTGAAATAAGACTGGAACGTCGAAAGAGCCCTGGAGCGGAAACCGGCCAAAAGGGACCGATCGAGCCTAGCATCCTCTTCTCACAGTGGCAAAATGCCCCAAAGAACCTAGGAATCCAGACAGACTGCCTCTGAACCTGGAGGTTCCACAAGAACATAAGAAGAGTGTGATTGATTAAGCCAATGGTCTTTCTAGTCCAGCAGCCTCTCCTCACAACGGCTGTGATGGCCTGGGATTCGGACTCAGAGGATGAACCTGAAGAATCCCAGCCTGCACAGGAGTCCCTGCCTCCAGAACCAGCTGAGCCTGAAGGGTCCTCACCTGTGCTGGATCCTCAGGTGAGTCTGCTCTGGCTCCTGAGGTGATGGAGGACCCATTGCCTGCAGGTGCTCCACTCTCAGCCCCGGCAGAGGAAGCTGAGGTTGCCTCTGGGTCCGGTAACCCTCCAGCCTCTCCTGAGCTGCAGAGGCTCAGGGCAGAGAGGCAGAGGGAACTAAGTTCCCGTAGGAGGAGGCGAGTCACCTGTGGACCAGTGCCGCCCTATGCCTCGGGGCAGATAAAAGCCAGCCAGCCCCAGTCCCAAGTTGCGGGAGCAACATTGTTGGTAGCCTGTTCCTGCCTGCACCCTGTCCTGCTTCTGTGTTGGAGCTCCTGACCTCACCCGGCTCCCTGCCTTGGACCCAGCTTCAGCTTTGACGGACTGTCTCCCTACTGCACCCTTGGACTCAGACCTCGCCTCATGGTTAACCCTCAGGACCAGCAAAACAGCCAACCAGATGCCTTAAGCAGAACCTGAGCCACACTGCCCATGTGTGACCCCAACAACTGTTACTCAGATGTAAAAGGTAAAAAGGGAAAGAACCCCTGGACGGTTAAGTCCAGTCAAAGGCAACTATGGGGTTGTGGTGCTCATCTTGCATTCAGGCCGAGGGTGCCAGTGTTTGTCCACAGAGAGCTTTCTGGGTCATGTGGCCAACATGACTAAACCGCTTCTAGTGCAACGGGACACTGTGACGGAAACCAGAACACACAGAACACACTGTTTACCTTCCCGTCGCAGTGGTGCCTATTTATCTACTTGCACTGGTGTGCTTTTGAACTGCTAGGTTGGCAGGAGCTGGGACAGAGCAACGGGAGCTCATCGTGGGGATTCGAACTGCCAACCTTCCAATCGCCAAGCCCAAGAGGCTCGGTGGTTTAAAAGCAGACCACCTCTGACAGTTGTGGAAGAACATACGATCCCTCCCAGGTATCCTTTTTAAAATTATTGCACATCCATGATGGTTGGTGCTCTCAACGCTGTCAGAGCAGTCACATGCGATTCCCTCTTCCAATACTGTCTGTGCCTGCAAACGTTTGGGGTTGGCCGCGCTGCCCCACTTCCAATCAGCGCCATTTCCTGTCCTTTTTCCAGTTGCGGCATCACAAAGGAGGGCTAGGCGATGTCGTGGGGCGGTGACATCACAAGGCAGGCCCCGGTGGTGTCACAAGGCTGTCAACCCCTGAGAGCCCCCAAAAGAGACATGGGGGTTCGAGATTTGGGGCACATGGCTTTGGGCGTGCGCCACTTTCCTTCGCCCCTTTGCCACTGCGATCGGAAGGGCTTCCGATTCCATCAGGCATCGCGGCCCGTAGGCGAGAGGGCAAAGATTTTACATGAACACAGAACAACCGGGGGACTTGGCTGAGCGCTCACGTGGAGTTCAGGTCGCCAGGAGTCGTGAAGAGCCCAATGGCCGCCAAGATCTTTGAGACCATGAGCAGACTAGGCCTGGGTCTGGCGGTTGCCGGTGGCATAGTCAACTCTGTTGTTTACACCGTGGATGCGGGCCACAAAGCCGTCATCTTTGACCGGTTCCGGGGCGTCCAGGACGTTGTGGTGGGAGAAGGGAGCCACTTCCTCGTCCCCTGGGTGCAGAAACCGGTCATCTTCGACTGCCGCTCTCGCCCGCGCAACATCCCGGTCGTCACCGGCAGCAAAGATCTACAGAACGTGGACATCACCCTGAGGATCTTGTTCAGGCCGGTGGCGGCGCAGCTTCCCTGGATCTACACCACGGTGGGCGAGGACTACGACGAGAGGGTGCTGCCATCACGACCGAGACCCTGAAGTCGGTGGTGGCTCGTTTCGATGCCGGCGAGCTGATCACCCAGAGGGAGCTGGTCTCCCGGCAGGTCAGCGAAGAACTGGCAGAAAGAGCAGCCCCCTTTGGTCTCGTCCTGGACGACGTTTCCTTGACGCACCTTACATTCGGGAAGGAGTTTGTGGAGGCCGTCGAAATGAAACAAGTGGCCCAGCAGGAAGCAGAAAGGGCCAGGTTCATGGTGGAGAAGGCCGAGCAGCTGAAAGCCGCGGCGGTCCTCTCCGCCGAAGGCGACGCAAAGGCCGCTCAGCTCATCGCCAGCTCGCTGGCTTCGGCGGGCGACGGACTCATCGAACTGCGCAAGCTCGAGGCAGCTGAGGACATTGCTTTCCACCTTGCGCCGTCCCGCAACGTCACCTACCTGCCCACGTTGGTCCAGCCAGCCCAGCAAGTGAAGCTGGCATCCCCGTCCTAATAGACTTAGCCGCAATTTTAAAGCTTTCCCCATTTTTCGGGGCATTGAAAATGCAAGATGTCCTAAATAAAATGCATTGGAAATCCCTCGGTTTTGTTTTCATTGTTTATATATATAAAAATTATACAGTGGTAGCTTGGTTCCTGAACGGCTTGGCTTCCGAACGCCACAAACCCGGAAGCGAGTGTTCTGGTTTGTGAACGTTTTTCGGAAGCTGAACGTCCGATGCGGCTGTTGGCTATTGTTTCTGGAGGCCCTGCACCAATCAGAAGCTGTGCCTTGGTTTTTGAACATTTCAGAAGTCAAACGGACTTCCGGAACGGATTAAGTTTGGCACTTTTGTTTTTGCTATTTATTCTGCGTTTTTGTTTTTGAGGCTTTTTCGGTTCATTTGATTTTGTGACTGTGTGGAACTCAGTTCAGCTACTGATTTGACTGATTGTGCTACTGCGGAAATGGATAAAAGTCCCCCATCCAAACAATGATTATCACCAGTGCAGGTATGAAAAATATTTAATTTAATTTTTTATCATCTACAATACTGTCTTATTTATTTTATAGTACAGCACATTGATTACTGTTTTCATTTTATGCACCGATGGTCTTGTTAGAGAGCAAAATTCAGGTTAAATTGCTGTTTTATAGGTTGTTTTTAAAAGTCTGGAACAGATTAATCCGTTTTGCATTACTTTCTATGGGAAAGCGCGCCTTGGTTTTGGAACGCTTTCGTTTTGGAACTTTCGACTTCCGAGGTACAACTGCAATGGATGTGACTATGTAGTCCTGGTAATTTTAATGGGGGTTCTACTTTGAGAAGGACACGGGGTCTTATTAGATGGCGCTTAGAAAGCTCCATGGTTGAGTGGGCTGCAGAGAAATAAATACATCTTTGTGGCCATGATGACTGGGCTGGTGAGGGTGGAGGGCAGAAGATCTTATCCGAAAGGAAATGGCGAACCAAAGTCCCCCACATTAAAAACAAGGCACAGAAAATAACCCAACCAGGATTCTCAGAAAGTATCTCTATTATAATATTATTTTCCCTCATATCTGAGACAATTCCAGGCTTCCTTGATGTCTCCTGACTGCCGACGACTCCTTTCAAACAGAGAGCCTTGCTTGGTTTTCGTTTCATATCTCTTTTTCCCCTGGAAAACGGAATACATTGACTCTGTCTCATGTCCTTCTGGTGTCCCTGTTATGTTCCTGATATTTCGGGAGGGGGCTGGTGGGACGGCTGGATTTGCATCCAGTTTTTCTGAGCTGGAGGGAAGAGGAGGGGGTGGGAGAGAGAAAGAGAGAGTGAAAGAAAGAGAGAGAGAGAGAGAGAGAGAGAGAGAGAGAGAGAGAGAGAGAGATGGCTGTCTAAGGATAATGATTATTTATCACTGTTTCATCTCCACCATCCGCCGAGCTCAGTGTTTTATCCACAGCAAATAAATAAATATGTTTAAACAGAGGACACAGCCAAGCGGGTCTGCAAACATGGAATTGGCTCCCTTTCCCCCATCCTACCACTGCCCTCTCTGGTTCCTCTGTGGCATTTTTGGCATTTCTTCTGAGCTGGTCTGAGTTGCCCAGGCCCGAAGTTACCGTATTTTTTTGCCCTATAGGACGCACTTTTTCCCCTCCAAAAATGAAGGGGGAATGTGTGTGCGTCCTATGGGGCGAATGCAGGCTTTCGCTGAAGCCTGGAGAGCGAGAGGAGTCGGTGCGCACCGACCCCTCTCGCTCTCCAGGCTTCAGGAAGCTATCTCCAAGCCTTGGGAGCCCGCGGGAGTTCCGGCCGGGCTCCCCAGGCTTGCGGATAGCAGCCTGCATCCTGAAGCCTGGGGCACGCTGTCCTATGGGGCGAATGCAGGCTTTCGCTGAAGCCTGGAGAGCGAGAGGAGTCGGTGCGCACCGACCCCTATTGCTCTCCAGGCTTCAGGAAGCTATCCGCAAGCCTCGGGAGCCCGCGCGAGTTCCCGCCGGGCTCCCGAGGCTTCCGGATAGCAGCCTGCATCCCAAAGCCTGGGGTGTGCTGGGTGGATCAATGGTCTTGACTTGCCTGAGACCCAGCCTTTTCCTGCGGGGGAAAGGCTTATAGGAATATAGGAAGCTGCCTTTAAGCAAGTCAAGACCATTGATCCACTCAGCTCAGTATTGTCTACACTGACCGGCAGCAGCAGTGGGGGGGGGGTCATTCCCAGCCCTACCTAGACATGCTAGGGGGATTGAACCTGGAACCTCCTGTGTTCAAAGCAGGTGCTCTCTCACTGAGCAATGGTTCTTCCTCTAAAAATAAAGATTCTAGTCCTCATTGTTCTGAATTAAGGGAACATGGACTGCAAGAAGATCAAACCTCTCCATTCTGAAGGAAATCAGCCCTGAGTGCTCACTGGAAGGACAGATCCTGAAGCTGAGGCTCCAAGACTTTGGCCACCTCCGGAGAAGAGAAGACTCCCTGGAAAAGACCCTGATGTTGGGAAAGATGGAGGGCGCAAGGAGAAGGGGACGACAGAGGACGAGATGGTGGGACAGTGTTCTCGAAGCTACCAGCATGAATTTGACCAAACTGCGGGAGGCAGTGGAAGACAGGAGGGCCTGGCGTGCTCTGGTCCAGGGGGTCACGAAGAGTCGGACACGACTAAATGACTCAACAACAACTTCTTTCCAGTGGGGACTCAGTGTCCAACCTCGGCAGGCAGACCGCAGTCCAGAGCCAGAGAACCAGAGGCAGCTAAGCAGAGGACGGCAGGTTCTGGGTGTCAACCTCGGCATGGATCTCAGGACCACGCCACCACGAGCCAGTTGTTCTGCAGATGAGTCCAGTCCTGCTAACCTCCAGCCGCCGTCGGTGAGCAGCAACCTGGCTCCAAACGACTGCAATCTTTCTTTTACGGGGAAAGTGAAACAATCTGAGCATCATAACAACTTGGCCACAATAAGGAAATTTTGCCCATGGTATGACTGTTTTCCACCTTCGTATTTCGACTCTCTGGGACCCTATCTGCATAACCTAGCAATTCCAAAATAAAGACGCACTTTTACTCTTGCAACATTGAATGTATTGCCCTCGGCTGCACCTGAGGGATGATTCCAAATATTCCACACGAAAAACGCTTATGTCCCTGTGGAGATGGCAGTCCCGAATCGGTGCGCATGCCCTTCTGGCTTGCACCCTTTATAAAGACTTGAGGAATGAGATTATCACCCCTCTTTTATCGTCCATTCCGGGTCGCCCAACCACTGCCCCAGTGTCCTTTCTCTTGGCAGATCAAGATGAGCAGGTGACAGCAAAGGTGGCAAGGTTTTTCGCTGGGGCAATCAGAATAAGATCCACTATTTGACCATTGATTCAAAACCCCAAAATGTATTTTATATAATTGACTTTTTCTTTCTGTTCTTTGTATATCATATCGTTGTTCTTTCGCTATGATCGATGGCTGATGCAAATAAAGATTCATTCATTCATTCAACGTCACGACGCCCAGCCACTACCACCATGCACCGTATTTTTCGCTCTATAAGCTGCACCAGACCACAAGACGCACCTAGTTTTTGGAGGAGGAATACAAGAAAAAAAATATTCTGAATCTCAGAAGCCAGAACAGCAAGAGGGATCGCTGCGCAGTGAAAGAAGCAATCCCTCTTGCTGTTCTGGCTTCCGGGATAGCTGCGCAGCCTGCATTCGCTCCATAAGACGCACACACATTTCCCCTTACTTTTTAGGAGGGAAAAAGTGAGTCTTATAGAGCAAAAAGTACGGTAATTTCTCTTGGCAGATCAAGATGAGCAGGTGACAGCAAAGGTGGCAAGGTTTTTAGCTGGGACAATGAGAATAAGGTCCACTATTTGACTACTGATTCAAAACCCCAAAATGTATTTTATATAATTGACATTTTATTTCTATTCTTTGTCTATCGTATTTATTGTTTTATTTATTGTTGGGTGATTCATTCATTCTTCCTTCTTCACTGTCCTTGAACCCCCACATGATGTTCCGGCATTGCAGGGGGCTGGACTAGATGGCACTTTGATTCCCTTCCAACTCTCCCAATCTACGATTCCATGAGATAATCAGTCTTCCACTCTCCTCCCTTTTCACAGCTCGGTGAACACCGGTGGCTGGGAGCCAAAGCGTTGTCATCTGTGAGCCAGATCTGGGGAAAACCGTGTGTCGAGGGAGCCGGATTCAAGTTCCCAGCACCGCAAAAAAAGGGAATTTTGTTGTGCTGCCCTTTGCCAGGGGCCAAGTCTGACAATTCGGGGAGCCGAATATCGCCCCCCAGATCCAAGAGTCTCAGAGCCCCTGCCGCAACGGGTTGGAAGGGTCGAATCCAGACGGAGGAGCGGAAGGAGAGGGCCGACTCCTCGCTCGCTAACCAGCCGGAAGAAATGGAGCGTGTTATTAAAATCCCATTAGCACGCACTTCGCATATTCAATATCCAGAACGCCGTCAGAGGAACCCATGGCGAGGCGCGACCTCATTCGCTTGCCCCTGCTGGAGCGCTAATTTCCTACCTTGTAGGTACAAGAGGAAGACCGTGTTAGAATTCCTCGCCGGTGCAAGGACATCGTCTGCCTTCTGGGAGCCTGCAAATGGATGATCCCAGAGGCGGAAGAATGTCCTTGGGCTGGCGGAGAATTCTAACACCGTCTTTTACATGCTGCGACGGATACGGCGCTCAGAGCCAGCTTCTCTGCCTGGTCTCCTGAGCACCGGGGGACAGGTGGGCTGGGCCGGATTAAGAGATGCGCCGCAGGCCCCAAAGCGCCAAGGGCCAGAGCAGTGCTGGGTTAAGATGTACGCAAGCTTTAAAGACCAGGGTCTGAAGTCACCCGACGGCACGGCTGGACCCTGCCCCAAAATATAGGATGCAGACCTTATGTTGTTGTTGTCTAGTCGTGTCCGCCTCTTCGTGACCCCCTGGACCAGAGCACGCCAGGCCCTCCTGTCTTCCACTGCCTCCTGCAGTTTGGTCAAACTCATGCTGGTAGCTTCGAGAACCCTGTCCCACCATCTCGTCCTCCGTCGTCCCCTTCTCCTTGCGCCCTCCATCTTTCCCAACATCAGGGTCTTTTCCAGGGAGTCTTCTCTGCTCTATACCCACATCAGATTATGGATCTGTTTAAGAACATAATACCCCAAAGAACCTAGGAGTTCAGATAGACTGCCTCTGGAGCTGGAGCTTCCACAGAAGAGCCCAGCAGCTGGGTCAGGCCAAAGGAGGCCTATCTAGTTCAGCATCCTTCACAGGGGCGGAGGAAGGGGGTGCGGTGGGTCAGACCGGCCCAGGTGTCACCACTGAGGGGTGACAAAATGCCAGGCGGCACTCACCGCAGAGCCTGCAGTGTGCCTGAGCCACGCATCTATCCTGGGAGAGACACGGTGGCTTGGGCGCGTGCAGGCTCCATGCTGCCCAAATGGTCCGCCTGCTGCCTCCCCCCAGCTGTAGGGCGGCTGAGTGGGAGGAGGCAGGCAGACTCCGGAGGCCCCGCGGTGAACCCCGCCCCATGGGCAAACTGAACCTGGCGCCATCTGCATTCAGAATCTGTACTCTACCACTGAATAGTAAAGGTAAAGGGACCCCTGACCATTAGGTCCAGTCGTGGCCGACTCTGGAGTTGCAGTGCTCATCTCACTTTATTGGCCGAGGGAGCCGACGTACAGCTTCCAGGTCATGTGGCCAGCAGGACTAAGCCGCTTCTGGCGAACCAGAGCAGCGGACGGAAACGCCCTTTCCCTTCCCGCCGGAGCGGTACCTATTGATCTACTTGCGCTTTGACGTGCTTTTGAACTGCTAGTGGGCAGGAGCAGGGACCGAGCAACGGGAGCTCACCCCGTCATTGCGGGGATTCAAACCGCCGACCTTCTGATCGGCAAGTCCTAGGCTCTGTGGTTTAACCCACAGCGCCACCCGCATCCCCTCCCTGCCACTGAATATTTTCCTTTAAAATAAAGCAAGATTCCAGTTCTCATGGTTTGGGGGTGGGTGGGAATGTGAATAGGGATATAGGGTTTTGGGTTATACCAAATCAGGCCTATTGGGGCCAACCAGCAATCCCTTTGCCAACCTACAGAGAAGGAAGCAGGGTTTTTTGGGGGGGGGGGAGGGAAAGTGGAAGACAAGGCAAGCAGTTTTGCTGACCCTTTTGGCAGTTAAACTCTGGAAATGAGGCTTGAAGATAGTGAGATTTTGCATCAATCTGGGCCTCCTTTTAAGACATCGCTTTCCCCTCGTTCTGAAGGCTTTGCACCCCTCATTCCAAAGTTTGGGGGTCCGGCTCTCCATCGTGCACCCCCATCCTCCTCTCTCTCCCCCTTGCCTGCCTTCCAACATCTTTTTAAGATAAAATCCAGGCGCCTTTTAACCTGTGATCTGCTGCGTCTTGGTGTTAAAATTCCTTTCCCCACCGGAAGGTTTAACGCCTTCGCCTCTTTACTCCTTTGGAAAGGTTTTAAAGGCAAAACAAAGGAATATGTGCTGCGCTGTTCTTAAAAGAGAGGCCTTCACTTTGGGGAAAGACCCATAGCTCAGCGGTAGAGATTCTGCTGTGCCTGCAGAAGGTGTCGGGTTCAGTCCCCAGGCTAGGAAGGCAGCCCTTTTCTGAAATCCTGGAGCTTTGCTGCCACTCAGTGTGGGGCAGTCAGTGATGCAGCAAGGCTGTGGCTCGGGGAAAAGCATCTTTTTACATCAGCCTTTGGTTCAGAGTCATGAGGTCTGGAACCATTAATAATAATAATAATAATAATAATAATATATTTATACCCCACCCATCTGGGCAGCTTCCAGCATAATATTAAAATACAATAATTCATCAAATATTAAAAGCTTCCCTAAAAAGGGCTGCCTTCAAATGCCCCCCTTCATTTGAGGATCACAGGGTGAGCACAATTCAAAGAGTTGGTGATGACCGTGAAAGCCCTAAACGGCCTCAGCCCAGTATCCCTGAAGGAGCATCTCCACCCCCATTGTCCAGCCTAGACACCAAGGTCCAGCTCTGAGGGCCTTCTGGCAGTTCCCTAACTGCGAGAGGTGAAGTTACTGGGAACCACGCAGAGGACCTTCTCAGAGCCAGTGTGGTGTAGTGGTTAAGAGCGGTAGTCTCGTAATCTGGGGAACCGGGTTTGAGTCTCCACTCCTCCACATGCATCTACTGGGTGACCTTGGGCCAGTCACACTTCTCTGAAGTCTCTCAGCCCCACTCACCTCACAGAGTGTTTGTTGTGGGGGAGGAAGGGAAAGGAGAATGTTAGCCGCTTTGAGACTCCTTAAAAAGGGAGTGAAAGGCGGGATATCAAATCCAAACTCTTCTTCTTCTTCTTCTAGTGGTGGCCCCCGTCCTGTGGAACACCCTCCCATCAGATGTCAAGGAAATAAACAACTGTCTGACTTTTAGAAGACATCTGAAGGCAGCCCTGTTTAGGGAAGTTTTTAATGTTTGATGCTTTATGGTGTTTTTCATATTCGGTTGGGAGCCGCCTAGATGGGTGAGGTATAAGTAATAAATTAGTAGCAGTAGCAGTAGCAGTAGCAGCAGCAGCAGCAGCAGCAGCAATAGTAGTATTGTTGTTGTTTAGTCGTTTAGTCGTGTCCGACTCTTTGTGACCCCCTGGACCAGAGCACGCCAGGCACTCCTGTCTTCCACTGCCTCCTGCAGTTTGGTCAAACTCATGCTGGTAGCTTCAAGAACACCATCCAACCATCTCGTCCTCCGTCGTCCCCTTCTCCTTGTGCCCTCCATCTTTCCCAACATCAGGGTCTTTTCCAGGGAGCCTTCTCTTCTCCTGAGGTGGCCAAAGTCTTGGAGCCTCAGCTTCAGGATCTGTCCTTCCAGTGAGCACTCAGGGCTGATTTCCTTCCGAATGGAGAGGTCTGATCTTCTTGCAGTCCATGGGACTCTCAAGAGTCTCCTCCAGCACCAGTATTCAAAAGCATCCATTCTTCGGCGATCAGCCTTCTTTATGATCCAGCTCTCACTTCCATACATCACTGCTGGGAAAACCAGAGCTTGAACTATACTGACCTTTGTTGGCAAGGTGATGTCTCTACTTTTTAAGATGCTGTCTTAAAATAGTAGTATTAGTATTATTAATTGGCCTGACTCAGTTTAGCTAAGTTCCCCCCTGTTCTACATTCCCGTTTCTGGTATTTTCCATTTTTCACTTTTGCCACAAGCCGCTTTAATTGGTATCCACACAGAAAAGCAGGCTACAAATAGGAACACAGAACGAATCCCATCAGGAAAACCCACAACGGCACTGATAAAGAGGCCAATAGCCCCGCCCTGTGGCCATTACCCACGACAGCAGCTGCCCAGTGGAATATAAGGACTTGCATCTATCTCTAGGGCTGGGCAAAGGTCTCTCCTTCCCTTACAGCAGTGGTTTTCAACCCGTGTGCCGCGGCTCCCTGGGATGCCTTGAAGGATGGTCAGGGGTGCCGCGGGCAACACTGGCCTCTGTCTCTCTTCTCTTCCCTCCCTCCTCTGATGCCCTCTGGCGTCTCTGCCTCCCAAAGGCTGGCACGGCTGTTTATTGCAGCAGCCCTGGCTGCAAGCTCCCCGTGCGAATGGTGCCTCTGGGGCTGGCCAGGGGGTGCTGGGTGCCAGGGGCTGAGGCAGCCTCGGAGTAAGCAAGCAAGTGGGCAAGGGAGCGCAGCCAACCAGTCCGCCAGTCCTTGCTGTTGGGAATGGACAGACAAGTCCCAGGCCCCTGTGTGGCAGTGTAAGGAAGCACCTTTCTTTGGGGTGGTTGAAGGCAGCTCAAAGACCAGCGACTGCCCAGAGGATGCCCAAACAGAGAGAAGAGGAGGCTGAGTAGGATTTGCCACAGCACCTGAACACAAGGGCATCTCCGCAAAGCTGGATGTTGGGTGATTTATAGAACATAAAGCAATTTCCCTAGGAAGAAAGCTGGCAGCATTCGAGCCCTTTTAATAATGTTGTTGTTGTTGTTGTTTAGTCGTTTAGTCGTGTCCGCCTCTTCGTGACCCCCTGGACCAGAGCACGCCAGGCCCTCCTGTCTTCCACTGCCTCCCACAGTTTGGTCAAACTCATGCTGGTCGCTTCGAGAACACTGTCCCACCATCTCGTCCTCTGTCATCCGCTTCTCCTTGCGCCCTCCATCTTTCCCAACATCAGGGTCTTTTCCAGGGAGTCTTCTCTTCTCATGAGGTGGCCAAAGTCTTGGAGCCTCAGCTTCAGGATCTGTCCTTCCAGTGAGCACTCAGGGCTGATTTCCTTCCGAATGGAGAGGTTTGATCTTCTTGCAGTCCATGGGACTCTCCAGAGTCTCCTCCAGCACCAGAATTCAAAAGCATCCATTCTTCGGCGATCAGCCTTCTTGATGGTCCAGCTCTCACTTCCATACATCACTCCTGGGAAAACCATAGCTTTTACTATACAGACCTTTGTTGGCAAGGTGATGTCTCTACTTTTTAAGATGCTGTCTAGGTTTGTCATTGCTTTTCTCCCAAGAAGCAGGCGTCTTTTAATTTCGTGGCTGCTGTCACCATCTGCAGTGATCATGGAGCCCAAGAAAGTAAAATCTCTCACTGCCTCCATTTCTTCCCCTTCTATTTGCCAGGAGGTGATGGGTCCAGTGGCCATGATCTTCGTTTTTTTGATGTTGAGCTTCAGACCATATTTTGCGCTCTCCTCTTTCACCCTCAATAAAAGGTTCTTTAATTCCTCCTACTTTCTGCCATCAAGATTGTGTCATCTGCATATCTGAGGTTGTTGATATTTCTTCCAGCAATCTTAATATTAATAATAAATAATAATAAACATTTAATAATAAACATTTTATTATTTATACCCTGCATGTCCAATTGGGTTGCCCCAGCCACTCTGGGTGGCTTCCAACACACGAAGCGTAATTTTAAAAAATCAAACATTAAAAACCTCCTGACACAGGGTTGCTTTTTTAGTTTAGAGAAGAGGCGAGTAAGAGGCATCCGCACAACATGACCGCTCCAACGAAGTTGATGTTGAAGAATCCTTGCTTCAACATTGGTGATCTTTGCTTCTTCCACTGGTATTGGTTCGCCGGTCTCCCCAAGTGATGTGTAAAAAATTTCTGAGACACCGTTGATGGAAGCTTCCGAGGAGTTGGAGATGGCGTTTATAAGTGGTCCATGTTTCGCTAGATGGGCTGGGCTAGCCCCTTTGGGTCTTCTGGTGTTCGTAATGTCAGGAAGTGTAAAGCAGAGTTGCCATTTATAAGTGGTCCATGTCTCACAAGCAAACAGTCACGTTAAACCTGCTATAGCTCAGTTGGTAGAGTAAGGTAAAAGGGGTAAAGGGGACCACTGACCATTAGGTCCAGTCGTGACCGACTCTGGGGTTGTGGCGCTCATCTCGCTTTACTGGCCGAGGGAGCCGGCATACAGCTTCCGGGTCACGTGGCCAGCAGGACTAAGCCGCTTCTGGCGAACCAGAGCAGCGCACGGAAACGCCGTTTACCTTCCCGCTGGAGCGGTACCTATTTATCTACTTGCACTTTGACATGCTTTTGAACTGCTAGGTTGGCAGGAGCAGGGACCGTGCAACGGGAGCTCACCCCGTGGCGGGGATTCGAACCGCCGACCTTCTGATCGGCAAGTCCTAGGCTCTGTGGTTTAACCCACGTCCCTAGTTGGTAGAGTACGAGACTCTTAAACTCAGGGTGGTGGGTTCGAGTCCCAAGTTGAGCAAAAGATTCCTGCATTGCAGGGGGTTGGACTAGATGACCCTCGTGGTCCCTTCCAACTCTACAATCGTACGATTCCATGATCCCCCAACTTGGCTGGATACAAAATGAGTTTATCAGGCTGCAGCATCTCTGCTTTGGAGCGCCGGAGGAAGTGGCAATGAAATGCAGGCGCCTTTGGGTGGCAGGAGCGAGCCGGGTTTGGGAGGCTGAAGCTGGCAAGCCACACTTTCTCAAATAGAGGTCACCGGGATGTTGTCTCTCCCGGGCGTGGTCTCTGAGCATCCTCTGAGCATCATCCACCAGAGCAGGAACGGAGGACCGCTCCGGAGGGACAAATTGCACTCCACGATGTGAAACTTGAACCTCGCCGAAAGGAAGGCTGCAGCCCAGGTTTGGAAAACCGCCGACGCCTCCATGCTGATATTGTGGGGTTTATTTTCCAAATATAGATGCTGTAACTGTTATAATTACTGGAGAGGAGCAAGGAAGGGCCGTATATTTTTCTTGGGCACCTGGCAAAACAGGGGTTCCCACGCCAACCCCAGCAGCAATCCTGGATTTAAATCTTGAAACTGGAGTGGGTGGGGGAGCGTTCCTCTCCGGGTTAGACCCCCCCACACACCTAAAAATATTTGCAATGGCCTGGAGGGAGGGTGGTTTGGGGCAGGAGCCTGAGGAACAGGAATAACTTGACTTGTCCTACTCTGCCAGATTGGTACATTCTTCTTCTTATTATTATTCCTCAAGGTGATCCCCATGATGTAGAAAAAGACGGAGACTTTGTCAAGAAGCAGAAGACACCCCATCACCTTAACTGGAGGAGGTGGCCAACCCAGGCCTGAGTGAGAGAGCGTGCAGGGGTTCTCAGGCACCCCAAAACCTCAAGGGGTATCTGTAAAGGCAAAGACTCGCTTGCCTTTTTTTTGCAGGAGGCAGCTGGGGGCCTCGTGCAAAACACGCATGTAAGGAGCGTGCAAGGAGCGTGTGAGGCGGCCCGAGGGGCTCCATCCAGCCGGCGGAGAAGAGGCCCACCTGCCGCCCTCTTGTGCGGAGCTGGAAGCGGAGGAGGGAGATTTGAGGACGTTTATTCTGATCCTCCCCGGATAATCCTGGAAATTGCTTTCCCATCTCCGCCGCTCCCTCCCCGCCTGCCCATCTGCGATGTTTTAAGAGGGCCAAGCGAAAAGCCAGCCTCCTCGCCTCCGGGAAGGACCCTCGCCTCTGCCCCAAAGATGCCCACCTCAAAGTCTCTGGAGGATGAGTACTGGATCGAAGGATCCCGCAGGGATGCAGTCCTTGAGGATTTCTACATCATGGGCCCGGAACTCGGCAGGTAAGGATGGGATCTAGAATTCCTTCTGGCTGTTTATTATTACAGTGGTACCTCGGGTTACATACGCTTCAGGTTACATACGCTTCAGGTTACAGACTCCGCTAACTCTGAAATAATACCTCGGGTTAAGAACTTTGCTTCGGGATGAGAACAGAAATCGTGCTCCGGTAGTGCGGCAGCAGCAGGAGGCTCCATTAGCTAAAGTGGTGCTTCAGGTTAAGAACAGTTTCAGGTTAAGAACGGACCTCCGGAACGAATTAAGTACTTAACCCGAGGTACCACTGTATTATCATCGGCATGCATGACACTTTGGAGGGACCAAAGGGGTGGGAAGCCATTTTATTCTGAAGATCACTAGTCCATCTAGCTTAGTACAGTCTACACTGGCTGGCAGCAGCTCTCCGGGATTTGGGGCAGGCTTACGTGGAGATGTTGGGAATTGCACCCGGCACCTTCTGCGTCCAAAGCAGGTGCTGAAACGCTAAGCTGTGTGAGTTATTTCGCTGTTTGGAAATTCCCTGTAAGATTCCAGGCTTCATGGATTCGAATACAGGACTGGTTTTAAGTTGGGACGTAACACGCCTTATACTGAATCAGACTAATAATAATAATAATAATACAGTGGTACCTCGCAAGACGAAAAACTCGCTAGACGAAAGGGTTTTTTGTTTTTTGAGCTGCTTCGCAAGACGATTTTCCCTATGGGCTTGCTTCGCAGGACGGAAACGTCTTGCAAGTTTGTTTCCTTTTTCTTAACGCCGTTAATACAGTTGCGACTTGACTTCGAGGAGCAACTCATAGAACACGGTGTGGTAGCCTTTTTTGAGGTTTTTAAAGACTTTGGTGATTTTTGAAGCTTTTCCATAACTTTCCCGACACCGTGCTTCGCAAGACGAAAAAAATCGCAAGACGACAAAACTCGCGGAACGAATTAATTTAGTCTTGCGAGGCACCACTGTAATAATAAATTTTATTTATATCCCACCCTCCCCAGCCAAAGCCGGGCTCAGGGCGGCTAACAACAATAAAACAGTACAAAAGTACAGCACAAACAACACTCTAAAATCATTCATTATAAAATTAATTAATTCAAGCCACTGGCAACCATTGGGCCAGAGCTCCGCGAAGATTGCCGAGGGAGGGAGTCAGGCTGTGCCCTGGCCAAAGGCCTGGTGGAACAGCTCTGTCTTGCAGGCCCTGCGGAAAGATGTCAAGTCCCGCAGGGCCCTGGTCTCTTGTGACAGAGTGTTCCACCAGATCGGAACTATTGGTCCATCTAGCCCCATACTGTCTACACGGGTGGGCAGCAGCTCTGCAGGGGCTCAGGCAAGCCACCTTTCCCAACTTTGTTTGGAAATGCCGCTGAGAATTGAACCCAGGACTTCAGCAGGCATAGGAGGTGTTCTACCGCTGAGCTGCAGTCTTTCCTCTAAAACAGTAACAAGATTCCAGTCCTCATGTTTCCGAATAAAAGGCTGGTTTTAATAGGTGCCTTATACTGAGACACTGCTCCAATTATTATTATTATTATTATTATTATTATTATTATTATTATTATTGATTTGCATACCGCCCTTCATCCAAAGATGGCAGGGCAGTCCAAAGCATAAAAACACAAAGTGCAGAATAAAAACAAGAACGTAAACAAAGTGAACCAATAGCCCTCCCTTCCAGAATATTAATCACCCCCAAACCTGGTAGAAGAGGAATGTTTTTGCCAGCTCCCAGTGCCAGGTTTACATATAATCTAAGCAAGCTATAGTTTAGGGCCCCACTCTCTTGGCGGCCCCCCCCAAAGAATTAAAGGGGGGGGGACCTGGATGTACATTTTCGAAATATGAGATAAAAAACAAATAAAATAAAACCTACATCCAGCAACAGTGTTGTGTAAGCACCTATTTGTTATGTGCCAATAGCTTGAGATACCTATTAGGTCCATAAATGACCATATAGCATATATTCAACACAAAAAAACAGCAACTATTTGTTGTTGACAAAGGACAGCTGGACATAGAAAGGGCCCCATTACCTTCAGTAGCTTGGGGCCTCGTCAAACCGAAATCTGGCCCTGTCTGCTCCCTAAAGGTGTATAATGAAGGAGCCAGGCAAGCCACTCTGGGGAGAGAATTCTACAAACGGCAGAGCCACTGCAGAAAAGGCCCTTGTGATGGCCTGGGATTCCGATTCGGAGGATGAAACAGAGGAATCCCGGCCTGCACAGGAGTCCCCGCCTCCAGGGCCGGCTGAACTGGGGCAAGGCCTTGATGCTGAAGAGCCTGCACCTGTGGCAGTGCATCAGGAGCTGGCCCCAGGTGAAGCCCTTCGGGCCCCAGAGGGGCTTGATGACTCAGTGGCCACAGGTGAGCCTCCTCCAGGGCCCAGTAACCCTTCGGCCTCTCCTGATCTGCAGAGGCTTAGGGCAGAGAGGCGAAGGGAACTGGTTGCCCCAGGAGGAGTGCTCGCCTTAAGGCCAGAGGAGGCGGGGCTCCTGGGGACCGGGACCGCCCCTGGCCTTAGAAGAGGATAAAAGCCCAGTCAGCCCGGCCCCAGGTTGCGGGAGCAACGTCGTTGTTGGCTTCGGACCTTCCTGTGTTCCTGATCCCTGCTCGGCTTCCTGTTCCTGACTATCCGGTACTCCTGTTCCCTGCTCGGCCTCCTGTTCCCGACCATCCGGTGTTCCTGTCCCCTGCACAGCCTCCTGTTCCAGCATTCCTGTTCCCCGCCCGGCTCTCTGCCTCGGACCTTGCCCCTCTTCGTGTGGACTCTGCTACACCCAAGGTACCTTACCCCCGGGACCAGCACAGCCCTGCTCTCGTGTTTCCAACATCCGGACCTCATGTGGAGGAGGCACACAAAGAATGGTGCCAGGATTGTTGACACGGTCTGGCAGCGGCTCTCCAGGGGTCTCAGGCAGGGGAAATATTTCCACACACACCCCGGAGATGCTTTTGGGGACTGAATTGGGGAAATCTGCCAGCAAAGCAGATTGCCCCAACCATAGGAGTTCCCTTACTGTTTAAAGGTAAAGGTAAAGGACCCAGTCAAAGGCGACTCTGGGGTTGCGGCGCTCATCTTGCTTTCAGGCCAAGAGAGCCGGTGTTTGTCCTCAGTCAGCTTTCTGAGTCATGTGGCCAGCAGAACTAAAACGCTTCTGGTGCAACGGGACACCGTGAAGGAAACCAGAGCACACGGAAACGCCGTTTACCTTCCCATCACGGTGGTACCAATTTATCTACTTGCCCAGGCGTGCTTTCGAACTGCTAGGTTGGCAGGAGCTGGGACAGAGCAACGGGAGCTTACCCCGTCGTGGGGAATCGAACCACTGACCTTCTGGTCGGCAAACCCAAGAGGCTCGGTGGTTTAGACCACAGCGCCACCCACGTCTGTTAGCTCAGTATTGTCTACACTTACCGACAACAGCTCTGTGGGAGGTTGGTGAGGACTGTGGCCTGGGAGAGTTTTGGGGGCCAGACACCAAGGTCTGGAGGGCCGCATGTGTCTGCAAATGTCTAATTCTTTCCAAAAAAAATATATTCCTTTTTCCTTTTGGTGCCCCTGTTGTGCTACTGCCCCTAAGCACGTGCTTAAATCTGCCTAGCGGGCAATCCAGTCTTTTGCCCTTCAGGGTTCAGACCCCACCCCACCTTGTACTGCCCCCCTTTGATTTTCACAACAAAAGATGTTAGATGTTAGATGTTAGATAAATTTATTGTCATTGTCCGTATATACACAGTATACACAACAACGAAAATCAAACACCCACTCGAAGACCGGGTTCACATACACATTTGCACGTATCTCCAACACTCTCATCCTATTCAGACATAATCTATAAAAACATATCATACTCCAGAATGTAACATAACCTATTAAAAGCATAACATAACCTAAAAACCTGTCTCATTCCTTCCTACTCCCTGCTTGCTATTCCTTGCAACTGGCCCTGAGATCATTATTTAGTGCAATCAGAGCTCTTGGATAGAAACTATTCAGAAGGCGTGTGGTCTCGTGTTTTCATTGTCCTATATCTTCTGCCCGAAGGCAACAGTTCAAAGAAGTTGTGAGCAGGATGGGTGGGATCTCTCAGGATATTGTGTGACTTCTTCAAAGTGCGAGACGTGAAGATCTCATCCAGGGTTGGTAGTTGGAGCCCAATAACATTCTGGGCAATTTTAATTATTCTCTGTAAAGCTTTTTATCCGTTTCAGAGCTGCTCCCATACCACGATAATATACTATATGTTAAGACACTCTCGATGGTACTGTGATAATAGGACAGAAGTAGGTGCTGAGATAGATTCAGTCCCCTGAGCATTCTCAGGAAATACAACCTCCCCTGCACCTTCCTCACAACCATATTAATATTTACAGTCCATGAGAGGTCCTCAGAGATGTAAGTGCCCAGGTATTTAAAACTACCAACCCTCTCCACCTCCTCGCCATTTATGTGCAATGGTAAAAATACGCTTTTCTTTCTCCTAAAGTCAATTATGAGTTCTTTGGTTTTTTTGGTGTTAAGCATAAGATTGTTTTCTTTACACCATTGAATTAACCCCTGTACTTCTTTCCTATAAGCAGTCTCATCGTTCTCACTAATGAGCCCCACCACTGTTGTATCATCCGCAAATTTGATGATTGTGTTGGACTCATACAGTGGGGTGCAATCAAATGTGTACAGGGAATAGAGAAAGGGACTTAGCACACATCCCTGAGGGGCTCCTGTGCTTAATACTAGAGTAGAAGAATAGTAAGGGCCCATTCTCACTGTCTGCGGCCTATCAGTCAGGAAATTCCTTACCCACAGACAGATCTTCTGATGTATACCCAAATTGGTCATTTTAAGAAATAACCTGTCTGGCAGAATTGTATTGAAGGCAGAACTGTAGTCCACAAACAACAGCCTTGCGTAGGTTCCCTGTCGTTCTAGATGACTCAGTACAGTATGGACAGCGATGGAAATAGCATCATCAGTAGATCTATTTCTTCTGTATGCAAACTGGAACGGGTCTAGAGTGGATGGAAGACCAGCCTTAATATGATCTAGCACCAATCTCTCAAAACATTTCATAACGACAGATGTTAAGGCTATTGGTCTATAGTCATTGAGAGATACCACCACTGACTGCTTGGGGACTGCGAAACTCTGCATGGGAGTCAATCCCATTGCGCTCAGCAGTCGAGAAGCACTGGTTCGCATTCTGCACCTCTGGGTGCGCATGCCTGCCACCAGAAACACGCCTGGGCAGATGTCTCACACCCCGGCCAAGCTGCCAAGGACTGCTTTGAACTGACAATAACAAATCATAAAACCAACTCTCGCTCGCTTTTTTCACTAACCTGAAGAGCAAGCACCCTCTTGCCATTTTTGTCCACAACCCTGCGAGGTTAGGTGAGTCTGAGAGGCTGGCCACACCCAAAGCCACACACCCTGGGATATTCATGGCCGAGTAAAGAGATTTGAACCCTGGTCTCTCTCAGGTCGTAGCCCGACAATCTAACCACTTCACAACACAGATAGTGATGATGCTTAGCAGGATATTTAGTTTCCTTGGGTGGTGTTTAATCACTTGGTGAACATTCAAGCGGTGGTGGCGCTGTGGGTTAAACCACAGAGCCTAGGACTTGCCGATCAGAAGGTCGGCGGTTCGAATCCCCGCAATGACGGGGTGAGCTCCCGTTGCTCGGTCCCTGCTCCTGCCAACCTGGCAGTTCGAAAGCACGTCAAAGTGCAAGTAGATAAATAGGTACCGCTCTGGCAGGAAGGTAAATGGCGTTCGCTGTTCTGCTCTGGTTCGCCAGAAGCGGCTTAGTCCTGCTGGCCACATGACCCGGAAGCTGTACGCCGGCTCCCTAGGCCAATAAAGCGAGATGAGCACCGCAACCCCAGAGTCGGCCACGACTGGACCTAATGGTCAGGGGTCCCTTTACCTTTTACCTTTAGTTTCCTTGGGTGGTGTTTAATCACTTGCTGAACATTCAAGCGGCGGTGGGGGTAAATGTGTTGGGTTTTTAGGAAGCTCCTGGCATGCTCTTCTAGTAAATACACATTGAGATGTGTTTTTAAAACGCTTATATTTGGGGGATATTAATCCTGATCAGTGCGGTGGCTGTAACAGAGCCGTTGGGTAAATCCTTAATTAGGGACATAGAGTCTCTCTCTCTCTCTCTCTCTGGCTCTCCCAGGGAGGGAGGGAGAAACAGCAGAATTCATTTCACTGTTTCATCGCCTTTCTTTCAGTCTTGCCACCGCCTCCATGGTATCTCTCTTAAGGCATGCTCAGCCAAATTGAACAAACAGACACCTTAGCCTTTGTTAATTTTCCATCTGGCTCATGGGAGTGAGAGAAGAACAGATGCTTTCACTTAAGAGTTTATCTGCAATTTTGCAAAAGCCCTTTCTTAAGCATGCCGCGCCTCTCTAGTCATGACTCCAGCCCCCCTTTAACAACACGCAAGGTTGCTCTGCTTGCAAAATTCAGCTTCCAAAGAATATCCTTCCTAACTTGCACTAGCAAGTGCCTATATGTAGCAGAGTTATAGGTAAAGGTAAAGGGACCCCTGACCATTAGGTCCAGTCGTGGCCGACTCTGGGGTTGCGGCGCTCATCTCGCTTTACTGGCCGAGGGAGCCGGCGTACAGTTTCCGGGTCATGTGGCCAGCAGGACTAAGCCGTTTCTGGCGAACCAGAGCAGCGCACGGAAATGCCATTTACCTTCCCGCTGGAGCGGTACCTACTTATCTACTTGCACTTTGACATGCTTTCGAACTGCTAGGTTGGCAGGAGCAGGGACAGAGCAACGGGAGCTCACCCTGTCGCAGGGATTCGAACCGCTGACCTTCTGATCTGCAAGTCCTAGGCTCTGTGGTTTAACCCACAGCTCCACCAGCATCCCAGAGTAGTAGCAGAGTTACATTCCCCTTTTTACATGCACAGCAGATAGTTGGCTGCAGGCTTGTGTGAGCCGCTCACTTTTATACAGTTCAACCTGTCTCAGATTGAATTGTACATTCCTGGTAAGTTTCCTTGAATCCCTCTTCAAAGAATAAAGACGCGACAATCTTATTCAAAGTCAATAAAAGAAGTTGACTCACATCAGTTCACACTTGGATTCCTGAAGGCAGACTTAGTTACAAATAGGTACATGCGGATCTACCCCATATGGGGGAATAATCCCAGTGAGAGCTAGCAGAGCAGTCCTAGCTAAAAGCTGGTCAAACAAAGAAGGAAGTCAAAAAGAGAGGGAAGGGTGCTGCGTGATTCGTCCTTTTGTTACCTGGACAGGTTAGGTCATGCCCACCTTCTGTCACATGCAAAAGGAAGGATGCTCCAGCCAGGAGGAACAGGAAGTTTCGACTGGCTGGACCAAACATTCCCTCTCATGTCTTCTCTAGCATTACAAGGAATGTTGTACTTGACTGCCTCTCATGGATCACATCCTACAAGAATTTCAACTTACCTATCTCTTCTTCTTTTACCCTCCTTTAGAACTTTCCATGTGCATGGAGAATATGTCAGGTGAATCTCAGCGTAATGCATGGAAATGTGTCTGGACGGACAGCGTGGTGTAATGATTAGAGTAGACATTCCCAAAGTGAGGAGTACTGCCCCCTGGAGGGCGGTGGGGTTACCTCGTAGGACACTAAAAGGCAAGGGGGCAGCAGAGGAGCGCTGGAGGTGTAAATCAGACTTTAAAAAGCTCCTCTCCTAGGTTCCTATTTAAATCAGCCCTTTATTCCGAATCATGAGGACTGGACTGTTGCTCTACCTTGGTTATTAATCCCGAACACCGCAAGCCTGGAAGAGAGTGTTCTGTTTTGCGGACGTTTTGCGGAAGGCAGACGTCCGACGCAGCTTCTGATCAGCTGCAGGCGCTTCCTGCGCTCAATCGGAAGCCGCGTCTCAGTTTTCCAACGGTTCCGGGAGTCAAACGGCCTCCCGGAACAGATTACCGTATTTTTCGCTCTATACGACACACCAGACCACAAGACGCACCTAGTTTTTGGAGGAGGAAAACAAGAAAAAAAAACATTCTGAATCTCAGAAGCCAGAACAGCAAGAGGGATCGCTGCGCAGTGGAAGCAGCAATCCTTCTTGCTGTTCTGGCTTTTGAGATAGCTGTGCAGCCTGCATTCGCTCCATAAGACGCACACACATTTCCCCTTACTTTTTAGGAGGGGAAAAGTGAGTCTTATAGAGCAAAAAATACGGTAGGTTCGACAACCAAGGTACCACTGTATTTGTTTTGGAAATGACCACAGCCCGCCAATCAGTTCAGACAATGCTGATCTAACTGGGCCAGTGGCCTGACTCAGCGCCAGGAAGGCTCCTGTTGCTCCATCTCCACCAAAGATGGAGTTTCGGGCATTTTGTCAGCATCTGACGTCAAAGTCGGTTTTGCTTATGCTGCTGGAAATATACAGAGATGTGGGCAGGATGAGATTGCAAAGGATCTGGGGAGGGAAGGGGCAAAGTGAGCACGGCTAATTTTACTTTCCCATCCACCTGCTGCTGAAGATAATGAGGTTCGGCGGAACAGATGCCAAAACCAGGCTATTCTTAGCGAGAGGAAGTATATCTGGTGCAGATTCCGGAGACGCTGCAATTTCCATCATCCTGATGGATGTTAAGAGCGGCTGTTTCCTATCATTTCCATTTCACTTTTAATTTGCACGGCGCCTTTTCAATATTGCTGCAAGGCGGTTTGCAGCGACGAAATGTACAACAAAGACCAGACGCCTTATAAATAATCAATCAATCAATCAATCAATCAATCTTTATTACGGTCCGGAGACCCAACAAATCATTACAAATCAATACACATTTCAGACAAGCCTTCCTCCAGGTTAAACAAGCATTTTGTTTAGAATATAGGGCTCATTTGTTCTTGCAACCACCGATAAAAACTTTGCCACTGCTAACGTTCTAGCGTTTGTCCGGTCTTCCAGTAGGGACCTGACATAGTGAGCCTCTGATTTTCCCGGGAAAGGTACCAGCAAGGGTAGTATCAGTTCAGCCCTGGCTTGCTCATATTTTGCACAATGCAACAAAATATGTTTTATGGAATCGATGTCTTGAGCACACGAGCAAAGTCTGTCCTGGTAGGGAACTCCTCTCAGCACTACAGAAGGAAAGACGTTTAGTCTGGCTTTGGTGAAAAGCCTTCGGTAGTTTGGTACTTTCAGGTTTTTAATGTAAGATGTTGACTTAAAGACATACCCATATTGAACTTCTACTGCCAGCGGACTACAGACTGTGTTCGCAAGTCACTGTGTACATTATCCCATAATCTTTGCTTTAAAATTTTTTGAGCGCCTTCATAACCCAGGTAATACACTTGCGGGGGAGACAGACCAATAGGGGTGACTTTTTTAGCCATGGTTTTCTGCCATTTGGTGACAAATTCCTCATTGGTCAGGTGTTGGTACAAATCCTTCCCTAGATTAAACACTGAAATCCCGAGCTAATGTCCGATACAAAAAGGTCTTAACTTTGAAATGGAACGGCATATATATATAAAAAAAGAAATATTCAATAATCCTTTGGGATACGATAGTGCGCATCAAAGTTAACTCTCAAGACATGAGCAAATAATGGAACAGAAACAGAAATTCACTCTTAAGTTCCAATAAATAATTGCCCCAGCTATGATCTTTTTAAAAACATTTTTTGATTCATTTTCACTTTTAACATTTATCATCATACATAAATTATCAGATGTCAAGGAAATAAAACAACTACAGTGATACCTTGGGTTAAGTACTTATTTCGTTCCGGAGGTCCGTTCTTAACCTGAAACTGTTCTTAACCAGCACCACTTTAGCTAATGAGGCCTCCTGCTGCTGCCGCGCAATTTCTGTTCTCATCCTGAAGCAAAGTTCTTAACCTGAAGCACTATTTCTGGGTTAGCAGATTCTGTAACCTGAAGCGTCTGTAACCTGAAGTGTATGTAACCCGAGGTACCGCTGTATCTGACTTTTAGAAGACATCTGAAGGCAGCCCTGTTTAGGGAAGTGTTTAATGTTTGATGTTTTATTGTGCTTTTAATTCTGTTGGGAGCTGCCCAGAGTGGCTGGGAAGATCCAGCCAGATGGGCAGGGTATAAATAATTTATTATTATTATTATTATTATTATTATTATTATTATTATTATTAATTTTGGCGGGTATGCAGGTGTCCCTGGCTGCACCTCAGGAAGCCAACTCCCAGGCTGTGCGACGCACGAGCCACTTCGCTCCCCCCCCCCCCCCGAAGCATTTCTTGTCAGCCTGTGCTGATCCCGAAGCATTTCTTGTCAGCCTGTGCTGATCAGCATGTAATCTCCCCGTAAACACAAATTTGCCAATCTGCTCAGAAGGGACGGAGGCCGTCAAGTCCCCAGGCCTGGGCCAGACGGGGTCCCTTTCAGGCTCCAAAGCCGCTTAAAGGTTTAGAGCTTCTTTAGCATTGCGGTTTTTAATTAAAAACTGTTTTAGCAAAGGCAAGCCAGAAGCACACATGAGGACTGGGGGCTGGTCTCTATAAGTCCCTTCTGCACCCAGCTGTGTGGATCCGAAATCCCAGGAAAGGCCAAACTTCCCCATCCTAGTGCTGCCACCCCCCCCCCAAAAAAAAAAGTTTGCTGGACCGAAATTTGAATCTGGCGGTGTAGTTCTTCAAATGCACATACCAAATGCACCTTGGTTCTCAAACGCCTTGGTTCTCAAATAACTTGGAACCCAAACACTGCAAACCCGAAAGTGTTCCAGTTTGTGCACTTTTTTCAGAAGCTGAACGTGCTCCGTTTTGAGTGTTATGTTTTCGATTTGAGTGCCACACTTCTATTTTAAGGTCTGTCTGTCTGTCTTTGCTATTTATTTTGCGTTTTTGTTTTTGCGGCTCTTTTTTTGTTTTGTTTTTGTGACTGTGTGGAACCCAGTCCGGCTATTGATGAATTGATTGTGTGACTGCAGTACGTTGATTATTGCTTTCGTTTTATGGATCGATGGTCTCGTTAGATAGTAAAATCTATGTCGAATTGCTGTTTTAGGAGTTGTTTTTAAAAGTCTGGAGCGGATTAATCCGTTTTGCATTGCTTTCTATGGGAAAGCGCGCCTCGGTTTTGGAATGCTTTGGTTTTGGAACGGACTTCTGGAACGGATTAAGTTTGAGAACCAAAGTACCAGTGTATAAGGGGGAAAGTGTGCACTGAAAATGCATGTTAGTAGAATATGCTTCGCAAAACAGTTTACACGAGTCAAAACGTGCTTGTTGGGGTAAGTGGTGACATGATATCGATGCCTGTAAAATTATGCCTGGCATGGAAGAAGTGGGTGGAGGAATGTTTTCCTCCCTCTCTCTAACACTAGAACTTGTGGATGAAGCCAAATGTTGGAAGATTCAAGGGCAGAAATAAAGAAAGCCCCTCTTCATGCAACCTGCAGAACTCGCTGCCACAGGAGGCGGCAATCGCCACCAACTTGGGTGGCTTCGGTTTTATGGTTAATCAGTTTGCGCAATTCCATTTAGGTGGGAATTCCCTCAAGGAATATCCTTTACCTTTAAAGGGAGAAAGGTCAAAGTTAGAACATTGGAAGAGAGAGACAAATTTTTGGCTACATACGGAGAGGACCTTCAAAAGGAATTGAATTACCTTCTGGGCCTGGGGCAAAGCCAGCATTAACACCAGCACCTGGGGAACCTGAAGATCCAGAGAAGACACCACCCCTGGAGAAATAACCAGATAGATCCAGGATGTCTCTGCAATTGCTGAGTTGGAACATTAATGGTTGTAACATTCCGGAAAAAGGAAGAAAATATTTCATATATTAAAAAAGAACAATTGGACATTATCTGTTTACAAGAAACACATGTGACGAGGCTCCACAGAAAAGTGTTAATAAATAAAAGATTGGGCCAGGAATTTGTTTCGTCGGACAAAGTTAAGAAGAGAGGCGTGGTGATATATGCAAAAGAGAGCCTGTCACCTAAATTCTTATTTAAAGATGAACATGGAAGAATTTTGGCCATTGAGATACAATATCAAGGAGAGAAACTGTTGATATTAGGAATCTATGCACCTAATGAAGGGAAATCGGAATTTTACAAGAAGCTGCAGGGGACAATGCTGGAATATCTGGATTACAACAACATCATAATGATGGGAGAAATGTACTTGGTCGTGTCAACTAACATGGACAAGTCACAAAGTCAAAATGTTACAAAAGACGGCAGACTACCTAAAACTTTTTTGAAATGACTGACAATATGGATTTGATTGACATTTGGAGGACAAAGAACCCACTAGGTAGAGAAGGAACATTCTTTTCTGAAGCCCAACTGACCTGGACAAGAATCGACCAAATATGGATTTCCAGAGGCCTGGCACCTAAGGTCAGAAAAGTGGAAATCTGCCCAAAGACCTGCTCTGACCATAATGCAGTAAAGATGGATATGACACTACTACCAACTGGATCCTTTAGATGGAAGATGAATGACAATTTGTTTAGAGATCAGGAAATTACCAAGAAGGCCCAAAAAGTTTTGAAGGACTATTTTGAGATAAACATGAACAATTCGGTGGAAAAAGAATTGTCTGGGACGCAAGCAAAGCTGTAATGAGGGGATTCTTGATACAACAGAATGTAGTAAAGAAAAGAACACAAAATGAGAAAAAGATAAGATCTTGGACAAATTAAAAGAATTAGAGAAGAAATTAAGAGCGAATCCAAAGTCACAGCCAACTCTGAGAGAAATTAAACTCTATCAAACACAATATTCTAAATTGATAAATCAGGAAATTGAATGGAAGGTTAAATTAATGAAACAAAAACGTTTGAGTCGGCGAATAAATGTGGAAAACTGCTAGCTTGGCAGTTGAAGAGAAGACAAAGATTAAACACGGTTACAAACTTAGAGGTTGATGGAAAAAACATTCAGAATCCAGTGGATATTAGAAAGTGTTTCCAGAGATATTTTAAAAATTATACACCCAAGGGCCGCAAGACGAAGTTGAGATTAAACAATTTTTGCCAAAAATGGACTATCTAAATTGTCACAAGAAAACAGGACAATCCTGAACTCTAAAATAACACGACAGGAGATTGAACAAGCTATTCAGAACATGCAACTTGGCAAATCTCCAGGGCCAGATGGGCTGACCTCCAAGTATTATAAGACATTAAAAGACTATTTGATACAACCCTTGATGGAGGTCAGCAATGAAATTATGGAGGGGAAGAGGGCACCGGATTCGTGGAAGGAAGCGTTCATCACATTAATACCAAAGTCAGAAGCTGAAAAGACACAACTGAAGAACTACCGTCCCATCTCTCTTTTAAATGTGGATTACAAAATATTTGCAGATATTTTGGCAAGTAGATTTTAAAAAGTATTAAATGAAGTAATTCATAAGGACCAGGCCGGTTTTCTCCCAGGTAGACATCTGTTTGCTAACACAAGGAACATTATTGACATCTTGGAACTTCTGCAAACAGATATAAATACAAAAGCAGTTTTAATTTTCATAGATGCGGAGAAGGCCTTTGACAATATTTCCTGGAAATTTATGATGGGAAATTTAAAAGAGATGGGAGTGGGACGGGGTTTTGAGAATGGGATTGAGGCGATATATTCAGAACAGAAAGCTAAACTGATAGTTAATAATGTGGTCACAGAAGAGTTCAAAATTGAAAAAGGGACACGACAAGGTTGCCCTATTTCCCCTTTGTTATTTATTTCGGTTCTGGAAGTGCTACTGAACATGATTAGAGGGGATCGGTTGGTGGAAGGAATTCAGGTTGGTCAGAAACAATATAAACTAAAAGCTTTTGCAGATGACCTGGTTTTGACCCTGCAGAAGCCAGAGCCCAGTACGAAAAGAGTATTACAATTGATTAATGATTTTGGTCGGGTGGCGGGATTTAAATTAAATAAACAGAAAACTAAGGTTTTGGGGAAAAATTTGACTGATACAGAGTCAGAACGGTTTCAGAATGAGACGGAACTTAATGTGGTTAAAAAGTAAAATACCTAGGGGTAAACATAACAGCAAAAAATCTAAGTCTATTTAAGGATAACTATGAAAAATGTTGGGCAGAAATTAAGAGAGACTTAGACAGTTGGTCAAAATTGAAACTTTCTTTGTTAGGCCGAATTGCTGCTATTAAGATGAATGTATTGCCAAGGATGTTGTTTTTATTTCAAACACTTCAGGTTTTGGACAAAACGGAGTGCTTTCAGAAGTGGCAGAGAGATATTTCGAAGTTTGTCTGGCAGGGCAAAAGCCCAGAATCAAGTTTAAGATATTAACTGATGCAAAACAAAGAGGGGCTTTGCCCTGCCGGACTTAAAGTTGTATTATGAAGCCGCAGCGTTCTGCTGGCTAAAAGACTGGCTACTTCTTGAAGACACTGATGTGTTGGATTTGGAAGGGTTTAATAATGTTTTTGGATGGCATGCATATTTATGGTATGACAAAGTTAAAGCAAATAAGGCCTTCAAGAACCATATTGTCAGAAAATCATTGTATAATGTCTGGACAAAATATAAAGACTTGCTGGAAAATAAAACACCAAGGTGGCTTTCACCTTTGGAAGCTAAGGCTCGAAAAAGACCCAATATGGAGGCTAAATGGCCAAAATATTGGGAAATATTAGAAAAGATGGAGACAATTGGAAATTGCAGAGTTTGGAGAAAATGAAAGACAAAGTGCGAGATTGGTTACATTACGCTCAGATTAAAGAAGTTTTTAAAAATGATAAGAAACTAGGGTTCCAGGTGGAGAAATCGAAATTAGAAACAGAATTGTTAGAACCAAAGACTAAGGTACTTTCAAGGATGTATAACTTGCTGTTGGAATGGAATACACAAGATGAAATGGTTAAATCGGCTATGATAAGGTGGGCACAGGACATTGGGTATAATATTATGTTTGAGGACTGGGAAAAGTTGTGGAGTAATGGATTGAAATTTACTGCATGTAACGCTCTGAAAGAAAATGTAATGAAAATGATTTATAGATGGTATATGACCCCAGTTAAACTTGCAAAAATTTACCACCTGTCTGATAATAAGTGTTGGAAATGTAAAGAGTGTGAGGGAACGTTCTTCCACCTCTGGTGGACCTGCCCTAAAGTGAAGGCGTTCTGGGAAATGATTTATAATGAATTGAAAAAGGTATTTAAATATACCTTTACCAAGAAACCAGAGGCTTTCCTTCTGGGTATTGTCAGCCAAGGGGTGGCAAAGAAGGACCAGACATTTTTATGTATGCAACAACAGCAGCAAGGATACTTCTTGCAAAACATTGGAAAACTCAAGATTTACCCACACTGGAAGAATGGCAGATGCAACTGATAGACTACATGGAACTGGCTGAAATGACCGGCAGAATCCGTGACCTGGGAGAAGAGAGAATCGAGGAGGATTGGAAGAAATTTAAGAACTATCTACAAAAATATTGTGATTTGAGTGAATGCTAAATAAGATGCTAGACTAAATAACTGAGCACCACTTAACTTAGAAGTTTTTAAGAAAATAAGTAAGACTGTGAAAGTTTAACTCTCTATGAGAACTATAAGATTATGAAACATTGAAGAGATATAAGAATTTAAATAAGATGATAAATTGCTGACAAAATGTTATAACGATGAAAGTGGGAGCGGGGATGTGAGGAAGTCCAAAGAAAATGTGAAACTATGTTAAGACAAATGTTATATTGTTTATTATGTTTATTCTTATTGTAAAATCCAATAAATTGCTTTAAAAAAAAAAAAAATAATCAGTTTGAGGGTTTTATTCCCCTGCAATCGAGCAATATATAAATTATGAAAGAAAAATATATTCAAACACAGTTCTGACCATCCCTTCCTGCAATGATTTCAATAGTTCTTTAGCTTGCCTCCTGAAAAATTATGATCCATTCTCAATTACAGTGCAATAGTGACATCACTGTTTTAGGTTACTTGTTTGTTTGATATCCTGTCCTTCAGTTGAACTTTGAAGGGGGAATTACAGCATATAATGATAATAAAAAAGAAAAACGCAACAGCTGCAAAAAAATTAATAAGATTCCCAATAAGGTAAAGGGACCCCTGACCGTTAGGTCCAGTCGTGGCCGACTCTGGGGTTGCAGCGCTCATCTCGCTTTAGTGGCCGAGGGAGCTGGCGTACAGCTTCCGGGTCATGTGGCCAGCAGGAGTAAGCCGCTTCTGGCGAACCAGAGTAGCGCACAGAAACGCCGTTCACCTTCCCGCCGGAGCGGTACCTATGGATCTACTTGCACTTTGAGGTGCTTTCGAACTGCTAGGTGGGCAGGAGCAGGGACCGAGCAACGGGAGCTCACCCCGTCATTGCGGGGATTCGAACCACTGACCTTCTGATCAGCAAGTCCTAGGCTCTGTGGTTTAACCCACAGCGTGAATAGCCTAAACAGAGAGTAGCATTGAAAGACCTGTGATTGGTACCAGAAAGACAATTAAGATGTCATTTACACGCTAAGCTTCTTTCTCAGATACTTAAAACTCAGATGAAATAGCAAAAATAAATGAATATAAATAAACACGTTGATATGGCTTCTGACAATTCCCTGGTTGGTCTTTTCTCCCAGTGGGAATAAGATCTATTGCTTATTTTCTTTAAAAAAAAAATATAGGAAAAAACTCCTTCTGTATATATATTCTGGGAGGGGCGAATGTGTGATCACCTCTCTCTGTCCCCCGTTTCTCTAGGGGAGCCACGTCGGTGGTGTACAGTTGTGAGGAGAAAGGAACTAACGTCCAATATGCTGCCAAAATATTGAAGAAAACGGTAAGTGCCAATCCCATCTCACTCCTGTTAACGGAAAAATCCGAGGGCTCCCTTGGACAAAAACAAAGACACCAACCAGGATAACTTGGAGCAAAACAGCAGCCTGTAGGCTTGGCCTTTATTGAACTGTTGCAACAGGGTGCTGCCCTCACTTGCAGGAGAGAGGAAGGACCCAGAAAAATGGTGTGCAAGGCCTTATAAAGACTTTTGGAATTGCCACCCTGTAGATCAAGACCACCCCCAGAAACATCATACATCACAAAAAGGAGCGGTTGAGGGAGGAGTTGTGGTGGTAACCCGAGAGTCTTGTCACCTGGCTGGTTCCCCCTTTCCCCCTCCCCATGAGTACTTTCCAGGGGACAGAGGGGAGTTTGCAGTTTCCTGCCCCCAGAGGGAAGATCTGATCATTGTCCTTTGTTCCAGTCCGTGCTGAATCCACTCCCACAGGCAAGTTCTTTGTGATCTTGATGGTCTTCTGTCTAGGACCATCAGGGTTGGCATAGCAACTGGGCAGGGCTCCTGTGGATGTGCTGGGATGCTCAAGGGATTATGGCTGGCCTGTATCAAACCTTCCCCATTTTGTAGTCCTTCCTTCATGGAGTAAAATAAAAGTGGAACGGTGCAAATCCGATGTATGGTTGATTTTCTATGAATTAATAACAGAAGCATAGTGCATGTAGTGTGTGGGTGTGAGTGTGTGTGAAGTGTGTGAAGTTTGTACAAACTGAATGATGGGGGGGGGGGTTCCTGTGACACTCCAAATGAGGAATGATTAGATGAGGCTGCTTGTTCTTTGCAGGGATTCCTCACTCCACCTCTAGGTCAGAGTGGGACAAACAGAGTCTAAGAGAAGGGAGTGATCATCAGGTTTGGCCAGAATTCATCTATACTTGCTCCCTGTGTCCCTGCTGACCATCAGCAGGTCTTTCCAAGTTGGCAAAAACAACGGGAAAATGGTGGGGGGTCCTTGAGTTGCACTCTATTCTTCGTTTTCAGATCGACAAGAAAATCGTCAGGACCGAAATCGGTGTGCTGCTGAGGCTGTCGCATCCGAATATTGTAAGTTAAGGGGAGTTGGCGAAAAGAGCACGATGTTTGGGATAGAACGGGTGTGTCAGAGAGTGGATGACCTGGGGGGGTGGGAGAGAGTTCCGCAGGTCAGGGGCCTGCCACACCAAAGGCTTGAACCCTGTTGTTGTTGTTTAGTTGTTTAGTCGTGTCCGACTCTTCGTGACCCCATGGACCAGAGCACACCAGGCACTCCTGTCTTCCACTGCCTCCCGCAGTTTGGTCAAACTCATGCTGGTAGCTTCGAGAACACTGTCCCACCATCTCGTCCTCCGTTGTCCCCTTCTCCTTGTGCCCTCCATCTTTCCCAACATCAGGGTCTTTTCCAGGGAGTCTTCTCTTCTCATGAGGTGGCCAAAGTCTTGGAGCCTCAGCTTCAGGATCTGTCCTTCCAGTGAGCACTCAGGGCTGATTTCCTTCCGAATGGAGAGGTTTGATCTTCTTGCAGTCCATGGGACTCTCAAGAGTCTCCTCCAGCACCAGAATTCAAAAGCATCCAATCTTCAGCGATCAGCCTTCTTTATGGTCCAGCTCTCACTTCCATTCATCACTACTGGGAAAACCATAGCTTTAACTATACGGACCTTTATTGGCAAGGTGATGTCTCTGCTTTTTAAGATGCTGTCTAGGTTTGTCATTGCTTTTCTCCAAGTGGACCTCAGGGGTCACGTGGGGAACCACTAGAGATGCCCCATCAGAGGATGAGCGATCGAGATGAAGCCTTAAAAGCCTTTTTCCAATAGGAGAGCCTCACCATGCCCTTTTCTGAACCTGGCAAGATGGAGGGCTGTGGCACAACAACAACAACAACTTATTTATACCCTGCCCATCTGGCTGGGTTTCCCCAGCCACTCTGGGCGGCTCCCAACAGAATATTACAAACACGATAAAACATCAAACATTAAAAATTTCCCTAAGCAGGGCTGCCTTCTAAAAGTCAGATAGTTGTTTATTTCCTTGACATCTGGTGGGAGGGCACCACCACTGAGAAGGCCCTTGCCTGGTTCCCTGTAACCTCACTTCTCGCAGGGAGGGAACCGCCAGAAGGTCCTCGGAAATGGACCTCAGTGTCCAGGTAGAAAGATGGGGGTGGAGACGCTCCTTCAGGTATACTGGGCCGAGTCCATTCAGGGCTTTCAAGGTCAGCACCAACACTTTGAATTGTGCTCTGAAACGTACTGGGAGCCAATGTAGGTCTTTCAGGACCGGTGTTATATGGTCTCGGCGGCCGCTCCCAGTCACCAGTCTAGCTGCCGCATTCTGGATTAGTTGCAGTTTCCAGGTCACCTCCAAAGGTAGCCCCACGTAGAGCGCAGCAGCTGAAGCTCAATTTCAGACAGCGCTTCCTGGTTGCTTAATGCTGTCTTTTGAAAGGTTGTGATTTGGGGCTCCTTGCAACCGGAGGGTCAGTGTCCTTCGTGACTGGCTGGTAAATCGCGTACACAAAGACTGTCTCTAAAATCTGCTAGGCATCCCATGGGGGCACCTGGGCCCTATCACCATCAATATCCACAGAGCCTTTCAGCTGCCGGATGTGGGATAATCCCCCAGGACACTCTCCTTATAATCCCTAATAGGTTGTCTTTAAGCTGCAAAGTGTGACAATTCAAATAACATCCCCATATATTGGGCTTCCGTGACACATTATGGAAGTCTGCCGACTTGCGAGATCGTATCCTTCTAGGAATTGGATGCTGCTCTGTAAAAGAGAAGTTAATTCCTTGAAAGGGGGAAAGCTGTCAACAGTTCTGGAGGTGCAGTTTTGAGGATCTGAGCCAGTGAGTGAAAGAGACTGGTTGTTGTTGTTGTTGTTTGTTGTTGTTTCATCGTGTCCGACTCTTCGTGACCCCCTGGACCAGAGCATGCCAGGAACTTCTGTCTTCCACTGCCTCCCACAGTTTGGTCAAACTCATGTTGGCCACTTTGAGAACACTGTCCCACCATCTCGTCCTCTGTCGTCCCCTTCTCCTTGTGCCTTCCATCTTTCCCAACATCAGGGTCTTTTCCAGGGAGTCTTCTCTTCTCAGGAGGTGGCCAAAGTACTGGAGCCTCAGCTTCAGGATCTGTCCTTCCAGTGAGCACTCAGGGCTGATTTCCTTCAGAATGGGGAGGTTTGATCTTCTTGCAGTCCATGGGACTCTCAAGAGTCTCCTCCAGCACCAGAATTCAAAAGCATCCAATCTTCAGCGATCAGCCTTCTTGATGGTCCAGCTCTCACTTCCATACATCACTACTGGGAAAACCATAGCTGTAACTATACAGACCTTTGGTGGCAAGGTGATGTCTCTACTTCTTAAAGAGACCGGTGGATCAAGCCAAATCCAGCATGCTGGTCTCGTAATGGCCAGCCAGTTGTCCGTGGGAAGCCAGCAAGCAGGAGCCAAGTATAGCAGCCCTCTCTGCTCCTGTGGTTTCCAGAAACTGGTATTCAGAAGCTAAAAAAAAATCTAAAATCTAAAAAAATGTAGTATAAACACCGACAACTGGGAAACACTGGACTGTGAGTGCTCCAGTTGGAGAACAGCCTTTACCAAAGGTGTCTTGGGCTTTGAAGACGCTCGAACTCAGGACGAAAGGGAGGAACGTGCTAAGAGGAAGGCACACTTGGCAAACCCTCACCGGGATCAACTCCTGCCTGGAAACCAATGTCCCCACTGTGGAAGGACGTGGGGATCCAGAATTGGCCTCCACAGTCACTTACGGACTCACTGTTAAGACCGTGTTTATGGAAGACGATCTTACTCGGCTACGAGGGATCGCCGAAGAAGTGTTGCTGCCTCAAACACTTAGGCAGCAAATAGGCAATGAGGCTAGTAAAGGTAAAGGGACCCCTGACCATTAGGTCCAGTCGTGGCCGACTCTGGGGTTGCGGCGTTCATCTCGCTTTATTGGCCGAGGGAGCCGGCGTACAGCTTCCGGGTCATGTGGCCAGCAGGGCTAAGCCGCTTCTGGCGAACCAGAGCAGCACACGGAAACGCCGTTTACCTTCCCGCCGGAGCAGTACCTATTTATCTACTTGCACATGACGTGCTCTCGAACTGCTACATTGGCAGGAGCAGGGACCGAGCAACGGGAGCTCACCCCGTCGCGGGGATTCGAACTGCCGACCTTCTGATCAGCAAGTCCTAGGCTCTGTGGTTTAACCCACAGCGCCACCCGCGTCCCAGGCAATGAGGCTAGTAGCCACCAATTGCTGTCTCCTCCATGACTTTGTCTAATCCTCTTTTTAAACCATCCAGGCTGGTGGGCATCAGGCCTCTGTGGCTGCGAGTTCCCATAGTTTAACTAAGTGCTGCGTGAAAAATGACTTTCTTTTATCTGCCTTTCATTGAATGTCCACGTCTTCTAGAGTTATGGAAGAGGGGAACTTTTCTCTGCCAGCTTCCTCCATGTCCAAAAAATTCTATAAACTTCTATCATGTCACTCGCCTCTTCTCTAAACTGGAAAGTTCCAAATGCTGCACACTTTTCTGACAAGAGACTTGCTCCACCCAGGGGCGGACCGGGGTAATCTTTCGTAATACAGTGGTACCTCAGGTTAAGAACTTAATTTGTTCCGGAGGTCCGTACTTAACCTGAAACTGTTCTTAACCTGAAGCACCACTTTAGCTAATCGGGCCTCCTGCTGCTGCCGCACCGCCGGAGCCCGATTTCTGTTCTCATCCTGAAGCAAAGTTCTTAACCTGAAGCACTATTTCTGGGTTAGCGGAGTCTGTAACCTGAAGCGTATGTAACCTGAAGCGTATGTAACCCGAGGTACCACTGTACATCCGACAACCAAGCTTTGACTGTATCCTTTTTGAGGCGAAGCAGCCAGAATTGTACACAGCATTCCAAATGCTGTTTGACGCCACTTAGAAACCACAGCGCTGAGTGCTATAGAAATATTAATAAAACCAGCAGTTAAATCAATTGATTGAAGTGCGCACACTATAAAATAAAATTACCGTATTGGCCTGAATATAAGCCTCACTTTTTTGACTTCTGGGTTTTTTTAAGGAGAGGAATGGCAGTGCCCGGCGCTTCGTCCTACTAAAGACGGGCGCTTTGGGGGTCGATGAGCGATGAGGGGAGGTTGCCAGGACTAGGCACCCCCCTTAAAAAACCCTGCAGAAGACCAGGGCTTTGAAGGGGTGCAGCAGAGTCCGTTCTTTCCTCCTGCCGGGACCCAGCTCTCGTAACTGCTTCAGCAGCAGGCGAGGGGCAGTTGAAGTGCGGCTTATGTTCACGACCTTACGGTATGCAGCCAGGAGCGCGGGGTAAACAGCGCCAGGATCGCAGCAAAGCAATGCCCGCCCCCTGCATAGTCCCCCATCCTCTCCCCCAAGGCCGGGAAGCGAGGGAGCGAGAAATGGAGTGGCTTTTATTCAGCTATTTTTTGTCGTCCCCCCTCCAATTTTAAAGGTGTGGCTTATATTCGGGTACGGCTTATATTCAGGCCAATACGGTACATATTAAAACCTGCTGGCTTTACATATCTGCATAGGCTTGCCTTACTGAACAGGTTTTTAGCAGGGGCTGAAGGCCGCTGCACCCTAATAAAATAAACAGTCAAACAATATTTTCTTTTAAAAAAAACAAAACAAGCGTAACAGCAACTTGAAGGACGAACAGCCATTATTCCAAGCTGTCGTTGACCTAATTTTTTGCTCTAATAACCAGTGGCGTAGCGTGGGGGGTGCAGGGGGGGGCCGGCCGCACCGGGCGCAACATCTGGGGGGCGCGCTCGCACTCGCAGCTCTCTGCCCTTACCTGGTTCACTCACTCTAGGGGGCGCAAATTACTTGCCTTGCCCTGGGTGCTGACAACCCACGCTACACCACTGCTAATAACCAATAGTTTCGGGGGGGTGGCATTTAGGATTTCTACATGCACCCCTCACATTCGCAAGCTTCTTCGTTCACTCAGATGTTCATTCATATATACAGTGGTACCTCAGGTTAAATACGCTTCAGGTTACAGACTCTGCTAACCCAGAAATATTACCTCAGGTTAAGAACTTTGCTTGAGGATGAGAACAGAAATCGGGCTCCGGCGGCGCGGCAGCAGCAGGAGACCCCATTAGCTAAAGTGGTGCTTCAGGTTAAGAACAGTTTCAGGTTAAGAACGGACCTCCGGAACAAATTGAATACTTAACCCGAGGTACCAGTGTGTGTGTGTGTGTGTGTATATATATATATGTGTGTGTGTGTGTGTGTGTATATCTATATCTATATCTATATATGTATAGATACACACACACACACACACACACACACACACACACACACATATATGGAATTCTATTTCTGTTATTTACCCTTTTGCGACTCCTATCTGCAGCCTCCCCTGCTTGCAGGCGGCTGATAGGGAGCGATAATAGGATTGTAAACTTCTGAAGTTAATAAGAGATTGTGCCGCCACGTATTAAGGGAAGGGGGGGGAGCTTTAAGCCTCTTCCTCTCTTCTCCCAGCGTCACTTACACGGCGGGATCTTTCCAGCAGCCGCGGTTTTAATCATGAAAGTGCCATGAAATGTGCGGTGTCACCAAAAGTCTAAAGAAACCGTGACGTTTTCTTGTTTTCTTCTTCTTCTTTTTTGTTTTGTTTTAAATGCAATTTCCAAGTCTTTCCTCCTCCCTGGAGGGGAGGGGAAAAACGCATTCACAACTGTCTATTTCCAGATGTGCTGTTAAGAACGCAAGCAGGAAATCTCCTTGGCTGAAAAGGTGTGGTGTATATATATATATATATATATATATATATACATACACACACACACACACACACACACACGGTGGTACCTTGGTTCTCAAACTCAATCCATTCCGGAAGTCCGTTCCAAAACCAAAGCGTTCCAATACTAAGGCGCGCTTTCCCATAGAAAGGAATGCAAAACAGATTACCGTATTTTTCTGTGTATAAGACTGTTTTTTTCCCTTTAAAATAATGTCCAAATTTTGGGGGTGTCATACACTGATAGATCTCCCCCCCTTTCTTAAATTGGAGTCCCCCAAAATAGGTGGCATCTTATACATGGAGGTGTCTTATAGACGGAAAAATACGGTAATCGGTTCCAGACTTTTAAAAACAACCCCTAAAACAGCAATTTACCATGAATTTTACTATCTAACGAGACCCTTGATCTATAAAATGAAAGCAATAATCAATGTACTGTACTTCTTTGGCGATCCCTTGTAGCCGAGTAAGACTGACTTCCATAAACACGGTTTTAACAATGAATCCGTAAGTGACTGTGGAGGCCAATTCTGGATCCACACGTCCTTCCATAGTGGGGACATTGGTTTCTGGGCGGGGGTTGATCACAGTGTGGATTTGCCAAGCCTGCCTTCCTCTTAGCACGTTTCTCCCTTGCGTCCTGAGCTCGAATGTTTTCAAAGCCCACGACACCTTTGGTAAAGGCTGTTCTCCAACTGGAGCGCTCGCAGGCCAGTGTTTCCCAGTTGCCGGTGTTTAAACTACATTTTTAAAGATTTGCCTTGAGAGAGTCTTTAAACCTCTTTTGTTGACCGCTGGCATTATGCTTTCCATTCTTAAGTTCGGAATAGAGGAGTTGCTTTGGAAGACGATCATCAGGCATCCGCACAACATGCCCAGTGCAACAAAGTTGATGTTGAAGAATCATCTCTTTGACACTGGTGTCTTTGCTTCTTCCAGTACACTGGCTTTAATTCACCTGTCTTCCCAAGTGATGTGCAAAAATTTTCGGCGACGCCGCTGATGGAATCTTTCGAGGAGTTGGAGATGGCATTTACAAGCGGTCCATGTTTCACAAGCATACTGAGTCAGACCCCTATTCCATCTAACTGAGTGTTGTCTACAGTGGCTGGCAGCAAATCTCAGGCTGGAATCTTCCCCCAGCCTACCAGGATATGGTTCTGAATATGACAGATCTAGAGAGAAACGCAGGAGGCTGTGCTTGTACCACTGGATCCATCTAGCTCAGCAGTTTCCAAACCGACTGAGCTAGGTGGATTTCAGATGGGCGCATTTCCCTACGTTACATGCACAGCTCGGTTGGTTGGAGCGTGATGAAGATAACGCCAAGGTTGCAGGTTCGATCCCCAGCTGCCTATTCTTGCATTGCAGGGGGTTGGGCTAGATGACCCCCCGGGGTCCCGTCCAACTGTTGTTGTTTAGTCGTTTAGTCGTGTCCGCCTCTTCGTGACCCCCTGGACCAGAGCACACCAGGCACTCCTGTCTTCCACTGCCTCCCACAGTTTGGTCAGACTCATGCTGGTAGCTTCGAGAACACTGTCCCACCATCTCATCCTCTGTCGTCCCCTTCTCCTTGCACCCTCCATCTTTCCCAGCATCAGGGTCTTTTCCAGGGAGTCTTCTCTTCTCATGAGGTGGCCAAAGTCTTGGAGCCTCAGCTTCAGGATCTGTCCTTCCAGTGAGCACTCAGGGCTGATTTCCTTCAGAATGGAGAGGTTTGATCTTCTTGCAGTCCATGGGACTCTCAAGAGTCTCCTCCAGCACCAGAATTCAAAAGCATCCATTCTTCGGCGATCAGCCTTCTTGATGGTCCAGCTCTCACTTCCATATATCACTACTGGGAAAAGCATAGCTTTAACTATACAGACCTTTGTTGGCAAGGTCCAACTCTACAATTCTATTATTTTACATGGAGAGGCTAGAGATTGAACCTGGGATCTAATGTATGCAAAGCAGGTGCTTTTCCCACGTAGTTACAATCCTTGTCCGTGTGGGTTTGTGAGTTGCTTTTTCGTATTTGGAGACCAGCTTGCCTCAAAGTTAAAATGCCATTCCCCCCTGCTCAACCTCCTTTATCTCTTTTTTTATTTTTAGATCAAACTCAAAGAGATCTTTGAGACTACCTCGCAGATCACCCTCATCCTGGAGCTGGTGACAGGTGGCGAGCTGTTTGACAGGTAACCAGCAAGAAGCCCTCCGCCGAACTGGCAGGTTCTTAATAAAAGGTGACAAATTGCACCGAGGAAGGGGAAAGGGATGGTAATTTGTGTCAGAGCGACCTGCAGAGAAGCCGTGTGTGTTATTGTGTGTGTGTGTTGGGATAGAGAGAGGGGGGTGTTGAGGACTACAGTACCCATATTTTTCGCTCTATAAGATGCACCAGACCACGAGACGCACCTAGTTTTTGGAGGAGGAAAACAAGAAAAAATATATTCTGAATCTCAGAAGCCAGAACAGCAAGAGGGATCGCTGCGCAGCGAAAGCAGAGATCCCTCTTGCTGTTCTGGCTTCTGGGATAGCTGCGCAGCCTGCATTCGCTCCATAAGACGCACACACGTTTCCCCTTACTTTTTAGGAGGGAAAAAGTGAGTCTTATAGAGCAAAAAATATGGTACTTTATGATGGCCATTCTCGACCATCACTGTCAATTCCCGCTGCAGATTCTCTGCGATCTCTTTTCTCTCCCTCCATCACACTCACTAAAAAAAAGTTCCGCTCACTCCAGTGCCAGAAAGCTTGTCCTTTCAAAGGCCCAGTTATCTACATTTCATTGCTCCAAGTGTGCAAAGGGCTTCGTTTTTAAACATGCGCTTTGCACATGAGCAGAGACAATCTCGTCTCATATACAAAAACTGTATTTATTTTTTTAAATAAAATGTTGTTTGACAGTTAGCAAAACAAACTCTATGCAGAGGTACCGGGGCTGCGCTGGTTGAACTCTTTCAATATTACTGCTATTCCAACGAGAGCCATACTCAGAGGGGACCCATTTTACCACTCGAGCAGCGTATAAATTTTACGAAATAAACAAAATGAATAAAATAAGTTCAACGGGCCCCCAGAAATCAATGCATCGCCTTGAGGGTGATGATGAGGAATATGTCCCCAAATATTCAAATCTCCTTTTGCTCTTCCCACTGGTAAAGTAAAGGTAAAGGGACCCCTGACCATGAGGTCCAGTCGTGACCGACTCTGGGGTTGCGGCGCTCATCTCGCTTTATTGGCCGAGGGAGCCGGCGTACAGCTTCCGGGTCATGTGGCCAGCAGGACTAAGCCGCTTCTGGCAAACCAGAGCAGCGCACGGAAACGCCGTTTACCTTCCCACCTATTTATCTACTTGCACTTTGACGTGCTTTCGAACTGCTAGGTTGGCAGGAGCAGGGACCGAGCAACAGGAGCTCACCCCATCATTGCGGGGATTTGAACCACCAACCTTCTGATCGGCAAGTCCTAGGCTCTGTGGTTTAACCCACAGCGCCACCCGCGTCCCTCCTTCCCACCGGTACCAACCGTAAATTCAGACCAACTGCAACCTATAGTTAAGAAGATCAGGTTCTGAAGCCCTGGGTTCAAATTATCCCACTCAGCTATGAAGCTCACTGGGTGACCTGTCTCAACCTGATCAACGGGCTGCCGTGAGGATAAAATGGGGGGTGGGGAACCACATGCTTCGCCTTGAGCTCCTTGGGAAGAACGTTGGGTGATAAATGTCAATAAGGCTCAGAAAGGGAGAATCAAAACAGCCACTTCTGGCGAACCAGAGCAGCGCAAGGAAACGCCATTTACCTTCCCGCCGGAGCGGTAACTATTTAACTACTTGCACTCTGACGTTTTTCGAACTGCTAGGTTGGCAGGAGCAGGGACCGAGCAACGGGAGCTCACCCCGTCATTGCGGGGATTCGAACCGCCGACCTTCTGATCGGCAAGTCCTAGGCTCTGTGGTTTAACCCACAGTGCCACCCGGCAAAGTGAAAACATGGCAACTTTCGAACCCAACACCTTGTGCCAACCTCTGCCCTCTTTCAGGATCGTTGAACGGGGTTTCTACAGCGAGAAAGACGCAGCTCACGTGGTGAAGCAGATCCTGGAAGCTGTTTCCGTAAGTCATCCCTCTCTCCTGTTCGGGTTTTTTCTCTCTCCAGAAGACCCTCCGAGCTGGATATCAGTGTCCGGGCTGGACGATGGGCGTGGAGATGCTCCTTCAGGTATACTGGGCCGTTTAGGGCTTGAAAGGTCAGACCCAACACTTTGAATTGTGCTCACAAACGTTCTGGGAGCCAATGTAGGTCTTTCAGGACCAGTGTTATATGTACATAATACTCTGGCTCCAATACGCTTCCACCACTGACGTTGGAAGCTGAGTACACACAATGATGTTAGCAGTCTATACCCTGCAGATTCCTGAGAGATATTCCTGTTCAGTGTGTATTTTCCTGCAAACCAGTTTCCCTCCGAATGGGAAACGGAAACCATAGTCATGCTGAGGTGTGTCCCTTTCAGGCAGCCACTGAGCATGCTCAGATGAGAGCACACCCTCGGATGGCTGCTTCAGGGAACCGGAGTTTGGCGCAGGGAAACAAATCAGGGAATGGGCAACGGGTGAAAATTCAAAGACTATCTTCAGAAACACTGCAAAATTAAGGAATGTTAGAGTGATGTTGGACTGAAAATAAGTGGTTTCCAGCTGAAAAGGTTAAAGTTAAGGATAGATTAAGATTAAAGATTAAGATTAAAGAAGTTTAAAGAAATGGAAATTTGATTTTAAAAGGGAAAAACTTTAAAGCTATATGATATTAAGATCAAGGATTAGGTTTAAAAAAGTTGAAGTTATATATTTTAACATTTTACTAAATTAAAGATTGGGATTAAAAAAGTGGAAAAGAAACTGCTGGACAAATAATGTGGATTGGAATACAAAAGAGGGAGGTATGAGGAAGTCCAGAAAATAAGTAACTTAAAATTGGAAATGGAAAAGAGAGTTTGTTTTTAATTGTTTTGTGTTTATATTGTTAAGTTTTGTATTGTTTTTTGTGTGTGTTGTTTTTCTTTTTTTGTTGTTTAAAACTTTAATAAAAAAATTATTAAAAAAAAAAAACACAAATCAGGGAATGGGCAACGGGTGAAAACACCGATGCCCTTTTTCTGGTCTGTGCGGCAAATCACAGAGCGGAGGAACAACCTCACTGAATTTGAAGTCGCTCAAGTGCGCATACCCTGCATTTCAAGGCGGATTCCTCCCCCAAATCAGCTTTGCTCCAAACTGAGAAAAAGAACAAACTAGCAGATAATGTGTTCACAGCCTTAGTGAAATACGAGGCCCCCACGACACACAATCCCCGGGTGCGGGGCAGACCGAAATTCAGCAACTTCCTCAAAAGTTCCATTTATGCTAATCCTTGCAAAGCTGAGCTGTTGCTTTCTCATACCTTCCGACGTGAGTGAAATGGCCACCTCCTGCCTCGCTGGTGTGTGTGTGTGTTTTATTTCATTTTTATTAACTGTCACTATCTTTTAAAGCTCCCCGTCTTTCCAATCTCTTGCAATCGGCAACCTGTGAAATTAAGATTGGCACCAGCAGCTCCCTAGGCTGGTAACACAATTTGCACGGCATCTGTTGTTTGTTTGGGTGAGAGGAGCCAGAGAAAGCGGATGCCAAGGGACCACCAGGCGGAACAAAAGGGGGGAGAGGGGGGTTATTTGCTGTAGGGCAGGACAAGTTAGTCCTGTGAGGGTTAATAGCTGGCGCACAAAAGGTAAAAGGTAAAGGTCCCCTGGACGGTTAAGTCCAGTCAAAGGTGACTATGGGGTTGTGGTGCTTATCTTGCTTTCAGGCCAAGGGAGCCACGTTTGTCCGCAGACAGCTTTCCGGGTCATGTGGCCAGCGGGACTAAACTGCTTCAGGCGCATGATGGAAACCAGAGCACACGAAACGCCATCTACCTTCCTGCCACAGCCGTACCTATTTATTTACTTGCACTTTTGGGCGTGCTTTCGAACTGCTAGGTTGGCAGGAGCAGGGACCGAGCAACAGGAGCTCACCCGTCACTGCGGGGATTTGAACTGCCAACCTTCTGATCAGCAAGTCCTAGGCTCTGTGGTTTAACCCACAGCGCCACCCACGTCCCATTTAGGAAAAGTTAAAAGGTAAAGGAACCCCTGATCATTAGGTCCAGTCGCGGACGACTCTGGGGTTGCGGCGCTCATCTTGCTTTATTGGTTGAGGGAGCCGGCGTACAGCTTCCGGGTCATGTGGCCAGCAGGACTAAGCCGCTTCTGGCGAACCAGAGCAGCGCACGGAAACGCCGTTTACCTTCCCGCCGGAGCAGTACCTATTTATCTACTTGCACTCTGACGTGCTTTTGAACTGCTAGGTTGGCAGGAGCTGGGACAGAGCAATGGGAGCTCACCCCGTCATTGCGGGGATTCGAACCGCCGACCTTCCGATCGGCAAGCCCAAGAGGCTCAGTGGTTTAGACCACAGCGCCACCCGCATCCCTCCTGGAACACAAATGCACACCTGGTAAGGACCCATCTCACCTGGGCAATCAGCACTAAGCTACCTTCAGCACCAGAGATCAGCTGACCTTTAGGAGAGGTCAGCTGATGCCATAGGCTCTTTAAAACATGAGCCCAGAAGTTCAAGAGGAGTCGGTGTGCATGTCTCTGTAAAGATACATATGTCTGTTTGTCTATCTTCTGGGTTGTATGTGGCTAAGTTCTACTCCAAGAAGACACCTAAGGTAGAGGCTTCCTCAAACTCGAGACTACAATTTCCATCATCCCTGACCACTGGTCCTGCTAGCTAGGGATCACAGGAGTTGTAGGCCAAAAATATCTGGAGGGCCGAGTTTGAGGAAGCCTGCCTTACGCGGTATCTAAGAGCCCGTATAGAATCCTTATGTAGGTTCTCTATCGGTAGGAGAAAATAACAGAGTCCAACCAGAGAATATTGAGAAGCAAAGCAGCTAGTAAGCCTGATCTTTATTAAACTGTTGGAAAAGGGTCCCCCACTCCCCCACACAGGGAAGGAGGAGGAACCCAGAAGGATGTTGTGTAAGCCCTTATATAGACTTTTGAAATTGCCTCCCCTGTAGCTCAAGTCCACCTCCCAAAACATCATACATACATCACAGAAGGGGAGGTCTACAGCAGAATCCTGTCTGGCAGGAAACCTGTTAACCTGGATTTACCTGGCCAGCCTGGCCATTCTTTTGTGATGATAAATACTTAATTCCTGAGTGCAGGTCACAGGCTCACCCTATTCATATACAAATGTGCCCTTAAGGCAGGATTTGTGAGCCGAGAGACAAGGCTTTTCCCATTTCCATCCAAACTGCAGAAGAATATTTGAGGTCACTGAAAGAGTCAAAATGGCTTTAGGACTGTTTTCCTGCACTGTTTCAGACATGTGGTTTCTATATTTATGTATGTGTTTGCCTGGTACATTTATGAACATTTATTTTATATCTTAGTCCTTGTAATTCTCATAACAGTAAGGTAAAGGTAAAGGGACCCCTGACCATTAGGTCCAGTCGTGACCGACTCTGGGGTTGCGGCGCTCATATCACTTTATTGGCCAAGGGAGCCGGCGTACAGCTTCCGGGTCATGTGGCCAGCATGACTAAGCCGCTTCTGGCGAACCAGAGCAGCGCACGGAAACGCCGTCTACCTTCCCGCCGGAGCGGTACCTATTTATCTACTTGCACTTGGACGTGCTTTTGAACTACTAGGTTGGCAGGAGCAGGGACAGAGCAACGGGAGCTCACCCCGTCATTGCGGGGATTCGAACCGCCGACCTTCTGATCAGCAAGTCCTAGGCTCTGTAGTTTAACCCACAGCGCCACCGTGTCTGCTCCGAGTTGGACTAACATTGGCCACATGTATACGTATATTACATGTGGTGCTTTTTTCTTTAAAAAAATGTTTAGGTAAAGGTACCCCTGCCCGTACGGGCCAGTCGTGTCCGACTCTAGGGTTGTGCGCTCATCTCACTCTATAGGCCGGGAGCCAGCGCTGTCCGCAGACACTTCCAGGTCACGTGGCCAGTGTGACAAGCTGCATCTGGTGAGCCAGCGCAGCACACAGAACGCCGTTTACCTTCCCGCTGGTAAGCGGTCCCTATTTATCTACTTGCACCCGGAGGTGCTTTCGAACTGCTAGGTTGGCAGGAGCTGGGACCGAACGACGGGAGCGCACCCCGCCATGGGGATTCGAACCGCCGACCATGCGATCGGCAAGTCCTAGGCGCTGAGGTTTTACCCACAGCGCCACCCGCGTCCCACCCATTTTGACGCGAGAAAATCACCATTTTATCAGGAAAAATAAATACAGTAAATGGACAAAAGTACGAAGATTCACAAAATGCTTGAGGTGTCCGTACCCCCCAGGAAAAAAAGCACTGATTACACGTGTGTGAGAGAATCTTATATATATATTTGGCACATGCAGATATATCTACGTACAGAGAATATTAGCTAGGTCACCCTTTCTCTTTATTAAAGGTCAGTGTGAGACTGTTTCCATGGAAACCAAGGGTATTTTTTTTTTCCTTCTTCCTTTCTTTTTGGTTTTTAATGAGGTGAGGAAAATCCTAAAGGACAGTATCCCACGTAAATGCTCTGCGGAGATTTCGACTGCACCATTCTGCACAGGCAGAATAATAGCGCCCTAGCAGCAAAAGATTAAAGCAGCCTGCAAGTTGAGTGAATCGTACAAATGGCTTGCAGACTCTAGGGGGCAAAAATAAAAGCAAAGTTCGGCTTGTAACAGTTTGGGTGGATTTTGACAACTGTCACGGATCGTCTCCCGTGTTGAAACCGGTTGCCCTGAAATTTCTGTGTTCTCCCTACGCTGTCGGGGGCAGCGAGGCCTCTGAACACCAGTTTCTGGGAACCTCAAATGTGTAGAAAGTGTTAGGTTGTGGGTGAACATATCAGACGACACAGCGATTCTTCCAAAGCAGCTCTTTATTTGTAAGCTGGAACAGAACTGAGCTGAGGAGCTCAGTGAGCCTGCTTATATAGAGCTCCCCTAGAATGCAACAGTAACCATTTTCTGTAACTAGCCAATCACTGAACGTCACTTTCGATCCTTCATTTGCATACAAACTATCCAATCACTGAACGTCACTTTCGATCCTTCATTTGCATAACTATCTACAGTATCCCCCTGCTGGCCCAGGGTGAGAACTTCAGTACATAACAGAAAGTACAGTGGTACCTTCGTTCTCAAACTTAATCCATTCCGGAAGTCCGTTCCGAAACCAAAGCGTTCCAAAACCAAGGCTCGCTTTCCCATGATGCATGTAACCCAAGGAAATGTTGAATAAAAGCAATTTAAATAACACCACCTGGAGGGTATTTTCACCTTTCCCCTCGTTGTCTTCCGCAGTATTTGCACGCAAATGGCGTGGTCCACCGTGACCTGAAACCGGAGAATCTCCTCTACGCAGATCTCTCTCCAGATGCTCCTCTCAAAATTGGTACGTTCCCCCACCACCACCTCCAAAATGATTTCCCAGGCAAATGTTCTGTTTTGTCTCATAATATTTCCTTCTGGCCCCATGCCAACTCTGGGCATCTAAGGGAACCAGAGGGGTCTGGATCAGTGTTTCCCAAACTTTTGGTCTCCGGCGGTTTTTGGACTACAATTCCCATCATTCCTGCTACCTAGGGATGATGGGAGTTGTAGTCCAAAAACAGCAGGAGACCCAAGTTTGGGAAAACACCGTTCTGGATCTTTTGAGAGGCTGCGCTTCCTTGGCCACGTCTCACCTGAGTGCAGCTATCCTAGTGGGAAAGATTGGGGGTGCGGAGAACAGAGCTCGTCCCATTTGTTTTAACGGGGTCGCCTTTGAAATATGTCAATATGGGTACAATATGGGTACTCATATATGTCAATATGAGTACAATATGGGCATGTCTTTAAGTTAACATCTTACATTAAAAACCTGACAGTACCAAACTATCGAAGGCTTTTCACCAAAGCCAGACTAAACGTCTTTCCTTATGCAGTGTTGGATGGCAGGTTGAAAGGAGTTCCCTACCAGGACAGACTTTGCTCGTGTGCCCAAGACATCGATTCCATAAAACATATTTTGTTGCACTGTGCAAAATATGAGCAAGCCAGGGCTGAACTGATACTACCCTTGCTGGTATCTTTCTTGGGAAAATCAGAGGCTCGCTATGTCAGGTTCCTATTGGAAGACTTGACAAACGCTAGATCATTAGCTGTGGCAAAGTTTTTATCGGTGGTTGCAAGAACCAATGATCCCTATATTCTGAACAAAATGCTTGTTTAACCTGGAGGTAGGCTGTCTGAATTGTGTATTGCTTTGTAACGATTTGTTGGGTCTCTGGACCGTAATAAAGATTGTTGTTGTTGATGTTGAAATATGTCCCTCCCTCTCCATTTTGCACCAGGTGATTTTGGACTGTCCAAGATTGTGGATGAGCAGGACACGATGAAGACAGTGTGTGGCACCCCCGGATACTGTGGTGAGTGGGTGAAAGCAGAGATAGACCCAGCTTGTTTAGGGGCTGTCGAAACTAGAACTCTGTGCCAAGAGAGAGGGCATAATATACAGTGGTACCTCGGATTACATACGCTTCAGGTTACAGATTCTGCTAACCCAGTTATAGTGCTTCAGGTTAAGAACAATGCCATTATTATTATTATTAAAGCAAAGACGAAGGACAGGATAGAAAATAATAATAATAATAATAATAATAATGGCATTGTTTTGCTGTTTTGTTTTAATTATCTCCTTGTTTTTATCCTGCATTTTATTCCGTGAACCACACTGAGATCGTATGATGAAGGGCAGTATATAAATTTAGTAAATAAATATTAAATTTGTCAGGAACCCCCCCCCAACCTGGAGTCCTGTGTCCAGTTCTGGGCACCACAGTTTTAGAAGGACATTCCCTCACAGGGAACCAGGCAGAGGGCCTTCTCGGTAGTGGCACCCGCCCTGTGGAACACCCTCCCAGCAGATGTCAAGGAAATAAACAACTATCTGACATTTAGAAGACATCTGAAGGCAACCCTGTTTAGGGAAGTTTTGAATGACCGACGTTTTAATGTATTTTTAATCTTTTGTTGGAAGCCGCCCAGAGTGGCTGGGGAAACCCAGCCAGATGAGCAGGGTATAAATAAAAATTATTATTATTATTATTATTATTATTATTATTATTGGCAAGCTAGAACGTTCACAGAGGAGGGCGACCGAGATGATAAATGGTCTGGGAACCATTGAGTTGAGGGGGTTGGGGGTGTTTTTCTCCTGGAGAAGACTTGGGAGGGGACACGGCACGAATTCGCAGATCACTGCAAGGATTGAATTTAAGACGGGGAAACTGAATTGGACGGATCCTTCCAGCCCTGCAAAAATCTGTGCCTGACCTTGTGAGCTTTTCCCTTCCTCCTCCTCCACCAGGAGCTAAGTTTTTCTCACCCTTTCGAAATCTCATGCACACATGCAACTCACTGGGGAATAAGTGGTAAATTAAGAATATGCCCCGCTGCTGCTGCTGCTGCTGCTGCCTCCTCCTCCGCCTTGGCAGCTTCCAAAGGATGCAAGCCTGTCAACGCCTCCCACAAACTAACTGCGGCAGGTGTGAAAGGATGGCTGAGCGCGAAAGGAGCAGAGGGGGGGGGAGAGAGAGAGAGGAACGGGTGGGCGAAGGATGATGCATATGCTAGCTGCCTGTGCTCCTATCTTTTTTCCAATTTTATTTCACTCTTCCAACGCCTCCAGCACCCGAGATTCTCCACGGTTCTCCCTACGGCCCAGAAGTGGATATGTGGTCTGTCGGTGTCATCACATATATCTTGTGAGTAACGTTAAAATGCTTTGACACATCGCGATTCCTCCTTCCTCTCCCCTCCTTCCAGCTTCATCCGTGCGCAGGCCCAATGGGCGAAACGCCTTTGCCTCTACAGTGGTACCTTGGTACTCAAATGGTTTAAAGGTAAAGGTAAAGGGACCCCTGACCATTAGGTCCAGTCGTGGCCGACTCTGGGGTTGCGGCGCTCATCTCGCTTTATTGGCCGAGGGAGCCGGCGTACAGCTTCTGGGTCATGTGGCCAGCAGGACTAAGCCGCTTCTGGCGAACCAGAGCAGCGCATGGAAACGCCGTTTACCTTCCTGCCAGAGCGGTACCTATTTATCTACTTGCACTTTGACGTGCTTTCAGACTGCTAGGTTGGCAGGAGCAGGGACCGAACAACGAGAGCTCACCTCGTCATTGCAGGGATTCGAACCGCCGACCATCTGATCGACAAGTCCTAGGCTCTGTGGTTTAACCCACAGCGCCACCCGTGTCCCTGGTTTAGCTGCTGAACAAATCAGCTCCCAAACGCCGCAAACCCGGAAGCGGGTGTTCCGGTTTGCAAACGTTTTTCAAAGCCAAACATCCATCGCGGCTTCCGATTGAGTGCAGGAAGCTCCCGCAGCCAATCGGAAGCTGCGCCTTGGTTTTCAAACAGTTCCGGGAGTATGGGACAGCTGCATATTCCTGCACTGGACTAGATGATCCTCAAGGTCCCTTCCAACTCTACTGTTCTACGATTCCTTGATTCTCAAGGCAGCTCCCCACGGACTGGAGCCCTAAGCCATTTCTAAGTCACCTCTAGCTAAGGTATGAGAACGTTTGCATAGGGATAAAGACATCCCACTGATGTGTGGGAATGTTCAGGATGGCAGGAGAGGATATATTGTTTATTAATATCCTTCCTAACTTGCACTAGCAAGTTCCTTTACTTAGCAGAGTTACATTCCCCTTTTTACATGCCCAGCAGATAGCTGGTTGCAGGCTCGTGTGAGCCTCTCACTATTATACAACTCAGTCTGCCTTCAGATTGAATTGTACATTCCTTGTAAGTTTCCTTGAATCCCTCTTATAAGAATAAAGAAGCCACAATCTTATTCAAAGTCAATAAAAGAAGTTGACTCACATCATTTCACAGTTGGATTCCTAAAGGCAGACTTGGTTACAAATATGTACATGTGGATCTACCCCATAAGGGGGAATAATCCCAGTGCTTCTGCTAGCAGAGTAAAAAGGTAAAGGGACCCCTGACCATTAGGTCCAGTCGTGACCGACTCTGGGGTTGCGGCGCTCATCTCGCTTTACTGGCTGAGGGAGCCGGCGTACAGCTTCCGGGTCATGTGGCCAGCAGGACTAAGCAGCTTCTGGCGAACCAGAGCAGCGCACGGAAACGCCGTTTACCTTCCCGCAGGAGTGGTACCTATTTATCTACTTGCACTTTGACGTGCTTTCGAACTGCTAGGTTGGCAGGAGCAGGGACCGAACAACAGGAGCTCACCCCGTCGCGGGGATTCGAACTGCCGACCTTCTGATCGGCAAGTCCTAGGCTCTGTGGTTTCCTAGCTAAAAGCTAGTCAAAAAAAGAAGGAAGTAAAAAAGAGAGAGAGAGAGATTGCTGCGTGACTCGTCCTTTTGTTACCTGGACAGTTTAGGTCACGGCCACCTTCTATCACATGCAAAAGGAAGGATGCTCCAGCCAGGAGGAACAGGAAGCTTCTCCTGGCTGGTCCAAACACTCCCTCGCATGTTTTCTCTAGCGTTACCAGGAATGTTGTACTTGACCGCCTCTCATGGATCACATCCCACACGATGCCCCTCTGGCATGTACACAAACAGAAAGCGAACCTGACACGAATGAAGCTGTGCTGATGTGAACAGCTGGCGGGAGGGAGCTTGCAGGACACGCTGTTGTTTTGTGGGGGGGGAGAGTACTTCACTAAGGCGGTACTGTGACATGAATCCCCCTCCCCCCCGAGAACTGCATGCATCGAAACCCAGAGGGATCAGGGTGACGGATGTAGCAAGAGTAAGGTTAGCCACTTTCTGCACCACCCCTCGCAGCGACACTGACAAAGGGAGGCTTGACCTCCTTTCTCTCTCCTGCCCGCTGCCGCTGTTTCCATTGACCTAAATGGAACAGATGGCGGTCACAGCCCGTCAAAATATGTTGGGTTTCCATTGGTTTGGCTTGTTAGGATTTACACACACACACACAATCTCTAGCCAAGTTGAAAGTAAACGCAGCCCTGAGGCTTTTTGCTTAAACATTTCAGCAGCAAGCAGATGATTATTTTTTCCCCAAAAACTCCCTCCCCCCCCGACTGAATAGACACTGATGCTGAGGAGAGCCAAGCAGCAGATGTGTGTGTGTGTTTTAAGAGACGCAGGTGGCACTGTGGTCTAAACCACTGAGCCTCTTGGGCTTGCTGATCGGAAGGTCGGTGGTTCGAATCCCCGCGAAGGGGTGAACTCCCGTTGCTCCTGCCAACCTAGCAGTTTGAAAGCATGCCAGTGCAAGTAGATAAATAGGTACAGCTGCGGCGGGAAGGTAAACGGCGTTTCTGCGCGCTCTGGTTTCTGTCACGGTGTCCTGTTGTGCCAGAAATGGTTTAGTCCTGCTGGCCACATGACCTTTAAAGCTGTCTGTGAACAAACGCCGGCTCCCTCGGCCTGAAAGCGAGATGAGCGCTGCAACTCCGTAGTCGCCTTTGACTGGGGTCCTTTACCATATTTTAAGCCTATGTTGCAGCAAAGGAAGCATGAACTTGAAAAACATGCTGCCCCCCTCGAACGTCAGATCCATTACTTCACCAGTGGAATCTTCAGAGGGTTAGGATTCTGCAAGGACTGGTGCCCAGTTATTGAAACCTGAGTCGATTAGTCATACGAGTTTTGCAAGTAGATTGATGGATCGTTCAGTTGCACTTCGGTATTTTGTGGGCTGGTGGGGGTGGCATAGTTCTGGAGCCCTAGTTATTCTTTGTATGTGTGCCTGCTGAAATCATGTGGTTTAGCAATTACCGTATTTTTTGCTCTATAAGACTCACTTTTCCCCTCCTAAAAAGTAAGGGGAAATGTGTGTGCGTCTTATGGAGCGAATGCAGGCTGCGCAGCTATCCCAGAAGCCAGAAGAGCAAGAGGGATTGCTGCTTGCACTGTGCAGCGATCCCTCTTGCTGTTGTGGCTTCTGAGATTCAGAATATTGTTTTTCTTGTTTTCCTCCTCCAAAAACTAGGTGCATCTTGTGGTCTGGTGCGTCTTATAGAGTGAAAAATACGGTAATTCCTCTTCCCAGATCAGTAACTCACAGAGAGAGGTAGCGGGCATAATCCTCAGGTATTTAGAGCTTTATTAATTTGAGGGTAACTACAACACACGTCGGCCTGTGTGTGTCCGTTTATCATCACCTTTCTCCTCAATATTTTATGTAAACCATTTACAGGTGTTTTATTATTATTATTCTGTTCTTTTAAAAAAAATTTCCCCAGGCTGTGCGGCTTCGAGCCTTTTTTTGACCCGAGAGGAGACCAATATATGTACAGCAGGATCCTAAACTGTGACTACGAGTTTGTCTCTCCCTGGTGGGATGAAGTGTCTCTCAACGCCAAGGATTTGGTGAGTTGCTTTGAGCCCTACCCAGACAAGGGAGCCAGCTTGTGGGAATGTTCAGGGTGGCAGGAGAGGATATTGTTGTTGTTGTTGTTTAGTCGTTTAGTTGTGTCCGACTCTTTGTGACCTCCTGGACCAGAGCACGCCAGGCACTTCTGTCTTCCACTGCCTCCCGCAGTTTGGTCAAACTCATGCTGGTAGCTTCGAGAACACTGTCCAGCCATCTCGTCCTCTGTCTTCCCCTTCTCCTTGTGCCCTCCATCTTTCCCAGCATCAGGGTCTTTTCCAGGGAGTCTTCTCTTCTCATGAGGTGGCCAAAGTCTTGGAGCCTCAGCTTCAGGATCTGTCCTTCCAGTGAGCACTCAGGGCTGATTTCCTTAAGAATGGATAGGTTTGATCTTCTCGCAGTCCATGGGACTCTCAAGAGTCTCCTCCAGCACCAGAATTCAAAAGCATCCATTCTTCGGTGATCAGCCTTCTTTATGGTCCAGCTCTCACTTCCATACATCACTACTGGGAAAACCAGAGCTTTAACTATATTGTTTATTAATATCCTTCCTAACTTGCATTAGCAAGTTACTTTACTTAGCAGAGTGCATTCCCCTTTACACAGCAGAAAACTGGTTGCAAACTCGTGTGAGTTTCTTAAGACAATACGCAATTCAAGCTGGCTTGTCCAGGTTGAAATGTGTTCTAATATTTTCCTGGTAAGACCCCTTTGTAGTGATCAGGTGGGATTGCTATGAGGAATTATAACAAATACAGAGAAAGCCATCTGTGTCAGCAATGAAAGCATTGCGTTGACTGGGTTTAAACTATTTTGATATGATTCTTGATCAGTCCACACCTCTGCATCCCTGTTCCATGGATCCCGCTGGCTGTTTTGGCTTCCTCTTTAGCCCTACGCAACCTCTCCCTCATGGGAGAAGCTGCGCGGGGCTAAAGAAGCCATAGCCCCGTGCAGCCTCTCCCTGCCGGAAGGGCTGCGCGCAGCTATCCCTGAAGCCTGGAGAGCGAGAGGGGTCGGTGCGCACCGATGCCTCTCGCTCTCCAGGCTTCAGCGAAAGCAACGCGAAGCCTTTGGAGCATGGAGGGAGTGCTCCCTCTGCGCTTCGGAGGCTTAGCGTTGCTATAGCTGAAGCCAAGGAGCCTGCATTCGCTCCATAGGACGCACACACATTTCCCCTCTATTTTTGGAGGGGGGAAGTGCATCCTATAGAGCGAAAAATACGGTAATAATGTCAAGCATCCAAGCCTCTGAGCAGAATCAAGGCATCCAGGCCTCATCACCCACCTTGTCATGGCTGGTCTTTTCCAGGTTCAGAAACTGATCGTTCTGGACCCCCAGAAGAGGCTCACAGTGCAACAGGCTCTGGAGCACCCCTGGGTGATGGGCAAAGCTGCCAAGTTCGCCCACATGGACAGCACACAGAAGAAGCTGCAGGAGTTCAACGCGAGGCGCAAGCTGAAGGTAATGGCACAAAGAGCTCCGGCGGGGCTGGCATAGTGATGGAGGCAATAAGCTGAAGCCGAGGAGCGCAATCTCTAAAACACAGCCACTATGTACACACATGCGCTGCAGTCTTACCAGTCTTACTCCTCTTCTTTCGTTTGTTGTTGTTGTTTAGTCATTTAGTTGTGTCCGACTCTTCGTGACCCCCTGGACCAGAGCACGCCAGGCACTCCTGTCTTCCACTGCCTCCCGCAGTTTGGTCAAACTCATATTGGTAGCTTCGAGAACACTGTCCCGCCATCTCGTCCTCCGTCGTCCCCTTCTCCTTGTGCCCTCCATCTTTCCCAGCATCAGGGTCTTTTCCAGGGAGTCTTCTCTTCTCATGAGGTGGCCAAAGTCTTGGAGCCTCAGCTTCAGGATCTGTCCTTCCAGTGAGCACTCAGGGCTGATTTCCTTCGGAATGGAGAGGTTTGATCTTCTTGCAGTCCATGGGACTCTCAAGAGTCTCCTCCAGCACCAGAATTCAAAAGCATCCATTCTTTGGCGATCAGCCTTTTTTATGGTCCAGCTCTCACTTCCATACATCACTACTGGCTTCTTTCATTACAAGCACATAAACAACAACAGAAACTTGCCACAGAATACGGTGGCTGGTAGCTTTCTTAACTTGGTAGGCGTTGCAGTTTTTAACCTCGCTGCTAACGTCCCTGTGGAGATGGCAGTCCCGAATTGGTGGCGCATGCCCTTCTGGCTTGCACTCCTTATAAAGACTTGAGGAATGATATTATCACCCCTCTTTTATTGTCCATTCTGGGTCGCCCAGCCACTGCCACAGTGTCCTTTCTCTTGGCAGATCAAGATGAACAGGTGACAGCAAAGGTGGCAAGGTTTTTAGCTGGGGCAATCAGAATAAGGTCCACTATTTGACTGCTGATTCAGGACCCTAAAATGTATTTTATACAATTGATTTTTTATTTCTATTCTTTGTATATCCTATTGTTGTTTTATTGATTGTTCTTAGGTAAATATACTAGCGTTGATACTACGTCAAATGCCTTGTGACTCCAACGTTTTGGCTCCCAAAGCCACAAACCCGGAAGTAAGTGTTCCGGTTTGCAAACTTTTTTTGGAAGCCAAACGTCCAACGCGGCTTCCGCTTGAGTGCAGGAAGCTCCCGCAGCCAATTGGAAGCAACGCCTTGGTTTTGGAACGTTTTCGGGAGTCAAACCAAAGTATGACTGTACTAATATTAAGTTATGGCAATAATTGGTGAGAATATTTTTTTAAAAAATTGATTCCCCTCTTCTCAACGTGTCTTACACAGGCTGCGATGAAAGCTGTGGTAGCATCTAGCCGGCTTGGCAATCACGGCCACCATGACAGCTCCAGGAACGGACGGCACCAAGACACCCCCAAGGAACCGGGACTGGTCGAAGGAGCAAGGGGCGCCCTCCTCCTCGAGGACAACGCTTACAAGAAGACGCCCTCCAGGACCGGCGGGGTGGCGGATCCTACTCCAGCTGCCTCAGAGAAGCTCGACGAGAGCCACGGTGCCACGGCCGCAGCACTCAACGGCTCCAGCGGCGAAAGTTAGCCCTGTGCAAGCCTGGTTGCTTTGCTCCTGACAGACGTCGAAAGGGAGGGGAGGGAAGTCTGTCCTCATCGCCGCAGCAGATAGACCAAAACAAGAAGACAAAAAAGATGAAGAAGAAAGGGTGGAAATAAACAAACAAAGCCACTTGGCGCGTTTTAAGACGGCGTTCTCGGACGACGAAGGAGCAACCGATCTTGAAAGCTAGCAGGTGTTAGGAGGCAGTGATGTTGTAGTGTGTAGCTTTGCATACAAAGGGTGCTGTGTTGAAGAGAAGTTGTCGTCTACGGCAGTTATTCCGCCCCACCCCACCCCACAATTTTCCGACAATGTCCTCTTTCCAGAACGTATTTTTAAAATCCCTCTCCCAACCAATGGCTCTTTAGAGGAAGAAGGCTATCAAAGGAAGAAAACCTGAGCTGGGCTTTTAAACTAAGACCGTCAGAAGAGCCTCGCAGCCGGATCAAGCCAGAGTGGGACATCTAATCCAGCGTCTTGTTTTCATGGTGATCCACATGCACCGATGGAAAGCCTGCAAACAAAGATTGCAGCAGCACACTTTGCCATTTGTAATTCCCAGCGACTCAGTCTTCAGAGGCACCTTTCCCCCAACAGGGCAGGTAGAACACAACCATCGTGGCTCATAGCCCCTAATACACCTATCTTCTGTGAATTGCTTAAAGGTAAAGGGGCAAAGGGACCCCTGACCATTAGGTCCAGTCGTGACCGACTCTGGGGTTGCGGCGCTCATCTCGCTTTATTGGCCGAGGGAGCCGGCGTACAGCTTCTGGGTCATGTGGCCAGCAGGACTAAGCCGCTTCTGGTGAACCAGAGCAGCGCACGGAAACGCCATTTACCTTCCCGCCAGAGTGGTACCTATTTATCTACTTGCGCTTTGAGGTGCTTTCGAACTGCTAGGTTGGCAGGAGCAGGGACCGAGCAACGGGAGCTCACCCTGTTGCTGGGATTCGAACCGCCAACCTTCTGATCGGCAAGCCCTAGGCTCTGTGGTTTAACCCACAGCGCCACTCACGTCCCTTGCTTAAGGGGCATGAATTGCTTAACCCCCTTTTAAAGTTGGTGGTCACCACTAGATCTGGTGGGAGCAAATTCCATAGTTTCATGGTCTGCAGTCTGAAGAGGTCCTGCCTTTTCTCTGCCCTTTCAACCTTCAGTGTCAGGATTTATGATGTCTCTCTCACACCGAGACGCATCAAGCTGGCAGGTTTGTTACCCTGAGGTTTATTTAGTATTTACACAGTAGTTTCAGTCCGAGCCCTCAAGGCTCAGTCTTCTCCAGATGAGACTTAGGGACAGCCTGCCCCTCCTCTTCCTCTTGAGCCGAATCTAACAACGGCAGTTCCTCTGGAGCAGGCTCTGTCTGCCTTCTACCGTTTGGGTAATTTATAGCCTGCATTCCAGGATACGAGAGGCTTCCATCACTCTCAGTGTGGGCAGGAATCAAGCCTCTACTCCCCTCAGCCTGTCCCCCTTCTTCCCCGGCGTCTTCGTTGTCGCTCTGGGAAGGGACGTCCCTGACATCGAGCTTCAATGGGTGACTGAAATTGGATTCTAGTATTATGAGAAGCAGATGATATCTTCCTGTCCACTTTCTTCATGCCGTTAAAGAAAACCAGTGACTGGTATTTGGAGACGTACTGTCTCCAACGGTGGACATAAGAATTCATGGCTCCCTACCCTCCGTGATGTATAAACTCCTTGCAATGCGTCCTCATCCCCCAGGAATATCTTAAACTGCCTTATCGCAGGTCACAAAACTTAGCCCATCGAGTCCCACAATGTCTCTGCAGGGGTCTCAGATGACCCTCTTATAAATGCTGGGGGTTGTTCCAGATACAAAGCTGATGCTCTCTTAACACTTGAGGTTACGGGCTTTCCCCAGAACTGTATCCTCAACTTTAGATTTCCACATATCCCAAGTTCAGTTCATTAAACAAATTCATAGTAAAGGTAAAGGGACCCCTGACCATTAGGTCCAGTCGTGACCGACTCTGGGGTTGCAGCGCTCATCTTGCTTTACTGGCCGAGGGAGCCGCTGTACAGCTTCCGGGTCATATGGCCAGCATGACTAAGCCGCTTCTGGCAAACCAGAGCAGCACACGGAAACGCCGTTTACCTTCCCATCAGAGTGGTCCCTTTTTATCTACTTGCACTTTGACGTGCTTTTGAACTGCTAGGTTGGCAGGAGCAGGGACCGAGCAACGGGAGCTCACCCCGTCACGGGGATTCGAACCGCCGACCTTCTGATCGGCAAGCCCTAGGCTCTGTGGTTTAACCCACAGCGCCACCTGCATTCCTTAAACAAATTCATACGTCTAATTAATTAAATAACACTCCAGGGAGCCTCAAAGATTCCCTGGTAAAACTCAGAGAGTGAGGGGGTAGGTTGCCTGTCTATCTTAGTGGTTCCCTGCTAGGGCCATGCCTTGTCTCCTTCCAAGGGCAGGTGAATCTGTTCTCTCTCCTTCTTGTTGCATTGGCATGTGACCACAATATTCAGTCACTCCTACCGCAGAGACACAGCAGAATTATCTGCTTTCAGAAGAGGCTTCCAACTCTAGAATTCTACAACTCTACGCTAAACATAACTAGTCCTCTTAATCTATCGCCGCAGGGCTTTTTCACAACCTCTGATCTCCCCTCTCCTGAAAGTGCAGCCCTCTGAAGCTTTGAAACAGCCTTTTTAAAATTAAATAGTCGAGATGAAGTCTGCAGCGCCATCAGAATGCGTGTTTGGCGGAGTATCGCAAGGAGGCAGGAGCTTCAAGAAGCTTCTGATTTTAATGTTGGAGGCAGAAGTAAATGGAGATCACTATGATTTGTCAATCTGGCTTGGGGTAACAGCAAAATGAATCTCCCTGTTTAAAAAAACAAACACCTTTACAGAAGACGTTTCATTGGACGGCAGTTCAACACACGGAAACATTGGTTCCTAGCTTCTTCACAGGAGGAATTTCCTCCTTCTGTTTGTCGGGATTCTACAGTTTTGTATAAACGGAACCACAAACAGCCTGGCTGCTGGATCTAGGCCAAAGTCCTGCAAAGCAAGCCCATGAGCAAGGACCACAGCGCAAAAGCAACTCTTCCCCACTTGTTCAGAGTCGTACTGCCTCCAACATAGCAATTCTAGCTAGCAGCCAGTCATTTGACATGGGAAAAAGAACGCCACCATTCCTCTCAACACCCTCCACAATTGCCGGGCTCGGTTCTGTGCGATAATTTCCATACCTCGAGGCATTCGTGAGAAACAGAAGAAGAGTTTGGATTTGATATCCTGCTTTATCACTACCCTAAGGAGTCTCAAAGCGGCTAACAATCTCCTTTCCCTTCCTTCCCCACAACAAACACCCTGTGAGGTGAGTGGGGCTGAGAGACTTCAGAGAAGTGTGACTGGCCCAAGGTCACGCAGCAGCTGCATGTGGAGGAGCGGGGAAGCGAACCCGGTTCACCAGATTACGAGTCTACCGCTCTTAACCACTACACCACACTGGCTCTCAATAGCAGTTTGGCTGCCTCATAAAAAAATTCACAACCGTAAAAGCATGAGAAGAGCATGTCGGATCAGGCTGAAGCATGAGACCCATCTGGTCCTACATTCTGTCTTCACGACGGCCAACCTGATGACACCCCCCCCCCCCCGGTAAAGCAGGACCTGAATGCATCAGCAGCACCAACAGCAAATCTCCAAACTTCTGACTTCCAGCAGCTGCTTTTCAGAGACATACTGCCTCCAACAGTGGAAAAGGAACAAAAGCCATTGTGGCTGGAAGCCATCAGAAAGCATGTACAAGTCCATGTGTGTGTTTGTGTGTGACAAGGCCACTGGGTCATTACCACCTCATCAAAATCTGCGCCTGAACAGTTGGCCTTGCCGAGAGGATGATCTTGTGGCTGGTTTCACTGCTAGAGTGAACATGATTACAGTGGTACCTTGGTTCTCAAATGTAATCCGTTCCGGAAGTCCGTTCCAAAACCAAGGCGCGTTTTCCCATAGAAAGCCATGCAAAATGGATTAATCCGTTCCAGACTTTTAAAAACAACCCCTAGGACAGCAATTTGACATGAATTTTATTATCTAACGAGACCATCGACCCATAAAATGAAAGCAATAAACAATGTGGTGCAGTCACACAATCAATCCATCAGTAGCTGAACTGGGTTCCACACAGTCACAAAAACCACAAAAACAAAACAAAAAAGAGCCGCAAAAACAAAAACTCAAAATAAATAGCAAAAACAGACAGACCTCAGCGTAACACTCAAAACGGAGCACGTTCGACTTCTGAAAAAAGTTCACAAACCAGAACACTTACTTCTGGGTTTGCCTTGTTTGGGTTCCAAGTTGTTTGAGTACCAAGGCGTTTGAGACCCAAGGTACCACTGTATTTGAAAATGCCCTCCGCCTTCTTCAAAAAGCGACTAAAACACCCTTTAACTGCCACTTAACCTTCCCAGAAGCGTTTGCAAATACATGGCAATATTCTTCCGCAAGTGTCTGAATGAAAGAACGCACATATTAAAGACTTCTGAGCGGAACAGACTACCGACACAGTATTTTGGTTGAAACCCAAAACTTAGGTCTATCGATGCAACCTTTTGCTATGAAACATCGCCTGGAATCCAAGGGCTAACGCTCATGTCCATTGCTTATAATGACCTTGGTTTAACGTGGAGAACAGCCATCCCTAACCTGTACAAAAATATTGGTAAAAGTGGCTGCTGTGTTGGGTGAGATTGATGTTTTCCCTACATTTGTCTTTTAGGTGCTCTGGGACACTGAAAAAAAGCCATTTAAATTCAAGGGGGCGGGGGCGGTGAGCGTGTTTGCTTACACTGTTAAGGCAATTTGTATTTCTGGCAGCTTTTACAGTACTTAGATTGTTAACAAGTTTGTGAATAAGAAATGGGCAAGGAGCTAGCAGTGGAGGGAAGGAAACCGACAAGGGTGTTGAATGCAAATGAACTGGAGGGACCTATGGGAGGTAACACTACAACTAAACTACCCCACAAGGGTACTGTGAAGATAAAATCGAGAGGACAGAACCATGCATGTCGACTTGAGCTCGTTGAGAGAAAGGTGGTGGTGGGGAATACAAGAAAATGTTTAAACCTGCAAAAAACAAACAAACACCACCCCATTGTCTTTAGCTACATGTACAAAAAGATGTAAGGAAGAGCCTTCTTCTGGTTAATATATGCACCCCATCAGGACATACTTATCAAAGGGCTTTTGAAGACAAACGATGTTTTCCACTTTAACCGTGTGCATTTGGAGGCGCAGATTTTACGAAAACTAATTGCGCACAAAGTTTTAAAAAGTTGCGCAACTGATGTAAGGGAAGCGAGGGTTGGAAATTGCTGCATGTGTGTGTGACAGAGGCAAGTCCGCTGATGCCCTCCAGATGTTGTCAGACTACAGCTCCCAACTTACCTGACCATTGACCATGCTGGCTGCCCAACATCTGGCTGCTCCTGGCGCAGGCTTACCTTTACCTCTTGTTTTCCTGGTTTTTTAGAAACAGGCACCTTAAAGGCTGTGATTCTATGCATAGTTACTCAGTTGTCAAGCCCCACTGTGATCGGAGGTGCTTTCTCCTGGGAAAGTATGTATCTGATCGCAAGCTATACATTGCTCAGAAGCAAGTTCCATTTAATTCAATGGGGCTTGTTCAGCCCATGGTAAGTTTCTAAAGCCTGGGAACTGCAATTCATAGCTGTCAACTTACAGATTTGAAAATAAGGGACCAGCAGCCTCGAAAATAAGGGATCAGCAGCCAAAATAAGGGATTTTAGTCGGCCAGCAGCCAAACAAAGCCTCAAGCGGTGGTTTCCACAGTGCAGCAACCCGGCAAAGGGGATGCAGCAAGAAAAACCACCGTCACCTCTCCGCTGGGAAGCGCTGAGCAAAGGCGAGTCCCCAGGCAACACGGCCGATTTGATCGGCACAAGGCATGCAAGCTCCACCCCCCAGTCGTTCTTAGACTCCTTATTGAGTGAGCAACGCAGCCAAGCAACACAGTTGGAGCCTCCCTCCTCCCCGGCCGGCAGGGAGGGAGGGAGAGGAGCTGCTTCCTTTGAAACCCGGGAAATTTAAGGGACATCATCAATAAGGGACAGCAGCGGGACACGGCGCTGGGATAAGGGACTTTCCTGCCAAATAAGGGACGGTTGACAGCTATGCTGCAATTTCCCATTCAGGGAGCTACAGTTTTCAGCACTCTTAAACCATGATTCTGGGGTTCTTTGGGGGAAAGCTGTGTGCTTTAAATTTATGGCGTGGCTCTGCTGACAGGCTGCAGTCAGTGAGACTTGCTTCTGAGCAAACATACACAGGACTGCACTGTAAATATATTTCCCTAAGACCACTTGTTTGCTCTTTGATCCTCACATGGAGACATGTGGGGGGAATTTATTCCAGTTGGAAATTCAGGTGACTGTGTTCAAATACCACCACCGATGGGCATAGGGTTGTATCAAACATCAGTAATACTGAAGATATGAGTCATTGAAATTAACTTACATGACTCACAGAGGTCGGTCAGTTTGAATGGGTCTACTCAACCCAGAGACGTTAAGACCTCCCCCCAAAACAATACAAATGTGCATTCCCTCCCCCTTGCAAATTTTAGATATAAACCTTCCAAGAAAAGTTTTATTAATGCAAAAATGGGGGGGGGCAGAACTGACATTCTAGATCTTTGAGTTCAGTCTTTTCTTTTGGCTGAAATTTAGGATTCCAGAAGAAAAGGGCTAAAGGAAAATTTACAAAAACCGAAGAAGAAAAGACATTTACAAAGTCTTGGAGATCTTCATCTCTTGAAAGGGCTGACAGTGGAGCCATCTGTCACTAAAGACTTCATATGTTTTAAAATGTATAGAGGGAAAATAAGACTTTTTTTATTTGGAAGTCAGAGAGCAGCTGCTGTCATCGCGCTTGTGTTGTTCAACTCTCTGGTGGTTTGTTTCATTAGTGCGACACGGTTTACAATTTCGGAGCCTCCCAGACGGGTGTGCGTAATTTATTTATTGCAGGTGTACCTCTGTAACATGCAATTGACATAATGGCACACTATTAGTGCATTGATACCGGACCATCCACACATCATTCCACCGCTGTTCCGTGATGTTTCCCCAGTGTTGCTGAATCAATGCCATCCAGAGAGGCAGGTTTTGTGGTACAAAAAGTTACAGGGTTTCAGTCACGGGACATGCACCAATTGGAAATGAATCCATTCCGAAAACTTTTTGCGGTATTGGAAGCCGGATGGTGTAGAAACCGTCACGATACTATCACGAGCACAAATCGTCATGAATATAAAAAGGACGTCCAGTGGGGCCTCAAAAAAATCACAGGACCCCGTTTTTAATCTATCTGGCTGGGGTCAACCTGGCATGCAAATGCTATTCAGCATGCGCTAAACTAGAAGTGGAGAAAATGAACCCCATTTTCCCGGTTGACAAATTGTACATCCGTGTACAAGACTAGGAAAGGAAGATGTCAAGTTTGCTTGCAACTTGTCCCGGAAACCGCGGCACGAATGACAGCAAGCTGTTTCCTGAGAGCAAACCTGCAATCGAGTGTAGAATCCTCCTGCCAGCCATGACCTCCTTTTGGGAACTCCATTCCAATTCCTCTCCTACCTGATTTTATTTCTTTTTCTTTATCTCCTAGCAGTGAGCATTCTCTGGACACTGAGAATGTTCAGCGTTCACTCATCCTCATTAGAATGCTTTTGAGTTCTTCCCCACCCCAAGGTTTTCGGGGCTTTTTACCATATTTTTGTATTTCTGTAATGTAAACCCCTGGGGCTCAGTAAACCTGTCATTACCTCCCTCTTGCACACTGGCTGTGTCATTTTGGTTACATAAGCATCCGCAATGACACACCAGAGCATCAGAAATAGACGGAATGAGTGACTCTGTATTGATGGGGGCTGGGAATGATAATAATATGTACATAAATATATATAGAGTGTTGTAGATGTTCCTGATTTACCTTCAGAACTTCTTGACTCATGGAGACATGTAGTTCTGCATTATGCTGTTGAAATCACAGTGGTTCGGTGGGAGACAAAACAGCTCTGAAAAAAACAGTTGTGAGTTTTAGAAATGTGGGTGTTTCAGACTAGCCTCTTATAATAATAATTTAGCAATTCAACACATTTGTGACCCTTTTGGTGTTATAGGTACATACGGAAGCATACTACTGTCAATAAAATATATCTGTAATTCTTTGAGACTGGTTCTTTTTGAAAAGGCACCACGCTGCTGATATTCTTGCACATAAACATTGCATTAGAGCATTAAAAAACCGGTATATAGGTCAAGTTAGAACTTTAGGGCCTTTCAGGTCTTTTGGACAGCAGCTTGCATTAGCCCCAGCCAGCGTGACTATAAATCAGGCACTGAATCCAGCTCCAGTTTCAGAACTCATTCTATAACTGTCTCCAGTGAAACCAGGAGCCAAAGGTTTGAGGCACAGAGCAGAAATAATTCAGGAAAGGACAAAGGGAAACTCTCTCAGTCCCTACCTCGGATGCCCCCTCTTCCCAAGAGCTCAATAAATGGGAAAACCATATTGGGTTGACTTGAGGCCAGGCTCAAGCGCCAGACCTTCTGTCCTAAAACAAATAGCTGTAAGCCTGAACAGGCAGGATTTTTTTCTCCCTCCAAAGCTGCCTATCTGCTTTTGAATGTATTATGGAACACACACAACCCAATGCCTCCACATCCTATGTGTCGGTTTTGTGATTGTGTTGCTTGTTGTTTGAAAGTAGCAGGTTTCCAAATGATTGGCCACACTCAGGGTTATCTGGGATGGGAGTAGTGTGTACATATAATCGATATATGCCAACTTTCTCTAGACGTTGTGGACTGCAATTCCCGTCAGCCCCAGCTGGCATGTTAGGGATGTTAGAGAGAAATTCAGTTCAGTCCTCATTTAAAAGTGAACCTGTTGGTTCAAGGGAAAAGCAGGTATAGAAAGGAGAATTTCCGGGATGCCAAGATCCAAATTTGGGGTAAGTACTCTTTGGTGAAGGGTGGCGCTGTGGGTTAAACCACAGAGCCAAGGACTTGCCGATCAGAAGGTCGGCGGTTCAAATCCCCACAATGACAGGGTGAGCTCCCGTTGCTCGGTCCCTGCTCCTGCCAACCTAGCAGTTCGAAAGCATCTCAAAGTGCAAGTAGATCAATAGGTACCGCTCCGGCGGGAAGGGAACCAGCGTTTCCATGCGCTGCTCTGGTTCTCCAGAAGCGGCTTAGTCCTGCTGGCCACATGACTCAGAAGCTGTATGCCGGCTCCCTCGGCCAATAAAGCGAGATCAGCACCGCAACCCGAGTTGGCCACGACTGGACCTAATGGTCAGGGGTCCCTTACTCTTTGGTGACAGAACCCCAACAGAGATTTTAAATCACAAAATATGCAGCAAAGTAAAGCCTGGAAATATAGGCTGTTAAGACCGTTAAAGCATGTCCTTCTGAGTTCCAAAACTTCCCTCTTCTTCTTCCAGCATAGGAAAGGACCACACGTTTGGTTAAAACTTACAAACAGTTTATAAGAAGTAAATAAGGAAGCCGTGCACAGGATAAAGGAAGTCTTTTATTTCTCTTTATGTTTTTTCTTTGTTGTAAGTGTACTGTTGTTAAGTTTGTTTCGTTTTAAATGTTATGGCGGTGGATTTGTTTGTTTTAGTTGTTGTAGTAGATTTGTGTTGTAAGTAACTTCAATCAAAATTTAAAAAGCAAAACAAAAAAACTTACAAACCCTTCACAGATCAGGTTTGTGTGCTTTTCCATACATCAGTTAGAAAAGTTGCACTGGCAGGAAAAGAATGGCTGAGTTACAAAGTGGCAAAAGCTCCTCAATTACAGTGGTACCTCGGGTTAAGTACTTAATTCGTTCCGGAGGTCCGTTCTTAACCTGAAGCACCACTTTAGCTAATGGGGCCTCCCGCTGCCACCGTGCCGCTGGAGCATGATTTCTGTTCTTATCCTGAAGCAAAGTTCTTAACCTGAAGCAATATTTCTGGGTTAGCGGAGTCTGTAACCTGAAGCATATGTAACCTGAAGCGTATGTAACCCGAGGTACCACTGTATTGGTACAGTATAGGATCTCAAGCTGGCTCATGAAAGCTGTACAGCTCAAACCAGCTCAAACCTCTTCACATGGTGAGCTTCTCAGATAGACTGCGAGTAGGAACAAATGGGCTTGATTACTGATTTCCGAATTTTGCAGTGCGGTTCTCCAGCCAAGGAATGTGTACTAAAAAAATGCATGCCCTGGGAAAAAGTGTGGCTATAAATGCATATATCAATGGGAATGATGTGCAGAAAAACCCCCACATTCTATGAAAGCAAAATTGCTCTGCAAAAATGTGTACATTGGGCAACACATCATACAGAAGAATGTCTCTTAGGAGAAACCCGCACCAAAATGATGATTAATCTTCAAGAGGACTTTGTGTTTGGGGGGAGAACACAAACTGGTAGAACTGAACTTAAGATTGGAAAAAATAAGAAACTGAAGAAAAACTTAAAACTGACAGGTTTGCCCATCCTATGCTGGCACTGATGGGAATTGCAGTCAAAAACATCTGGAGGGCACTAGGTTGGCCCAGGCTGCTCTACATTGTTTTGGTACCTTCCCCCTTTTGTTTTATTTCATGTTTCCTACTGGATTGCTATTTTAACTTCATTAGGTAAGATGCAGGGGTCAGCAAACTTTTTCAGCAGGGGGCCGGTCCACTGTCCCTCAGACCTTGTGGGGGGCCGGACTATACTTTGCGGGGGGGGGGGGGAATGAACGAATTCCTATGCCCCACAAATAACCCAGAGATGCATTTTAAATAAAAGGACACATTCTACTCATGTAAAAACACACCAATTTCCAGACAATCTGCGGGCCAGATTTAGAAGGCGATTGGGCCGGATCCAGCCCCCGGGCCTTAGTTTGCCTACCCATGGGTAAGAGTCTTCATTTAAATTTTAAGAACCCTGCAGTGATGCACACGGATGCCCGTTTTTAAGGCTTGGTGGCGGCTCTCATTTAGGTAGGGTTTCGTTAGGAAAGTGATTCCTCCTGGTGTTCCTTCCTCGGGTTAATTCATAAGACATCACACAGAGGAGAATTCTGCCCCACTATTGCACACCTTGGTGTAGGGGTCAGATGGGATTACCATGAGGAATTATAAAATATACATCAAGCCATCGTGTCCACGATGAAAGCATTGTGTTGACTGGGTTTGATATATTGACGATAATTTCTGATTAAATCCCATAAGATTCTGCATTCATGTCCTTTCCATGCCCTTTTGCCTCTGCTGCCCATTTCTCCTTGCTCTTCACGAATCACGTACACACTTCGTCTTTGTAGTTTCTAATAGGTAATCTTAGGATGTTAATCTTAGGGTCAGGAAACAGATCTCACATGAAAGTGATAATGATCCGCTGTCCTCCTGGCCATCCTCCTTATCATGTGTATTGCTTGTTTATTACCTCCGGGGCTGCCAGATGCTCCCCTTTTTAGTTCTCAACTTATTTACCCCAGAAATATTTGTGCTTAATTAGTTTTAGTGGTTTAACTTTCTCCCCACGTGGGTTTGTGGAAATGCTCAGAATAAATCTGATTGGTTCTTACGAACACTCTGTAAAAAGCTCTTTTGTGAATAAAAACTACCTGGGCGGGGGGGCTCCAAACGGACAAGCACAGAGAGACACAATTATACGCACCCTTCCCAGAGTCTTGCTGGTTCAAGCCTCTGTGTGTATTCTTATTAATCAGAGTTCAATCCTTCCTTTACTTTGCAAACGCAACACTTGGAAAGCGTGCCTATTTTCTCCGGGGGAAACGCCAGAGAATTTCAGAAGCCTGGTTTTCTTTCTTTCTTTTTTTAACTTGCGAGGGTGCATGGCCAGAGGGGGGAATATTTCCAGCTGAGCCGGCCACTCATGCATGAGTTGCCTGCCTGCCTGCCTGCACACCAGAATGCCCACATTTAGGAGGTGGGGGCAGGTGCATTGGGAGCTCAACGCCTGTGGCCAAGCCCTCCGTAAGATCTGGACGAGATAAAATCTTTTCTGTTTCACAAGGGTATTCCGTGCGACTGCGTGCCCAGGATAGGGTGGCGAATATTGAACACACACACCCCATTCCAATCCTATATACCGTATTTTTCGCTCTATAAGACACACCAGACCATAAGATGCACCTAGTTTTTGGAGGAGGGAAACAAGAAAAAAAATATTCTGAATCTCAGAGCCAGAACAACAAGAGGGATCGCTGTGCAGCGAAAGCAGCGATCCCTCTTGCTGTTCTGGCTTCTGGGATAGCTGCGCAGCCTGCATTCGCTCCATAAGACGCACACACATTTCCCCTTACTTTTTAGGAGGGAAAAAGTGAGTCTTATAGAGCAAAAAATACGGTAATTCAAAGTTCTGGAAAGTCCTACACAGACTATATGAAAGGCTGCATCCCCTCGTACGAAGCTGCCCAGGCTCTGAGATCTTCAGGATAGGCCCTTTTCTCAGTCCCATCACCTTCACAATGTACGCTTGTTGGAGAAACTGGGGAGGGCCTTTTTGATGGTGACTGCTCCCGGGCAGCTTTGGAACTCCCTGCCTGGAGAAGCCAGACTACCTCCCTCCTTCTGCCGGAAGGTGAAGACCTTCTTTTTGCAACAGGCTTTGGGGACCTGAATGCTTTTACTGAAAGGGCTGATGCCACGCTGTTTTAAATTGTAATTCTTTGTGTATATGTGTGTGTGTGTGTGTGTGTATACACACACACACACACACACACACACACACACAGACATACACACACACAGTGAGTCTTTTAAAAGAGGCCCAGTGGAACATGTGTACTCTGTATCCACGGGGTCTCTTTTAAATGACACACCCTGTGTGTGTGTGTGTGTGTGTGTGTGTGTACATATATGTATACGTATATATATAATTTTTTATTCTATCAATGTTAGTTGTTTTTTAATGATTCCGTTTTCAACTGTTCTTATGTTTATCTGTAAGCCACCCTGAGTCCCTGTCAAGGAAAATGACAGGGTATACTAACTATTAATTATTAAAGAGTGTTAACTCCCATCACAGCCCCAATGGTCAGGGGATGATGTGGGGGCATTGCCAACAGCATATTGAAGCCAGAGGTCACCCCGATTTTTTACTTGGTCCTTGCAGCCCTCTCGACTACATAAGCTAGAACTTCTGTTATATTAGTTAATAGTGATAATATTTTTTTTTTTTTAATTTGAACTCCACCTACTGGTCTGACTGGGTTGCCCCAGCCACTCTGGGCGGTTTCTAACAAAATATAGACATCAACCACTGAAAACCTCCCACCTTCAGCTATCTGTGGAAGGTCAGATAATTGTTTATCTTCTTGACATCTGACGTGAGGGAGGGCGCCACCACCAAGAAGGCCCTCTGCCTGGTTCCCTGTAACCTCACTTCTCACAGGGAGGGAACCGCCAGAAGGCCCTTGGAGCTGGACCTCAGTGTCCGGGATGGACGATGGGGATGGAGACGCTCCTTCAAGGACACTGGGCCGTTGAGGGTTTTCAAGGTCAGCACCAACACTTTGAATTGTGCTTGGAAACGTCCTGGGAGCCAATGTAGGTCTTTCAAGACCGGTGTTATGTGGTCTCGGCGGCCGCTCCCAGTCACTAGTCTAGCTGCCACATTCTGAATTAGTTGTAGTTTCCGGGTCACCTTCCTTTTTTAAAAATATGCTTTTTATTAAGTTTTCATTTCAAATACACCAACACCGACAAACAAATATTTCAAGTCTTTTTACACCTGTCTTACTTTATGCTACGTAGAGCCATTGACTTCCCTCCTTCCCTTCCGCAGGTTTTCTTATTCCAATCCTTAATTCACAGTTCCTTAATAAAAAAACCATGACATAAGATTTATTTCAGTCCTGCTAACGTCTTCAAATTTCTACAGTCCTCACTTATATAGACCATAAATTGACTCCATTCTTTTTGGTACTTTGTTTCCTCCTGACTGCGAATCCTATGTGTCGGTTTTGCTAATTCTGCGTACTCGACCAACTTTGTCTGCCACTCCTTTACAGTTGGTTGTTGTTGTTTAATGGTTTAGTGGTGTCCGCCTCTTTGTGACCCCATGGACCAGAGCACGCCAGGCCCTCCTGTCTTCCACCACCTCCCACAGTTTGGTCAAACTCATGCTGGTAGCTTCGAGAACACTCTCCCACCATCTTGTCCTCCGTTGTCCCCTTCTCCTTGTGCCCTCCATCTTTCCCAACATCAGGGTCTTTTCCAGGGAGTCTTCTCTTCTCCTGAGGTGGCCCAAGTCTTGGAGCCTCAGCTTCAGGATCTGTCCTTCCAGTGAGCACTCAGGGCTGATTTCCTTCAGAATGGAGAGGTTGGATCTTCTTGCAGTCCATGGGACTCTCCAGAGTCTCCTCCAGCACCAGAATTCAAAAGCATCCATTCTTCGGCGATCAGCCTTCTTTATGGCCCAGCTCTCACTTCTGCAGGGCCTGTAAGACAGAGTTGTTCCGCCTGGCCTTTGGCTTGGAGCCAATTTGATTCCCTCCCCCTCTTTCATTTTTCTTTTTCCTTTCTCCTCCTGTGATGAGGCTGCATTTTAATATTTTAATGTTTCAATATTTTGTTGTATTTTAATCTTGTTTTTAAATTGTATTCATTCAACTTGTTTTTATTATTGCTTGTTAGCCGACCTGAGCCCAGCCTTGGCTGGGGAGGGCGGGGTATAAATAAAAATTATTATTATTATTATTATTACATCACTACTGGGAAAACCATAGCTTTAACTATACGGACCTTTGTTGGCAAGGGGATGTCTCTGCTTTTTAAGACGCTGTCTAGGTTTGTCATTGCTTTCTCCCAAGAAGCAGGCGTCTTTTACTGTGTTTTACTGGAAAGGGGTATATATGCTTGTGCACATGACTGTGAACTTCGTGCATGCTTTTTGTGACTTATCACACTTGCTCCTTCTACCAGTTCATGGATGGTAGAAATAAAAGCCTTTTCTCCGAAACTATTCCTTGAGTGTCTGTTGACTCCCACTTCCCTTTCCCAGGCGCAATATGTTTCCCACCCGAGGGCAAAGCCTCATAAGGCTACGTGGGGCTACCTTTGAAGGTGACTCAGAAACTACAACTAATCCAGAATGCGGCAGCCAGACTGGGGACTGGGAGCGGCCGCTGAGACCACATAACACCGGTCCTGAAAGACCTACATTGGCTCCCAGTACGTTTCCGAGCACAATTCAAAGTGTTGGTGCTGACCTTTAAAGCCCTAAACGGCCTTGGTCCAGTATCCCTGAAGGAGCGTCTCCACCCCCATCGTTCTGCCCGGACACCTGGGTCCATCTCCTGAGGACCTTCTGGCGGTTCCCTCCCTGTGAGAAGTGAGGTTGCAGAGAAGCAGGCAGAGGGCCTTCTCGGTGGTGGCGCCTGCCCTGTGGAACGCCCTCCCGTCAGATGTCAAAGCGATAAACAACTACCTGACATTTAGAAGACATCTGAAGGCAGCCCTGTTCAGGGAAGTTTTTAATCTGTGATATTTTACTGTATTTTTGGTTTTCTATGGAAGCAGACCAGAGTGGCTGGGGAAACCCAGCCAGATGGGCGGGGTACAAATAATAAATTATTATTATTATTATTATTATTATTACAGTACTGATAAAAGAATAACATTTTGCCTTGCAACAGCAGAGCAAATGAGCAGATGCATAGCTGCTGAGAAAATGATTTTGAAAAGCTTTGAGAAGCTTTGAGCCTGCTTTGGGGGGGGGGGACTTTGGGCCTAGGTGGGGGTCACCTGTCCTCACCTTCCTTCATTTTACTGTGTTTTCCACTTTGGAGCTATCAGTTTCCGGGTCACCTTCCAAGGCAGCCCCACAGAGAGCGCAAGGCAGTAGTCCAAGCAGGAGATAACTAGAGCATGTATGACTGGTGAGACAGTCTGTGGGCAGGGAGGGTCTCATCCTGCGTACCAGATGCAGCTGGGAGGCAGCTTCAAGCCACCATGACAGCGTTAAAAAAAGGTAAAAGCGTTTCCCTCAGAGGGCGAAAAAGGCGGGAAAGTATAATGATGGCGGAGCGGAGCAGCAGTGCCCAATCAGAAGCGGCGGCGCAGCCGAACGCCACTCCGATTGGCTGGCGTTTCTCCGCCCGCTTTCAAAGCGCGCGCGGACGACCGTTGGTCCAAAATAGCCTCCTCGCGCGAGGAGGGGGAAAGCGCAAGCGCAAAAGCCACAGACTTCGAGAAACGGGAAGGGCGCCGGCGAGTGACGTCACCTTCCCCATCCTGATTGATTGGCCAGAGGGCTAAAAGAAACCGTTCCGCATTTGCACGCGACTCTTCCGGAGGCGGGTACGCAAACAAGCCGCCGCCATGACGACCCCCTAAACTCCTCCCCCCCCGCCTACCGCGTTCTGATTGGTCGCTCGCGCCTCTCGCGGGAGTCGAGGCGGTTTGGTGAGGTAAGTTGGGAGTCCGTGGGAAGTGGGAGGGGGCGGGTGAATCCGATTGGCTGGGCGGAGAGAGGGGAGGCGGGGCGAGGCAAGGAAGTCTCCAATCAGCGGCGACGAACGGAGTAATTGGGAGGGGCGAGGGGCGTGGCCTCTCAACCTCGCGTCAACGACCAAAAGGGAAGAGGGAAGACGAAACCCCCTCAAAATCTAGACGGTCCCGAGGCGTGGCAGGTTCGAATCCCGCCTCCCCATTTCCCCCGCCTCGTTGTGAGGGGCCTGAGGTAAATTAATAACGATAGTTTAAAAGGAATTTGCCAGGAGGGAGCCGTTGGTGAGGAAAACCTATGACTGTATTATTATTATCATTCCAGGAAGTGAGAGTTCCCTATCCCATAATACGCCCCTCGACCCTCGCGCAGCCCGCCAATCTCCCCTATAATGGGATGGCTTAAGGTACCTGTGTCAAAAAAACGGGGTGGGGGGGCTCAAAGAAAATGGGGTGAGGGGAACTCAAATCCCCTCCCTAATAATAATAATAATAATAATAATAATAATGTCATACTATACCTCGGGGGGGAAATACCACGAGTATCCTAAACTTCCTCCAACATCCTGGTATGTCATAGTAATAGTAATAATAATAATAATAATAATAATGTATTATTTATACCCCACCCATCTGGCTGGGCTTCCCCAGCCACTCTGGGCGGCTTCCAAAAAAATATTAAAATACTGTAATACATCAAACATTAAACGCTTCCCTAAACAGGTCTGCCTTCAGGTGTCTTCTAAAAGTCTGGTAGTTGTTGTTCTCTTTGACATCTGGTGGGAGGGCGTTCCACAGGGCAGGCGCCACCACTGACAAAGCCCTCTGCCTGGTTCCCCGTGACTTGGCTTCTCGCAGGGAGGGAACCGCCAGAAGGCCCTCAGGAGATGGACCCAGGTGTCTGGGCTGAGTGATGGGGGTGGAGACGCTCCTTCAGGTCTACTGGACCGAGGCCGTTTATTATTATTATTATTATTATTATTATTAATTAGATTTAGTATTGTTGTTGTTGTTGTTTAGTGGTGTCCGCCTCTTTGTGACCCATGGACCAGAGCACGCCAGGCCCTCCTGTCTTCCACTGCCTCCCGCAGTTTGGTCAAACTCATGCTGGCAGCTTCGAGAACACTGTCCCACCATCTCGTCCTCTGTCTTCCCCTTCTCCTTGTGCCCTCCATCTTTCCCAACATCAGGGTCTTTTCCAGGGAGTCTTCTCTTCTCCTGAGGTGGCCAAAGTCTTGGAGCCTCAGCTTCAGGATCTGTCCTTCCAGTGAGCACTCAGGGCTGATTTCCTTCCGAATGGAGAGGTTTGATCTTCTTGCAGTCCATGGGACTCTCAAGAGTCTCCTCCAGCACCAGAATTCAAAAGCATCAATTTTTCGGTGATCAGCCTTCTTGATGGTCCAGCTCTCACCATACATCACTGCTGGAAAAACCATAGACTGAACTATACGGACCTTTGTCGGCAAGGATTGTCCTAATACATATACTTTTGTTGTTGTTTAGTCATTTAGTCGTTTCCGACTCTTCGCGACCCCCTGAACCAGAGCACGCCAGGCCCTCCTGTCTTCCACTGCCTCCCGCAGTTTGGTCAAACTCATGCTGGTCACTTCAAGAACACTGTCCCACCATCTCGTCCTCTGTCGTCCCCTTCTCCTTGTGCCCTCCATCTTTCCCAACATCAGGGTCTTTCCCAGGGAGTCTTCTCTTCTCATGAGGTGGCCAAAGTCTTGGAGCCTCAGCTTCAAGATCCATAGCTTTAACTATACGGACTTTGGCAGCAAAGTGAAGTCTCTGCTTTTTAAGATGTTGTCTAGGTTTGTCATCGCTTTTCTCCCAAAAAGCAGGCGTCTTTTAATTTCATGACTGCTGTCACCATCTGCAGAATGGAGATTTATTATTATTTATTTAATTTCTATTTAATTTCTATACTGTTTCGAAGAAAAAATCTCAAAGCGGTTTACAGCATATCAAATCAATAAAGCATAAATAAAATTTATGTTTATATATACAGTATATGTGTGTGTACAGAGAGAGAGAGTTTTTATGAAATTTTCTGTTTTACCATTTTTAAGTAATGTACTCATTTTTACATCCTTATGATAACGACTTCCCTTCTTCTCTTTCCATTGTTCATTTTACATATCTCTACATATTTTGTAGAAACTATACCATTCGGTTTTCCATTATTCCATCCATCAAAACTTATTTACACTGTTGGATTTATCTTAATGCTGCCAGCGTTTTCAGATGCATAGATTGTTATTTATTATTTGTATACCGCCCTTAATCGGTTCATGGAATAAAAAACCAGTCGAAGGCGCTTTATTGCGCTGGTGGGAGATATTTGGGTTCCTTTATTACTGATATTATTATTATTATTACTGATATTATATTCCTTTATTACTGATATTATTATTATGAGCTTTGATGAGAGTCTTGATGTGAGTACAGGACACTGGGCTGGCCTGATCCAGTTACGCTCTTCTTAGGTTCTTCATTGGACGAGGCTGCTTTTCACAGTATCGGAGAGTCGGAAGGCACTCCAAGCGTCGCCTAGCCCCTGCAATGCAGGAATCGCCGTTTTACAAGCGAAGGTGCAGTAATGGGATATTTTGTCTTTTCAGATCCTTGAACCCTGGCGGTCACCAGCCCTCACCTCAAATCCTCGCTTGCCCGCTATCCTCCATGAACGGCAACCATGAAGAAGGCAAAGTACATCCTTTGCACGTGGAAGAAGCGGTGGTGGCCTGCAAAGGTGATACTCATTTGAACATCTCGGGACCTTTTTATCTCCTTTCTGTTTGCTTTGCTCCCCATCTCTACCAGTGGCTGCTATGGGAAGGCGATCAGTATATCTGAAGGAGCGTCTCCACCCCCATCGTTCTACCCAGACGCTGAGGTCCAGCACCGAGGGCCTTCTGGCGGTTCCCTCACTGCAAGAAGCCAAGTTACAGAGAACCAGGCAGAGGGCCTTCTCGGTGGTGGTGCCCGCCCTGTGGAACGCCCTCCCACCAGATGTCAAAGAGAATAACAACAACCAGACTTTTAGAAGACACCTGAAGGCAGCCCTGCTTAGGGGAAGCTTTTAATGTTTGATGTATTATAGTATTTTAATATTTTTTTGGAAGCCGCCCAGAGTGGCTGGGGAAGCCCAGCCAGATGGGCGGGGTATAAATAATAAATTATTATTATTATTATTATTACTATTACTATGCCATACCAGGATGTTGGAGGAAGTTTAGGATACTCGTGGTATTTCCCCCCGAGGTATAGCACGGGGTCTCTGGCAGCATTGATGGGTTGTCCCACCAGCAGGCCTCCCTCCCCACTTGGATCGGGACCCAAGCAGCTTCCTGCAGCCCCTCAGCCAATTTATTTATTTAAAGGTGTTTATTTATTTAAAGGTGAACCTGCTTTTGCCAACTGGGGCTCCTTCAGGAGGAAGGGCAAGTTATAATTCAATAAATAAAAAAAATCGGATATGTCTCTTCTTCTTATCTATTATCTATTATTTATCGAATTTATATACCGCCCTATACCCAGAGGTCTCATGGCGGTTCACAGAAAAGGAAAGGAGTAAGAGAAAAATATTAAGACTGAAATCCTAAGCACGTTTATTTGGAAGTAAATTCCACGCAAATAAATGTGGAATATCAGCATTAAATGCACTGTATCCTACAGGTCACTGCAGTGGAGTTGAAATTAGCTTGGGCGCAAATTGTAACAGCGATGACAGTAGCGCAAAGAAAAAGAACACAACTTATGTTTTCGCTTGCATGTTAGGCCGGGATCACTGTTTTTAAAAATCCACAATTTTCAAACAGACGCATAGGCACCATTCTGTGACCCCCATCACTATTCCAGAATTAAATGTCCACTTTACTATTTCAAGTGATAAGATTACTTAAAGTGAAGGAAATTATTAACCTTTATTATTATTATTATTATTATTATTAGTGCGACCTACATCTTTTTCTTGTCTTTACACCGTTCTGTTTTGTTGAGACCTGCCCTGTGGGACCTTAACGTTAAGAAATCTCACAAGCGTACGTTGCGTTCCTGCATCCTTCAGGTTTTGTCCGCCGGCCGGACTTCCAGAAGGCGACAAGATCCGAAGAGCACACCGACAACCCTTCTGGTTGAAATTCTCTGCCTGAATAAACAGTTAAGTTGCACGTCCAGCATCTCAAGCTCCCTTGTTGAAGTTGACGCTGCTGGACGGGACCACGGTATGGTGGGGGTAGGGACGTGGGTTGCGCTGTGGTCTAAACCACTGAGCCTCTTGGGCTTGCCGATTGGAAGGTCGGCGATTCGAATCCCTGCGCTGGGGTGAGCTCCTGTTGTTCTGTCCCAGCTCCTGCCAACCTAGCAGTTTGAAAGCACACCAGCGGAAGTAGATAAATAGGTATCGCTGCGGCGGGAAGGTAAACGGCATTTCCATGCGCTCTGGTTTCTGTCACGGTGTCCCATTGGTTTAGTCCTGCTGCCCACATGATGTGGAAAGCTGTCTGCAGACAAACACTGGCTCCCTCAGCCTGAAAGCGAGATGAGCGCCACAATCCCACAGTCGCCTTTGACTGAACTTAACCGTCCAGGGGTACTTTACCTTTACCTTATGGTGGGGGTGTTTAACTGCTTTCTCTCACTTCTTAAAAGGATTGTTGTGCGCCACGCAGACGTCAAACCTTTGCAGGAGGAGGACATCAACAGCATCGCCTCTCGGTTAGGTGGCCAACCCGACGCCTCAGAAGGTATTTCCCGGGGCACAACCTGAGCACAAGAGCCTTCTCTCCTCCCTTGTCTTCCAGCGACTGGGATCCAGAATTATTTGATAACGATGATGATGATTTATTAGATTTATATACAGTGGCACCTTGGTTCTCGAACATGCTACGTTATGGAAGTTGGAAAACCAAAGCGCAGCTTCCGATTCGCACAAGTGCCCCAGGAACAATAGGCGACAGCCGCATCAGACGTTCGGCTTCCAAAAAAAGTTCACAAACCAAAGCATTTACTTCCGAGTTTGTGGCGTTCAGGTTCCGATTTGATCGTCAGCTAAGCCGTTTGAGAACCAAGGTTCCACTGTACCACCCTTCATAAAAAGATCTCGGGGCAGTTAACAACACAAGTGAGCAACACGAATAAATAGTTAAAGCAGGGGGGAAACCAATAACACCTCCTTCCCAAAAACACATTTAAAAGGCTGTATAATAGTAATCAGGGACGCGGGTGGCGCTGTGGGTTAAACCACAGAACCTAGGACTTGCCGATCGGAAGGTCGGAGGTTCGAATCCCCATGATGGGGTGAGCTCCCGTTGCTCGGTCCCTGCTCCTGCCAACCTAGCAGTTCGAAAGCACATCAAAGTGCAAGTAGATAAATAGGTACCACTCCGGCGGGAAGGTAAACGGCGTTTCCGTGCGCTGCTCTGGTTCGCCAGAAGCGGCTTAGTCCTGCTGGCCACATGACCCGGAAGCTGTACGCCGGCTCCCTCAGCCAGTAAAGCGAGATGAGCGCCGCAACCCCAGAGTCGGCCACGACTGGACCTCATGGTCAGGGGTCCCTTTACCTTTTACCTTTATAATAGTAATCAGCCCAAGGCCTGGTTGAAGAGAAACTTTTCTGCCTGCTGTCTAAAAATATACAAGGAGATGGGCTTCAGAAGCCTGTGTATAGTGGTACCTCAGTTGTCGAATGTAATCTGTTCTGGAAGACCGCTCGACTTCCGAAACGTCTTGACAACTGAGGCCCAAAGGGGGGTCGGCAAAGTCAGTGGAGAAAACTGAAAAAACCCGCAGCGGCAGCCGTTCGACTTCCGAGGCACGTTTGAAAACAGAAGCATTTACTTCCGGGTTTTCGGCGTTTAGAGAGTGAAACGTCCCATTGTGCCAGAAGCGGTTTAGTCCTGATGGCCACATGACCCGGAAAGCTGTCTGCGGACAAACGCCGGCTCCCTCGGCCTGAAAGCGAGATGAGCGCCACAACCCCATAGTCGCCTTTGACTGGACTTAACCATCCAGGGGTCCTTTACCTTTACCTTCTACCAAGGGTGGGGGCTATTGGCCCTTTGGGCATAGCCAAGCTGGAGGTCCAATCCCTGTAGCTATCCAGCGAGGAGGGGAGGAAAATCGCTGCAAATCTCTCCCCTAGTGTTTCCATCTGGTTACGATGGTCTCGTTTGTATGCCGCCCTTTCCCTCTGCAAGCAGCTCAGAGAGAAATGACACAGGGGTGGCCGGGGTGGGGGTAGTTGAGGGCAAACTCAGCTTCTGAGTCTTTCGACTGAATTATTGTAACTTGCTCTACGTGGGGCTGCCCTTGCGACTGACCCAGAAACTCCAGCGGGTGCAGAATGCCGTGGCGAGACTCCTTACAGGGTCCTCGCCACGGGATCACATTCACCCAGTGCTATACCAGCTGCACTGGCTCCCGGTGGAGTACAGGATCAGGTTTAAGGTACTGGTTTTAACCTTTAAAACCCTATGCAACCTAGGATCCTCGTACCTACGGGACCGCCTCTCCTGGTATGTCCCACGGAGGACATCTTGGAGGTCCTGGGCCACAGAGAGGTTAGGCTGGCCTCAACCAGAGCCAGGGCTTTTTCGGCTGTGGCTCTGATCTGGTGGAACACTCTGTCCCAAGAGACTAGGGCCCTGCAGGACTTGACATCTTTCCGCAGGGCCTGCAAGACAGAACTGTTCCACCAGGCTTTTAGCCAGGGCACAGCCTGACCCCCTCCTTTGGCAATCCTCACAGAACTCCAGCCCAATGGTTGCCATGAATCTGATATGAACTGATTTTATAATGAAACGATTTTAGAATGTTGTATCATTTTACTGTTGTTAGCCGCTCTGAGCCCGGCTTCGGCTGGGGAGGGCGGGATAGAAATAAAATTTTATTATTTATTATTATTATTATCTCAACAGGTCAGAGCAAGAAAAACCGCAAAGCCATAGATGAGCTGATCTACCGGCATGCTCTGCGGAAAGCCCTGGATATCCTGAGCGGAAACTCCGTCTCACCCAAGGGGCGGAAAGGAAAAGCATCACCCCAGAAGGTCACCCCCGCCGGAGCGTCACCGGGGCGTCCGGCTAAGTGTCGCCAGCTCCAGTCTTCAAGGGACCCGCACGAGGGAGAAAGCAGGGAGAGTACCGTCGCGTGTTGCCTCGGCTCCAAGGCATCTCCCATCTCTAAACCACAACACTTTGGGGAGGCAGCTGGCCAGAACTGCTCCTTTTCCGAAGCAGCAATGACCGTAACTCCCCAGAAACAGCAGGAACCGTCGCCCAAATCTGACGCAGGCCGGAGGCAGCTGCGGTCCTTTAAGGAGAGGGGCGAGGGGCGCTGCCAGTCTCGGGGCAGGTCTGGCAAGGGCAGCGGCTTCCCCTCCCCAAACAGAACGAGCACCCCGGCGGCCGCCTCTCGAAAGCCCCGGCCCAGGTTCACCAAGTCGGGCGCGGGGCCCGGGGTGCGGAAGAAACTGCTGGGCTCCCCCGCCAGGTGCGTTTCATCTGAACCAGCCAGGGAAGAGGAAGGAGGGAGATACAGCAGAGGCCCCAATGGCAGCAGGCGCCCGAAGGGAACGCGGCGGAAACGGAGTCGAGGAAGGAGTTGTCCAGGGGACTTGAACTCCTCTGCAGAGTCTCTTTCAGGAGGCAAGGCGGGGCAGAGGCAGGATGCGTCCTTCAGCGTGAAACAGTTCCAGCTTCTGGATTCTGAAGACGAAGAAGGTAGCTTGCATGCTTTGGCAGGGTGGAGGAAGGTGTTTGTGTGTTTGTAGTAATGCTCCGGCCACGCGCCCCTCCCTCACCTGTCCTTACCATCCAGCTGGATCAGGTTTAGAGAAACGGCGACCGGCAGCATATACTTTTTTACAGGACAAAACGCATCAAAAAAGGTATCGCATGTTTTGCTCTATAAGACTCACTTTTTCCCTCCTAAAAAGTAAGGGGGAATGTGTGTGCGTCTTACGGAGCGAATGCAGGCTGCACAGCTATCCCAGAAGCCAGAACAGCAAGAGGGATTGCAGCTTTCACTGCGCAGCGATCCCTCTTGCTGTTCTGGTTTCTGAGATTCAGAATATTTTTTTTTCTTGTTTTCCTCCTCCAAAAACTAGGTGCGTCTTGTGGTCTGGTGTGTCTTATAGAGTGAAAAATACGGTAGTTGCTGCCACCACTCGCCTGTACCAGGGCACCAGAAGACATAACCCAAGGGAGAAGGTTATACTTCCTAGTTACCGGCTGCCCCACCCCGCAAATTGTTTCCACAAAATGCGGGCAGAAATTCAACAGATGTAACGGAACTCAGACCCAATCACAATTCTTGATTATGTTTAAATTCACCAGTGGTCAGCTAGTTGGCTAATAATTATAACTTGTGACAGCTGAGCTCGTTAGTTCCCAGGACTTTGGATCAAAGAGTTCCTCCCTTCCTCAGACATTTACCAGCTACACATTCCCAGAGTGATTAGGGTGGATAACAACACTATTTGGGTGTGAATGAGTTAGGTACCAGGTGTCAGAGGACCACTAATCAAGCTGGAAAAGTTCCTTCCTGAGATAAGCAACTTCACACATTTGGAGACTGTTAGTCTGCAGTGTTAAAGCAACAAGAACCCATTCCCCATAAATCTTATGGCTTTTGAACTTCCCATAATACTTTGCTGCTTACTTGACCAAAGTTTGGTCTATTGAAATTTCCTAACTTCGCTACAGTGCTGGAATGGCGTTGATCCTAGAATCAAAGAATTGTAGAGTTGGGAAGGGACCACGGTCATCCTCTACTCCAACCCTCTGCAATGCAGTAATCTTTTGCCCAGGGTGGGACTCGAACCCACAACCCTGTTGATTTAACAATAATAATAGTTTTTATTTATACCCCGCCCTCCCCAGCCAAGGCCGGGCTCAGGGCGGCTAACAAGCAATAATAAAAACAAATTGAGTGAATACAACTTTAAAACAAGATTAAATACAACAATTAAAATATTGAAATATTAAAATGCAGCCTCATCACAGGAGGAGAAAGGAAAAAGAAAGAGGGGGAGGGAATCAAATTGGCTCCAAGCCAAAGGCCAGGCGGAACAACTCTGTCTTACAGGCCCTGCGGAAAGAAGTCAGATCCTGCAGGGCCCTGGTCTCATGAGGCAGAGCGTTCCACCAGGCCGGAGCCACTGTTGAAAAGGCCCTGGGCTCTGGTTGAAGCTAATCTAACTTCCTTAGGGCCCAGGACCACTAGGGTGTTGCTATTTATGGACCTTGAGGCTCTCCATGGGGCATACCGGGAGAGGCGGTCCCATAGAGTCTCATGCTCCACCAACTGAGCTGTCTCTCAGGCCAGGAGAGAATTCACCAGAATTCAAAAGCATCAATTCTTCGGCGATCAGCCTTCTTTCTGGTCCAGCTCTCACTTCCATACATCACTACTGGGAAAACCATAGCTTGAACTATACGGACCTTTGTTGGCAAGGTGATGAAGATCTCAGTACTCTGTAGTAAAAGCTGAAATTGATTAATGCCTTTTCCTTTGACAGGATTCGCACCTGCCTCTTCCCTGCGGCTTAGCCCCATCGGGAGGTACAGTCACAGCCCAGCTTCCAGGGACGATGAGGATGAGGAACTCCCCAGCATCCTCTTGCACCCAGGTGAGGCCCGTTCTCCATCTTTCGGCACGGCCCAGTTGCACCGGCGTTTTTCCCGAGCCCAATCTTAACCTTTTAAAGCAGGCGTGGGGAGCGTTTGGCCTTTGGCCGCTAACCCTGTGAGGTAGGTCAGGCTGTAAGGTGGCGATTGGCAAGGTTCACGCCTAGGGAGCTTAATGCGGCCGAGCGGGGATTTGAACCGTGGTCTTTCTCAGGTCCTAGTCCAGCAATGAATGAATGAATGAATCTTTATTTGTGTCGGCCATAGCAATAAATCAACAATGTTGTTGTTGTTTAGTCGTTTAGTCGTGTCCGCCTCTTCGTGACCCCCTGGACCAGAACACGCCAGGCACTCCTGTCTTCCACTGCCTCCCGCAGTTTGGTCAGACTCATGTTTGTAGCTGCGAGAACACTGTCCCACCATCTCGTCCTCCGTCGTCCCCTTCTCCTTGTGCCCTCCATCTTTCCCAACATCAGGGTCTTTTCCAGGGAGTCTTCTCTTCTCATGAGGTGGCCAAAGTATTGGAGCCTCAGCTTCAGGATCTGTCCTTCCAGTGAGCAGTCAGGGCTGATTTCCTTAAGAATGGAGAGGTGTGATCTTCTTGCAGTCCATGGGACCCTCAAGAGTCTCCTCCAGCACCATAATTCATAATGTTCAGAAACCAAGGCGCAGCTTCTGATTGGCGCAGGTGCCCCAGAAACAATAGCCAACAGCAGCAGCGGGCGCTCAGCGTTCGAAGAACGTTTCCGGAAACCCTAAATGTCTCAGAAACCAAGCAGCTTGATTGGCAGGTGCTCCGTGAAACAATAGCCAACAGCAGCAGCGGACGTTAGCTCCGGGTCCTGAAACTGAACACGCAGCTTCTGATTAGGCGCGCAGGTGCCCCAGAGCAATAGCCAGCAGCAGCGGCGGACGTTGGCTCGAAAAACCGTTTGAAAACCGGAACTTAATTCCAGGTTTTCTGTGTGTTGAGTGAGAAGTGAAGCTACAGGGAACCAGGCAGAGGGCCTTCTCGGTGGTGGCGCCCGCCCTGTGGAATGCCCTCCCATCAGATGTCAAGGAAATAAACAACTACCTGACTTTTAGAAGACATCTGAAGGCAGCCCTATTTTGGGAAGTTTTTAATATTTGATGTTTTATTTTTAATATCCTGTTGTGAGCTGCCCAGAGTGACTGGAGAAACCCAGCCAGATGAGTGGGGTATAAATAATAAATTACTATTACTATTACACCTTTCTCTCCACTGAGCACAAGGTGGTACACCTTCTTTAATCCTCACAACAACCCTGTGAGGTAGGCCAGCCTGAGAGGCATAGCTGTCAAGTGTCCCTTATTTGGAGGGACAGTCCCTTATCCCAGCGCTGTGTCCCGCTGCTGTCCCTTATTGATGATGTCCCTTCAATTTCCCGGGTTTCAAAGGAAGCAGCTCCTCTCCCTCCCTCCCTGCTGGCCAGGGAGGAGGGAGGCTCCAACTGTGTTGCTTGGCTGCGTTGCTCACCCAATAAGGAGCCTAAGAACGACTGGGGGGGTGGAGCTTGCATGCCTTGTGCCAATCAAATCGGCCGTCTTGCCTGGGGACTCGCCTTTGCTCAGCGCTTCCCAGCGGAGAGGTGACGGTGGTTTTCCTTGCTGCATCCCCTTTGCCGGGTTGCTGAGCTGTGGGAACCACCGCTTGAGGCTTCGTTTGGCTGCTGGCTGGGTATAATGGTATGGGGTTGCTCGTGCGTAAGATGCCGCCTCTCCTGGCTATGTTGCCTTGTTAAACCTTTCTGTCTGGACAGCCCTTCAATTCGTGGCTGCCTCAGTCGCTAGCAGAATCCGTCAGTGGGTGTTTCTTAAACCTTTTCCAACATAAAAGTTGTTTGACACCCAGTCTCCTCCTCCTTTCTCTGCGCGGAAGTCTTCTGCACAGGGAGGGCGTGGGTAGCGGAGGACCAGTGCTCTCCCCGCTGGTGGCCGGTGAAGAGTCTGGGAGCCCTCTCTCCGATTCCCCCATCTGCCCCTCCTTATTCCTGGTGTTGCACTGAATTGCTTCCCCATCTGCTGAGCTGCCTCTCTCCCTGCTGGGCCCTTCTCCAGCATCATTAGAGAGCCTCCCCTCCACCTCTAGCTCCGATGTCAGTTCCCTGACACTGGGCTTTCTGCCTTTGGCTCAGAGGGGCTCAGAAGTCGAACATACCTGTGCTCTGAAAATCCCTTATTTTGGCTGCTGGCCCCTTATTTTCGAGGCTGCTGGTCCCTTATTTTCAAATCTGTGGTTGACCCCCACAGTCACACCCAGCAATCTCCATGGCCCAGTGGAGTTCCGAACCCGTCTCCCAGGTCCTAGTCCGATACTCTAACCACTACACCACACTGCCTTAACCCGGAAGGGAAGGGAAATTCCCCGTTCCGGCCTCAACCTCTGTTTCCGTTCTGCCTTTAGAGCCCTGTACCATCAAAGCCGGGATGCTGGTTTGGTGCCGGATGCCCAGACAACCCTTTTGGCCAGCAGTGGTAAGAATGAAAACGTTCTGTCTTGTTGCGTCTTTGTGGAAGGGGACTGTTCTCCCGGCCTTCCTGCAAGGGGATGGGGTAGGCATGAAACTGGAGTTTCCTCTTCCCAACAGGTGAAAAGAGTGCAGCAGAAAGCCAGGAAGGCCAACGTCATCCTCATCCAGGACACTTTGAGCATGAAATCCAAAGGGTAAGTGCAGCTTAAATGCAGTCCCGGTCTGGCTTCCGATCACCCATTGGCTGAGCTGCTCTGATGCCCGGCATGTTCACAGAGCTTTCTCTAAACTGCTCCTACAGGCAACGGCAGAAAAAAACCAACTTATTTCTGCTCTGCTTTCTCAGCAAGGAGTGTTGGGTGCGTGTTGGGTGTAGGTCTGAATTCGAAACCCTTCTCGCCCATTGCTGAATAAATAATAATCATAATAAAATTTTATTTATATCTCGCCCTCCCCAGCCGAAGCCGGGCTCAGAGCGGCTAACAACAGTAAAATGATACAACATTCTAAAAACATTTCATTATAAAACCAGTTCAAATCAGATTCATGGCAACCATTGGGCTAGAGATCTGTGAGGATTGCCAAAGGAGGGGGTCAGGCTGTGCCTTGGCCAAAGGCCTGGTGGAACAGCTCTGTCTTGCAGGCCCTGCAGAAAGATGTCAAGTCCCACAGGGCCCTGGTCTCTTGGGACAGAGCGTTCCACCAGAACGGAGCCACAGCCGAAAAAGCCCTGGTTCTGGTTGAGGCCAGCCTAACCTCTCTGTGGCCTGGGACCTTCAAGATGTTTTTATTTGAAGACCGTAAGGTCCTCCGAGGGACATACCAGGAGAGGCGGCCCCATAGGTACGAGGGACCTAGGCCGTATAGGGCTTTAAGGGTTAAAACCAGCACCTGAAACCTGATCCTGTACTCCACCGGGAGCCAATAATTTTTGGACTTGTTTAGTCGTGTCCGACTCTTCGTGACCCCATGGACCAGAGCCCGCCAGACTTCGAGAACACTGTCCATCCACCATTATTATTAACAACGCTGTGCTTGGGCCTTTGGAGGGATCTCTCCCCTTTGTTGTTGTTGTTTAGTCGTGTCCGCCTCTTCGTGACCCCCTGGACCAGAGCACACCAGGCACTCCTGTCTTCCACTGCCTCCCGCAGTTTGGTCAAACTCATGCTGGTAGCTTCGAGAACACTGTCCCACCATCTTGTCCTCTGTCGTCCCCTTCTCCTTGTTCCCCTCCAGGGACTGGTGGGGGTGATTTTTAGAGAACCAAAGGGGGAGAGCCCCCCAAAAATGTTGGGGAACCACTGACTAAAACGCTTTGCTTCTCTCCAGTATCTAGCCATCTGTGTTCTTGCGGCCGTCAGTAAGATTTTTCTACTTGCTAACCCATCGTATCCCTTTCCCTTTCCCTCCGCCTTCCCCCTGCAGCTTCTGCACCTCGTTCAGAAACCTGAAACACTACGAATGCAAGGAGAAGGGAAAACTGATAGTAAGTTTTAAACGGCAAAGGTGTGAGCTTCTTTTTTTTTTATATGATTTTTATTAATTTACCAATAAAAACAAATTTATATCATTAAACATCAAAAACTCATCGCACATCTTTTTTTTTCTTTTAGACTTCCATCAGCCTGTCTGATAAATTTCCGTAATTATCACAAATCTTCACATTTCTTAATTTATATTGCACTATATATATCTTATCTTACCATGTTGTTTAAACAATATTTCTACCAAATCTTCTTACAGAGCTTCTTGAAAACTTACAAACGTTATATCATTATCACAAATATTTTTAATATATTCTGTAAATTTACTCCAGTCCTCAGTGAATCTTTGGTCTCGTCGGTTGTGAATCCTCCCTGTCAATCTGTCCAGTTCCGCGTAATCCATTAATTTCGATCTCCATTCTTCAATCGTAGGCATTTCTTCTTGTTCCCATTTCTGGGCCAAAAGAGTTCTAGCTGCTGTTATCGCATACAGAAATACTTTCTGATCGTTCCTTTTTATTTCACCACCTAAAATTCCTAATAGAAATGCTTCTGGTTTTTTTTAACAAATGTATATTTCAGTATTTTCTTTATCTCATTATATATCATTTCCCAGAAGCACTTCATTTTTTTTACATTCCCACCACATATGATAAAATGTCCCTTCTTTCTCCTTACATTTCCAACATTTATTACTCACCTTATACATCTTACTTAATTTAACTGGTGTTATATACCATCAATATATCATTTTCATAACAAAAGGTGTGAGCTTCTTGGGGGGGGGGCGCGTGATCCTTGGTTTCTGCTCTGCATTTGTGTCTTCCACAAAAAGCACTGCTTGTGTTCCCCAGGGGAGATAATATTCTGTTTCTTTTCCTGTTTTGCTATGACTTTGCCCCCAGGCCAGAGCCAAAGAGAGTCACCCCCACGATATCGACTGGTGCATCAAGTTGATAACAGACTACCTAGTTCGAGTAGGTAAGCTTAGCCAGCGGAGTGGGGATGGGGGGTGAGGAGTGTCTTCTCTTTCCAGTAGCAAAAGATCTCTGTATTCTGTTTCTTCCTGTGCTGGTCCCATGGGTTACCCGAGAGGCGAGGTCCAAGTCCTGTCCGTGGGCAAAGGTGCAACGTGGAGGCAGTCCGTAGTTGCTGAAGTTGGGTGCAGGGCAGGGAGTCGGCTGAAGTCAGGAACAGGCTTGCAAGCAGGGAGCCAGGGCAGGGCAGGAGCTCAGGCAGAAAAGCAGGACAGGGTTCAGGCAGGAACTAGCAACCAACAATGTTGCTCCCGCAACTTGGGACTGGGGCTGGCTTGCTTTTATCTGCCCTGAGGCATAGGGCAGCCCCGATCCTCTGGTGACTCGCCTCTCCTGGCCTGGAGGCGAGCCCTCCTCCTGCGGGAACTTAGTTCCCTCCGCCTCTCTGCCCTGAGCCTCTGCAGCTCAGGAGAGGCTGGAGGGTTACCGGACCCAGAGGCAACCTCAGCTTCCTCTGCCGGGGCTGAGAGTGGAGCACCTGCAGGCAATGGGTCCTCCATCACCTCAGGAACCAGAGCAGACTCACCTGAGGATCCAGCACAGGTGAGGACCCTTCAGGCTCATGCCCCAGCCCCAGCCCCGGCTCAGCTGGTTCTGGAGGCGGGGAATCCTGTGCAGGCTGGGATCCCTCAGGTTCAGCATCCGAGTCTGAATCCCAGGCCATCACACTTCCTGTCTGCAGCTCCATGTCTTTCTTTTTATTTGTTTCGTAAAGCCCCCTATACCTCTTGATTGTGTAAAATCCGCCGCAGAGGCGCCGCACAAAAGGAAAGGGAAGCTGGGAGGGAGGAGGAAGAAAGCAAGCTCTTGTAATGGCCAGGTTGGGGGAGTTCAAGGGGAGGAGGAGATGGAAGGAGATACTCTCTCAGCAGAGCCAATGAAGCCACATGACAGACCCATCTCTCTTCCCTTCCTCCCTCCCCACTGAATAGCCTTGTGGCTGTCGGCAAGTAAATAAGAGTTTATTGTACAGTGGTACCTCGGTTTTCAAGCGTCTCGGAAGCCAAACGTTTTGGTTTTCAAACGCCGAAAACCCGGAAGTAATTGCTTCCATTTTTGAACGCACCTTGGAAGCCGAACCACTTCCGCTGCATCTTTTTCAATTTTTCCAGTTGAACTTGCAGCCAGCCCTTTGCGCCTCGGTTTCCAAACGTTTTGGAAGTCGAACGGTCTTCCGGAACGGATTACGTTCGAGAACCAAGGTACCACTGTACTAGCCCAAAGGCCATGACGAAACCGTACAAACGCCATCAGAAGAAAATATATACTGTACGAATAAGCCATCAGAACCATATATTGCAAGGGAGACTGTAAAGGGAAACCTGGTGGCGTTTGGTAATGTTAGAGTGTGACAAAGAGACAGTGCAGAAGTTCACTCAATGTATGACCACTCAAGCCTTGCTTTTAAATCCATGGTCGGCTTGGGAACAAAGTTCTGCGACGGCGTGACGTAACTTGAAATCTCCAAAATGGGATTTAGTCGAGAAACCTTCCTCTTCTCTTCCTGTCCCCAGGCTGCGAATCTTTCATGGGGTCCTTCCTGGAGTATTACGCCCACGAGATGAGTGAGTAGTTCATTGCCTATTAAAACGCGCTGCTTTGATTAAGTTTCCTAAGGAAGGAACAAAATCAAAGAAGGTTCCCTTTGCATGTACACACACAGCCAAGACCTCACTGTCTCCCAATTTTTGTTTTTTTAAAAGTTCCTTTGGGGGATTGGGGGTCTGTGGCTTCTTGGGACGTGGATCTGCAGTAGGTGTTTTCCTTCTGGGGCAGTGAGACAAGTCCTAGCCATTGTCAGTCTCCTCTCCTGCAAAATGGGTATTGTGCACGCGTTTCTTCTCCATAGCGTGTCCCTTCCTGTCCAGTTTTGATGTTTCACCAGAGGGATGGGGAGGAAGGAACATAATATTTGGCCCTCCAGTGTGGTGTAGTGGTTAAGAGCGGTAGTCTCGTAATCTGGTGAACTGGGTTCGCGTCTCCGCTCCTCCACCTGCAGCTGCTGGGTGACCTTGGGCCAGTCACACTTCTCTGAAGTCTCTCAGCCCCACTAACCTCACAGACTGTTTGTTGTGGGGGAGGAAGGGAAAGGAGAATGTTAGCCGCTTTGAGACTCCTTAAAAGGAGTGAAAGGCGGGATATCAAATCCAAACTACTCTTCTTCTTCTTCTTCTTCTTCTTCTTCCTCCTCCTCCTCCGTGTGCCTCCTCCTCGAAAGGTCCGGAGGGTGGCAACACGAGAACGGGGCCTTCTCTGCAGTGGCTCCCCATCTGTGGCATGCTCTCCCCAGGGAAGTTCGCCTGGTGCCTTCACTATACACCTTTAGGCGCCAGGCTAAAACATTCCTTTTTAACCTGGGCTTTGGTTGGCCTGATCAACTCCCCATACCCTTTTAAAACGTGGCTCTTTAGAGGGGTGGCGCTATTGTATTTTTATTTTATATATTGTGATTGATTGATTTTTTGAACCACCCTGAGACCTCCGGTATAGGGCGGTTTATAAATTCAATAAATGAATGATTTTTTGTCCATAATACCTGAGAGAAAGGCAGGCTCTTTTCTGTCCCTTCCCGCAGAAACTGTGACATTGCCTTAAGGAATTAAACATATTAATTCCATAAGGGGAAGATTTAAGGATGTTAATGTTTAAGTTAAACTTCATAAGAATTGGGATTTGGAAAACCGTTAAAAGGACATGCAATGAAATTCAACCAAGGGGAAGTCACTTAACAAAGTTAATAAGTGTAATTTTCAATAAGGCTATGATTTATGTTTGTTTGTCTTGTGTGTTTGTTTGTCTGTTTATAATATTGTGAAAACCAGTAAAAAAAAATTGGGGGGGGGGGGAAGAAACCGTGACATTGCTGTCTGCTTTCCTCCCCCCGAGGCTACTCCGTCCGAACAGGCGTCCTCCACGAACCGCCGCAGGAGACCTTTCCAGAGGCGGAGGAAGTGGACCCGGGCAAGTCGCCGTCCGAGCCGTCGCCTGCTAAGCCCCCCAGGAAAGTCCTCCCAGACCGGGCTCGGGCCGCCCGGGACAAAGCCAACGAGCGCATCGTCGAGTTCATAGTGAAGTCCAAGGGGGCGGATGACCACCTCCGCTCCATCCTAAGGAGAAAGAAGCCGTCGCGCTGGCTCAGCGACTTTGTCGTCGCCCGGCCATACCTGCCCTTCATGGAGGTTTACCTGGAGGACGACCACCAACAGGAACTCGTTCTCAACTACTTGAGACGGGTTTACCAGGAGGCAGACCCCAAGGTGCTACCCGAAGTGAGGAGGGATAGTATCAAGTTCATCTTGGACGTCTTGTTCCCCGAGGTAAATCGCGGCCTTTTTTTAAGGAGTTGGGACACAAGGAGCTGCCTGAACTGGTGCTACCAGCACTGGTTGGCAGCTGCTCTCCGGGATTTCACAGATTCCCTGAAAATGCTGCCACGGATCAGACATGGGATCCTTTGTTGCTGTTGTTGTTTAGTCGTTTAGTCGTGTCCGCCTCTTTGTGACCGGCGGACCAGAGCACGCCAGGCCCTCCTGTCTTCCAGTGCCTCCCGCAGTTTGGTCAAACTCATGCTGGTAGCTTCAAGAACACTGTCCCACCATCTCATTGTCTGTCGTCCCCTTCTCCTTGTGCCCTCCATCTTTCCCAGCATCAGGGTCTTTTCCAGGGAGCCTTCTCTTCTCATGAGGTGGCCAAAGTCTTGGAGCCTCAGCTTCAGGATCTGTCCTTCCAGTGAGCACTCAGGGCTGATTTCCTTCAGAATGGAGAGGTTTGATCTTCTTGCAGTCCATGGGACTCTCAAGAGTCTCCTCCAGCACCAGAATTCAAAAGCATCAATATGGGATCCTTAGCACCACGCCACTAAGCTGCGGTTCTCCCCCTAAAGACGAACTAAGATTCTAGCCCTGACGATTTTGAATAAGGTGCTGATTTTACACAAGGTCAGTTAGATCCTCGGTCAATATTGCCCACACTGGCTGGCAGCGGCTCTCCAGGGTCTCAGCCCTACCTGGAGATCAAACTTTCTGCATGCAAAAGGGGTGCTCTAACCACTGAGCCACGGCCCTTCCTTTGCATTCCAGAACCCTTCCTCCTTGAATGTGTCAAACATAAAAAGGTAAAGGGACCCCTGACCATTAGGTCCAGTCGTGGCTGACTCTGGGGTTGCGGCGCTCATCTCGCTTTACTGGCCAATGGAGCCGGGGCGTACAGCTTCCGGGTCATGTGGCCAGCAGGACTAAGCCGCTTCTGGCAAACCAGAGCAGCGCACGGAAACACTGTTTACCTTCCCACCGGAGCGGTACTTATTGATCTACTTGCACTTTGAGGTGCTTTCGAACTGCTAGGTTGGCAGGAGCAGGGACCGAGCAACGGGAGTTCACCCCGTCACTGGGATTCGAACCGCCGACCTTCTGATCGGCAAGTCCTAGGCTCTGTGGTTTAACCCACAGCGCCGCCCGCGTCCCTGTGTCAAACATACTTACAAATTTTCTTCCTCTTCGCCCCCAGGCCATCATCTACGCCATTTCAGCCGTGGACCATATCGACTACAAGAAAGCGGAAGAGATATACTTGAGAGGGCCTCTGGTGAGCCAAAGGTAACTCCTTCCGTCGCTTCTTATCTATAACGGCTTTGGGGAAACTTGCAAAAAAGGGCAAGAATGCCCTAGTATTGCTGAGTTCCCCCTCTAGTTGTGGTTGGCTTAAAAAAAAGGTAAAGGTAAAGGACCCCTAGATGGTTAAGTCCAGTCAAAGGCGGCTATGGGGTTGCGGCGCTCATCTCGCTTTCAGGCCGAGGGAGCTGGCGTTTGTCCGCAGACAGCTTTCCATGTCATGTGGCCAGCGGGACTAAACCGCTTCTGGCGCAACAGGACACCGTGACGGAAACCAGAGCGCACGGAAACGCCGTTTACCTTTCCGCTGCAGCAGTACCTGTTTATCTACTTGCACTTTGACATGCTTTCGAACTGCTAGGTTGGCAGGAGCTGGGACAGAGCAATGGGAGCTCACCCCTTCGCGGGGATTCGAACTGCCGACCTTCCGATCGGCAAGCCCAAGAGGCTCTGTGGTTTAGATCACAGCGCCACCCTGCGTCCCCAGTTGGCTTAATCATATACTCCATGAGTTTCCCACAAATGCATCTGTGGTCAGAGCAATTCAGGTAAAGAAACAGCAGCACCTCTGGCATTTCCTCCCTGCGAGAAGCGAGGTTGCAGGGAACCAGACAGAGGGCCTTCTCGGTGGTGGCGCCCACCCTGTGGAATGCCCACCCATCAGATGTCAAGGAAATAAACAACTACCTGACTTTTAGAAGACCTCTGAAGGCAGCCCTGTTTAGGGAAGTTTTTGACGTCTTATCGTGTTTTTAATATTCTGTTGGGAGCCGTCCAAAGTGGCTGGGGATGCCCAGCCAGATGGGCGGGGTACAAATAATAAATTATTTTAAAAAATAAGAAATTGTCCAGTAGCACCTTAGAGACCAACTAAGTTTGTTCCAGGTATAAGCTTTCGTGTGCATGCACACTTCTTCGGACGACTTCATGCATGCACACGAAAGCTGATATCCAGAACAAACGTACTTGGTCTCTAAGGTGCTACTGGACAAGTTCTTATTTTTTTAAATTTATTTCGACTGTGTCAGACCAACACGGCTACCCACCTGAATCTAATAAATTATTATATCATTCCAAACGTCCACGTCTTTAGCAAAATTTAGTCTGCTGTTGCTGTGGTATTGAAGACGAGCCTCCGTTAACTTCTCCACACATTACTGTATTAATTTTTGAATCCATGAGCTTAGATTTTGTTCTGTGTCCCCCGCCGCCCCCCTTTTCTGTCTCTTTATCCTTCAGGGAAAGAGAAATCTTCGAGGAAGAAATCCTAGAAAAGAAGAGAAGGCGGAATCTGCAGAACACGAGGCCTTCTCCGGAAGCCAGCCTGTGAAGCCTTTTCCCCTCGTCCCCAACAAGTTCTGCACCAGACTTGTGACATGAAATAGGAAGTGCGTATTCTGTATAGGACACGAGAGCCTTTATTTTTAAATATATATGTGTGTGTGTGTATCAAATATACTGTAAGAAGTACATGTGATACCAGAACCACGACAATCCCGTCAGAGCAAACTGGACTATTGTGGCAGTGAAACCCTCTCTCTCTCTCTGCCTTGAGAGCAGCCCAAAAATAAATAATATATCGGTGTTTGTGACGCCCTTGGTGATGGCTTGTGCAGGAACCGGTGGCGGTTTGAGAGAGGACTTACTCCCCTGGTGCCAACAAACCCAATGTTTTGAACTACAACCCCAGGCTGATGGGAGTTGTAGCGCAAAACATTTTGAACGGATGTCTGCCCTGCCAGCTCCTGCTCCTGGCGGACCTCCACGTCTCAGTTAACGCTGGAAGCAAAAAATAAATTAAAAATGCGTGTGTTCATTGTTCATAGGAAACGCTTTTACCCCTCTCCCCTTTTAAATGGCCTCCAGAGGCTTCTCTGGATCCCAAAGAGGAAAAAACGTTGCTGTACATTCCGCTGTCGTCGTCTAAAATCCCGTTCGCCCTGCTTTTGGCAAAGGTTTCTAAAAGCTGGAGGGGCATCAAATTAGGGGCTTTTGCTTCCCCAGGAATCACCTCTGTTAGGTTCACAGTCTTCCATCCCCAATCCCGTTATGAATTTTAAAACCCAGCCGGCGCAGTTGTTATTAATTTGATGTGAGCTAAAACAGCCTTAAACCTTCTTCCACCCGTACCGAATCGTTCCATCCTTACTCCATCTTTTAAGCTTCTTGTGCAAAATTCTCTCTTTCTTTTAATCAAACAATAAAACTTCTCAAAACCACGACAGACTGGTTTCTTGTGTCCTTTGGAAGAATTGCAACGCTGGACTGGGCAACCATACAGCTGTTTTCTCAATAGTTTCTTTTTTTATTTTTAATAGAGGGGTTCTTTCTCTTTTTCTTCTTTTTTTGCAAAAACAGCAGCGAGGGACATGGATAGTGTTGCATCCTGGAAGTTTGCAGCTTGGAAATAATCATAAATCGCTTCTCCGGGCTTCTGAGAGGAGAGCTGGCAGCGAAAGCCAGCAAGGGGCGTAGCGATAACACAAAAAAGCAATTTATTTCTGGCATCTAACCCTTGTCTGTCCCATCTTTCAGCTCTGGGTCAGGCCAGGGTCTAGACCAGTTTCCCAAACTTGGGTCTCTAGATATTCCAAAAACAGCTGGCCGTTATCCAGGGTTGTCATGAAGGTCAAACGGGAAGGGGGAGAACCATGTCCTTGACGGAAAAAGCAACGATACTAATGTGATAATGAAATAATTAATGGGCTGGCCTAAATAAATTAACTGTAAGCTTCTTGGGGCGAAGACCTGCCCGTTCATGGTTGCTGCGTTGCGATTGCAATTGTCAATTTATAGAGTTTATTTTATTTCTAGAGTTTATTTATAGATTTATATAGTTTATTTCAAGTATATTTATTATAGACAGCTTTTTCAGGAGGGGGGCAGCGTGGTGAACAGGGTGGGAGGGAGGGAGCCGGAAGAAGATCAAACTATTTGACGTAGGCAAAACACCCCAAAGCCCATAAAATAGCAAGTTTAAGAATTGCATAAATCAAAGCAGATCAACAAGTTATCATCGCTGCCAACATTAGCTCTATCAATCAGCAAGCTAATTGGGCGATGCATAATCAATAGTAAATAATGAATGGCTTGCTGTAGCCTATGGGAATGATAATAATAAAACAATAATAATATAGGCCAGTTAGGCTCCTCTGATTCATAGGGAATAATGATAAATGACAGGCTCTTGTTTATGGGAATAAGAAGACCATGGGCTGATCAGCTTGTGTGATTTGTGGCAATAAAAATAAGATGTTAAAGATAATATCAGCAAAACCGACAATGAAATTAAGAGGCAGAGACGACAATGAATTTACGGAAGAACAGAAGATGTTTTTTGCTCACATACAGAAGCATTGCACACAGGTTAACACATTAGCAGGGTTTTAAAAGGGCTTGCAATTTTACAATGAATGGATGATAGGTGATTTAAATATGTTATAAATGTAACAATGGAAGTGCAGTATGTTGGCAAATAATGGAACCAGGGAAGTCAATTTGTTTTGTTTTTGTATTTTTCCTTTCTCCTGAGACGAGGCTGCCTTTTAATATTTTAATGTTGTAGTTTAATCTCGTTTTTAAGTTGCATTCATTCAACTTGTTTTTATTATTGCTTGTCAGCCGCCCTGAGCCCGGCCTTGGCTGGGGAGGGCGGGGTATAAATAAATATTATTATTACAGAACTTTAGTTTAATGGTTGCCATCAATTTGATTTTAATTAATTTTTATAATGAAATGTTTTTAGAATGTTGCACTATTTTATTGTTGTTAGATGCCCTGAGCCCGGCTTTGGCTGGGGAGGACGGGATATAAATAAAATTTATTATTATTATTAGTTATTTTTAGAATATATATATATATATATATATATATATATATATATGATAATAATATAAGAATGATTTAGGCCTGCTGGCCTCCTCTGGTTCGTAGGAACAATAAAAACCTTCCTTTGACCTTGCACAAAAAAGATAAGCCGGCAATTGTTGCTTTTGGGATGTGCAATGCATTTCCTCCTTCCTAAGTTTGGCGGTGGCAACCAGGAAGGCAGCTGGGTCTCTGTGGCGCAATCGGTTAGCGCGTTCGGCTGTTAACCGAAAGGTTGGTGGTTCGAGCCCACCCAGGGACGCGGTGGGAAGCTTCGCTTTTTAAAAAATATATATTCCTTTTTAAATATATATATATATTTTGCAAAAATAAAATAAGAATGCACGCCTCCTTGGCAAGCTGGGGCGCGCGAGATTGCATCAAGGGAGGTTGATAGCAATATGGATTGGTCGGTAGGGACGCTATAAAAAATATCTATATATGTGCAAGGAAGGGCAAGGGAGTCTTTGCCCGGAACCAAGATGGCCGCGCCGGCAACAAAGCCGGAAGCAGTTATTTCAAGCACATTTTTATTTTTATTTTGTCTTTTTCGTTTTTTATTATCATTTTTCTTTTCTCATTTTGTATTTTTCCTTCTGGACATTTGGATGCCATGCTTAATTCTTGCTTTCTCTGTCATTCTTTAAAATGCAACAGAAAATAAAAAGAAAATAAATAATAAAAATAAAAATAAAAAATAAATAAAAATAAAAATAAAAAATAAATAAAAATAAACAACGTCCCTAAGCCAGTTTGTTACTAGAATGTATTTTGATTTCAAAGAATGTAATTTTGACCTTGAAAAGCCTGGAGCGGGGAAAGCCTGCTATTCCTCCCCTTCGCCTCTAGGTGGCAGCAGCAGCAACAGCAGCAGCAGGAGGCGCCTCCAGGAGCCGGAAGCGGAACCCTGGTAGGGCGGAACTATGTTGGCGGCGGCGGCGGTTCCCCACCCGGAGCCTTTAGGGAGCAGCACCCGCCTGGCTCCGCCCAGGGAGGGAGAAGGTGGCTTGAAGGGCTGCAGAAATGGCGACTCTGGCAGGTGAGGGGGGGCTGGGCTGGAGGGGTGGGGGTATATATTTGGGGGGGGGGGCTTCCCATGCTGGCTGACCCCCCCAGGCAGGCAGGGAGGGAGGGGTCAAGGGACCAGGAGCTGCCCCCTTCCAAACTCTAAAGGTCAACAGCCCCAGATATGCAGATGACACAACTTGGATGGCAGAAAGTGAGGAGGAATTGTTATTGCGACTCTTTATATTGGATCAGATTTTTACTGTTAATGCTTCATGTTTTTTGGGGGGGGGTTGGAAGACGCCCAGAGTATGGGCTGGGTATAAATAAATAAATTGTTAGTGTTGTTGTTGTCTTTAAACATTAATTTTAACTGTTTTGTTTAAGTTAATCCTGCTAATGTACTTACATGTGTACTGTACAATAGCATTTCAAATAATTCACAAATTTCCCCCAGTCTTTTATAAAGTTTCCCCCTTCTTGGTTCCTTATTGCTCCCATAAATTTTGCACTGGGATGAGAGTCTTCTTTCAGTTTCTGAGCTTATATCCTCCTGGCTGCGGTCATCGTAGCAGACATAAACAGTTATGATTTCATATAGATATTTTTAAATTGTCCACGCAAGGCCTCCCATTCATCTCTCAACAGATTTCAGGTTTTTGATGAGGGGGTGCCGAATGGATGGTCAAGCCCCTTTTTGAAGAAACGTAAGCGCTTTGCAATATAGACGATCAGCTTCAGGTCCTGGGTATAATTCTTACTATTTATATACCGCTCATCTGACTGGGTTGCCCCAGCTACTCTGGGTGGCTTCCAACAAAATACTAAAACACCAAAACCCTCAAACCTTCCTGTGCAGCCTGTTGTTGTTGTTGTTTAGTCGTTTAGTCGTGTCCGCCTCTTCGTGACCCCCTGGACCAGAGCACGCCAGGCCCTCCTGTCTTCCACTGCCAGTTTGGTCAAACTCATGTTCATAGCTTCTAGAACACTGTCCCACCATCTCGTCCTCTGTCGTCCCCTTATCCTTGCGTCCTCCATCTTTCCCAACATCAGGGTCTTTTCCTTTTTTTTTTTTAAATGATATTTATTAAAGTTTCAAAAGAAGGATACATAAATAAGAAAGAGAAAAATAGAAAAAAGAAAAATACCAAATACCAAAAAAAACCCAATTAAAAACAATTCCATCTTATCATCACTTCTCTTTCATTTACTTGTTTCCCGGACCTCCTCATACCTCCCTTTTTTGTATTCCAGTTCAATTTATTAGTTCAGCAGTTCCTTTCCCTCCTTTTTAATCCTGATCTTTAATCTTAATATATTATAACATTAGGTTTTTACGTATTGAAAATCCAATTTTTCCATATTCCTTTATACCATTACAGCTGGAAACCACTTAACTTCAATCCAACATCATTCTAACATTCATTAATTTTGCAATATTTCTGTAAATAGTCTTTAAATTTCCTCCAATCTTCTTCCACCGACTCTTCTCCCTGGTCTCGGATTCTGCCAGTCATTTCCGCCAATTCCATGTAGTCCATCATTTTCATCTGCCATTCCTCCAGTGTGGGTAGGTCTTGTGTCTTCCAATGCTTTGCAATAAGTATTCTTGCTGCTGTTGTAGCATACATACATCAGGGTCTTTTCCAGGGAGTCTTCTCTTCTCATGAGTCTTGGAGCCTCAGCTTCAGGATCTGTCCTTCCAGTGAGCACTCAGGGCTGATTTCCTTCCGAATGGAGAGGTTGGATCTTCTTGCAGTCCATGGGACTCTCAAGAGTCTCCTCCAGCACCAGAATTCAAAAGCATCTATTCTTCGGCGATCGGCCTTCTTTATGGTCCAGCTCTCACTTCCATACATCACTACTGGGAAAACCAGAGCTTTTACTATACGGACCTTTGTTGGCAAGGTACTGTATGGACCTTTGTTGGAAGACAGGAGTGCCTGGCATGCTCTGGTCCAGGGGGTCACCAAGAGGCAGACACGATTAAACAACAACGTGTCCGCCTCTTCGTGACCCCGTGGACCAGAGCACGCCAGTTCCCGCAGGTCGAAGCAGCCGCTTAAACTATATAAGAGGGTTTTGTTGGAGGGAGAGGCGGAGAGAGGGAAAACTCTAGGGGCCTCATTTAAAGAAAACCTGTCTCCCAGATGCTTTGCGCTGATTTTAGAGGGTAGGGGTCTGCACCCAGAAAAGACGTCTGGGCCGTTGAGAGGCCTTGGCCCCCAGATCTCGGAAGAGCAGGCAGGGAGGCTAACAAAGCGCGTACTCTGTTATGGATCTTGGTAATATGAGCCTTGTGCTAGGAAGCTGGAAATGGTCCCTCGGGTGACTGGAAAGTGGCGGGGATGTTGTCAGGCGAAGGCAAGTGGAACAGGTGCTCAGGCACAGCGCCCAGGCGCTGGATCAGTCCCCCAGTTGCCGCAGTTGGCCCGTTTGCAGCCTTCGGAGGATGGTGCCTTATGCTCCCTCCAAACAAAATTGGTAGAATTGTATTTATTATTATTAAACTTTATTTGCACATTAAATGTTACATGTAATCAACCACGTTATTCTATTATATAAAAAAAGATCTACACAAAAAGAAAAAAGAAAGAAAAGACAAAAACAAAAAAATACAAACGGGAAAATCTTGTCAAAAACATACAGCTGTTTAATAAATACAAACCATCATTGATGATACAGTGGTACCTCGGGTTGCATACGCTTCAGGTTACAGACTCCGCTAACCCAGAAATAGTACTTCGGGTTAAGAACTTTGCTTCAGGATGAGAACAGAAATCGCGTGGCGGCAGCAGGAGGCCCCATTAGCTAAAGTGGTGCTTCAGGTTAAGAACAGTTTCAGGTTAAGAATGGACCTCCGGAACGAATTAAGTACTTAACCCGAGGTACCACTGTATTCTAAACACATATTTCCAGTGAGAGATCCTTTTATCTTGACCTTATCTTTTACTCCTCGCAACTCTCACTTTCTCATCTGTACCTAATCTCTGGTTTTATTCCCTGATTTATTTGATGACTTCCTTCTGCCTCTACGCGGTTACTAATTTCTCATCTATTAAAGTCTCTGCGTCCATTTTTAGCTCTGCGAAAAGCCATTTGTATTATCTCTGTGGAATTTAATCTATGCTCAACCACTGTGGTTTTCTTTCCAGCTTCCCGCGTCGCCACGCATGGCCTGTCCCTTTGGAGGTAAGCATGCCTGAAGCAATTCTCACTCTCTTAGAGAACACTGAGCCCAATTCTTTGATTATTTTGGCTCTTTAAAGGTAAAGGGACCCCTGACCATTAGGTCCAGTCGTGGCTGACTCTGGGGTTGCAGCGCTCATCTCGCTTTACTGGCCGAGGGAGCCGGCGTACAGCTTCCGGGTCATGTGGCCAGCAGGACTAAGCCGCTTCTGGCGAACCAGAGCAGCGCACGGAAACGCCGTTTACCTTCCCGCCGGAGTGGTACCTATTTATCTACTTGCACTTTGACGTGCTTTCGAACGGCTAGGTTGGCAGGAGCAGGGACCGAGCAACGGGAGCTCACCCCGTCATTGTGGGGATTCGAACCGCGACCTTCTGATCGGCAAGTCCTAGGCTCTGTGGTTTAACCCACAGCACCACCTGCGTCCCTCACTATATACTGCTTAATCACCCACGCTTCGGAGCGAAGATTAACTAAACACGCAAAGCGACGCCATTTTCGGTCATTTAGTAAATGGCAGGAGGTGGGGGGGAGGTTTCAAATCCCGCTAAGTTCTACTCAGAGTAAACCCACTGGAATTTATGTACGTAGGTTAGCAGTGCCCATTGGTTCCAGCGGGTCTCCTCTGAACAGGATGATATTGGGCACAGCAGTTGTTTGTGGAAGGGCGTAAATCGTTCTGAGCCCTTAAAAATAAGACGTGTGCCCGGTTTTAGACGTTTCATTTCTGTTCCCTAAGCGAAGCTAACTCTGCAACGCTATACAGGCCGACTCTGAAGCAAGTCGAATGAATGAATCTTTATTTGCGCCCGCCATCAGCCATAGCAATAAAACAATACGATATACCAAGAATAGAAATAAAAAGTCAATTATGTAAGATACATTTTAGGGTTTTGAATCAATGGTCAAATCGTGGGTCTTATTCCGATTGCCCCAGCGAGAAACCCTGCAACCTTTGCTCATCTTGATCTGCCAGGAGAAAGGACCCTGGGGCAGTGGCTGGGCGACTGGGAATGGACGATAAAAGAGGGGTGATAATCTCATTCCTCAAGTCTTTATAAAGAGGGCAAGCCAGAAGGGCATGCGCCACCAATTCGGGACTGCCACCTCCACAGAGACATAAGCATTTTTTGTGTGGGATCTGTTGGAATCGTCCCTCAAGTCCAGCCGAGGGCAAGACATTCAATCTTGCAAGAGTAAAACTTCGTCTATATTTTAGAATTGCTAGGTGATGCAGAGAGGGTGGCAGAGAGTCGAAACAGGAAGGTAGGAAATAGCAAGCTGTTTGAGGCTTACTCTCAAGTAACTGTGTAGGCCAGTGGCTCCCTGGGGGAAGGGGGCAGCCCTTTGTTCCCATCCGATACCCTGCAAAAAGAATTGCTCAGAAGAGCGGTAGGTCTGCCCCACTAAAGGTAAAGGGACCCCTGACCATTAGGTCCAGTCGTGGCCGCGTCTGGGGTTGCGGCACTCATCTCGCTTTACTGGCAGAGGGAGCCGGCTTACAGCTTCCGGGTCGTGGCCAGCATGATTAAGCCGCTTCTGGCAAACCAGAGCAGCGCACGGAAACACCGTTTACCTTCCCGCCGGAGCAGTACCTATTTATCTACTTGCACTTTGACGTGCTTTCGAACGGCTAGGTGGGCAGGAGCAGGGACCGAGCAACGGGAGCTCACCCCGTCATTGCGGGGATTCGAACCACCACTTCTGATCGGCAAGTCCTAGGCTCTGTGGTTTAACCCACAGCGCCACCCGCGTCCCTCTGCCCCACTAAAGGAGGATGCTATTGCAACTTTGGGTGGGATGATGATTTTGAGCACTGTGCACGAGCCCCGCTTTGAGACCCACAACTTCTCACTCTCCCCGAACAGGCCGCTCGCGGCGTCCAGTGCACCCGCTCGCTCGCTTCATCAGACGCCCATGACAGACAGCACAGACAGGTAGGCCGAACCCCAAATACGCCCCCCCCTTTGCTGGGCAGCCTGGGGGGATTCTATTCGCAAAACCAGTTTGGTGTTTCACAACTTTCTGACTAGTTGCAGGACCTTAGCCAGACCTAGCAGAATCCACGGAATCAATTGGCAACTTGGCTGCAGACAGGATAGACGGAGCAGGAACCAGGAACTTGTCGTTAGGTGTTTATTATATACAGTGGACTGTTTACAGGAACAGAACACGGATCTTTTGATAGCTCTCTCTGACACGACTCACAACTCCTACACTGACACACAGAACTCTGAACACTGAAATACTGAACACTGAACTAACACATTCCAGTTAGCAGGCCATTAATTAGCACTCCCTTGAGAGAGCTTGACCAATCAGGGAGCAGTCTCCATGTCTCGGTTATCACCAGGCAGACTTACTCCTTCAGATTGCCATCTGGCTGTCTGCCAAACCTTAACTGACTCTGTCAGTAGCTGCATGTACACAGTTTCCCAACAGATTCCATGGGGCAGGCGGAAAGGAACTTTGAGAGCCGCCGAGGGGTAGCCACAAACCAGGGAGACCTCGCTTCCAATCGCCTCTCCTCGAGCTCATTTGGGACCTCGAGCCGGTCGCCCACCTCTCAGCTTAGCCTGCCTCGTAGAATTGTAGCATTGGAAGGGGAACCCAGGGGTCATCCAGCCCAACCCCCGGCAATACAGGGGTTGCGGCGAAAGATGGCCTTCCACCCTCTGCTTAAAAACCTCCGAGAAAGGAGAGTCCACCACTTTCCCGAGGGAGACTGTTCTGTTATCAAACAGCTCTTACCACTAGAAAGTTATTCCTGATGTTTGAATCCGTTGGTTCGGGTCCTTGCTGGCTCCATCTCCCATGGGACAACTGCTCTTCCAATATTTGATGATGGATCTCCTATCTCATACGCTTCTCTAAGATTATTTATATCCTGCTTTCCACTCACGTAGGTCTCAAAACGACCTCCAACAACGATAACATATAAGCAGTTTAAAACTCACACATTTTTAAACACCAAGAATTTTATATCTCCACCCGAAAACATCTGAGATCCATCCAGGGCGATGCAAAGGCCACTGGGAATAGAACAGTTTGACCGGACATCTGAAAATCCAGTAGGGATGGGAGTCTCCTTGCTGGACTCTCTGCCTAACTTGTCCCTGCCTAATTTCTTGTGGGAGGGAGTTCCATAGGTCTGTGCAGCCGATACCATAATTTGCACCCAGCTCTTGTTCTTGTGGGACTCCAGTCAGAAACCAGCAAGGTTGGAGCGATAACAGGAGCCATGAAACTGGGTTCTAAGGGGGTCGTCTAGCCCGAACCCCTGTGATTCCTCAGCAGGGAACGGTGCCCTGATGGTATCCTTTTCTTCGTAGTTCTGCTCAGCTTCAGCAGAAGAGCGCCAGCACCGTCGTTCAAAAGAAGTCGTACCTTCCTAGCAGCCGGGGCGAGTACGTCATCACCAAGCTAGACGACTTGGTCAATTGGGCTCGGCGGGTGAGTGGCAGCTTTGTGAAAATTATTATTATTATTATTATTATTATTATTATTAAAGGGTAAAGGTAAAGGGACCCATGACCATTAGGTCCCGTCGTGGCCGACTCTGGAGTTGCGACGCTCATCTCGCTTTACTGGCCGAGGGAGCCGGCGTACAGCTTCCGGGTCATGTGGCCAGCAGGACTAAGCCGCTTCTGGCGAACCAGAGCAGCGCATGGAAACGCCGTTTACCTTCCCGCCGGAGTGGTGCCTATTTATCTACTTGCGCTGGTGTGCTTTCGAACTGCTAGATTGGCAGGAGCAGGGACTGAGCAACGGGAGCTCACCCCGTTGTGGGGATTCGAACCGCCGACCTTCTGATTGGCAAGCACTAGGCTCTGTGGTTTAACCCACAGCGCCACCCACGTCCCTATTATTATTATTTTGTTTAATTGCTGCTAGAGACTTAGTTCATCCTGCCCGTAACATCTCCTGCAGGCCCTCAAGCCTTATATACCTGTGTTTTACCCCGAGCCACACTTGACCTTTCACTTTCCCAAATGCGGAAGCCGCAAAAACAAAACCGCAAAATAAATAGCGAAAACAGACAGACCTCAGCGTAACACTCAAAACGGAGCATGTTCGGCTTCCAAAAAATGTTCGCAAACCGGAACACCTACTTCCGGGTTTGCTAGTGTTTGAGTTCCAAGTTGTTTGAGAACCAAGGCATTTGAGAACCAAGGTACCACTGTATTAGCACCTACAATTCCTAATAGAAAAGCCTCGAGTTTTTAAAATAAAAGTTAGTGGCTCATAGGGATGCTGGTGGCGCTGTGGGTTAAACCACAGAGCCTAGGACTTGCCGATCAGAAGGTCGGCGGTTCGAATCCCTGCGACAGGGTGAGCTCCCGTTGCTCGGTCCCTGCTCCTGCCAACCTAGCAGTTCGAAAGCACAAAGCGCAAGTAGATCAATAGGTACCACTCTGGCGGGAAGGTCAACGGCGTTTCCGTGCACTGCTCTGGTTCGCCAGAAGCGGCTTAGTCCTGCTGGCCACATGACCCAGAAGCTGTACGCCGGTTCCCTCGGCCAATAAAGCAAGATGAGCGCCGCAACCCCAGAGTCAGCTACGACTGGACCTAATGGTCAGGGGTCCCTTTACCTTTACCTAGTGGCTCATATCTCAATGCTGAGCATCTCCTCCGCCCACAGAGCTCCTTGTGGCCGATGACCTTCGGCTTGGCTTGCTGCGCCGTCGAGATGATGCACATGGCTGCGCCCCGCTACGACATGGACCGCTTCGGGGTGGTCTTCCGAGCCAGCCCCCGGCAAGCCGACGTCATGATCGTGGCGGGCACGCTCACCAATAAGATGGCACCCGCTCTTCGGAAGGTAGGCCGGGTGGAATCCGAGAGGCGGCACTTTCAGGGACGATGGGAGACGTTGGTTTGGCCCGAGGGCCATATTCGCTTCTGGGGGGCCGCCTGCTGGCAGAGGGCAGGGCTAAAGGCGAAATGTTTTAAACAATTTAAAATTTTGGTTCCTCTTGTTTTGCTTCTGTTGGGGTTGGTAAAATGTTTAGTCGGGGCTGGTGGTTATATTAACTTGGGCATAACTGTAAACTTTTTATTATTATTATTATTATTATTATTATTATTATTATTAATTTCTGTCCCACCCCATCTGGCTGGGTTTCCCCAGCCACTCTGGGCAGCTTACAGCATATATAAATACAGTGGTACCTCGGGTTAAGTACAGTGGTGCCCTGCAAGACGAATGCCTCGCAAGACGGAAAACCCGCTAGACGAAAGGGTTTTCCGTTTTCAATGCGCTTCGCAGGACGAATTTCCCTATGGGCTTGCTTCGCAAGACGAAAATGTCTTGCGAGTCTTGAGATTTTTTTTCGCTCCCCCCCCCTTTTTCTAAGCCGCTAAGCCTTTAATAGCCTTTTAGCAGCTAAGCCGATAAGCCGATAAGCCTTTAATAGCCGCTGAACCGCTAATAGCGCTAATCTGCTAAGCCGCTAATAGGGTTGCTTCGCAAGACGAAAAAACCGCTAGACGAAGAGACTCGCGGAACGGATTAATTTCGTCTTGCGAGGCACCACTGTACTTAATTCGTTCCGGATGTCCGTTCTTAACCTGAAACTGTTCTTAACCTGAAGCACCACTTTAGCTAATGGGGCCTCCTGCTGCCGCTGTAGCACAATTTCTGTTCTTATCCTGAAGCAAAGTTCTTAACCTGAAGCACTATTTCTGGGTTAGCGGAGTGTGTAACCTGAAGCGTATGTAACCCGAGGTACCACTGTACAGATTATAAATAAACCAGTAAAACAACAGAAACTAATAATAATGATGGCATCCAGAAGGGAACACAGCCCTCAGGCAGAGTACAAAGTTTTAAAGGGCAGAAGCAATTATTACTATTATTATTATTATTATTATTATTATTATTATTATTAGTTTCTATTGATTTATTGGTTTGTTTATAATCTGTACAGCCGTACCTTTGATATTCTGTGAAATTTTTAATGTGTGTGTTTTTTTGTGCGCGGGGTGGGTGTGTTGCTGTTTTAACAATTTATTTTGCGCTTCTATCTTGTGTTTCCACCCTGTGTGCCACAGGATGAAGGGCGGTGTACACATTCAATAAATAAAAATAAACTTACTAAGCTTTGCAGATCCAGGTCTCTGCAACTCATTTTGACTCCAGAATGCAAAACCCGTCATCTTCTTTGTTTCAACAGGTGTACGACCAGATGCCTGAGCCACGCTACGTAGTCTCCATGGGGAGGTAAAGAAAAATGGAAATATTTCTTTCCTATTGTCATCGGGGAAAGTGGGTGTACTTTGTAATCATTTTTCAAGCTTATAACCTCCATTCATCTCCCTGCTGCTGGTTGTCGCCCGTGATTTGAACTCTAGGCTCTGACGTGCTTTTGCTGCTGTCTCTACTGAATCTTTCCTCCTCCTGCAAACCGCACTCCCTGATGTTTCCGCGGAGGGGGAAACGTTTAAACCGACGTATCTCATAATCACCAGTGCCACCTCTTGGGGGCGGGCAGCCAAGGGTGCCAGAGGTGCAAATATAATAAATATAATAATCAGATTTCGAAAAGCTGGTATCATGGGATTAAGTCCATCCGTTTGGTTGAAATAATCAAATTTAAATAGTTTAAATTGGATTTTGAACACATGCAATCAACCACTCCTGTTGGAATTTCATCACACTGTTATCGTCCTTTGTGGGCTGTGCAAACTGCTATTCCGAATACCGTTTTTTTATAGGGTTGGGGGCACTGGGGGTGAGTTTGCGACACCAAAAAGATGACTTAAATAGTGAATAATAGGTTGGCTAAAACACTGGACTGCCCTCCATTGGTTTTTTGTCCTGTTATTTTTCAGCTGTGCTAACGGTGGCGGCTACTACCATTACTCTTACTCCGTGGTTCGTGGCTGTGACCGGATCGTGCCGGTGGACATCTACGTCCCAGGTAAACAAGACGACGTGCGTCACTGGGGGTTGGACTAGATGACCGTTGGGGGACCGTTCCAACTCTACGGTTCTCTGATCTTGATAGCTGCCTCTCCTTGGCTGCTCTTCCCCAGCCTGCAGCCGCTTCAGACTCCCATCAGCCCAGGACATGGAGTCCAAAGTGGCTGGTGATGACTCTGGACTTGAGATCTGGCCTTCTTCCAGAGTCGTTTTGGACTCACAGCTATCCATGTAGGCGTAGGTCCATTCTGGTGGATCAGGCCCGTCCAGCATGGGTGGCCAACAAGATTCCCCCAAGGAAAGCCCACAAGCATGTTCTGAGCCCCAGAACAACTCTCTCCCTCTGTGGTTTGTAGCAACAGATATTCAGAAGCATTCACAGCTGTCCATGGAGGCGCAGGTCCATTCTGCGTCTAGGGCAGCTGTCTACCAGCTCCATCTGGTATGCAGAATGAAACCCTCCCTGCCCGTAGACTGTCTCCCCAGAGTGGTGCATGCTCTGGTTATCTCCCGCTTGGACTACTGCCATGCGCTCTCCGTGGGGCTACCTTTGAAGGTGACCCCGAAACTACAACTAATCCAGAATGCGGCAGCCAGACTGGGGACTGGGAGAGGCCGCTGGGACCACATAACACCAGTCCTGAAAGACCTACATTGGCTCCCAGTACGTTTCCAAGCACAATGCAAAGTGTTGGTGTTGACCTTCAAAGCCCTAAACGGCCCAGTAGACCTGAAGGAGCGTCTCCACCCCCATCGTCCAGCCTGGACACTGAGGTCCAGCTCCGAGGGCCTTCTGGCGGTTCCCTCCCTGTGAGTTGTGAGCTTACAGTAGTACCTCGGGTTAAGTACTTAATTCGTTCCAGAGGTCCGTTCTTAACCTGAAACTGTTCTTAACCTGAAGCACCACTTTAGCTAATGGGGCCTCCTGCTGCTGCTGTGCCGCCAGAACACAATTTCTGTTCTCATCCTGAAGCAAAGTTCTTAACCCGTAGTACTATTTCTGGGTTAGCGGAGTCTGTAACCTGAAGAGTCTGTAACCTGAAGCATATGTAACCCGAGGTACCACTGTACAGGGAACATGACAGAGGGCCTTCTCGGTGGTGGCGCCCGCCCTGTGGAAGGCCCTCCCATCCGATGTCAAGGAAATAAACAACTATCTGACTTTTAGAAGACATCTGAAGGCAGCCCTGTTTAGGGAGGTTTTTATTGTTTGATGTTTCATAATTTGCTGGGAGCCACCCAGAGTGGCCGGAGCAACCCAGTCAGATTTGCTGCATATAAAAAAACAGATCATTATTGCTATTGTTATCCCTTAGGATAACTTTCCAACTTTACGATTCTGTTATCATTATGCAATACAAGGATTTCTGGTCTGGACAACCGCCTTGCCTCTGCCCTGTGATGGTCTGACTGCGAACCTCCTTTTTCGCAGGTTGCCCCCCAACAGCCGAAGCTCTCCTCTACGGGATCCTGCAGCTGCAGCGCAAGATCAAGCGGGAAAAACGACTCCAGATTTGGTACCGGAAGTAGCAACGGCACGTCGGCTGGCGGGCCCGAAAATGACGGTGGCGCACGTGGTTTAGCGCATTTTGCACACAGCTCTTTCTCTACAAGTTTGCAATTATATATAGAGATAAACAGAGTACATTGGTTTGGTGGCCCGTCTCTTTTCACAATCAAGGGCTTCTCGCAGGGAGGGAACCGCCAGAAGGCCCTCGGAGCTGGACCTCAGTGTCCGGGCTGGACGATGGGGGTGGAGACGCTCCTTCAGGTCTACTGGGCCGTTTAGGGCTTTCAAGGTCAACACCAACACTTTGAATTGTGCTCGGAAACGTCCTGGGAGCCAATGCAGATCTCTCAGGACCGGTGTTATGTGGTCCCGGCGGCCACTCCCAGTCACCAGTCTAGCTGCCGCATTCTGGATTAGTTGTAGTTTCTGGGTCACCTTCAAAGGTTTGAAGCATACAGTGGTACCTCGGGTTAAGTACTTAATTCGTTCCAGAGGTCCGTTCTTAACCTGAAACTGTTCTTAACCTGAAGCACCACGTTAGCTAATGGGGCCTCCTGCTGCCGCTGCGCCACCAGAGCACGATTTCTGTTCTCATCCTGAAGCAAAGTTCTTAACCTGAAGCACTATTTCTGGGTTAGCGGAGTCTGTAACCTGAAGCGTATGTAACCCGAGGTACCACTGTATTACCATCATGAGGGCTGCCAGCATGAGTTTGACCAAACTGCGGGAGGCAGTGGAAGACAGGAGTGCCTGGTGTGCTCTGGTCCACAGTGTCACGAAGTGTCGGACACAACTAAACAACACCATCATGGGGACTAGAAGCTTTTCTTTTTAAAAGCTGAAGTTGCGGTTCTGGGAACACTAACACACACACACCCCATTCACACATTTTGCAACTGGTGACTTCGGGCCAGTTGCTAGCTCTCTGCCTAACCAACCTCTCACGGTTGTTGTGAAGATTAAATGAGGGAGGGGAGAACTAAACACACCAAGTTGAGCTCCTTTGTTAGGAATAAGTTGGGATATACCACATTTTTTGCTCTATAAGACGCACCAGACCACAAGACGCACCTAGTTTTTGGAGGAGGAAAACAAGAAAAAAAATATTCTGAATCTCAGAAGCCAGAACAGCAAGAGGGATCGTTGCGCAGTGAAAGCAGCAATCCCTCTTGCTGATCTGGCTTCTGGGATAGCTGCGCAGCCTGCATTCGCTCCATAAGACGCACACACATTTCCCCTTACTTTTTAGGAGGGAAAAAGTGAGTCTTAGAGAGCAAAAAATACGGTAAATGTGAAACTGCGATAGCAAGAGCGGGATGAGACCCAGCATCGTTCGGGTCGACTTCCGGAAGGCAGCCTGTTTGCTCAGGGGATAAAAGTTTGTGGTTTGGAGGCAGGAAGCCCCGGGTTCAAACTCCGGTTAAAAAAGAGGCAGGTGTAAAAAAGACCTCTGTTTGGAGAGCTGCTGCCAGACAGAGTAGTCCTCAGCAGGCTGCATGGACCAATCGTCTGCCTTTAGAGCAGGGGTCGGCAAGGTTTGTCTTGCGTGGGCCAGATTGGTCCCGCTTGTGATTTCCGGCGTTTGCACAGACGCGATTTCCGGCGCCGCAGAAGCGAGTCCCTGCACCACACCGCACTGTGCTAGTTTAGCGCAGCGCACGAGCGGGCAGCTCAGTTTGGGGGCCGGTCAAACGACATCCGGCCAGTGGGCCTTAGGTTGCTGACCCCTGCTTTAGAGCCTTGTTACAGCGAGTGGTGCTGTGGGTTAAACCACAGAGCCTAGGACTTGCCGATCAGAACGTCGGCAGTTCGAATCCCTGCAATGACAGGGTGAGCTCCCGTTGCTCGGTCCCTGCGCCTGCCAACCTAGCAGTTCGAAAGCACGTCAAAGTGCAAGTAGATAAATAGGTACCACTCCGGCGGGAAGGTAAACGGCGTTTCTGTGCGCTGCTCTGGTTCGCCAGAAGCGGCTTAGTCCTGCTGGCCACATGACCCGGAAGCTGTACGCCGGCTCCCTCGGCCAATAAAGTGAGATGAGCGCCGCAACCCCAGAGTCGGTCACGACTGGACCTAATGGTCAAGGGTCCCTTTACCTTTACTACAGCAACAGAAGATAGGCTGGTGACTTATACGTAGCCAGACTACTGATCCATCCGGCTTAGTACGGTCTACACTGGCTGGCAGCCATTCTCCCGCATGGAGATGTCGGGGATGGAACCCGGCGCCTTCCACAGGCCACACAGGTACTGAGCTGAAAAGTCATGTCCCTAGTCCTCATGGTTCTGAATGGAAAGGCAAATTTGAACAGGAGTCGGCCTGTTACCAAATCAGACCAGAAGCCCATCTATCTACAAGGGCCGGCAGGGGCTGTGTGGGGTCTGCAGGCAGAGAAGGGTCTACCGCAGCCCTGCTTACGGAGACGCCACCGGAGGAATCGATCCACACCCAGTTTGCCGTTCGGCAGAGATGAAAGGAGACAAGGCAATGTGGAAAAGAATTCTCTTGATCGACAGAACAGATTGCAATTTTTTTGGCTAAAGGGCTCGTGTCCATGTGCCCGGAGGCTCGAAAAACGAGAGGCCATCTCCCTCCCCGATTTCTGTTTGGCCGCAAAAGAGCGGACCGTCTCGGCTGCTCCTGCTGCGGTCAGCATGCCCTTCCTCAGAGAGCTAGCCGGTGGGGGAACGGGCTGGCAGCTCTACTTGATGAGGGCGGGAGTGATCATTTTGGGGAAGGAGTAGTATCTGCAGTCGGACGGAGGGACGAGGTCCATGACGGCCGTGTGGATGTTCTCCTTCTTGAAACCGGCCTCCACCAGGTGCTCCACCTGCGTTTCCTAAAATGCGGGAGGAAAGCGCCTTGAGGAGACTTTAAACCCACCACACAAGACACGCGGTTGTAAAGAACCAGCAATTTGAATGCACTATGAACATCCAACACCAGAGGGTGCCAGAGAGCAGAGAATTTTAAAACGCAGTTTTCCTTGGGGTTTTTTTTTTCTTATAACGATCCAAGGAAGAAGAATGGCGATGAGTGCCGTTTAAATCTATGGGGTGGGTCTACTTGCGGGAGCCAGACTAGAATTCGCACGGACACAGAGCTCTTGTCCCCTGGCCTCCACCCTCCTGCAAAGCCCTCCCTCTCCCTCACCTGAAACATCTTCTCGATGTCCGAATACTTGTTCTTGAGGAGGTCTCCCCAAGAGGTCAGGTTGCAGTAGGTGAGGACCCCTCCGGGCTTCAGAAGGCGGTAAGCATGGCCCTGCAGGAAAGTGGGGAGGGATGGGAGTTATGGCAGACTTTGTGGGGCTCTTTCCCCCCAGGACGCCTTGCTGGGGATTTTTGTCCTGGAAAGGTTGGGGGTCCCTGCTGGTTGCATCCCCGTATCTGAAGTTAGGAATGTTATAAGAAAACAAGCCCTGCTCCTTTTCCCTTATGGGGTATTCAAGAGCCTATACAGAGTCCTTTTGTAGGTTCTCTGTTGGTAAAAGGACCCCTGACCATTAGGTCCAGTCGTGACCGACTCTGGGGTTGCGGCGCTCATCTCGCTTCATTGGCTGAGGGAGCCGGCGTACAGCTTCCGGGTCATGTGGCCAGCAGGACTAAGCCGCTTCTAGTGAACCAGAGCAGCACATGGAAATGCCATTTACCTTTCTGCCGGAGCGGTACCTATTTTATCTATTTGCACTTTGACGTGCTTTTGAACTGCTAGGTTGGCAGGAGCAGGGACCGAGCAACGGGAGCTCACCCCGTCATTGCAGGAATTCGAACCGCCGACCTTCTGATCGGCAACTCCTAGGCTCTGTGGTTTAACCCACAGCACCACCCGCGTCCCTTAACCGCGTCTGTTGGTAGGAGAAAATAAATGAGGCAAACCAGAGCATATTGAGAAGCAAAGCAGCTAGTAAGCCTGATCTTTTATTAAAGCTGTTGCAACAGGGAGAGAGGTGGAGGACCCAGGACAAAGGTGTGCAAAGCCCTTATATAGACTTTTGCACTGCCCACCCTGGAACCCAAGACCGCCCCTCCATACATCATACATACATCACGGAAGGGGTGTAGCCCAAGACCAACCCCCAGTACATCAGAGAAGAGGCGGACTACAACAGAAATCTGAGTGCGTTGCTTTTATCCTGTCTGCCAGGTTACCTGATTGAATTACCTGGGCATGCTGGCCACTCTTTTGTTATGATGACTACTCAATTCCTGAATCCGGGTCACAGGCTCAACCTATTCATACCTTAAATGTGCCCTTGAGACAGGATTTGTGAACAAAGAGACAGGGGGGAGGCTCCCCATTTCCTTTGACCTTGCAGAGAAATATCCGAGGTCATTTGGGAGAGACAAAATGGATTCAGAACTTTTTTCTGTACTGTATTAAATTTAGAAGATCTGGCAGCCACGATTTAAGACTTTCGAAAAGAAAGAAGGACAATAAACGAAAAGCAGATTAAAACTCGCATCACATGATTTCAGCCAGTGCCGGATTTACGTATAAGCCAAGCAAGCTATAGCTTAGAGCCCCACTCTCTTGGAGACCCCCCAAAATATACTTCTTCTTAATTGTATTTCAGTTCAACAATTACTTGGATAAAATACATATTTTGTTATGTGCAAATGGCTTCAGATACCTGTTAAGTCCATAAATTACCTTATAGCATGTATTCAACACAAAAAAGAGCGACAATTTGTTGTTGACAAAGGACAGCTGGGCGTATAAAGGGCCCCATTACCTTCAGTAGCTTGGGGCCTCGTCAAACCTAAATCCGGCCCTGATTTCAGCCTATATTCGCGGCTGCCGTGCTGAGCTCCTGGATTTCAAAACTGACCGCCCTGCAATCACCAGCGACGAAGGGAAAGCCACGATCCCTGTTGCTACCTTCCCAGGAACTGCCAGGGAGCGCTCAAAAAAATACTCTTGATCATTCCTGCCCTGAAGGGCTTGCTTTTGGGTTTGCGATATTTCTTTAGGAAGAAATACCTCGCTTTTTGCGACTGCCGTCACGCCTTACCTTGATGAAGCTGAACTGGTGAGTGTGCCAGGTTTCGGCTGAGAGAGGGTACGTGTCGTAGAGGATTCCTGGAGGTTGCAGGAAAGAAACAGGAAAACAGAAGAGGTTACTTTGCCAACTTAGGAGTCTCCCGCACCTCCTAAAGCAGGGGTCTGCAACCCGCAGCTCACGTGGCCCTTTTACACCTTTGCTGCGGCTCCGGGGCAGATACTAGCGAGGGGAGGAGGCGCATTGTGCGCCCCGACACTCCCCACTGTGGCGGGCGCTGTACTGGCTGTGACGTCGCATGGGGGCGGTGCGTGCGTTAGTCACGCACTGTCCCGACGTCACCTTCCCGCCTGCCCGCCCGCTACATTGTAAGGGGCATGTACGCTGGTCACTGTTTTGAAGGGGAGTGAAGAACACACACACACAAAAAGGTAACTTGTTAATTTAACGTTTATTTCTATGAGGAGGAGTAATTCTGAGGGGTCAAACAAAGAAATAATAAAAAAGTGACAAAAAAGTTATTTTTATAATGACGAGTTTTGCAGCTCCCAGTTGTTGTTTTTCTTCGGAAACGGGTCCAAGTGGCTCTTTTTGTCTTAAAGGTTGCAGACCCCTGGCCTAAAGCAAAAGCTAGACTTCTTTATTCCAGAGGTGGGAAAACATCTGGCCCCTGGACGATGCTGAGCTACAGCTCCTATCAGCCAAAAGAAGCATGGCCAATGGCAAGGGAGGATGGGAGTTCACAAAAATCAGAGTGTTGCATTGGAGGGATGATTTTTAAAAATTGGGATAATAATAATTGTTGTTGTTGTTCACACCCCACTCACCTGGCTGGGTTTCCCCGGCCACTCTGGGCAGCTCCCAACAGAATATTTAAAAGACAATAAAACATCAAACATTAAATACTTGCCTAAACAGGGCTGCCTTCAGATGTCTTCTAAAAGTCAGGTAGTTGTTTATTTCCTTGACATTTGATGGGAGGGCATTCCACAAGGCAGGCGCCACCACCGAGAAGGCCCTCTGCCTGGTTCCCTGTAACCTCACAATGAGGGAACCGCCAGAAGGCCCTCGGAGTTGGACCTCACTGTCTGGGCAGAACGATGGGGGTTGAGATGCTCCTTCAGGGATACAGGGCCATTTAGGGCTTTCAAGGTCAGCACCAACCCTTTGAATTGTGCTCGGAAACATCCTGGGAGCCAATGTAGGTCTTTCAGGACCAGTGTTATGTGGTCTCGGCGGCCACTCCCAGTCCCCAGTCTAGCTGCCGCATTCTGGATTAATTGTAGTTTCCGGGTCACATTCAAAGGTAGCCCCACGGAGAGAGCATGGCAGTAGTCCAAGCGAGAGATAACCAGAGCATGCACCACTCTGGCGAGACAGTCTGCGGGCAGGGAGGGTCTCATCCTGCGTACCAGGTGGAGCTGCCCTGGACACAGAATTAATCTGCGCCTCCATGGACAGCTGTGAGTCCAAAATGACTCCCAGGCTGTGCACCTGGTCCTTCCGGGGCACAGTCACCCCATTCAGGACCAGGGAGTCCTCCACACCTACCTGCCCCCCAAAAAACTGTACAGCAAATACAACAGGAACTGTGAACTGGGTGCAAATTAATGGATACACAGTAAGAAAAGAATTGTGGGGTTTTTATTTTAATATATGATCACAGCAGAGAGACTCTTGTGCGGAAGACAGAAAGACTTACTATTGCCTTATTCTGGAATTCAAAAGCATTTCTGCCTCCAACCAGGAGGCAGAACATAGATTCCATTGATGGCCTTTCCCCTCCATGAATTTGTCTAATCCCCTCTTAAAGCCATCCAAGTTGGCCCTGATAGCCTACTGTGGCAGGGAGTTCCACAGTATGCGTGGGGCGAATAAGGGCTTTATTTGACCCGTCCTGAATCTCCCAGCTTGTTCAACTTAATTGGACGCCCACCAGTTCTGGGGTCCTGAGAGAAAGGGGGGAAACTTTTTCATCGGGTTTCTTGCTTACCATTGAAATGTTCTTCGGGCAGGGTGGGGACGACGTCCTCCCACAACCCCTTCAAGGGGACGACCTTGGGACCAGAGCAGAGGAGAGGAGGTTAATGACTGACCACTCAACTAACTCAGCAGCTGGGAATCAGCTCTGAAAAGTTTGCCCAACTCCTCTCAGTTTGCAGTTTAACCTGGTTTGGTTCTTTGGGTCAGAGAGGGGCTGTTGGAGAGCAAAGAAGACTCAAAAGAAGAAATAAAATTGAAGCAGAAAAACATTATTAAAATTTGTACCTTGGTTTTCGAACAGATTCGTTTCTGAACGTTTTGGCTCCCGGACGCCGCAAACCCGGAAGTGACTGTTCCGGTTTGTGAACTATATTTTGGAAGCCAGATGTCCGATCGGCTGCAGGAGCTCCCTGCAGCCAATCGGAAACCGCGCTTGGGTTTCCGAACATTTTGGACTTTCTGTTTTACAACTTGAAACATTCATTTTAACATCCTTAAAACGTTTATTGAATATATGGGTGATACCGTATTTTTTGCTCTATAAGTCTCACTTTTTCCCTCCTGAAAAGTAAGGGGAAATGTGTGCGCGTCTTATGGAGCGAATGCAGGCTGCGCAGCTATCCCAGAAGCCAGAACAGCAAGAGGGATTGCTGCTTTCACTGCGCAGCGACCCCTCTTGCTGTTCTGGCTTCTGAGATTCAGAATATATTTTTTCTTGTTTTCCTCCTCCAAAAACTAGGTGCGTCTTGTGGTCTGGTGCGTCTTATAGAGCGAAAAATACGGTGCTTGTGTATACCTGAAAATATGTATATATAGAGAGAGAGTGAGTATATGTGTCTGTATATGTGTGTGTGTGTGTGTATACACACACACACACCCCTCTATGACCTGATTCAGCCTTAGGGCTCTTCTGACATACCTTGTGAGGCTGTGTTTTCGCCCACTCCTTCAGCCGCTGGAAGACGCCCTCATTGCACTCGATGATCCAGTGTTCCTCGATGTTGAACTCCTCGATTTTGGTGGCGGCGATCGCCATGCCAAAACCCACCTCCAGCACCCGGCCCCCTGAGTGTGACACACAACAGCAAGGAGGTCCAGTCAGCGGCCGTGACTCTTTGAGCGGACCAAGGAGACGGATCGAGGGTTAAATCAGCAGAGGGACATTTAAACCTCCTGTCCCATGTGTGTGTGGGAGAAATAGAAAAAGTGAATGGGCTGCGAAGCCTTTTCAGCAGAGTCAAAGGCTCTCACATATTTTGCAGCCTGCTAAAGCGCAGGAAGGGGCACGGGTGGCGCTGTGGGTTAAACCACAGAGCCTAGGACTTGCCGATCAGAAGGTCGGCGGTTTGAATGACGGGGTGAGCTCCCGTTGCTCGGTCCCTGCTTCTGCCAACCTAGCAGTTTGAGAGCACGTCAAAGTAAGTAGATAAATAGGTACCACTCCAGCGGGAAGGTAAATGGCATTTCTGTGCGCTGCTCTGGTTCGCCAGAAGCGGCTTAGTCCTGCTGGCCACATGACCCGGAAGCTGTACGCCGGTTCCCTTGGCCAATGAAGCAAGATGAACGCCACAACCCCAGAGTCGGTCGCGACTGGACCTAATGGTCAGGGGTCCTTTTACCAACAGAGAACCTACAAAAGGACTCTGTATAGGCTCTTGGGTACCCTATAAGGGAAAAGGAGCAGGGCTTTTTTTCTTGTAACATTCCTAACTTCAGATATGGGGATGCAACCAGCAGGGACCCCCAACCTTTCCAGGACAAAAATCCCCAGCTTAGTCCTGCTGGCCACATGACCCGGAAGCTGTACGCCGGCTCCCTCGGCCAGTAAAGCGAGATGAGCGCCGCAACCCCAGAGTAGGTCACAACTGGACCTAATGGTCAGGGGTCCCTTTACCTTTACTAAAGCGCAGGAATAAGGCAATTGCGGCTTTCAATGCCTTTTCTTTTGGGGTCTGCTGACCCCCTTCCACATCTTCACCCCCATTGCATAGAATGAAGCACACTTTTTAAAGTAAGATAAACAAACCCAGCCAGACGGGCACGATATAGATAATAAAATTGTTGTTGTTGAACAAAAAGTTTACTTACAATTCAATGCAGGCAGCAAGTGCAGTACGAGCAAGAAAAAGTCTTGGGTCCGAAATTCAAAAGTCGGCTTCTAAATTGGCTGCCCCCCCCCCCAACACATGCCTGATCAGTCTGGAAGCAGGGGTGCCAATTTGAATAAAATATTGGGGAGGCCCAGGTAAGACCCGCCCCACATAATCAATCACAAGATGCGGAGCACGGACACCATTTGAATGGCACTGCCTATCATCTGGGGGGGGAGCATGCCCCCCTTAAATATTGCCAGAGACAAAAGTGCGTGGAACAAGTTTGTGTGTTGGCCTTCTGGCTAAACACGAGAAGGCCAGGGTTCACTGTTAACATATAAAGATGCTGTAAGAAAAATCTAGATTTTTTTCGCTCTATCCAAGAGAATCACTCTTCCCTTAGACTTATATTCCACGTCTCAGCCTGCAGCTGTCGGGAAAAGCCCGACCCCTGAATCGAACCCACAGACAAGCGTTTTTTTTAAAGGGGGAGATAGTTTGCAGAGTGGCTATTCTTAACTCTGCTGCAACACAAGGAGGTCTCAGGCAGGAAGACTTGGGGTGAGGGGCGGAAAAGGCTAAAGCACATTCCTTCACTGCTGCGCCCGTGTCAAATAATCCCTGGAATGTTAGCTAAAGGGTGCTGAAAGTTGTAGCTCAAAACCACTAGAATGCCTATATTACGCAAATCCACTTGAAAAAATACACGTAAACGTAATAGGCTGTATATTAACAATTGTAAAGTAATTTACTAGAAGCTACTTCTCAAAATTATAGGGACGCGGGTGGTGTTGTGGGTTAAACCACAGAGCCTAGGGCTTGCCGATCAGAAGGTCGGCGGTTCGAATCCCCGCAATGACGGGGTGAGCTCCCGTTGCTCGGTCCCTGCTCCTGCCAACCTAGCAGTTCAAAAGCACGTCAAAGTGCAAGTAGATAAATAGGTACCACTCCAGCGGGAAGGTAAACGGTGTTTCCGTGCGCTGCTGTGGTTCGCCAGAAGCGGCTTCGTCCTGCTGGCCACATGACCCGGAAGCTGTACGCCGGCTCCCTTGGCCAGTAATGCGGGATGAGTGCCGCAACCCCAGAGTCGGCCATGACTGGACCTAATGGTCAGGGGTCCCTTTACCTTTACTTCTCAAAATTAGATGCAGCTTCTCATAACGTCAAAGTCAGCATCGTGACATAACATATTAAAATGTAGCTTGTTCAGTTAACTACCAAGTCCAGTATGCACAAAATGCGATTCCTATTTTGTCAGTCTAATTTCTTCATCTTCTCTTGTATTTTTCTATCTGACGTATCCCTTAGAAGAGTACCATGAAATAGTCTTGTAAGTGTCTAATGAAGATGATAAGGTTGGTAGATTTAAGAAACTGGCACTGGTAGAGGCACAGGTAGACAATAATTCCTGGATATTCTCCTGTTTCGCCCCAAGGGGCTTCCTCAGCTGTGCCTGGTTCCAAATCATATAAACACAGACACCTTTTATGTTTCTTTGGGAGTTGTAGCACTGCAGGGCAAACTATATTTTCTGAGAACCCACCAGAAAAACAATCTCTCAAAGGACCTGTTGATGGCATTTTACCATTGTACAGCGGAGAGTGTATTAACTTATGGTCTGTGTGTGTGATTTGGGAGCTGCACGGCATGGGGAAAAACAATGCTGTCCAGGGTTGTAAAGACTGCAGAGAGAATAATTGGGTGCACTCTTCCCACCTTGGATCAAATCTATGCTTCCAGGTGCCATAAGAAAGCGGCAGAGATAGCGCAGGATAGTGCGCACCCCGGAAATGATCTCTTTCAGCTTCTGCCTTCTGGAAGAAGGTCCAGGGTTATAAAGGCCAGGACTAGCCGCCTGAGAAACAGTTTCTACGCAAATGCAATTCTGGTTCTAAACGCAGCATAAGGGGTCTCTATAGTATAGTGTATTTTAAAATGGGGTTTCAGAGTTGTTAGGGGTTTTTGAATGTTTTATGTAGTTTTTCAATTTCATTGTTCTGCATGGGACAATGACAATAAAGATATCGTATATTGTATATATCGTATAGTTCCCGGGGTTTTTCTTTTCCCCTTGGGTGGGAGCGGAATGTGCTTTAGGGTGTCGGTGCAGCCAGAGAGGGAACGTGTTGCCGCCAACGCTAGCCCTACTCGGAGGAGACCCACTGAAATGAATGGGCCTGACTAACTTCGGAGCATTCCTTCCAACGGGTCTACACTGGGGCAGAGGTTATAGCTGGGTAGAACCCAGAGTCTTTCAGACAAGGAGTAGCTTAGGATAGGTTGGCAACGTTGAACCAGAAAGGGAATGTCAGGAGAGCCTGGCTGCAGGATCAAGCCAAAGGGAGCCCCCTGGGCCAACATCCTATTCTCACGGGGGGGGGGGGCGCAAGCACAAGAACAACTCTCCCTTCCTGTGGCAACTGGTATTCGGACGCATTACCGCCTCCTTACTGTGGCAGGGAGTTCCGTAGTTTAAGCCTGAGCCGTCTTTTCTTCCGCCTTTCCTGAATCTCGCAACATTCAGCTTCGTGGGATGTCCACCAGTTCTGGCAGCTACCCCAAAATTGGGGAATACGGAGCGCTGGCGTGCTATGGCAGCAACACCCCTTGAAGGTAGGCTTGCTCACAAACCTCCAATGACCACAACATTACGATTTAGCGTGTCAGGCTGGCACCAGGGAGAGACCGGGTTCCTTTCTCCCAACACTTGGCCCTGAAGCGAACTGGGCTACCTTGCAAGCCAGCCGCTGGTCTCTCAGCCTGGCCTGCCTTCGCAGGGTCGTTGTGGGGAATCAGTAGGGAGAGAGAAAAAGTGGAATGCAGAGAAACAAAACATACCGTATTTTTTCCTCTATAAGACTCACTTTTTCCCTCCTAAAAAGTAAGGGGAAATGTGTGTGCATCTTATGGAGCGAATGCAGGCTGCGCAGCTATCCCAGAAGCCAGAACAGCAAGAGGGATCGCTGCTTTCACTGCGCAGTGATCCCTCTTGCTGTTCTGGCTTCTGAGATTCGGAATATTTTTTTTCTTGTTTTCCTCCTCCAAAAACTAGGTGCGCCTTGTGGTCTGGTGCGTCTTATAGAGCGAAAAATGCGGTAAATGCACCGTCCTACCTTTCGAAGCGGCCACGGAGGCGAGGGAATGCATGTAGGGAGTCTCCCAGCGTTCCATAACCGGCTTCCCCATGATCTCCAAGTGGGTGTCCGTTGTGTCATACCCTGCGGCCGCTTCTTTCCAGGAGGGCTTGCAGTTCTCCCCTTCCAGGAAAATTGGTTGGGCGGTTTCGGAGGAGGAAGTCATGTTGGCTGGAGCTGGAGAGGCAGAGAGAGAAAGAAAGAGCTGGAGATTTAACAGATCCCGGCAGGAACCCCTTTGGACTTTAAATAAGTTGGCTTTAAATAGATGAAGCTGGGGGGCGAAGGGGAGGGGGAAACAGCTGACTCTGCATCTCAGGAGCGCTGAGTTGAAAAGGGAAGGGTGATTCCATGCCTCCCCCCTCTCATTTTGCAACGCCCATTTCCAAATGGGAAAGGAACGAGGGGACACCTGCTGGATAACTCTTGCATGCACTCACCCAGTGCTGGATTTACGTATAAGCTAAACAAGCTGTAGCTTAGGGCCTCACTCTCTTGGGGGGCCTCAAGGTTTTATTCGTGGTCCCCGTGAAATTTATTTGCTTATTTATTTATTTGCCCCAATATGCACCAGGTAATTTATACTGGCCCTAAGGAAACGGCCTGAGGGCCGCATTTCACTCTGAGCAACTTTATGAGGGCCACCAGAGGCCAAATGAGCCAGGCAATAAATGCATTTTTTTTTTTTTACTTTTTCCCCAGTAGGTTAGTTTCCATGCACAATCACGTACATGTGAGTTCAGGATAAAAGGTGTCTCTGAGCATGGACAGAGTGTATCCTTTCCTACTAAAAGGCTTTCGTGAGGGGCTGGCACCAAAAGCTTCTTTTCCTTCCCCCTTATAATCTATTTAATCCTCTTAAAACAGACATTTCCTCCCTCACACAAATGGCCTGAAAACTTTTCCTATAATAATTCCACTCTCCTCCCCTCAGCCCAACGGACTACAACCCCCATGAAGCCTTGCGGCGGCAAAATACGCTATGTTTCCTCAGCGCATGCGCACCTTTCTCCTCTAACCCTTTCTCTTCCTGACCCTCAGGCGGGCGCAAAGACGTGCTCTGCGTGCGAGCGGCTACAAACTACACTTCCCATCATCCTTTAGGAAGGCGAGACGTTTTCTCCGCCTACATTAACGAATTATTTTTTTAAAAAAACTACACCTCCCATAATGCCTTTCGCGGAAAAAACCCACCCTGACGAGCAACGCGCGTGCGCGCCGCCTCTCCCTCCCTTCAGCTCCCCGCGTCGCCCTCCCGCCCCTGCGGTAAACCCCGTTTAGAACCAGCCAATGGCGAATAGTAGGTGGAGCGTAGAAAGGAAAAGAAAGCGAGTAGTCTCCTCCTCGCGCTTTGGCGCAAGCGCAGTGCGGCGCTGTCCGGCCGGGAGCGGCGGTTGGCGGCCGCAGGGGAAACGGGAGAGGCGGAGGGGGGCGAGAGCGCGCGCGTGTGCGTGCGTGCCGCTTGCGCATGCGCGCGACGCCCGCTCGCTGCTGCTGCTGCTGGTCGCCGGGGCCCTCTTGTGTGAGGTAAAATAGAAAAAGCCCCGAGAGAAGGAGGAGGAGAGGCGGCGGCGGAGGAGCCGGAGAGGAAGGGAGGAGAGAAGAGAGAGAAAGCCGCCTCAGCAGCAGCCGCCACAACCGCCGCCGCCGCCTCCTCTCTCCCCCCCCCCCCACACCCCGCTCGGATTCACCTCAGCGCCGAAGGAGGAAGCAGAAAGAGGCAGCGGCGAGAGAGGAGGCGGAGGGGCAGCCGAGCGGGCCCAGGGCCTTCGCGCCCCCGCCATGAACAGCGTGGGGAGCGCCGACGAGATCGGGTGAGGGGGGGAGAAAGGGAGGGGGGAAGGCCCTGTCACGTGTGGGGGGGCAGGGCGAGGGGGGGAAGTGGGGGTCACGGGGAGGACACCCCCCTCTGTTTCCACATAGTAGCCCTGCTGTAAGGGAAGGGGGGAAAGAGGGAGCCCCCACCCCCCAAAAAGACCACACTTGGGGGGAAGTGGGGGTCACGGGGAGGACACCCCCTTCTTCCTCTGTTTCCACATAGTAGCCCTGTTGTAAGGGAAGAAAGGGAGCCCCCACCCCCCAAAAAGACCACACTTGGGGAGAAGTAGGAAGGCCCTGTCACGTGTGGGGGGGCAGGGCGAGGGGGGAAAGTGGGGGTCACGGGGAGGACACCCCCCCTCTGTTTCCACATAGTAGCCCTGCTGTAAGGGAAGGGAAGAAAGAGGGAGCCCCCCCAAAAGACCACACTTGGGGGGAAGTGGGGGTCACGGGGAGGACACCCCCTTCTTCCTCCGTTTCCACGTAGTAGCCCTGTTTTAAGGGAAGGGGGGAAAGAGGGATCCCCCCCAAAAAAGTGCACTCTTACTATTTAGGGGGAAGGCCCTGTCACCTGTGGGGGGGGCAGGGCGAGGGGGAAGTGGGGGTCAAGGGGAGGACACCCCCCTTCTTCCTCGTGTTTCCACATAGTAGACCTGCTGTAAGGGAAGAAAGGGAGCCCCCCCCCCAAAAGACCACACTTGGGGAGAAGTAGGAAGGCCCTGTCACGTGTTGGGGGGCAGGGCGGGGGGGGAAGTGGGGGTCACGGAGAGGACCCCCCCTGTTTCCACATAGTAGCCCTGCTGGAAGGGAAGGGGGGAAAGAGGGAGCCCCCCACCCCCCAAAGACCACACTTACTATTTAGGGGGAAGGCCCTGTCACGTGGGGGATAGTGGGGGTCACGGGGAGGACACCCCCCTCTTCCTCTGTTTTCACATAGCGCTGTTGTAAGGGAAGGGGGGAAAGAGGGAGCCCCCCCCAAAGACCACACTTGGGGGGAAGTGGGGGTCACAGGGAGGACACCCCCTCTTCCTCTGTTTTCACATAGTGCTGTTGTAAGGGAAGGGGGGAAAGAGGGAGCCCCCCAAAAAGACCACACTTGGGGGGAAGTGGGGGTCACGGGGAGGACACTCCCCTCTTCCTCTGTTTCCACATAGTAGCCCTGTTGTAAGGGAAGAAAGGGAGCCCCCACCCCCCAAAAAGACCACACTTGGGGAGAAGTGAGAAGGCCCTGTCACGTGTGGGGGGGCAGGGCGAGGGGGAAAGGGGGGTCATGGAGAGGACACCCCCCCTCAGTTTCTACATAGCAGACCTGCTGTAAGGGAAAGGAAGAAAGAGGGATCCCCCCACCCCCCAAAAAGACCACACTTGGGGGGAAGTGGGGGTCACAGGGAGGACACCCCCCTCTGTTTCCACATAGTAGCCCTGCTGTAAGGGAAGGGAAGAAGAGGGAGCCCCCACCCCAAAGACCACACTTGGGGGGAAGTGGGGGTCACGGGGAGGACACCCCCCTCTTCCTCTGTTTCCACGTAGTAGCCCTGTTTTAAGGGAAGGGGGAAAGAGGGATCCCCCCCCAAAAAGTGCACTCTTACTATTTAGGGGGAAGGCCCTGTCACCTGGGGGGGGCAGGGCGAGGGGGGAAGTGGGGGTCACGGGGAGGACACCCCCCTTTGTTTCCACATAGTAGCTCTGCTGTAAGGGAAGGGGGGAAAGAGGGAGCCCCCCCCAAAAGAGCACACTTACTATTTAGGGGGAAGGCCCTGTCACGTGGGGGAGGCAGGGCGAGGGGGGAAGTGGGGGTCACGGGGAGGACACCCCCTCTTCCTCTGTTTTCACATAGCGCTGTTGTAAGGGAAGAAAGGGAGCCCCCACCCCCCCAAAAGGACCACACTTGGGGAGAAGTAGGAAGGCCCTGTCACGTGTGGGGGGGGGCAGGGCGTGGTGGGAAGTGGGGGTCACGGAGAGGACACCCCTCTTCCTCTGTTTCCACATAGTAGCCCTGCTGTAAGGGAAGGGGGGAAAGAGGGAGCCCCCACCCCCAAAAAAGACCACACTTGGGGGGAAGTGGGGGTCACGGGGAGGACACCCCCTCTTCCTCTGTTTCCACATAGTAGCCCTGTTGTAAGGGGGGAAAGAGGGAGCCCCCCCCAAAAGACAACTCTTACTATTTAGGGGGAAGGCCCTGTCACGTGGGGGGAAAGTGGGGGTCACAGGGAGGACACCCCCTCTTCCTCTGTTTCCACATAGTAGCCCTGTTGTAAGGGGGGAAAGAGGGAGCCCCCCCAAAAAGACCACTCTTACTATTTAGGGGGAAGGCCCTGTCACATGGGGGGAAAGTGGGGGTCACAGGGAGGACACCCCCTCTTCCTCTGTTTCCACGTAGTAGCCTTGTTGTAAGGGAAGGAAAAAAGAAGGAGACCCCCCCCCCCAAAAAGACCACACTCTCACACCTTATTACTGTTTGGGTGAGATAGGTCTCAGCCCCTTCTCTTCTTTACCTGTCTTTCTCTTTTTTTATCCTGGCTGTTGAGGGATTTCTTGGATTTGGCTGGAGAAGAGAGTGACCTCTATCCCCACCCCCAGCAGAGGACCCTGCAGTGAAAAGGAAGGGCCTTTTTCCCCCTTCGCAACCACCCTCCTTGCTGCTTTCCCCCTTCCATCTCTCTCTGCGACAAGAGCCATAAATTTTGGGGAGGGGGCCGACGATCAGCAAGGAGGGCTGCTGAAAGTCAACCACCTAATAATGTTCATTTTTCCTTTATTTTGGATCTTTCTCTTTAGTTTCAGATCTTTCTCTCCCCCAGAGCTCAGGAAGAGGTGGGGAGGGAGGAAGCTGGGTTAACCTTCCTACTTTTTCAGCTATGAGGCAGGAGTTTCTCCAAAGGAACGCCCCCCGCCCCCCCGCGGCCAGCACACGCTTCTCTGTACCCTCTATCCCTTGTCTCTCTTGCCCCCTCTGCACTGCAGGGCAAGGTGGGTCAAGGGGTCTTAACTCTTCTCTATTTTGAGGGTGGGGTTGAAGTTGAGGGCTTGGGAGAGGGCCAGTTTTGGGGGGGGGGTGAGAGGAGCTGCGAGAAACTCTAACGAAAGGCATCCTCCCTCCGTCTATCTCCAACCTTTCTCTGTGCCAAAAGGATGAGCTATTAATTAGGGTGGGTTGGATTCAAAATAATAATGGGTGTGCACTGTGGGGGTTAAGGCCACAGAAGGTGAAAGAGAGCATGGGGTGGGAGTTGTTATATCAGCAGAGCCATGGGGTGGGGGAGCTAAGTGCACAAATGGATTTCAGAAAAACGAGAACCTTGCTTGGTCTGTTGCACCCAAAGCCCCGCTTTCCACATTACTGAACCAGGTGCTTCCAGAAAGCCCATATGGCACCGTCCTGCCTTTAAACATGGAGGAGGGTTCTCTCTAGGGGGCTGTTGGTCTGTGATTGCTACTTTGCAGATAAGCGAATGGGGATTTGGAGCACAACCTCCAATGGAGAGGTGGCTGCTGTTGGGCCTTGAGACCCCAGTGGGTGGGTTGTATTAGACTAGAGGGCTCCCAGCAGATACGCAAAGATCTGTCTCCTGGATTATTGGATGCTGGAGCAGACATGGCAGCGAAAGGTTCTTTCAGCATACTGTATGCTTTTATATGGTTGAGGTACTGGACTTGTTCATTTCTTGGGCTCCATTCCTTCCAAAACACACAGGGAGGTAATTCAACTGTTGAGGACGTGTGTTGGTGCATGTAGTGATAACACTGTTGGGGATAATACTTGTCAGGTGCTCTTAAATTACTCCTTAGGTAACATGTGGATATAGATCAAGATTGTAGTGAGATTGTGGGCTCATATCCAGCTCCCTAATCAGTTCAGAGGCCCAGGCCATTTGTTGCCCTCTGACATGCGTTTTGGGGTTCCTCTCACAACACACCCACCCCAAACCCCCACATCCTCTGACATCCTGTTTGCGGCCTTTTGGGTGATGGGTTTCTAGCCCGGCAGTACAAATCTAAGGCTGTGGAGCAGCTGGCAGCTTGCACCTGGCTATGCAGCTGGGGCACAAGGTCATCAGGTTGGGATCTGCGGCAGCTCCTTGCTGTGTCTCCCTTGTGAAGAGCTCCAATTATTATCTGAGGTCCCTCTGCACACTTTGTGAGGGGAGGGGGGCATTGGTTGCTGAACCATGCTCCTCCTTGTCCCTTTGTGACCCTATACAAGCCATCGTATTCGGACCTTTGCTCTCTCTTGTGCCTCTTAAGTCCCCTTCAGTTGAAGGAGGTTGAGAACCTGTGTAGGACAAGAACACTGGTGATTCATCAATGCTGCCCCGTGATGCATGGAGCTCGCCCCTCTTGTGCTGAGCCCGGCTGGCAAAGGCATGGCTTTGCTTTCAGCCTCTGAGGCCGAGGCAGCCCACACTGGAGGGATAAAGGCTTAAAAAGAAGATTCTCTTTTGTATCTCGTTTTTTACTTCTCTGCCACATGCAGATAAGACCTCCTGGGGTGCCCGACGTGCCTTTAAATTTCTTGTTCCCGGGCAGATTTCCACAGATCAATTTCCATCCTGGGAATGGCTGAATTTGAAGGGGGGTGAGAAAGGGGGGTAAAGCCTTCTAAGGGATTTCATGCTTTTAATCTATAACCTCAAAATAGCTCACTGGTTGAGTCTTTGTATATGTCGTCCTTAGTCACCGTGCTCCAAATGTTGAACAGGATGTCTGCAGTACAGTATGTAGGAAAAGAGCTGGGGGAATATATCTAAGCCCTAGCTGACTAAGCTTCCATTCTATAGGAAATAAGCATACATAGCCTGAAATCGAAGAAACTTTACTATGCTGAAAATGGAAAAGATGCTTAAAACCAGCAACTATAATATTTAGATTACGCCTCCATACATTGCTTCACATTTAGTTTAATATCAAGCAGTTTGATCATAAAGTTTCTTCTACTATCGGGCCCATGCTTAAGGGTACGGCATGCAGAATGAGCATGGTGGCAAAAGTATAAACATTATGCCAGGGTTGCAAGTAGGCAGTCATCTGAATACTTTTTGGGATGTGACAAGAAGAATGGCTCGTCCTTTGGGTTCTACTCATTGGGAAGATTTCTGCTCTGTGAGTTGTGAAGCATTTTCGCATCAAAGTCTACCTGTTCCTTGAGTCTTACACCATCCCTCATAAAGCTAATTCATATTCCCATCTGAAATGCACTTAAAGACATTCATTCCTTGCAGGCTCTTTCCTTGTGGTGTGTTGCTAAGCCGTTGTTGACATTTCTGCTTTAAGCGTCTTGAGGTTGGGCCCTGTCTTTGTTACTTGGTAAAGCATCAAGTACGTTGTTGCTGCTGCAGTAATTTTTAAAAGAAAAATACTGATAAGCTATACTGCCTTACCATTGTCAGAGTAGCACTCAAAGTGGCAGGAAACAAGCTGCTTCTATCAGCCTTGTTCATATGAGCTGAATTTTAAATTTTTAAACTGAGCTGTAAAACCTCAGGTGAAAAATATACCATATTTTTTGCTCTATAAGACTCACTTTTTCCCTCCTAAAAAGTAAGGGGAAATGTGTGTGCGTCTTATGGAGCAAATGCAGGCTGCGCAGCTATCACAGAAGCCAGAACAGCAAGAGGGATTGCTGCTTTCACTGCGCAGCGATCCCTCTTGCTGTTCTGGCTTCTGAGATTCAGAATATTTTTCTTCTTGTTTTCCTCCACCAAAAACTAGGTGCGTGTTGTGGTCTGGTGCGTCTTATAGAGCGAAAAATACGGTACCTGAAAAGCCCAAAGGTTCTTAGCAGTCACCTATGACCAGTGCAAATCCACTTCAGGCAACAATGCAGTAAATACTTTTATTTTTAAAAGGCCACAATGACTAAAATAGGTAAGTGTAGACCTCCTATGTCAGTGGTAAGGAACCTGTGGTCCTCCAGATGTTGGACTACAATCTGAGTCTGCCTCAGCCAACATGGCCAATGGTCAGGGAGTTCATCAACATCTGGAGAGCCATAGGTTCCCCGTTATTGGTCTAAAAAGGTAAAGGGACCCCTGACCATTAGGTCCAGTTGTGGCTGACTCTGGGGGTGCGGCGCTCATCTCGCTTTATTGGCCGAGGGAGCCGGCGTACAGCTTCCGGGTCATGTGGCCAGCAGGACTAAGCCGCTTCTGGAGAACCAGAGCAGCGCACAGAAACACCGTTTACCTTCCCGCTGGAGCGGTACCTATTTATCTACTTGCACTTTGAGGTGCTTTCGAACTGCTGGGTTGGCAGGAGCAGGGAACGAGCAACCCCGTCGCGGGGATTCGAAACGCCGACCTTCTGATCGGCAAGTCCTAGGCTCTGTGGTTTAACCCACAGCGCCACCCACATCCCTTGGTCTAGGTCAAGGTATATGCGAGACTGGACAAGCAACCTGTAGACCCATTGCAAGTGGGACTGGATTTCCTCTAGACTTCCTTCATAAAGATTCAATGAATGCTCTTTGTTTGTTGGCATAACAAGTGCTAGATCCTGATGCCAGTTAGCAACAGCAGAATTCTCAGCGTTACGGGTGCTGTCGATTCTGGGTGTCCTCACAACACTTATAAAATTCTAATAGCAAATGCGTTTTTTTAATTTCCTGATCCTGTGGAATGTGGCACAGTAAATGTGGCCAGAATAATCTGTGTTGTTTTAATAAATTGGATTTGTAAGCTTATTTGTAGCTTGCTCGTTATTTGTGGTTTCATAGGAAACTGTTTTCCTTCTGTGGTGAAGAGAAAGATAATGCAATAGGAATGGGCTGATTTTAGGCACAATGGAAGAGCTTGGTTTGCTTCTGAGAGAGAGAGAGAGAGAGCCTTCAAGGAGCCTCTGATTTAATTTCGTTTGTTTGCTATGTTTGCAGGGCATCCCATAACATAAAGTTCTCTGGGTGACGTACAGTAAATAAGTTTTAAAAAATTGAAATACAAAGTAAAACATGAAGCCATTCAAGAACAGCATCAACACACCACAACTTGATGCACCCCACCATTAAAAAACAGAGCTCTAAATTACTTAAGTAATTTTAAAGGGCTGGTTAGAAAAAAATGATATTCACCTGTCACCAGAAAGACCACGAAATTTTACTAGGCGAGTGGCTAGCGCCATAGCATTGGTGGGGTCACAGGGGCGGTTGCTCTCGGCGCAAATATTCTTAGGGGTGCAAAATTTCAAAAGAAAAAGTAGTAGTAATAAATTTTAAAAATAGTGTGCCCTCCCTCTCACATTTAAATCTCCCAATGTCCTCTGCACGGGCTTTGGAAAGAAGCCTGCTCCCGACCAATCCCCCATTCCATTTTCTGCCATGCTCAGTGCTTACGGGACGCCACGGCTGCTACTCGGGTATGTTGCTTAGTTTTTGCCCCTTAGTTCCCGCCTATCGATAGACAGTGCCAAGGATACTTGCCTTGCCCCGGGCTTTGGCAACCCATGTTACGCCACTGGGTGAGCCTTCCTGGCAAGCCTATTGCTTCACCAAAGTGCCCTCTCCTCTCCTTGGTAGTTGCCTGCCTTGCTTCATTCAGCAGGGACAGCTGGAACAGGCCCTCCAAAGAGGATCGTAAGGTGTGGGCAGGTATGTATGTGAGAAGGTGGCCTTCCAGGTCACTTAGTCTGAAGTTATTTAGAGCCTTAAAGGTTTAAATTGAGCACAGAAACAGACTAGATTAGCCCCAGTTAATCTTGCGGTGCTTTTCTTGACCAACTGCATCTTCCAGGCCATTTTCAGAGGCAATCCCACATCCATCTCAGGTAACAGAGCATGGGTGATTGTTGCCAAACTGTCTCCATCCAGGCAAGGTTGCAGCCTGCATACTGGCCGAATCTGATAAAAGGTGCTTGTGCTGCTGCTGTTGCATCCTTGCCCTTCTTCCTCACCTCGTGCTCAGCAATTGCATCCTTTCCTGGAAGTAAAGGAGGGACAGAATTGCCATGCACACAGAGCGAGGAGAGGGAGCGCGCAAGCCCAAGGCTCCTTTAAGGCTCTCCTTTGGAGAGCCAGTGTGGTGTAGTAGTTAAGAGCGGTAGACTCGTAATCTGGTGAACCGGGTTCGCTTCTCCGCTCCTCCACATGCAGCTGCTGGGTGACCTTGGGCTAGTCACACTTCTTTGAAGTCTCTCAGCCCCACTCACCTCACAGAGTGTTTGTTGTGGGGGAGGAAGGGAAAGGAGATTGTTAGCCGCTTTGAGACTCCTTAGGGTAGTGATAAAGCAGGATATCAAATCCAAACTCTTCTTCTATTTCTCACGAATGCCTCGAGGTATGGAAATTATCGCACAGAACCGAGTCTGGCAATTGTGAAGGGTGTTTGTTGGATGCTTAGCACACAATTCACATACAGCAAATTCATAAAAATGGCACAGGACCTAAAACCAAAAGTCAGAGGCTGCTCATCCAAATCCGACATATGGTTCCTCAGCAGCAAGCTCAGTGGTGCTTAGTACCAAATCAGTCTGAATTGGACTGCATCTAGCCGGAGAAAATTCTCCATGGCCATTAAAGCTATTTATTTATTAAATTTCTATCTCGACCTTCCAGTGGCGCCCAAAATAATCCAAGGGAGCGAGAGCCTATAAATAATATGGATTGCTTTTCTGTGCTTTGCTACCCTGTTCCTCGGGGCTTTCAGTTAGGTATGTAGAAGTACCTGTTCCTTGTTGTTGCTGTTGTTAGTAGCATTTTGTTTTAGCGTTAAGGAAAGTGTTGCTTAAAATGAAGGGTCAAGCAAACCCGGTTCCCCATGGCATAGGAGATGAGCTGCTGGTAAAATAGTTAAGATGGCAGTGACCGAGCGCTGGAAGATGAGAGGTTTTGTTGGAACGGTTTGGTGCAAGGTAGCTTGCTTCTCTCGTGGTCTGTTTATTTATTTATTTCTCCATGCCATCTTCAGGCTGCAGCGGCGGTTTGTTCTGCATTTGCTCAGTGTACCAGAATCCCATCTAACACAAAGCCAAAGGCCAAAACTGTCTTAGCTTGTGGCAATCTATGGAGCTGTGTATAAATAGCCACACTTTATTTACATACAGCTGCTCTGCTTGACCTCAGAAAACCCTGCACTTTTTTTTTTGTCTGAATATTTGTCAAGGTGGCCAGAAATAATTTACAATAGAGCTGGAAGACTGAAAAGATTTCAAAGTCCCTCCTCCTTGCAGAGATATGCTTGGCTTAGGATATGTTTTGAGGCGGGGGGGGGTGTTACAGTAATTTTAATGGAATGGTTGGCTGCTCTGAGCCCCTTCAGTAAAAGGGGGGAAATGGGATTTAATGTGTTAGGGAACATGCCAGAGCAGGGTCAGGGACAAGTAAAACCAACCCCATATCCATAGTTTGCCATTTATTGTCATTTCTGTTGGGTGACCTTGTGCCACTTGCAACATCTCAGCCTCAGTTTTTTGTAACATGGGAATCTTAATGCTCTCTACCTTTCCGAATTTTTGCAAGTCAATGAGAATGGGAAAGCGTTTTGCATGTGGAAAAGATTCCTAGCGTCAACATCCTCAAATTGCCTTAGCCCTCTGGAATGAGTGTGCTTCATCAATAGACTATATTTCAGCACGTGAACTTCCTTGCATGCAAGTTGTTTTAGTCACACACACACCTGACATCCAAGAATTAAGCAGTACCCCTCCAGTGTAGCCATTAGTTCCACACAAGTTGCTTCTCCCCCTTTCATTGGTGAATAATAGGGTGCCTCTCAAGTATTCATTAGACCTGTGCGGTTGGGATTGTGCTTGGGCATCTCTTGATGCCTGCTTCAGCCAAGCTTGTGATAAGATTGTGGGTGAGCGCTGGAGTCCTGCCTTGCTAACAGTGGTGGTGACATCTCTCGGTATTGATGTCCCTGGACAACCCTCCTCCGTAGGCACACTCTGTGCTTTCTGCGCAGCCATTGATGGGCAGTGCGCATTATTAAAGCGAGCTGAAACACTTGGAGCGGTATTCATGCGTTTGCACGGAAAGCTGCCCTGAACTCTGCACTAGTTAAAAAAAAAAAGGAAAGTTCTTTTTGTTGGATGTCTGTTTTCCCAGTGGTAGATTTCAAGAGCTCGGATAAACCTGAATTTGTCTGATCTTAAGCAAGGGCTGGGATGCGGGTGGCGCTGTGGGTTAAACCACAGAGCCTAGGACTTGCTGATCAGAAGGTCGCGGTTCTAATCCCCGCAACGGGGTGAGCTCCCGTTGCTCGGTCCCTTCTGCCAACCTAGCTGTTCGAAAGCACACCAGTGCAAGTAGATAAATAGGTACCGCTCCGGTGGGAAGGTAAACGGCGTTTCCGTGCGCTGCTCTGGTTTGCCAGAAGCGGCTTAGTCCTGCTGGCCACATGACCCGGAAGCTGGACTCTGGCTCCCTCAGCCAGTAAAGCGAGATGAGCGCCGCAACCCCAGAGTCGGTCACAACTGGACCTAATGGTCAGGGGTCCCTTTACCTTACTCTCCTGAAGATTTGCTCTTCAGCCCCATGTGAAATGATCTTGAGGCTGGGTTGAGTTTTAATACCTGGTGGTAAAGTTCTAACACCTGGAGCTGGTTTGGGCAAAGCTTACTTGATGGTAAAGCAGCAGCTGCAATAATACTAATATTAATACTAATACTAATACTAATAATAGAGTACTTTCCCCTGCCTCCACTGCATCCTGCCTGCATTAGAGATCATAGGAGCATTGAAAGCTGCCTTTACCAGGTCAGGCTATTTGTCCATCCTGCCCAGTGTTTTATACCCCAACAGGAAGTGGCTTTCTAGGGGCTCAGAAGGGGCCTTTTACATCACCTGCTCCTGTTTAACTGGAGGTGTCAACCTGGATCGAACCTGGGTCACTCCGCATGCAAAGCAAGCCTTAGACACTGGGTTCCAGTTCTACCTTCCTGGCGATACCAGCAGTGATGGAAGTTCACGATGCTGTCATAAGTGTCCTGTGCAGCAAAATTTCCCTCAAAGAACCTGTTGTTGCTCAGCCTCCCGCGGCACTTAGAACTAGCTTCCAGCGAGACTTGTCTGTCTGATGGCAACCATCCTTAGGGTGTGGCTCGCCTGCAGAGTAGATCCAGTTTTCTGGCTCAAGTTGACAAGACAAAGCCATTAGTCATCGGGTAGGGTAGTTCTTTTATCTTGGTGCCCAGAGAAAGAGATATAAAAAGAACTGCCTTCTCTGCGTGGGGAGGTGTGCTTGGTTCGTCTTTGCTTGGGGTTGGGTGGTGGTGGAGACCAGAGTTCTCCCTTAGTGAATGAATTGTAGATGAAGCAGCAACATTGTGACGTCAAGTGTAGTCCTCATTACTGCTGCGGTGTCATGGGAGAAGGGTACATGATGTTGCCCTCTCCTACCCACCAAGGGTCACATGTTGCATTGTATTGCATTTGTAGGTTGGGTTGCTGTTATGAGGTAGAGCCCTGGCTCTTGGCTTTGTTCTGCTGGACACATACATAAAAAGGTAGAGGGACCCCTGACCATTAGGTCCAGTGGTGAACGACTCTGGGGTTGCAGCGCTCATCTCGCTTTACTGGCCGAGGGGGCCGGCATACAGCTTCCGGGTCATGTGGCCAGCTTGGCTAAGCCGCTTCTGGCGAACCAGAGCAGCGCATGGAAACGCCGTTTACCTTCCCGCCGGAGTGGTACCTATTTATCTACTTGCACTTTGACGTGCTTTTGAATTGCTAGGTTGGCAGGAGCAGGGACCGAGCAACGGGAGCTCACCCCGTCATTGCGGGGATTCGAACCGCCGACCTTCTGATCGGCAAGCCCTAGGCTCTGTGGTTTAACCCACAGCGCCACCCGTGTCTCATGGACACATACATACCAGCATTCGAAATTTGCCAGGCGCATTATGCACCTGGCTATTGGCCACTTGCAACCAAGTGAAGGTGCTCAGGCACCAGGATAGCACCTGACATCTCCATCACCTGGAGGTTCATGCCTGGGGATCCTTGGATCTTGACTGTTTTCACACACCAACAACACATCCTGTAGAATCCTACCCATTATATTTTGTCTGCGCAATCAGAATTAATTTCAGGATCAAAAAAGCTGTATTGAAAACTACAACTCTGCATTCCATTATGGTGACTGCCACTCTAGTTTAAGGAGCCATTTGGCGCCCAGCTTATATATCTGAGTTTCTAACACTGATACACACTACACCTGCTCTCTGTATGCTTTTGGGAAACCATAATTGGTGATAGAGGAGAAGGATGCTTCTGTAATGAGCAGTAGAGAGGCACAATTAATGCTGGGCCGCAGACGAGAGTATTTACCAAGCATGGTCTGCATGGTTGTGTACATCATCTTGTACCATGAGGGCTAGAATCCTGAGCAAAAGAGAAAGTAGTTTAGCACCAGCTGAGGAGTCAAATCCTCTCAGCCACAAGTTAATCGACACAACATACCTGCTGGGTTAAGATCAGCAAGGGATTTTATGCCTGTTCTTAAACATGCATGTATTTATTTGTAAAATATCTATAGATAACACTTTCAGTGTAACTCCCCCCCCCCCCCCGCCAGTGGGGAAGATTGCTTTGTGTTACAGCTCTGCATCCCAGCCGGTGTGCTTGTCATTTTGCCATTGTCATATCTCTCATTATTGCTGAAATGTTTCTCATAATTAAGACAAAAACAGTGTGCTTATTTGACTTCTTTACCCAAATGGGTGAACATGTCTAGGCAGGGACCGCGTCTCAATGGCAGGCCATCCGCTTTGCATTCAGAAGGTCCCAACCCAAGTCCCTGACATTGTTAGTTTAAACAGTGTAAGTACCAGCTTATTTGGGAAAAGACCCATCTGCCTGAGACCCTGGAAAGCAGCCTTCCCCTACCTTGTGCCCTCCAGATGTTTTGAACTGCACCTCCCATCAACTTCAGCGTCATGCAGCCAAACTGGCTGGGGCTGTTTGGGGTTGTAACCCATCGCATTGGAGGGCAACAGGTTAGGGAAAGCTGATGAGGGCCACTTAAGAGACCTATAGCCTCACCTCCCTCTTTTGTCTGGCTTGAGCCTGCTTTAACTTGAGCCACGTTTGTGCTGTGCCGAAGACTTCCTGCTTCCCTAGAGAAGCACACACACAATTAGATGTTTTTGTGGTGCTTAAGTTTCCTTTCAACAGCTCCTGCCATACACCTGGCTCCCCCACCTGTGGGGTTAATCATGTCATTGTGTTTGGGGATTCACTAATAACTTGTTTGCCAGCCAGGAGGTCTGTTCCTCTATTTGTGGTTTTGCCTCCTCTTAGCCCAGTGGCAGCTGAGTTCAATTCTGTTACTGAAAGCCAATTCCTTAGCTGAGCATGTGCTCAGAGACATCTCTGATTCTGCCTGCCCCTGCCCCCAAGCCACTGTTCTGTACCTCCCTCCAAATAGTGGGTCTCAGGACTGAATATAATATGAACTGAAAGCTTGCTCTTGTCCAGAACTGGGCATCCAGTTGAAACCAAAAGTTGCCAACCTTCCTTTTGTCAATAAAAACCCCAAGTGCTTTCCTTGCATTAAAGTGGCATAAACAAAACATTTCAAAGAGTTAATTGCTTGCTCTGTTCTCTTTCCCACCCCGGGAGTGTTTGGGGGAACAAGATAAATAGGCATAGCTGTCCTTCCAACTTTACAATTTTATGATTCTATACCCTTGAGGGGTAAACTTTGTTAATTGGAGGAGGGTGGGGGGGCGGATTTTTAACATCTGTCAGTCTGTTGTTTTTTTTTAAAGAATATTTATTCCAATTTTAAAGTTACAAAAAAAAAAAGATATAGAAAAAAAACAAACCACATACATCTTACAAAAAACAGACAGTAAAAAAGAAATAAAAAAAAACAAAAAATCACAATAGAAAATGACAAAAATCAAATTAGACCATTACAACCATTTTCCCATTTACTTATTTCCATGACTTCCTCTCACCTCCCTGCTTTGTATTCTAGTTTAAATCGTATCTCCAGCAAATCCTTCTAACCTTCTTTTCTTTTACTTATTTTAACATTCGAAAGTATTTAATTCTCCTCTATCCTCATTTTACACTTCATATTTACTTATTCCATTATACCCTGTCTGCCAATACGGTCTAATATTCTTCTCCAACCTTTTTCTAACATTCTTTTATATTACAGTGTTTCTGAAGATATATTTTAAATTTTTTCCAGTCTTCTTCCATCAACCCTTCTAACATCAACCCTTCTTAACATCTGTCAGTCTGAGCTGTATCCTGGTGCTGGAGGTGATGGGAAGCTGATGGTGCCTGGGTCTTGAATTGCTGCACCTTTGAGGGAAGCCTTTGTCTCTGCCGCTGGTGTTTTCCCAACAGTCCCTCTCCCACCCATATGGCGTGCAAGCGGAGCGTGTTGCCATTTGCATTGCTGATGGATGGTACTGTTTGCCTTAATGAAAGCGAGCATGAGAAAGCATGAACTGAGGTGGAAGGATTTTCTCATACTTCAGTGGCCTTGAAGATCCTTTGGCTTGGGAGGCGGCGGCGGCGGCAGAGGAATCCCAATGTGTGGATAGAACCTAGAACCAAGGCCCAGTGTTTTTTGGCCTTGTTCAGGTATCTGCTTGTGTTAATGGGGGAGCGAAGAGAATCCTTTATTGTGGGGGAGGGATAGGTAAAGGGACCCCTGACCATTAGGTCCAGTCGTGACCGACTCTGGGGTTGCGGTGCTCATCTCACTTTACTGGCCGAGGGAGCCGGCATACAGCTTCCGGGTCATGTGGCCAGCAGCACTAAGCCGCTTCTGGAGAACCAGAGCAGCTCACGGAAATGCTGTTTACCTTCCTGCCAGAGCGGTACCTATTTATCTACTTGCACTCTGACATGCTTTTGAATTGCTAGGTTGGCAGGAGCAGGGACCAAGCAACGGGAGCTCACCCCATCGCGGGGATTCGAACCGCCGACCTTCTGATCGGCAAGTCCTAGACTCTGTGGTTTAACCCAGAGCGCTACCCGCGTCCCCGGGGGAGGCATATGTATCCCCAAAAATTGTGTGTGTGTAGAGTTATGTCCTTGGGGTTGTTGTTTTTTTACATGTGGCACTTAGACTGAAGATTGACTCTCCTTGTGGGGTACAATGATGAGCTTTGTCTGTTCCGGCGCTGGAGTTTAAAACAATGAAAATATTTTTCTGTCTAGCAAGTGGAGAGTGCATTCACAGGGAGGGTCAGGTGTGCATCTCTAGCATAGAGGGATAGGGCGCAAAAAGCTGAAATGCCCCAGGTGGGAAGGATGGGGAACCTGTAGCTCTTCAGGTGTTGCTAAACTCCAGCACCTATCATCCCTGATATATGGCTGGGGCTGGTGGGAACTGGAGTTGAAGAACCCCTGGAGCACCCCGGGCTCTGCCTCTCCCTGCCCCATGGCACACCGTTTGACTGTAATAGTTCCATTGGCTTCGAAGCCCTAATGAGCCACAGTCCTAATGTTCCAATGCTCATATGACAGCATTAGTGTTCAAATTACACCGTTACGTTACCATGCACCTAAGGTTCTAGTGCTGGCAGGAGTGCGTCTAGAAAAGCGAGGAGGTATTCTTGATGGAGAGCCTGCCAGGCCCTCTGCTGGCAGTTCAAGCCCTAAGCTGGGCATAGGCTAGGTGAACTTGTTGAGTAGGTCGCTTGAGCACTGCAGCAGCTGTGAGGTCCTTCCTCGCCGCCTGCAAAATAAAAGGGCACTTGCAAAAAGTGGTTGCTGCCGGTAGTGAATTACTTGCTGGACGCCTTCCCGGGATGCAGTTCAATTCCTGAGGCACAAACGGTTTGTCTGAATCAGTTTAGGGGAAACAAACGGCCTGCCAGAATGGCTTTCCAGGGCCTTTGTGGTCTAGTGAATAGGGTGTTAGCGAGAGATCGAAGTTGAAATATCAGCTGAGCTGTGACCTTTCTTGGTTGCCTTGGGAAACTGCTACCTCTGTTTTAGCCTTGGTAAAAGGGGCAGAACAAAGGCTTTCTTCAAAGGGCAGCTGAGTGGAATGAGATTCAGGCTGTAAAGTATTGGCACATCTTTTCACAATATATCTATATATATAAACCAGCACTCCGTACATTCTTAATATTGTGCTTTTTGCAATGGTGTGGTGGAGTAATGATCATTAAGAAATTTTGCTTTATTCTGACACGTTGCTTCATAAGGTAAGTAAAAGTGCTGAGCTAACTCTTGGGTAGTAGTACATTTACAATCTACAAAGCATGCACGCACTGCTACACACTGCCTATTATGGTATAGCACCTTACTAGGAGAGCGTTTGTGTAGATTGTGGGCTGTCAGATTTCAAGGGGCCTTTGTTTCCACAGAGCAGATACTAACCTTTGTGTTCTTTGAATTACAGAAAGCTGTTTGTGGGTGGCCTTGACTGGAGTACCACGCAAGGTAACCGTTTCCTAAATTGACCATGCACATCTTACTGGGGTTCAGATCCCCTACCTCTGGGCTGCTGCTCTCGTTGTATCGTGGCTTTGAGAGGGCTGCCTCATGCCAAAGCCTTTGGGTTTCCCTGAGGCCAGTGCAGCCTCAGATGTCTGAGAGATGGGGGTGGGGAGCTACTGGGAGGATAGTGGTTAGCGAGTGAGAGCACAAATCCTCAAGCCTTATTAAAACGAGCCTCCCTATAACTACAAGTTGCTCCTTGTGCCTTGGCTGTCTTGCCTCCACCATTAAGCTGTCCTTCTGTGGACCCTACGAGTCTGTTCTGAACAGCGTTCCGCTGCTTCTCAAAGCACTGAATGGCTGGGAACCCGTTTTAAGGTAACGAATACTTCAAGCATCTGTTTTGGTTGCCCTGCAGGGGCTATGTCTGCCATCCCTCCTGGATCCGTCCTTCTCTTGCGGGTTTCCCACAGGCTTCTGGTTCACCACTATGAGAACAGAACGCTGGACTAGATGGGCTGTTGGCCTGATCCTGCGGGCTTTCCTTATGTTCTCAAAAAAAGTGCAAGCCAGCTTGAGACCATGTGTTGTGGGGGTGCATTTATTTCCGTCTCCGCCCACGTTCTGTCTCCCGGCAAATCGTCCTCAACAAAATGCGTGTGTGTGTGCTTCTTCAACAGAAACTCTCCGCAGCTACTTTTCCCAGTATGGGGAAGTTGTCGACTGTGTTATAATGAAAGATAAGACGACGAATCAGTCGCGAGGGTTTGGATTCGTCAAATTCAAAGATCCCAATTGTGTGGGGACAGTCCTGGCCAGCAGGCCTCACACATTAGATGGCCGAAATGTAAGTTTGGGGTGGGGTGGGGGAGTGATTGCTTTCCCAGTTATTTCTTAAGCTAAGCAGGCAGCTGTAACTGTGACTGACTGAATAATTAAAAGCTCCTTCCCTATGTGACTGAACTGAGGCCGAACCTAATTAGAACTAGGCTTTTAGGGGGACTTTCAGCCCTTCTCTTATACGCTCTCCCCCATACCTTAACATCTGCTCACGATATCATGGGTGGTGAACAGTGAGATTCCCCTCTCCCCTTGACTGCTAGATGAACCCTCCTTTCCTGTTTTTGGAATTGCCACCACCCCAAAGTATCTCTTGGTCAGTGGGGCGCGCATCAGGTTAAGTAGCTGCCCTTGTGTGTTCTGCTGTCCCTTGGATTTGCGAAGTCTGGCAGGTGGCTGCTGTCATGCTCTTGCGAAATGAAAGTGTGGCGTAAACGAGGCAGGCTTGCAAATCAATCCACCAGCGTTGGACTTGACAGCCTGCCCATCAGTTTCCCGAAGGGGATTAAGGCCCAGCTCTCTTTCCAGTTTGCAGCAGCCTCACTGCCCTGGTCCTTGCCAGCCCTGACTCGCAGGCGAGTGGCCATTTACACACTAGGGAGGAGTGGGCAAGCAGCCAGCCCTGAGAGCAACTGGTAGGTCCACTTTGATTCAGAGTTTCCTAGCCTGCCTGTATTTATCCAAAGCATTTTTACTCGGCTCTTGAGCAAAACGAAACTAAAAGGCTCCCAGGGCAGCTTCCAAATCAGTCCCTGCCCTCTGGGATTTCAAAGACATGGCGTGGAAAAGGGATTGGGGAGGAGGAGGAATAATAATAATAATAATAATAATAATAATAATAATAATTTATTATTTATACCCCGCCCATCTGGCTGGGCTTCCCCAGCCACTCCGGGCAGCTTCAAAAAAAATATTAAAATACTGTAATACATCAAACATTAAAAGCTTCCCTAAACAGGGCTGCCTTCAGATGTCTTCTAAAAGTCTGGTAGTTGTTGTTCTCTTTGACATCTGGTGGGAGGGCGTTCCACAGGGAGGGCGCCACTACCGAGAAGGCCCTCTGCTTGGTTCCCTGTAACTTGGCTTCTCGCAGCGAGGGAACTGCCAGAAGGCCCTCGGTGCCGGACCTCAGTGTCCGGGTAGAACGATGGAGGTGGAGACGCTCCTTCAGAAAGAAGAAAGAAAGGAGGCTTGGGCACAAGTTCTTCGTTAGCAGTTTCTTATAACGACTGGCTAGAATGTACAAGGAGAGGAGGAGCTAAACATTGCTGGTCTCTCAGCTGTGCGTTGATTTAAAGGCCCTGCCATCCCTTCTCTCCTCCTGCCACATAGCCTGGTGGCTGCCTTTAGAGAAGATGACTGTGCTGAGTTGGTACACATCTGCCTGTGTTAGAATTGCCCCAATGGGCTTCTTGAGAGACGCTTTCAGCTGTCCACAGGAGGGCAGGACCTACTGGTCACCGCTCAGCTTGCTTGTTTGAATGCCAGCATCGGGCAAAGCCAGCTTCGGGTCTTCTTTTCTTTTCAAATAAAACTCTGGCTTGCCCTGCCTCCTGTTTCACCCTCTCCCTTGTTTGACAGATTGATCCAAAGCCTTGCACCCCTCGCGGAATGCAGCCAGAGAGAACCCGACCAAAGGAGGGATGGGTAAGGAAGCCGCTTTGGCGTGCGTCGCTCTCCGCTCTTTCCTCCCTCGGTGCCCTTACTGAGCTGCCAATGTTTGTTTCCCATGTCCAAATTCTGAGGAGCTTCGTTAACCCGCTGGAAGCAGGGCAGCAAAATTCAGCCGCACTGTCAAAAAACAAATGAAGCTCTGGGGACTGGGTTACCAGATGTCACCGCTTGCTGAAAGCAGCCATGTTTCAGTGTGCTCAGCTGAACCCGCTGATCTTCACGATCTGGCGCTCGGGGGGGGGGGGGGAGTAGCTATGGTTTTGATACTGACACATGAACATTGTTGTGTTCAGATGCCTCCTTGCCCAATGAATATTTATTATTGATGTTTATATTATGTCTATCCTTCCCCCGCAAAGGAATTGTTCAAGGGGGGAATAGAAAGGAGCCATAAGTGTTATAAGAGCCAGTAACAGTCAGCACAGGCCAGGAAAGGCATTAGCCATAAAGTCTTAGTGACCAAATGTGTCTTCATTTCCTGACCTCCCTTGTTGTAGTTAAGTAGCTTAGCTGGCTTCACTGGGGAGCAGTTGCTACCACAATGAAGGGTCCACCGAATGTCCTGGTGTGCTTGTTCGATTTGTGAAGTCAAGGGGTTCTGTTGGGTCAGCTCCTCCTGTCAGTTAGGAGCAGCCCAGCCTTGGGAGCATGTAGGGTAAGTCTCTTCAGCTTGGGGATTTTTCCAGAGTTCTGCCTACACATCTGCCCTCTGGGGTTTTCTGCCAGTGTCTCCATTTGCCACCCACATCGGTTCCAGGTTCCCTGGCATACTGTCCCCTTGCTTTCGGCTCCATCCATGCCTGTGAGCTCTCAGCGGCCCATTCCCTTCTCCCACTCCCACCCTTGTCCCTGTTTTTTAACTACCGTATTTTTCGCTCTATAGGACGCACTTTTTCCCCTCCAAAAATTGAGGGGAAATGTGTGTGCGTCCTATGGAGCGAATGCAGGCTCCTTGGCTTCAGCGATAACAATGCTAAGCCTCCCAAGCGCAGAGGGAGCACTCCCTCCGTGCTCCAGAGGCTTCGTGTTGCTTTCGCTGAAGCCCTCTCGCTCTCCAGGCTTCAGGGATTGCCGTGCGCAGCCCCTCCGGCAGGGAGAGGCTGCACGGGGCTATGGCTTCTTTAGCCCCGCGCAGCTTCTCCCGGGAGGGAGAGGTTGCGTGGGGCTAAAGAGGAAGCCAAAACAGGCCAGTGGGATCCATCCCACTGGCTGCCTTGGCTTGTGCCATAGCCACGCGCAACCACTCCGGCAGGGAGAGGTTGCGCGCATCCTGTACGCTGCTCTTTGGGGCTGGGGGGGAAATAAGATTATTTTTCTTGATTTCCCCTCCTAAAAACTGGGTGCGCCCTATGGTCCGGTGCGCCCTATGGAGCGAAAAATACGGTGTGCTCTCCACAGAGTGTCCTCTCTCTCCTCCTCTGCTCTCAAGCCATGCCTTCAGCCTCCATTTCTGCCAAGCTTTTCCGGACCTGCACTGCAACTCTGCTTTCCTTGATAATCAGCCCTTGCTATCAAATCCTTCCCTCCCTTCTCACCTTTGTCCTGTTTGCTGTACTTGATCGCTGCCCATCTCACTTATACGGAGGAGGCATGGGTGGGGAAGAAATGATTACAGTGTTCTTAACAGCACTTCCACGCGCAGGCAGAGTTCAGTTCACGCACGGCAACTTAACTTGGCGAGTCGTTCCAAGGTGCCTGCTCCAGTAGCGTGAGCCTTTTAGGTGCAGCTGGTTTTCAAGAAAGGTAACGTCTGAATTGTCCACCTTCTGGCCGATGTGATTCCATCCACATGCAAATATGTCATTTCAGCACCCTGGGCGCACATTTGTAGCACAACGCATCAGCACTTCCTTCCAGTAGGACAGGAAGACTTGTGACTATTGTTCACCGCTTCAGTTGTTGAATTATTGGGGGGGGTTAGGGAGGTGACCTAGCCCCCCAATAGCCTTTGCTCAAAAGCCCCTACAAAACTCGGATAAGAGGACCAATACAAATGGTAAGAGGAATGGACTTCCTCTCTACCTTTACCCATTGAAAACATCTCTCTCAACTCCCACCCCACTGGTGCGGCCTCATATATACCGTATTTTTTGCTCTATAAGACGCACTTTCCCCCTCCTAAAAAGTAAGGGGAAATGTGTGTGCGTCTTACGGGGCGAATGCAGGCAGGAGGCTCTGCTCAGCGCTCCCTTTAAAGAGCCGCATGGAACGTGTGTGTGGCACACACGCTCCCTGTGCTCTTTAAAGGAGTGTAGCTCTTGGGGGAGCCTTAGCCACACACAGCCTCTCCTGGGCAGGGGGAGAATTCATGCCGCTGCCCGGGAGAGGCTGCGCGCGGCTATCCCATAAGCCACGACAGCAAGCGGGATCGCTGAGCTGTGATCCTGCTTGCTGTCCTGGCTTCTGGGATTCAGATTTTTTTTTCCTTGTTTTCCTCCTCCAAAAACTAGGTGAGTCTTGTGGTCTGGTGCGTCTTACAGAGCGAAAAATACAGTCCCTCTGCCATTTGCAGTGGAGACCCATGCTAACAAATGGCAGTCTGGCCGCGTGAACGAATGTTGTTGTTGGTTGTGGGTTTTTTGGAGGGTGTGTGTCTTTGAACCGGATCTGAACTGCAGGCTGCAAGACAAGTTAGAGAGCGCAGCTTAGTCCATCTCTGAATTTTAAGTCCAATGTGAAAGAACCCTTTTGCCCCTCTTCCTTTAAGGCAGAAGTTGCTCGGCCGTCAAAAGGACCGGCGCTTCCGCAGGCATGGAACAAGCGTCACTTTGAAGGATACATCCTAGTTTTAATTGCCGCCGTTTCTGTCCCTTTTGTCTTAGCAGAAAGGATCCAGGAGCGATAACAAATCTAATAAAATATTTGTCGGTGGGATCCCTCACAACTGCGGCGAGACAGAGCTCAGGGAATACTTCAAGAAGTTCGGAGTGGTGAGTTTATTGCGGTGGCAGGCATCAGGTCTCCAGAAAGCAGCTTCTTTCTCCCATCTCCTCCATCTCCATTCCCTCCTCTACACCTGGAGTTCAATTTTTTGCCTCATCAACATGAAATATTCCTGTGGCTGTCTGCTCCTTTTTAAAAACCAACCAACCTTCATTTCTTGGCGTTAGTCATAAAAGCCCCTAGTTCTAAGATGTTTGGTTTCAGAATCCTGAGCCCATGGTTTAGCCTCTTCTCAAAGTCCCATTGATCCAGCATAAGGATGTCTGATTTTTGCAAAATATAGACAGCATGGCTTTTGTGTATTTGTACTGTTCTGTGGCAGAAATAATTTTTTTGCTAAGGCCTTGGCTGGTATTAATTTGATGTCATGAAGTCTGCTCTTGCCCCTCTGTCTTCTCAGGGTGGACTGACCAACCAGTGTGATATCTCCCTTGATGTCCTGACCGTCTCTAGTGTCCCCCCACCCGAAAGCTGGAGCCTCTGGTGAGGGGCTCAGTGGTTCCCTATTCATATACAGGTGAAACTCGAAAAATTAGAATATCATCGAAAAGTTCCTTGATTTCAGGAATTCAACTTGAAAGGTGAAACTAATATATGAGATAGACTCATGACATGCAAAGCGAGATATGTCAAGCTTTGATTTGTGATCATGGCGTACAGCTGGTGAAAACCCCAAATTAACCATCTCAGAAAATTAGAATATTCAAGGAAATCAGCAAAACAAGGATTGCAAATCGAACAAGATTGGACCTCTGAGAAGTAGAAGCACGTCGCGCTTTGCATTTCACGAGTCGATCTCATATATTAGTTTCACCATTCAAGTTGAATTCCTGAAATCAAGGAACTTTCCCACGACATTCTAATTTTTCGAGTTTCACCTGTATAGTAGTAAACAAATTAATTAATTATATCCATTCCTCACTCTTTGGTCAAGTATGTCCCCCCCCCCCCCCCAGTCCTGGCTTATAACAAAATCCAACGCAAGGGTGTAATGTAGCAGGGATATGTTGAGTTGCGTGTGTCTAGCAAGCTTCTCTTGCACCTGATAACGGATGTCCACCCTTTCTTAGAGCCAGGGAGTGGGGATTTCCATTGGGGCTGGTTGATGGTGAAAATGCCAACTCGCAGAAGTAGCTCTTCCACTGACTATTTTTGGTCAAGGTGCAATTTGCTTAAATGGTTCGCAGATCATTTTCATGCTTTGTTCTCAAGTGGGCCACATCCTTCACTCTCCCCCCCCCTCCCACCTCACCCCTCTTCTTTCTCCCTCCCACCCACCCCCAAAGCAGGTAAGTCACCAAACAACTCATCATTATTTGGACATAGGTTGCCTGCATTTATACTTTAATTTACAAGCTGCTTATGTTTGGAGCAGAGAGAGAATGGTAGACTCCCAGTTCCGGGCAGGCTTTGGCCCTTATCTCTGTGCTCCAGGCACCTAGGGCCTGAAAAGAAAAGGAAGAATCGCACCAGCAAGCTTTGAAAACAGGGTTTTGTTAATACAAGAAAAACCTATTTAATCACAACAGCGGATTTGCGTAGGTTTACGCCTGGAGTGTTACCAGTGTAACACATGAGGTGTGAAGCATGATTTTCGCCAGAACTCTTCCCTTTCTCAGAGGCTTGGGTTTCTGTGGACCTTTTCGTTCTAAACTATCACTGGCTTACCCAGGAAAAGAGTTGAATGATTTCCAAAATAGAAAAATGGGGGTATTTTTTATGCTAGTACTGAGTTGGGATCGGGGGGAGTAATTTTAATGCGCTGGCAGAGTGGCCCGCTGTTGAAGGGTGGGTAATGAATTTAATAATAGTAAGTCCAACCAGGGTTATCTGTATCCCTGTCCTCCTTGTTCCCCTGCAAATCTTACCTTTGCAATAAGCCCCCAGGTGTCCTGCTAATTTTTCATAGTTTCCCTTCCTTCCCAAACCCCCAAATTTTCACAGGAATTTAAGGAGTTCCGGCAGCAGCTTTAGGAAGCACCAGGAAATTGGTTCTGAGGTGTGCTGGAACAGAATGGATTTGAGAGGCGCTGGTGGAAGGGTGGGCAAGGACCTGTGCCAGGGTATTAAGGCCATAAATAGCAACACCCTAGAGGTCTCGGGCCCTAAGGAAGTTAGATTAGCCTCAACCAGAGCCAGGGCCTTCTCAACACTGGCTCCGGCCTGGTGGAGTGCTCTGCCTCATGAGACCAGGGCCCTGCGGGATCTGATTTCTTTCCGCAGGGACAGAGTTGTTCCACCTGGCCTTTGGCTTGGAGCCAATTTGATTCCCTCCCCCTCTTTCTTTTTCCTTTCTCCTCCTGTGAAGAGGCTGCATCCTAATGTTTTAATGTTGCATTTTAATCTTGTTTTTTTTAAAGTGGTGCTTCAGGTTAAGAACAGTTTCAGGTTAAGTACGGACCTCCGGAACAAATTAAGTACTTAACCCAGGTTTGCTCAGTTTTGGAAGCAGACTGGAATTCAACTTGAGACGCGCAATTAGAAAAGGGGAACTAGCTTTTCCCAACAGCGAATGTGTAAACTTGAACTTGTTCAGCAACTAATGACTACTTTTGCCCAGATGAATCAGAAACATGATGCTCCTGTTTGCTTGAGGGGGTTGTCGTGGGGAGGTGGGGCAAACAATGGGCAAGGTGTAATTGGGCAGGTCCCCAAAGGGAATTGACCCATGTTAGTAAGATCGACGTTCATGCTTGGTAACCTGAACCCTGCCAAACGAGTTGTCTTTTCAAACCTTAACTCGCCCCGGGTGGACCCATGTGTATCCCATTTCATTATGCAGTTGTCCTTTGGCTCCCAAAATACTCCCGGGGGGGGGGGGCGTTTGTGGCTCATCCGGGCAAATGCTACCTAAAAGCCCTTGAGTGGTGCTGCGTGATACATTTTCTCCTTCCCGCTGATGGCTGCTTCAGCAACTCAGCCTCAGCTTCCCCGTGTGAGCAGCTCAGCCTCCTGGGGCTGGCTGGTGGAGGCTCTGAGTTCCGAAAGACCTCATCCTGCCACAGCAGAGGCAGGCTGAGCTGGAGCTGTAAAACGGGGAGCAGAGCCCCTCAAGCTTGCGGCTGGTGGCAGTTTCTTTCCCCTTGTGCTTAGCTAGGTGACATCTCTTGTTATCTCCTTGTCTAACTAAAGAGGCCACCAGTAAATTAATCCGTATAGGTTTGCCAATTAGGCCTCATTTGCAGACGGTGAAAGTGGGTGGGCTGAATGTTGAGGATTGGGCAGCTCTTAAACTTGCCACTGTCCCTCCTGACTCGATTTCTCCAGAATGCCCTGGAACGACGCTGTCTCAAGGAAGCATTACCGTATTTTTTGCTCTATAAGACTCACCTTTTCCCTCCTAAAAAGTAAGGGAAAATGTGTGTGTGTCTCATGGAGCGAATGCAGGCTACGCAGCTATCCCAGAAGCCAGAACAGCAAGAGGGATTGCTGCTTTCACTGCGCAGCAATCCCTCTTGCTGTTCTGCCTTCTGAGATTCATAATATTTTTTTTCTTGTTTTCCTCCTCCAAAAACTAGGTGCCTCTTGTGGTCTGGTGCGTCTAATAGAGCAAAAAATATGATAGATGGCATCAGTTATTCAGGAGTGAAAAATACGTCTTTTTAGGAGCCCTGATTGTCATTTGAGGCTCTCTTTCCCTTGCTTATCACGCACTAGCCTCTAGATTGCCCCTTGAAAAAACAAAAAAGGTACAGAGGTTAGTAAAGGGTAGTTAACGCAGGCCACCTGTTTATATGAGCAGACTGCCCCCTTGGGGAGTTCTGCCTGCTTGAAACAATTACTAACCCGGCTAGAAAACATGCTCTGTGTTCCTTGTTTGTTCCTCCAGCTCACGCACCCGTCCTCCCTCTCCAGGGCAATCTGCTTTTCTCCCTGTTCCTAGCAAGATGTGTTTTCTGCTGCATCGGCGCAATTAATCTGCACCTTGTCTGGAGAATTTTAAAAGACCGGTGGGGAGGTAGCCCTCTACCGATCTGCGACTTTGGTTTGCACTTTGGCATTGCTTTCTCGGTTATCCATTTGTTTTTCTAAAAAAAGGTTATTGCAGTTATATATTAACACCTGAAAGAAGAAAGAGCCACGAGTGGGTCTTCTGCCTCTCAGCCCTTGCTTGGGGAAGGGCTTATTCTGCCTTGCTTCCTATCAGATGCTTATCGCTAGCCGCACCTCAAGCGTCCGATTGTGCTTCTGCTTTCTTTGTGTGGCCTCATCCTGCTGCCTGCCGTGTGTTGACCCTCCTGTGGGAGCTTCATCAGTCGAATTTCCCCTTTTCTCTTTTCTAGGTCACTGAAGTGGTCATGATCTATGATGCAGAGAAGCAGCGGCCCCGAGGTAAAGGAGAATCTAGTTTGTCCTTGAAATTTCTTTATCCTCTCCCTATGTCAGATGGCAAACTTTCACAACATCAACACACAATATTGTTTACATTGCCTCGGGAAATTATTCCACTGAACAAACTGCTACATGTAATTCATGCAATTCCATCCTCCAGTGTGTTACTGCTTTTGAAGTCAGGTGTTAAATGTCCATCTCTGTCTCCACCCTACCTGCCCGTTCACCCACAAGGTGTCTTCTTTAACGAAAAGGTTGACACCTGAATTGAGCCGCTTGTTTCAAATAGGCGAAGGAGAAGGAGTGAAAAGAAGCAGTCATTAAATGTACACATTCTCCTATCCCCCCCCCCTTTTTAGAGCCATAAGGTAAAGGTAAAGGTACCCCTGACCATTAGGTCCAGTTGTGGCCAACTCGGGTTGCGGCGCTCATCTCGCTTTATGGGCCGAGGGAGCCGGTGTACAGCTTCCAGGTCATGTGGCCAGCAGGACTAAGCCGCTTCTGGCGAACCAGAGCAGCGCACGGAAACACCGTTTACCTTCCCGCCGGAGCGGTGCCTATTTATCTACTTGCACTTTGACGTGCTTTCGAACTGCTAGGTTGGCAGGAGCAGGGACCGAACAACGGGAGCTCACCCCGTCATTGCGGGGATTCAAACCGCCGACCTTCTGATCGGCAAGTCCTAGGCTCTGTGGTTTAACCCACAGCGCCACCCGCGTCCCTTATTTTTTACAGCATACAGGCTCTTAAAATCTGTTTTCCAAGGCTGCAGTTATCAGTAACTGCAAGATTAGAACATATGTTCAGCTTTGCCCTTTTTTGTGATTAAATGGCTTCAGCTAAAAGCACTGGCCAAAGGCCACATCTGTTAAGTTGCTTCTTGAAAAGTTGCGCAGACGAGGATCTAGGCAAAAGCCCACTGTTACCCTTGAGGGATAACTGCTTTTATGTTTGAGTGAGTAGGCAGTTTCTCCCCGAACTCCAAAGGCTGAGTCAGCAGTGCCTTCTCAGCTTCAGCCCCAGCGGGAACCGGCCCTTGTCTTGTCTAGCTTTCCATTCCACCAATCACTTTTCAGTCGGCTCTTAGAGGCAGTATTTTTTCCAAACCAAAACGTCATCTGCGTGAGTTGTACCTAACCCACTCGGTAGCATGTCAGACATGCTAGGAAACAGTTTGCCATCTAGACTTTTCCACTCTTCCTTGTTGACTCCATTTATTTTAAAGCAATATGTAAATTCTTCACTTCATATTGATTAAGCTGTTAAGTCTTAGTTTTTATTTTAATTTAGACATACATCCTTAGTGGCATATTTAAGTGTTTCATAGTAAAAGTACAGTAAACGTTAAGTTCTTTCTCCCCCCCCTCCCCTTCCTTTTCTTCTCTCTCTCTCTCTCTCTGTGAACTGTTTGTGATTAATATCTCTTTAGATTTTCTTCTCTCTAGGTGATAGATTATCACAGAGGTACAGGCCATTTCCCCAAATGGAGGAGGGGTTCGGGCTTCTGCCTTTATTTGGAGTGTAAACTTGAAAGTTTTCAATATTTGGGGGCAGGAGGAGTGGGGGCGGGCGGTTTTCTCTTATTTTGATGCCTTTTAATTCGTTTTGCAACAGCTTTGCACTGTTTCAACAGAAAAATTCACTGACCCAGTAAAGAGCAGCATCTTCTTGCATGGTTCCCCGCCCCCTTTAAAGTTGGGAGAGGCAGTGAAAGAACCTTGCCACTACTTTGAACCATCTTTCCCGCACTTGTGCTCACCAGGAAAACAAGACCCAGACGGGATGATTTTTTTTACTTAAACGACCCCCTAAAGCTCTCGCAGTTCAACTTTCCCAGTGACGAAGCAGGAAACTTTGAAGGCTTCCTTCCGAGGTTTTGTCTTTTGCCTTAAAGCCTCACTTATGCAAGTAGTGAACCACCAGCAGGTTTGAAGGGCGTGAGCTGCTGGGCAGCCGTGTTTAGCTTCAGCCTTGTACACCACAAGCGTGTCCGGCGCTGGATGCCAAACATGGGTGGCAAGTTGGTGTGGCAGATTGGGCCCGGCTCGGCTCACAGCCAGCAGCTTTCAGCCAGTTGGACATGATCCTGCAGCCTGCACTAGCGATCTACCCATTCCGACTACGGGCAAACATGACTCTTGTGTTTACACCGCTTTCCTCTTAACCACTTTTGTCTGCGGCGTCCTGCGGTTTCCATTGCAACCCTATGCTTTCTTCACTCAGTTGCACAGCTGTAAACTTCACTGCAAGTGTCAACATGTCGGTTAGACCCCTGGGGGATGCGAAGAGCAAATGCCTCTTTCATCGGTGGCTGCCCTGTGTTGCTTGCTCGGGTGCATCACATTGATAACTTGTGAAGTCTCCCTGGCTGTCCTAGTTCCTCTCTTAAGCATCCTTGGAAAACACACTACTCCCTGTCCCAATTCTTGGTGTCTCTTTCTGCTCAATCTCTTTCCCTCTTAAGATCTTAAACTTCCTTCTTTCACCTTAAAATCTCTGCTCAGTCATTTGTATGGCTGTTAGGAAGCCTGACTCGTATACTGGGCACCCACCCCTTATTCCCATTTTACAGAAGGGGAATGTGCGCTTGAATACTAATTGGCTTCCTTTCAGCCAGCTAGTGATTTCGTGAGCTATGATATAAACTGGTTCCCCCTGCCGCCACCGCATCCTACCAGTTTTCCAACTTAGCACCAAGTATAGATTTGAGAGGACCACTGATGGGAAGGATGCAGATGTCCTATAGAGGAATTTGGTCCACTTTTTTGGTCGGGGTCTGTTATGCTGCTTACTTACGAAGAGCAGCTTTGTAAATGTTACGCTTTTAACTCGTGTTGCAATCTTGTCTTGGAAAATGGCTTCATGATAAAGCCAGCAGAAAAGCAAAGCTTTATACTAACGCAAGTGTGGCTGAACACTTGAGGTAACACTTAAAGTCAAGAAGAAGAAGAGTTTGGATTTGATATCCCGCTTTATCACTACCCTAAGGAGTCTCAAAGCGGCTAACAATCTCCTTTCCCTTCCTCCCCCACAACAAACACTCTGTGAGGTGAGTGGGGCTGAGAGACTTCAGAGAAGTGTGACTATCCCAAGGTCACCCAGCAGCTGCATGTGGAGGAGCGGGGAAGCGAACCCGGTTCACCAGATTACGACTCCACTGCTCTTAACCACTACACCACACTGGCTCTCAGAAACGCGTCACGGTCATTACTTTTTTTTAGCTTGCCTGCTACTGAAAATTAAGAGCACCTTTGAATTGCATGCAGCTAAATCTACACATCTGCAGAACGCAAAATTTGCACAAGTCCAAAACCTCTTGCATTGTTTTTGGTTGTTTAAGTCTCTGGGCTCACAGAGAAATTCCTGAATGACAGTGTGATGTGGCGGATCAGATGGGGCGTTTGGCCTTGAGGTGCTTTTCTCCCTTGCAGATCAGCTCTCAAAGCTCGTTGAGGTGAACTTGAGAGAGCTGCAGCGATCAGCCAAACTGCGGCTTGGGGCTCAGAATGCAGCCGGCTACTCATGTAGTCCTGGAACGTAGCAATCTCCCCTCTTAAGGGAGGAAGAGCTCACAATTTCCAAAAAAACAGACAAACACAGCTGAGCTGATCCCCAACCTTTAATATCTGAGGTGGGTGCACCCATCTGTTTTCTCCCACCCCAAAATGCCAAACTTTCCCCCTTGCAACAAGTTCTTAAACCTTAGGCTTTCCCCTTCTCAAAGCTCCTTGTGTTTCAGTCTTCTTAGGCCTTTCGCACCCATTTTGCTCTTCGGCAAAGCTTCCTGGGCTTAAGGGAAATCTTGTGAAGTTAACATTTCTTCCAGTGTCCTTAAGTGCTGCTAGGGTCCCCAAGAGCTTTTCAACAACCTTCTCCCCCTCCTGTTGTCAAGCAATCATTCAGCTTGCCCACCCCTTGTCCACCTGCGCTACATTCTTATAGAAGCGGTTCTGATCCAACAGCCTCTTTTAGCGCTTGCCTCCCTGACAACTTTTTGGTTTTTCATACGCCCTTTCCATGCTGTCTTCCTTATTCCCAAAAGACCTCCCTGCCAACCCCCGTGACCCCATCGCCTCTTATCTGGGTCTGCCTCAAGTGCAGATCTCCGCTTCTGGGAAACTCTCGAATTTTTGCTTAGTGTTCCCTTCTGGTGTTTGCAGTCCTCCTTTCTTTGAATCTCCTTGCTTGCCTCTCATTTTTCTTCCTAACCTTGTTGTTGTTTAGTCGTTTAGTCGTGTCTGCCTCTTCGTGACCCCATGGACCAGAGCATGCCAGGCACTCCTGTCTTCCAGTGCCTCCCGCAGTTTGGTCAAACTCATGCTGGTAGCTTCGAGAACACTATCCAACCATCTCGTCCTCTGTCGTCCCCTTCTCCTTGCGCCCTCCATCTTTCCCAACATCAGGGTCTTTTCCAAGGAGTCTTCTCATGAGGTAGCCAAAGTCTTGGAGCCTCAGCTTCAGGATCTGACCTTCCAGTGAGCACTCAGGGCTGATTTCCTTCAGAATGGAGAGGTTGGATCTTCTTGCAGTCCATGGGACTCTCAAGAGTCTCCTCCAGCACCATAATTCAAAAGCATCAATTCTTCGACAATCAGCCTTCTTTATGGTCCTAACCTTGAGCGAAGAGCAAAAGAGCACGTTTTTCTTCCGTGTAGGCGATCAGTAGCTGTCCCTGATAACGTCCTCCCCCCATTTTAAATAGTGGACGTTTCTGAATCGGTTGTCTCTCGGGTGCAGAAACACCCATCTTTCCGCTTCTGTCCTGCCAAGACTTCCATCTGCCTGCAGACAAGCGAAAGAGCCACTCTTTGTAGAGGCTGCTGCATTGTGGACCTGGCTTCCTTTATACTCTTACGTATTGGAGATGCTCTTAAAAGTCCCCCACAACCCATTTATTTTTAATTTGATTCCACCACCCCCCGCCCCTGCTCTTGTTGCTGACAGCAGAAGATTGACCTGCTGCGATCTATCTTGGCCTGTATCTTTGTGTCTTTTTTAAGTATGAACCTTTTCTACGATAAGGCTCCATGGGCTTACCCAACCATGTTGGATAAGCTTAGAGAGACAATAACTGTTACAGAGACTGTAGCTTTATTTTTTTTTTCTGTTGAACGCTTTAGAGCAATAAATGGCTGCTGTCAGCACTAGCTGCAAAGCGAAAATTAAACCAAGGGGGAAATCTTGGGTTTCAGGGGGGAAACGATTAAATGCCCCCACCCCAACACCATTTCCCACCCCCAAATTTATTTATTTTTTCATCGCAAATTTTTAGAAAGCCACTTTTGCGAAAGGCTGCAGTTGCGTCAGCTAATAGTGGCCCTAGATTTGGCCATTGGTAGTTTTCCAAGGGGATGCAGTGTGTTCTGCGTAGGACCGTGTTTGGGATTTTCTCAGATATTTATTCATGGAATGAATTGGCAGGGCAAAGAAGTTGCCCCCTGGAAGTACTGCCCGTAATATATTCTCCCTCAGCCAAATTTCCAGCGACAATAAACAGGGAGCTATCATGTTTTCCCACCACCCCTTGGCCCCAGAAGATCTTGCCATTGGGACGTCACGCCAAGCCCCGCCCACCCACCCCAGAGTCACCTGAAACCCTTGCTTGAACCCTTGGTTCGCCCCTAATACTGTTCATCATCCTGTTTTGTGTCACAACACCCTGCTACCTTGATTCACTCTTCGTCGTTGGCTAGGTTTTGGATTTATTACTTTCGAGGACGAACAATCAGTGGACCAGGCTGTCAACATGCATTTTCACGACATCATGGGCAAAAAAGTGTGTAGTTGTAGTTTTATTTTACCTTAAGACAAAGCTGAGCCTTGGAGCAACTGGCAATTTGGCTGGCGGATAGGAGGAGCTTGGGGGGGGAGTATTTGAGGGGGACACACACACAAGGGGTGACAGGAGAAGAATCCTCACAGGTGAAGCTTCATTGAGTGACTTGTTTTTAATCGCACGAGTCTCCATCATCTTGGAACAGAGAATTTAATTTTCCACATTTCCACAGATTAAGAAGTAACTTCTTCCAAAGTTTGGTACTGAGAAGGTTTAAACCAGCACCTTTCTGACTGCATTTCTAGGCCCTGAAAGTTTATTGCAGAGAAGATTGATGGGGAAAAAATCCCCTGAGAGGCAGTGTAATGATCTTGGTCTAATAAATTAGCGTTTAGCAGACCAAGAACAGGTGCTGTGCTTCTATGCTCCTGCTACCTCATATCTTTGAGCATTAACACATTTTTCCTTAAGCTGGTACCCTCCAGAGGTTTTCTACTACAACTCCCATCAGCCTCAGCTTGGGGAAGAATGCATTAATGCAAGTCTCCCGTGGTTGGCTAAACCACTGGTTTTCTGGAAGTCTGAACTGCGTAAGCCTGGCAGTGAACTGTCAGAGGGATGAGGAAGGACGCTGGCAAAGCACTTGATCTCTGCCCAATAAGCAGTCATTTATCGACCTGAGGTGGTTGTGCCCAACCAGACTAGCTTGTTCATCTCCATACAACACCCCTCTGTAGGGGCTGGTTAGTGGGGGTCGCTCTCAATTTGTGCAGTGCAGGCCTGGAAATTTGGGAAACTGCTGACGAGCATTTGAGGACCATTTGTGGGCGGCTCGGGTTAAAATAATAGCTGAGGACCCCACTTGCGATTTTGTCATGGCGTTCGGCTGCGTTCACAAGCACTAAGTCAAGCAGCGTTGAGGTTTTGCTTTAGATGTTCTCCTGGAAGGTGTTAAGGAGGTATGATGGTAACAAGCTGGTAGAAGGCAGGCAGGAACAGCAGGGCTGTTGTAGAAGGTGATTTTTATTTTATTTTTTGCAACGCCAGTGAAATCTCTACGTTGCCAAAGGCTCAGCTTCCCATTACCACTCCTTCAGATGTGTGTGCCTTTTATTCCATATTCCAGCTGGGGAGGACGGGTGGGGAGGGGAGCACAGCAGCCTTTGAAAGGCGAGATTTGAACAAAACACTGACCGAAGCATCGTGAAGGAATGGTTCAAACCGGGGAGGAAAAAAAATGGGTCACTTACTGTGAGACTTCGATACGAATCCACATATTCTTTTTACCTATAATAGCGTTTTTAACCACGATGCAGTTAAGTGACCTTTTGGTTGTTGTCATCTTCATACTGTGTTGTCAGCGCTCCCGAGAGACTTCTGGGTGAACCGACTCTGCTTTCTTAACTCACTCGGCTTTTAAGTCCCTTGGCTCTCAGCGTAGCTTCACGTGAGCAGGCGAGTCAGGGGAAGGAGTGGCTTAAGTTTCAGAGAGCGGCCTCAGCCTCTAAATTGTCCCAGCTTCTGATAAAGGAGAAAGGGCGACAAAGAGATTCTTGTGCAAAATCTAAAGTGTTCGTGGATCTCCAGTTTGGGTTGAAACCGCAGACATTTGATGATAGACTCTTGGGTTTTTAAAACGCCCAACGCTCTCCCAGTTCTCAAGCTTTGTAATTCACAATGAGAAGCTGATTGTATTTTTTGAAAGCTCAGTATTTCTCTGCTATCCAGAAAGTCCTGCCAGGGTATCCTAGTTAATGCAGAAATAGTTACGCAGTTTTAAAATATTGCTGAAATCTTCTGAGTTGGAGCTAGAGCTACTGCTTCACTCGTTTCGCCAGCTGCTAATCAAATTCTGTAGCACCAGTTCTGGGAACCCAGGAGAGAACTGGCTGATATGAGTCGGTTTCAAAATCCATGCTCTCCATCCCTCCCTCGCCGCAAAAGAGTCCCTGCTCATCTTTGTCTTTGCACAAAGCTGAAGCCAAAATCTCAATATGGCAAAGATGAAGAGATTGCAGCGATATAAATGCCATGTTACTCAGCCAGTGGCTGGAGAAAAGGCAGACTTTGAGCCATCGATGTTTGGGTGCCAAATACGTTTTTGTCGACCAGGTACAGTACAAGTTCCCAGCCATTTTGGTAATTCCACCCCATCGTTAACGGCGGCTTTTGAACTTTCCTCAGCGCTGCTTCTCCCCGATAAACCCCTGAAACAGCAGCGTCGGCAAAGCCGCGCTACCTTCTTTCTCTTCTGCCCTTTGAAAATGATTACAGAAACTTATTCTCCCCACCCGGCCCCTTTGCCATATTTAAGGAGCAACCAAACTGTCTCAAGGTTTGGGACTTGGGGCATAGGGGTGGGAAATTGCTTGTTTCCAGCACCCTCCCAGTGCAGGGTTTGGGTCGACAAAAAAGAGAGGAGGAATGCTTCAGGGACATTGGGAGGCCTGTTATCTGCGCTGACTTGCGCAGCCTTGCAGAAGCAGAGTTAATCTGAAGTACACACATTTCATACGTTTCGCTTCGTGGCGTTTATATCCTGGCTTTCCTCCAGGGAGCTCAGGAAAGTTACGCAGGGCTCCCAGGTGGTCTTCTATCCAGGCAGTGACCACAGAGAAGGCCTGCTCAGCTTTAGTAAGGTTGCTATGGCTTTGGCCTTCAAACCGCGTCCTTGGCTCTTTTGGAGGCAAAGATCCTCGAGTTATTAAAGCGTGGCTGAGCATGTCCAAATTGTTAGCTGCGTCCCGACATCAGCACAAGTTTAAAACGGGGGTTTATTCTCTCTCCCTTTCATGACCCCATTGCTCAGCTTCACTTAATAATTCAGAGTTTATCTTCTGCCACCCCACCCCATGCCAAATTTCAAAATTAGCTTCATATTTGGATTTAAAACCGGCTGTGAAGTTTATCTTGGACAGGAAGTTTGTATTAAGTAGTCCAGGCACATCATTAAAGCACTGGGGTGCATTCACTTTATGTGTGACACACACACATCCACCTTATTTACAGAACAAAAGCGCTTTTCCTCTGACTTAACACAGTATGAAGGTTTTGCTTCTTATTGACTCAACTGTCCATTTTTTATTACCTGCATGTTTGTTTACTTTTTTGTTAGATGTAATGTAAGGTTCTCTTATCACATCCATTCCTTCTGACATTGTTTGAGTTAATTGAGGTTCTTTAAGCGTTAGCCTGGGGAAGGTAAGTCTCTATCTTCCATTAGACTTCTAAATAATAATAAAAGAAATAAGTTTATAAATAGGAATTTCTTTTTTTAAAAAACAACAACAACTGGAAACTGAATGTGTGTTTCTCAGGTATGAACAAAGCCGAAATTGCAATTTAGCTGTGTGGCATGTTTGGCCACAAATTACAACACTTTCCTCATCGCCACTCTGCCAAAAAAAAGAGGTCTGGCTTAAAGCCTTTGTACCTTTCTTCCGTGATGTTCCCCTCAACCTTGCTAGCAAACTTAATTCTTCTTACCTGCGAAGCCAAGCACCAGAGCTGTGTGCGGAGACCGAAAGTCTGTCGAGAAGATGTCGCTGCCTGCTTGTTACGTGAGCAAGCCGACCAGCAGACATAACGGAAGAGAAAAAACCACGCCCGGGGACACCTTTTATCCTTAACCGCTTTACGGAGCGGAGACTTTCGGACCGGCTTCCTCTTGAACTACCCATTGTACCCGAGAAACACTTGTTTTTTATTTTCTCTAAACTAGCGGCCTTTAAAAAAAAAGGAAAAAAGCTTGTAATTCTTTGATTAAGTTCTTAGCTGTAAGTCATAAGGTGCTAAGATATGAGCTTTTGCTTTTTAAGTGTTAAACTTAAGGGTGTGTGTGAAGACGGGCAGAGTGCGGGGGGGCAGCGGCGGCAAGCTAACCGGCAGCCTCCCCTCCCTGAGCGCCTCGCTCTCTTTGTCTAGGTGGAGGTGAAGCGGGCCGAGCCTCGGGATAGCAAGAGCCAGACGCCAGGGCCTACGGGCACGAGCCAGTGGGGAAGCCGGATCATGCCAAGCGCTGCCAACGGCTGGGCAGGGCAGCCCCCACCTACCTGGCAGCAAGGATACGGACCTCAAGGTACCACTTCGCCGCTGGTTGCGGGACGCTCCTGGGCCAAATCAGGCTTGGCCTTCATTCCTCTGTACGCGAACAAGCTCCTCCGAGCAGATACTGGCAGTCCCTGCAAATATCTTGCTAGTTTAGGGTGCCGAAGGGCACCTGCTCTGCCTCTGTCCATAGCTGTCAACTTACAGATTTGAAAATAAGGGACCAGCAGCCTTGAAAATAAGGGATCAGCAGCCAAAATAAGGGATCAACAATTACTTTGATAAAATACATATTTTGTTGCGTGCAAATGGCTTTAGATACCTATTAGGTCCATAAATTACCATATAGCATATATTCAACACAAAAAAGCAGCAACAGTTTGTTGTTGACAAAGGACAGCTGGACATAGAAAGGGCCCCATTACCTTCAGGAGCTTATTTAAGGGACATCATCAGTAAGGGACAGCAGCGGGACATGGCGCTGAGATAAGGGACTGTCCCGCCAAATAAGGGACGCTTGACGGCTATGCCTCTGTCCCCAGACATCTTCAGGTTCTCCGTGGTCGGAGGCCGTCAACGCCTCTGAGCGCCAGCTGCTGGCAGGGGAAAGCTGCTGCCGCACTCACGTCCCGTTGGGGCATCTGGTGGGCTATGGTGAGGACAGGAGGATGGGGTGCCCTTGGGCCTGATCCAGCAGCCAGCCTCTCCTAGGGAGTACTGTATTTTTCGCTCTATAAGATGCACATCTTCCCCTCCAAAAATTAAGGGGAAATGTGTGTGCCTCCTATGGAGCGAATGCAGGCTCCTTGGCTTCAGCGATAGCAATGCAAAGCCTCCGAAGCGCAGTGGGAGCGCTCCCGCCGCGCTCCGGAGGCTTTGCGTTGCTTTCACTGAAGCCTCTCCAGGCTTCAGGTTCCTTTCGCTGAAGGGTAGGTGCCCCTTCAGCTAAGGCGCATCGCCCCTTCAGCTAAGCGGGAGGAGAATTGAAAGGGGCTCCGTTTCTCCTGCCGCTTCCCTGAAGGGGCGCTGCGCAGAGAGGGGGAGAATTTTTTCTCTCTTGTTCTCCCCCTCTAAAACAAGGTGCGTCCTATAGAGCGAAAAATACGGTAGGTGATTGGAAAGGGGGTTCCTTCCCCCCCCCCAATCAAGTTCCATGCTGAAATAACTTTGAAACAGGCACGATCCAGACTGTTTTGAAGCACCCCGGGACCTTGGCAGCCCATTTGAGACAGAGAGGGGTCAGGAACCTTCCTCCTCGGCCTCTTGCAAGCCCTGCCTCCAGCCCTCCTTCAGCTGGAGCTTGCGGCAGATGCTGCCTGCGCGGATGTGATAGTGTCTCAGCGGTAGAGGTGCAGGCAGCAGTTTACTTGCGACAGCCGAATGCAGGTTTGGAACTCCTCTTTCATTTACTTTCAACACGTCAAGTATGCAGGCCTCTGTAGCTTAAAAGAGTCTGCGGCCACATCTCAGGCGCTGTTTTTCAAACGCTGTGTTTCAGAAGAGCCCCAAACAACTCTCCCGCTAGACTCCGCTTCTTGACATCCCCACAGTTCTGAAATGATGAGGTTGTAAAACGACTGAGCACTGTCCCGGTCAAACAGGCATGGTATCTTGACCGGTCTTGTGTGTGTTTTTTTCTCTCCCTTCCCTGCCCTCTTCCTCTTCTCCCCCCTCCCCTGCAACTTTAGGGATGTGGGTGCCAGCGGGACAAGCACTCGGTAAGTATGTCACAGTTGTTGAAGGCCTTGTGTATTGAATATCCTAAGCCTAAATAAAGCAAATCAAAGGGCTGTCGTGCTTGGAGTAGACCCGTTGAAAGGGAATGAACTTAAGCCCATTAATTTCAGTGGTTCTACACTGAGTAGAGTTTTGTTGCACGCAACCCAGAATTTTTAGCATCGGCTTGGTGCCTCTGCAGTTTTCCTCCCAAGAACTCTTCACTGCAAATTTGCAAGAAGCCCCTTGAGCAAAAATTCCCAGGGTTCTTGTGTGCATGAGCTGGCTGGGTGGGATAAGCAAGGAGAGCTCCGGCAAGGGAAAGGGATTTGTTTCATCTTTGTTGGCAGGGATAGGTGTGACCCTTGGCTTTAATTCCCTATGACCCTCTGCCTTAATTCAAGTGTCAAGGAGGGAGAAAGGGGGCAACCAAGTCAGGTGGGCAGGGTATTCCTACAGTCGTACCTTGGATCTCAAACGCCTTGGCTCCCAAACAAATCGGCTCCCAAACAATCAAAACCCGGAAGTGAGTGTTCCGGTTTTCGGATGATTTTTGGAAACCGAAGGTCCGGCGCGGCTTCCGATTGGCTGCAGGACACTCCTGCAGCCAAGCAGAAGCCGCACCTAGGTTTTCGAACGGTTCCGGGACCGGAACAGACTCCCGGAACGCAGTCTGTTAGAGAACCCAAGGTGTGACTGTACTAATGATAAACCCAAAGCAGCCGCAAATGTAGCTAGCCCGCATTAACTCATGTTAGTCATTTGTTGCACATTGGCAACCTGAAAAGATTGGGGGGGTGGGGAGGGAGAGGGATTGGGGAAAGTGAACTAGCTTTTTCCATTTGCCAAAAAGAAGTCCTGCCTTTTAAAGGCCTGGTCCCCAGTACAGCAAAGACAAATGTCCTCTCTCTTTTTTTGAAAGCTGGCTCTCTGAGAACTGTGGGAACGGCTGGATTAAAGCTGTGCTCTTTAATTATTTCTCCACCATGCTAGCCCCTTGGCTGGCTTGGAAGAGCTGGGCTCTGCTCAGTTCAGAAGTGGGGTGAGCTACCAAATGATTGTTTGAAACAAGCCACGACTTCATGTAGGCAGTAGCCCTCGACAGCCCCGCTAACAGCGAAAGCTTAAGGAGTGTGACCCGAGGAAAATCATTTCTGCTGCCTGTTTGTGCATTTAGGATTTTTAACCCCCTAAGCAGCTGGAAGGCACGCGGGTGGCGCTGTGGGTTAAACCACAGAGCCTAGGGCTTGCTGATCAGAAGGTCGGCGGTTCGAATCCCCTTGACGGGGTGAGCTCCCGTTGCTCAGTCCCTGCTCCTGCCAACCTAGCAGTTCGAAAGCACCTCAAAGTGCAAGTAGATAAATAGGTACCGCTCCAGCGGGAAGGTAAACGGCATTTCTGTGCGCTGCTCTGGTTCACCAGAAGCGGCTTAGTCATGCTGGCCACATGACACCGGCTCCCTCAGGCAATAAAGCGAGATGAGCGCCACAACCCCAGAGTCAGTCACGACTGGACCTAATGGTCAGGGGTCCCTTCACCTTTTAAGCAGCTGGAAGAGGGGGCAGGAATATGCAGTTTGTTAAGACTGCTGTGCCTCGCTTTCGATGAGAGCTTGATGCCACATATTAATTGGATAGGTACTTATTTAAGTTACATTGTACAAGAAAACTGGACCCTGCCATGTGGCAGTTTTAAGAATGTGGCCCCAAAACTGGACTGGTAGCTACTGATTTTCTACTTCTTTAAAAGTATATGCAGTGACCAAATGTTGCGGCAGCGAATGAGGTAGTAAGAAGTATTTTTGGAGAGTGCCCCTTGGAATCCTACTTGCAGAGCCAATTCAAAAAACAACAACAACAACAACCCACTCCTCCAAACATCCACCCTGTTGTCATTTCACATTACATGTATTCTCTTGCAAGAAGGAGTGGGGAACCTGGGGTCTTCCCGGTATTGTACTCCAGCTCCCATCAGCCCTAGTGGTCTGGGGTGATGGGAGTTGTAGTCCCACAACACCCAGCCTCCCCAAACAAGGGCTTCAGTTTTTATGTGGCGTTTCAAGCACCATCCACGCTATATGTCTGTTGTCTTACCGTTTGAGGATCAGTAACCCAATTAAGAGGGGACGTGGGTGGTGCTGTGGTCTAAACCACTGAGCCTAGGGCTTGCCGATCAGAAGGTCAGCGGTTCGAATCCCCGCGATGACGGGGTGAGCTCCCGTTGCTCATTCCCTGCTCCTGCCAACCTAGCAGTTCAAAAGCACGTCAAAGTGCAAGTAGATAAATAGATACTGCTCCGGCGGGAAGGTATACGGCGTTTCCATGCGCTGCTCTGGTTTGCCAGAAGCGGCTTAGTCATGCTGGCCACGTGACCCAGAAGCTGTACGCCAATAAAGCGAGATGAGCGCCGCAACCCCAGAGTCGGTCACGACTGGACCAATGGTCAGGGGCCCCTTTACCTTACTTTTAACCCAATTAAGCAACGTGTTGTGGGGCTGGGGGTGGAGGGAATAAACACTTAAATGCTGTACTTCCTTGGTGGAAAACGCCTATGTCAAGTAAGCTACTTGATGTTGGTGCAGTGGATTTTGAAGACCTCCCCAAGCCTCATAGGTCGCTCCCAGCTTGATGGAGCCGACTTGGGGCGTTGTAACATCTCCCCGTCTTCTCAAGCTCCTCCTCCTCATTGGCTGCTCCTACCTTTCCCCAGGTGGGTATGGCCCCCCTCCTCCAGGTAGAGGAGCTCCACCTCCACCACCGCCTTTTACCTCGTACATCGTCTCGACCCCTCCAGGAGGATTCGCTCCCCCACAGGGCTTCCCGCAGGGATATGGGACCCCTCCGCCCTTCAGTGAGTATTCCTGACCTCTTTGCGGCACAGCTCGGGGAGGGGGGCCCTACGTAGTGTGTGTATATACCCTGCCTCCCACGCGCCTGTCCCACTCCGTATTATTCTCACAACAACCTGTAAGGCAGGTCAAGCCAGGAGCGTGTCATTGGCACAATACCAGCCAGTGCGCGAAGTCTCAGAAGGTGCGGGCCTCCCCTGCTCTGATGCTCTGACCCTGGCCGATACAGCCCAGAAAATCTGGAGAGCCACCAGGGTTGGGGGAAGGCTGCTCTGCCCTCTTCCCAACACTGGTTCCATTTGAATTTTCCCTCCTGGTCCCCGGTTGGTGGGTGAGTAATAATTAGAGGAGGAAAGCTCCCTGAGGCCCATTTCCTTTCCTAGCCTTGAGTTGCGCAGCTAAGGTATCGGCTCGGGGCTTCCTCCGTAGGCCTCCCCGCTCACACTTTCCGTGACTTCTCTTTCTTTCTCCTTCCCCGCTGCCCCCCCGGCCTCCTCAGGTTTTGGATACGGTGCCCCGCCACCTCCACCAGACCAGTTTGCTCCTCCAGGCGTCCCTCCGCCACCTGCCACTCCTGGGGCAACACCACTCGCTTTCCCCCCTCCGCCACCGCCATCTCAGCCAACTCAGGACATGAGCAAGCCACCAACCGCCCAGCCAGATTTCCCCTATAGTCAGTTTGGTAAGTGACGGCCTTGGGGTCTGTGTGGCTCCTCTTCCGGCTTTGCCTGCTTCCCTTCTCCTCCCCGTCCCCTTTATTTCGTTCACGATAGCTCCGCTAGAGAACAGGATTGGGGTTTTGCTTGCAAAGGGTATCCAAAGCATCCGTTCTGGTTGTCTTCTTGTTTCTGCCTTTTTAAAGGGTGGGAGGGGGGAGCCCTGCCTGTTTCCTTGTCATAGATTAGCCTCTGGAGGGTTTAGGCTTGCGGCAATCATCCTTGCGATGTGAAAGCTGGCCCTTGAGATCCGTCAGGGCTGCGTCATGTGAACATGGCGCCAATCCACGAGATGGAGGGTAGGATAAATTGAAAGTCTGATAACAACCACTTGAATTTCAGCTGTCTTGACATTGCTGTTACCCTGAGAAGTAGAGGGGAGGGGGCTATGAATCTGCACGAATTTCTGGCATATAATGTAAGTAGGCCCTTTTTTGTCTTTTAGCAACTAGTCCCTGACTTCTAAGCCTTGAGCGGGACTCTGAAAAGGTCGTCTGACTTGTCATTTTTGCATCTACGTAAATTCAAACAATTTCAGGGTAGCTGAATTTGCAGGCTTAAGTTGCACTTTACAGATATTGCAGCTGCAAAATTGGGTCTCTTCTTCTCCTACACCTTGAGATTTGCAGGGATATGCAGATTCCCACACCAAACTAAGATTTTGTACAATTTCTAGTTATGAGAAGGTCTTTTTTCAAATTTCAGTAGGACTCTGTTTCAGCACCACCCAAATATTATTCTCAGTGCGTAGTCAGGAAACTTTAAACCCTCATTTTCTTGCACCAAAGTCTTATCAGATTTCAGTATTGCAGGAGATTCAGGGATTCTTAATCTTGCCCTCTTGGCTCCAGAGTAGGCTTTGCTTCTGAATTTCCAGGATTCCGCAGTCTGATGAAATAAGTCTTTTACGCCTTCCAGCTGAGCACATTTTGTTCTGTAACTTGTTGAGGACTTGTACCATTCGAACCTGTCTTTGAAACATCAGGGCTAAACTCTCAAAGGAAGAATGAGAATCTTACACCTGTCTTGCTCAAAACACAAGGTCTCTTCTGCATCTCAACTTAATCAGTTACATGTAGAATCATGATCAGTGATCTAAGCCCTCCATCCATGTGATCCTAAATAATTTCCTTTCCCAATGCCACAATTCCAGAGTTTATGTAGAGACCCCTCTCTCATACCATGTACTCTTAATTTGCTGCTGCCCCAAAGGGATGTTGTTGTCGTCTTCTTGTTCTCCTCCTTCTCCTCCTCCTCCTCCTTCCTCCTTTGTAGAACAACACACCTTTCCTGTAAGGTTGTTGGTACAAGAAGATGCCCACTCCCAGGCTTTCAGTAGCCAAATCTTGGGTGGCTGCAGGAAGAGGTCATGAGACCTCTAAGATCGCCTCCCCCCCCCCCCCCAGTAGGCTTTCTGAGCGCTGGTCATCCGTATCAGTACAGAATCCATTGAGCCCAGTATTGGAGTTGTGTAGAAAAATTCCATGTTTTGTCTGAGTGGTATAGAAGATGCTCTTTTAACACCTTCCCCAAAATCGGGGTTGCTCACCACAGACTCTTCAAGTTAACGCTTCAAAATGCATAAAATCCTACTGATTCAGCAAGCTTCCTGTGTCCCCCTCCTGCTTAAAAAAAACCAACCAGATTGGGGGCTGCTCTTGACTTTGGAATGCCCTGTGTGCTAAAGCTATTGGAAGATTTTTTTTTTCTTTTTTGTCAAATGACTTAGAAGGCTTCTAACTGGGGCTTGGAGGGAGGGAACAAGATGCCTGCGAGTGTTTGAAGTGAAACCTTGAGAAGCCATCAAGAAGGGGGGATAAAAGCATCTTGATCTCTATGTGTCAGAAAGCTTTGTTAATCTGAACACTGCCGGGAAGCACCTTGTTGAAATTATCTGCACGCGACGGCATGTGCTTGTCGGATGGAAGTTTTGCCTCATCATCCATTTTGTTGTCAGGGCTTCCAGTTAACCATTTACACGGAAAGATTTTCGTCCCAGTATCAAGGAAAGGAACAGGCTACCCCCAAATACTGAGCCAGTCCCAGTTGACCTTCTTTTAGTCAAACCCGTAAAGAGGGAGATTTCTTTTTGACAAAGTGAACAGGGTCTTGAGGGGGACTATTTGGAGGAAGAACATAAGAAGTGTCTGTTCTGGATCAGGCCAGTGGCCCAGTAGCCAGCAACCTATTCTCACAGTAGCCAAAACCCCTAGCACTCTCCCCTCTTGCCGTCCCCAGTAGCTGGTTTTCAGTAGCCTATTCGCCCCAAACCTCATCCTACATTGCAGCCTGCATCCTTGCACAAGCCCCCGATTCCCAGGGCTTCCTCAACCTTTGGCTTTCAATGACCAGGATTAAGCTGAGATACAGTGATGTTAGAAGGGAGCTGTCGGTATTTAAAATAAGCCTTTTTGTTCTTTTTTTAAAAAATGCTGTTACCCCCTTCTGTTCTATCCTAATAGCTGGGGGTTATTTCCTTTGCATTCCGAAATAACGTGTCTCAGGAGTTTTTTGCAGCCTGTTTCCAATCAATGCGCTGCTTTGAATGCTCATTGAGAGAGAAAATGGGTGAAAGAGGAGGAGAAATGTAGGGAAATTAAAAGACAATAAAGTTAGGGTGTTAAATCCTCAGCGTGTTCCGAGAAACGCCTCCTCCAGAAATCCTTAGTTTTCAATATAGGGCAGGATTCCTTGAAATGTATGTTACCAGGCACGGAGAGCTGCAATCCTCAGCCCGTCGTTCCATGTCGAAACGTGATGCTTCCGTATTTACGACTTCCGAAGAGCCCTTGCTTACATATATGTGCCTTTCTCCAGCTCCCCCTGTTCTGCATGTTTTTATCACGTTAAAGCCGCCTAGCTGTTTTTAAGATCCCGCCAGTGGGGTGTGTGTGCGTGTGTGTATATAGACATGGCCGGGACAGTTCTGGCCCATAACTACGCCTTTGTTGTGGACCAGCGTTGTTCTTTTCAGCTAGGGTGACCCCGAAGCGCTGCGTTTTGGGTAAGTCTCCTCCGCCCCCCCTTTTCCGAGAGAATTGTAGGTTTTGTACAGGGCTCTCTTGGGGGTTTAGTCACCCTGGTCTCCTCCATTTCTTGCCAGGCCTGGGTACCTATTCTCAAGACCCTTCAGGCTTCGGGCCAATTCTTTGTTTACACACTTATGGTCAGGCTGAGAAGTGAGTTACCTTAGGTAGGTGGAGCCTATTTACACCAAATCCTCTTGCTTGTGATCTCTTGTGTGGATGGAAGGGGGCGGGGTGGGGGAACAGTAACCTTTTTTTCCTTGCAGGGGTGTCACCTCTCTGGGGAGCAGGGAGAAGAAGAGACATTTGCCCCTCCCCTGAAGGTTTCTCTAGTTCACGCAGCTGCTAGTCTTGCTGAAACCATCCCGCTGCCCTGGGGTGTTGGCTTAATTTGTAGTACCGCGATTGGGCAGTGTTCACGTGGAAAGGGGGTGGCTTCTCTTGGGAGAAATTCGGGGGCAAGGAACTTCAGCTGTGTTTGAAGAGAGCATTTCCCCCTCTTGCTTTTTTTTGGGGGGGTGTACAATGGAATTGTGGTGGGTGGAGGCATCCCGCATAAAAACAAGGCACAATGCAGCTTTGGCCAAAAAATAATAATAATAATTAGAGTAGGGTTAGGTACTGTGTTGTTTTTTTTTTTAAAGAGTGGGGTGAAATCTCCCTATTCATGATAAAAATGGGTGGGTACACCTACTTCCTTTCTCTCCTGTTTCAAAGATGAGACAAGTGCCTTGGGATATTCATTCACCCTTGCTTATTGAAATCATTTTTATCCCACTCTTCGGCTGAATAAAACCTTGCACGGCAGCCCACAAATACCGGCCCCGCTCTCAGGTTTGCAGTCTAAAAGACGCAGCGCAGAAGGAAAAGGGATTAGGAGGGAGGAGAAAAGGGCATTCCTTCTTAGTTGCAAGCTTTCAGCGGTTGGGCTAACCAGTACCACCCCATCCACCAGCCTCTTGCCTTACAGGCTTATCCAGAAGCTCTGGCGAGTGTAGGGTGGTTCCAAGGAAGACATCCAACCTTTTTGAATGTATGGGGGAGCACGCATGCCTTCCACAGGAGTGAAGATTTGGACGTACCTGGCGAGGGCAGGCATGAAAGGGACACCTTTCTGCTCCCTGGCAATTTGGTGGTTGGCCACGGCTTACAAGGGGCTTTTGTTTAGGGTGGGGAAGTTGTAGGCCTCAGTGTTCCCCCAGAGCACAAGTGCTTCAGCAGGAAGCACAGAGATCAGCTCTGTGACATAGAGATGGTGCTTTGCATGCAGAAGGCCCCAAGTTTGCACGGACCTGCGGCTTTGCAGGAGCACATGATTCTCGAACGTGTGAGGAAGTGCAGAGCTGTGAATTTTTAGCCTTTCCCCTCCCTTAACGTTTCAAAGCTCCACTGCTGCACAGAGAGACAGCTTTTACATCCACAAGCCTTTTGGCATGACGTTTAAGGTACCGGGGATGCGGGTGGCCTGTGGCCTAAACCACTGAGCCTCTTGGACTTGCTGATCAGAAGGTCGGCAGTTCGAATCCCCGCGACGGGGTGAGCTCCTGTTGCTCTGTCCCAGCTCCTGCCAACCTAGCAGTTCGAAAGCACGCCAAAAAGTGCAAGTAGATGAATAGGTACCGCTGCGGCGGGAAGGTAAACGGCGTTTCTGTGCGCTGCTCTGGTTTCGCCAGAAGCGGCTTAGTCATGCTGGCCACATGACCTGCAAAAACTGTCTGCGGACAAACGCCGGCTCCCTTGGCCTGTAAAGCAAGATGAGCGCCGCAACCCCAGAGTCGTCTGCAACTGGACTTAACTGTCGGGGGTCCTTTACCTTTTTTAAGGTAGCACATCAAAGGGCCCTGCTGGCTTGTGGGCATTCCTAAATGGATGCTTCGAGGTGATTGGGCAGCCTTTGTAGATATGGTCAGGTAAAAGGTTTTCACAGGCTGTTCTTTAGGCTATTAGCAGCATTAATAAGCCTATTTAGCTCTGTAAATAAGAGGGCAAAGCTGGAGCTGCAGAACTTCTTGAAGCAATCTAAGCTTCTTGGCCGCCACTGTCCATATTCTGGTCACGTTGGGCGTCTCTTTGTTACCAGTCCGCTTTTGCTTGCGTCAGGGTGCCTGGGCCTTCCAAACCAGAATGGCGATTCTTCCCACCCCTCTGCCATATGCCTCCTTTCTTTGAACTTTCTCGAAAAATATCCCAAGCCTCTGGGTTTGTTTGTTTGTTTTTTGAGAGTGTTTTTTGAGAGCGTTCTCCAGTGATGAGGAGGCATGGGAGAAGCAACACCATCTTCCAGCCAGCTCACTTGCACAGAAATCTTGGCACATGAGGTTTTTTCCTGGCACGAGCGCTGCAACATTGGAAGCGAGGGCTTGCACAAACAGGAAAACTGATATTCCTCTTTGCGGAAGAAGCAGGCGGGTCCGCTCTTCCAAGGCTTCCCTGTTCCCACAATATATGCGCAAGCCTGTGCGAGTGAGTTGTCTGGAATGTTGTCAAAGAAGGTGAGAGGCAGACCTAACTTTCAGGCGATGAAGGTTCAGTGCAAGAACCTGCCCCGTAAGAATCCTCTGCCACTTGGAGGAATCGCTGCATCGCCTTGCCAAATGCACTTGGGTTGGCGCAATGGCTTTATCTGAGCCGTTGGGGATCTGGGCTGTTTTTCACAAGAGTCGTGTACAAGCCAGAGATTTAACTGCCAGCTGTAAACTGCAGCCGGCACCTAGACTGGAGTCTGTGAGGGGTAGTTCAGTGTCAGAGCCTCCTGCATTGCATGCCCAGGCCCATCGCCAGTTTAAAAGGATTTAGTGGGCAGGTGATGATAAGGACCTGTTTCTGTACCGGACAGAGTCGTTGTGGCCTTCAATCTAGAAAAGGAAGACGTACATTTCATACAATCCTTAAAAGTGTATGAAATGTATGTTTGCATGCTTGTATATTTGTAATATATGTGTATTAATGATGAATTATTTTAACAATAAAAACTTATTAAAATAAAATAAAATAGAAAATAGAAAAGGAAGACGTTCTCCACTCCTGGTCCGAGGCAGCAGATTTTCCCCAAGTTTACTTTTAAGAATAACTGCAGATCTGGTAAAACCTATTTTGCCCTAAAGTGGGTTTTTTTTGGGGGGGGGGGGCAAAAGGGCTGTCTTAAGCATATCCGGTGGCTTTGTGCAAAGCTTCCCCCCGCCCCCAGTTTTTCAGAGTTGTCGACTTTTTTTTAAGGGAGGACAGCGGGGCTGGAGGAGGCGGGCAGCGGCTGGAGGGTGGCTTCTCCGGCGGGGAAGAGGCAGAGGCTGGACGTGGCGCCTCCCAGCTCAGCTGGACGCTTCATGCCATGGCAGGTGGAGGCGAGCTGATGCCAGGAGGCGCCGCGTCCAGCCTCTTCCCTGCCGCCCTCCAGAACTTGCCCCCCTGCGCCACTAGCCTCTACGGTAGCCTTTCTCAACCTGTGGGTCCCCAGATGTTGTTGAACTACAGCTCCCATCACCCCTAGCTAGCAAGGCCAGAGCTCGGGGATGATGGGAGTTGTAGTCCAACAACATCTGGGGACCCACAGGTGGAGAACCACTGAGCTAAGAGGATAGAGGGGAAGCTCTTCCATAGAGTCTTCATAAGCCAGGCTTCCTCAACCTCGGCCCTCCAGATGTTTTGCGACTACAACTCCCATCATCCCTGACCACTGGTCCTGCTAGCAAGGGATCATGGGAGTTGTAGGCCAAAAACATCTGGTTGAGGAAGCCTGGTGTAAGCTGAGCTTAAGGCGGCCTTTCTCAACCTGTGGGTCCCCAGATGTTGTTGAACTACAACTCCCATCACCCCTAGCTAGCAAGGCCAGAGCTCGGGGATGATGGGAGTTGTAGTCCAACAACATCTGGGGACCCACAGGTTGAGAACCGCTGCTCTGGGGGTAAGATGGCTCCTGCCGTTCCATCCTGTCCCTACGTCTTGGGCGATCCACTAGCCTCACAAAAACATCAGGACGCTTCGAACCCTCTGTGAAAGGACTTGTGGTTCCCCCGGGGGGGGGGTGGACTTGACAAAAAAAAAAAAAGGAGCTGGCAGTAGGAAGCTTTAAAACCTTGGGGGGCGGGTTTGGGGTTGTCTCTTGTTCTCCCTCTGCTCATTTCCCCCCCCATCCTTGACACTGCACCAACTAACAGCTCCGTGGGGTCCGGGGGCTTTGTGCGCACGACCCTGCGCACTCTTGCGAATGTGTAAATTTCGAATTGCGCTGTGTTCTGGCCTTGCTTGGTGCGTCAGGAGCTCACCTCCCAACTCTCCCCCCCCCCTTTGTTTTTCTCTTCTCTCCCTTCTAGGATACGGACAAGATTTGAGTGGTTTTGGACAAGGCTTTGCCGACCCCAGCCAACAGCCTCCCTCCTACGGAGGCCCTTCCATACCACCCTCCAGTGGGCCGCCTGCAGGGGGCAGTGGTTTTGGCCGCGGACAGAACCATAACGTTCAAGGTTTCCACCCTTACCGACGCTAGCACCTAGAAATCAGGGAGTTCTGTCCAGAGCAGGATATCTGGTACCAGCCGAAACCCAGGAATCCCAGACTTATATGAACTTGTGACAATCACCTACTTTGCTGGAGGGGGGGGGGAGAAAAAAAAACCACAAAACGTAACATCTTGGGAAGGGGGTGCTAGGGGAGGAGAAAGCTTTTCCAAGCGAAGCCGTGGGTGGTGTTTGGACTGCAGTTTTTAATTTTTGTTTTCCTTTCTTTAACCCATCAGCACAAATAAAGAGAGTGTCACTGGTTCAAATTTACAGGGTTTTAAAAACGTCTTCAGCTTTAATTAAAAACAAAAACAAACAAACTTCAGGTTTCTTTCTCTATATTTTTGTTGGAAATTTAAATTTTTTTTCTCCTGAGCCTTTTGTTTTACCATATATTGTAAACTTTATGTTTAAAGAAGAAGAAGAAAATATATATACATTTACAGATTGTGAGATTTTTAAGAGAAATTTTCTACTATGTATGCTGGCTTATTTTTTAATTTAAAAGAGAAAAAAAAAACACAACAGGGTTTCCGTTAGCACTGCTTAGAAGTAAGTGAGGGTCAGCTCCCAACCTCCTTTTTAGCGTGGTTGGTCCAGAAACTCTGGGAGTTTAAAAAAAAAAAAAGAGAAGAGAAAGGAATCTACTCTGTGTGTTGGTCATTTTGTTATTGGTTCCTGAGCTTGATGACAACAGTCCGGAAGAACAGAATTGTTGGGAAAGGCAGCGGGGTCACTTCGGAAGCACAGCGTTTCAATCTGGGCTTCAGTTCTTAAAAAATAAAAATAAAAATAAATCCTTTTTGGGATGTAGATTTCTTTAAAGGGGGTTAACGGAGGCCTTGCGAAGATGTAGATATCCCTCAGGCGAAAATAAAATAAAAAATAAACGGTGCATTTTGCACTAACCAGTGATCACCCCTGGTTTGAATAAAGAGAACTACATTTGGATTAGAAACACAAACCTGTCTCTACTTTCTTTTCTTCTTTCCTTGCCTGCAAACCCCCCCCCAAAAAAAAAACAACAACACTTGAGTTTCTCACCATAGCTCATAAGCTCCAAGAAACACCACTTTGGGTTGGATCGGTGGCCGGCAGCCACTAGAAAGGTTCTGTGTGGCTCTGAAGCGTGCGTGTTTTTCAGCCACTAATGAAAAGTCCACCGTCTTCCCCCCCCCCGTGTCAGTTCTGTACAGTCATACCTTGGGTTGCGAGTGGCGCGTTTTCGGGTTGCGGACTGCGCCAAACCCAGAAGTTACCGTATTTTTTGCTCTATAAGACTCACTTTTTCCTTCCTAAAAAGTAAGGGGAAATGTGTGTGCATCTTATGGAGCGAATGCAGGCTGCGCAGCTATCCCAGAAGCCAGAACAAGAGGGATTGCTACTTTCACTGCGCAGCGATCCCTCTTGCTGTTCTGGCTTCTGGGATTCAGAATATTTTTTTTCTTGTTTTCCTCCTCCAAAAACTAGGTGCATCTTGTGGTCTGGTGCGTCTTATAGAGCGAAAAATACGGTACGCCCGGGTTTCGGCGCGTGCACAGAAGCGCAAAATGAAGTCGTGCGCAGAAGTGCAGAATTGCATCACGCTCTTGCGCAGACGCAGCGCTGCGGGTTGCGAACGTGCCTCCCGCACAGATCACGTTCGCAACCCGAGGTATGACTGCATTCCTTCTCCCCACAGATGGTGGGTCCGTGGCAGCAGCAGCCTGGTCAATACGGAAAACGCCCTTTCTGCGATCTTTCATACTTCCCACCCTTAAGGCAGCAAAAATCAGTCTTTGTCACCTTACACACACCCTCCTGTGATAAAAGGCAGCCTAAAACGTTGAACCATCCTGGGTTTGGTGAAATAACGAAAGGTTTCTGATTCAACCCGTGCCCTTCTTCAATTCCTGAACCGAAGCTGCCTTTTTCTGACTTAGCCCCCCCCCCCCCCCCGCCAGGTTCGGACAAGACCCATTTCACTATCTTGGGCTTTGCTGCTTTAAAACACGGGCCGCAAGCCTGTGTTGATTTGAGCTGCTCATTGATCAAAATTAGTGAACGCTAAATCGGTTAACATGTTGTCAAAAGAGATAGAGCTCTGTGATTGCTAATGTACCACTCGGATACCCTCCGTAACATTTAAAAAGCTGGTGCACTCAGACCAAGTGTTCAGAGGGGAAACTTACATCCTAGCCCTTCAAGCTTCCCCTAAGTCACACCCCACAGTCAATGTTTTGGAATACAACTCCCATTGGCTTCCATAGTAGTGCTGGCTGAGTCTGATGAGAGCCATGTGTGTGTGTATTTTAACAAAATTTATAAAAGCACTTGACCAGGAAAACCTCTAAACTGCAACGCAAAGCATCCGAAGTCCCTTTCTACACGAATTTTATATGTATGTATGTATGTATAGGGATGCAGGTGGCGCTGTGGGTTAAACCACAGAGCCTAGGACTTGCTGATCAGGTTGGCAGTTCGAATCCCCGCAATGATGGGGTGAGCTCCCGTTGCTCGGTTCCTGCTCCTGCCAACCTAGCAGTTTGAAAGCACCTCAGAGTGCAAGTAGAGAAGAAGAAGAAGAGTTTGGATTTGATATCCCGCCTTTCACTCCCCTTCAGGAGTCTCAAAGCGGCTAACATTCTCCTTTCCCTTCCTCCCCCACAACAAACACTGTGAGGTGAGTGGGGCTGAGAGACTTCAGAGAAGTGTGACTGGCCCAAGGTCACCCAGCAGCTGCATGTGGAGGAGCGGGGAATCGAACCCGGTTCCCCAGATTACGAGACTACTGCTCTTAACCACTACACCACACTGGTACTGCTCCAGCGGGAAGGTAAACAGTGTTTCCGTGCGCTGCTCTGGTTCGCCAGAAGCGGCTCAGTCCTGCTGGCCACATGACCCGGAAGCTGGACGCCGGCTCCCTCAGCCAATAAAGCGAGATGAGCGCCGCAACCCTAGAGTCGGTCACGACTGGACCTAATGGTCAGGGGTCCCTTTACCTTTATGTATAGGGAAATGGGTTAGTAGATGGACACCGTAACCCCTAGGAGATGGTTCAGAAAGGGGGCAGCCAAAATGATAAAGGCGATCCCTTATGGAGAAAGTTTGGGGCGTCTCTGTTCAGAGAAAAGGCAAGTAAGAGAAGACAAAAACAGAGTCGCAGTGCGGATACAACAGATCTAGAGGCTTGGGGTGAAATCTTCCTTTCTCAGACTACCAGAACCTGGGGGCCCAGATCACAGAAATACAGAGCTGTTTCCTGCCCCCTGAGGGGGAATCCAATCACTGTTCTTTTGTTATAGTCCGTGTTGAATCCACTCGTGTACGCAGTTGTGTTGTTGATGGTCTTCTGTCTAGGACCATCAGGGTTGGCATAGCAACTGGGCAGGGCTCCTGTGGATGTGCTGGGATGCTCAAGGGATTATGGCTGGCCTGTATCAAACCTTCCCCATTTTGTAGTCCTTCCTTCATGGAGTAAAATAAAAGTGGAACAGTGCAAATCCGATGTATGGCTGATTTTCTATGAATTTATGACAGAAGCGTAGCCTATGTAGTGTGTGAGAAATTTGTACAAACTGAATGATTGGGGGGGGGGGTTTTCCTGCTACAGTATCCAACGTTGCCACATAAAAATCAGCTGCAAAAAAATGCATGGAAAATCCATGGCAAAGGACTAAATTCAAGCATCTTTTAAAGATCAGGAAGCAAAATACAGTAATTGAAAATGAGCTAAAAAGTACTTTTTTCACCTTTTTTTAAAAAAAACATAAAAACCTGATTAGCAATGAAGCAAATGAAAATCATTCTTCCCCACCACCATACATCAATCATCTCATTAAATGAACCGATCCAATTAAATGCCCAGCTCCCTATTCAGCAATTTGCACAATTTAATCTTTCTACAGCAAAAAACGCAGAGACCAGTTTCTCACTCAAATTTGCTATTATTAAAAGTAGTAATTAATTGTTTCAGTAATTTGAATTACTACCCACCTTTCACCGTAATCGTATCTGGGCTGCAGCCCCAGCAGCAGTTTTAAACACCCGGAGGGCGCCACGTTGCAGAACCCCGACTTATTTTGCCAGCGGCTCCTTTAAGAACGTCGCGCGTGCGCACAGAGCCGCCGGCCTGTTCTATGGGCGGAAGCGAGCGCCCTTGAAGCCGGCGGTGGGCGTTGCTCTCGCGAAAGGCCTTCCGTTCTGCGCCCGGAAGCCGCCAGCTCTCGCGAGACTAGGAGCAAACCGCGCGGGATCTCGGCCTTTTCCTGGAGGAGACCGCGGCCAAGATGGTGGGTAGTTTCTGAAGCGGCGCGCAATCCGGCTCCATCCGGCCGGAGGAGGGCGGCGGGGGCCGGCGGGACTTGGCTGTTCGCGGAGTGGGGTCGGGCCCCGGTTATACCGGCGGGGGCAGGAGGGCGTGAGCGGGGTGGGAAGCCCGGCGGGCGGCGAGACGAATGGAGCGGCGGGGTAGCCCAGGCCTAGGCCTGGAAAGGGGTCCTCGGCACGACCATAGCTGTCTCTGCAGCGCCTGATCCCGTGTGGCTTAAGCTCCAGTGCCTGGCGAGGAGGCTCTTAAGGAAACTGTTCCTCTGAGCATGGGCAGAGCGTCCAGCAAGGCTTAAGCTCCAGGGCTTGTATTTTCAAAGGACAAGGGGAGACCCTTAAGGAAACTGTGTCTCTGAGCATGGGCAGAGTGTCCAGCAAGGCTTAAGCTCCCGGGCCTGTATTCTCAAAGCTTTATTCAGAAGGGAGGGGGAGACTCTTAAGGAAATTGTGTCTCTGAGCATGGGTAGAGTGTCCAGCAAGGCTTAAGCTGCAGGGCTTGTATTCTCAAAGGACAAGGGGAGACTCTTAAGAAAACTGTCTCTGAGCATGGGCAGAGTGTCCAGCAAGGCTTAAGCTCCCGGTCCTGTATTCTCAAAGCTTTATTCAGAAGGGAGGGGGAGACTCTTAAGGAAATTGTGTCTCTGAGCATGGGTAGAGCGTCCAGCAAGGCTTAAGCTGCAGGGCTTGTATTCTCAAAGGACAAGGGGAGACTCTTAAGAAAACTGTCTCTGAGCATGGGCAGAGTGTCCAGCAAGGCTTAAGCTCCCGGTCCTGTATTCTCAAAGCTTTATTCAGAAGGGAGGGGGAGGCTCTTAGGAAAACCGTGTCTCTGAGCATAGGTAGAGCGTCCAGCAAGGCTTAAGCTGCAGGGCCTGTATTCTCAAAGGACAAGGGGAGACGCTTAAGAAAACTGTCTCTGAGCATGGGCAGAGTGTCCAGCAAGGCTTAAGCTGCAGTGCCTGTATTCTCAAAGCTTTATTCAGAAGGGAGGGGGAGACTCTTAAGGAAATTGTGTCTCTGAGCATGGGTAGAGCATCCAGCAAGACTTAAGCTCCAGTGTCTTTATTTTCAGTTTTCTTCAGAAGAGAGGCGCTTAAAAAAAACTGTGTTTCTGAGCATGGGTAGAGTGACCAGCAAGGCGGCAGCACGAGAAATGACTGTTTTCAGATATGGCAGGAGGGGAGAGGAATCGTAGTTCTGGAAAGGGACCCCAAGGAATATCTAGTTCAGGCCCTCCAACCTTTTCAGACCCAGCACTCACTTTTAACCCAAACGTGCATTTCTTAGTCTTTTGCCGCATGGCGGTGGTCCTGTTCACGAAGAAGCCCACCTTGCATGAGGCTTCTGTTGGAAGACCAAGGATCCTTTAATGCAGGAATCACAGCAAAGATTAAAAGCCTTTCCCTCCACGCATGTGCAGAATGACTAGCAGGGCAGCCACAGATACCTTCCAAATATTGGGGCGAGAGGGGATGTTAACATGGTCCCTGAATAGGAGCAGATTTCCAGCAAGCCCCAGAATTTTTGTCACAAAGTCCAGGTCTACCGTCTTGGGAGAATATGGGCTGAGTGCTGGTGGCGTTTGTACAAGACCGCCTCTGAGCATGAGTAGAGTGTCTTGTGGGGTTTAATAGAATTGTAGAGTTGGAAGGGACCCCACGCCCTGCAGTGCAGGTGACCCGCATGGGAATTGGACCCGCAACCTTGGCATTATCAACACCACACTCTAACCAAGCCAGCCAGCTGAATTTCAGTTCCTGCGTCTGGGGTCTTTGTGGGGCAGGGAGGAATGCTGCCGTTGCCTCTGAGCGTGATAAGAGTGCTTGGAGCCCTTAAGCGCCAGCAGTTTCTTTCCAAGCCAGGAACCGTGTCGGTTTAGATGTTAGCTTCGTTTTATATCCCACTTTTTTTTCCTCCAAGGCGTTCTCTGTGACTTTCTTCCCCTCCTTGTTTAATCCCCACAACAAACCTGTGAGGTAGGCTGAGAGTCAGTGACTGGCCCGGGTTCACCCAGTGAGCTCCATGGAGGGATTTGAACCCTGATCTTCCAGTTCCCAGTCCAACGCTCTTTAAGCACTGCCATACAGTGTCTCTCAAACTGGCAAGGCTTGCCAGGTTGAGGAAACTTGCAGATGTATTCTCTGTGTTGGAGAGTTTTGGATGAGGGCAGAATGACGTGGGTTTGTGTATTTGATACACCCTTTCCCTGGTGTGACGCGGGTGGCGCTGTGGGTTAAACCACAGAGCCTACGCCTTGCCGATCAGAAGGTTGGCAGTTCGAATCCCCGCGATGGGGTGAGCTCCCGTTGCTCAGTCCCTGCTCCTGCCAACCTAGCAGTTCAAAAGCACACCAGCGCAAGTAGATAAATAGGTCCCGCTCCAGCGGGAAGGTAAACGGTGTTTCCGTGCGCTGCTCTGGTTTGCCAGAAGCGGCTTAGTCCTGCTGGCCACATGACCCGGAAGCTGTCTGCGGACAAGCGCCGCAACCCCAGAGTCGGTCACGACTGGACCTAATGGTCAAGGGTCCCTTTACCTTTACCTTTTCCCTGGTGTGAGCGCCTTTCGTTTCCTCTCCCTGGGCAGGCGGAAGTGGAGCAGAAGAAGAAGCGTACTTTCCGGAAGTTCACCTATCGGGGTGTGGACCTGGACCAGCTCCTCGACATGTCCTAGTAAGAGAATCATCTTCCCTTTCCGTCGTTTACACCCTTCCTGTCCCCTTTTTGTGCTACATCTCCCATCGTCCACAGTCAGCACAGCTGGATGATGCCGTGGCTGGTGGAGGTTGCTGCCCATAACTTGCCAGCTGGGCAAAAGCTGCCTTAGTTTAACCACCAGTCTTAGGCTGAACCCAAGCCCTTTTTTCGTGGTGTTGAGGCAGCGAGCTCAGCTGGTCTTCTGGAGGGTGCATGTGACCATCTTCGGGGTGGTAGATCTGAATTTGGTGAGATGGAAATCATGTCTTCATGTTGCGTTTGCAAAGTAAAGGAAGGACTGGACCCTGATTAAAAGCAAGGCACGAGGCTTTGACCAGCAAGGCTCTTGGAGAAAAGTGCGTCCACCACACCCCTCGCCAGGCCATTTTATTAGCAAAAGAATCTTTTACACAGTGCTCGTAAGAACCAATCATATTTCCTCTGAGCATTTCATCAAACCGCACATGGGGGAAAAGTAACACTACAACGCTAATTAGCATGCATATATTTTGGGGTAAATATGTTGAGAACTACAAAGGGGTAGTAAATAACTTGAGAACTACAAAGGGGTGCATCTGGCAACCCCAGAGCTGTGAAATAACCATGATAAGAAGGATGGCCAGAAAGACCAGACCACTATCACCTTCATGTGAGATCTGTTTCCTGGCTCCAAGATTAAGAAACTACATCAAAGAACTTGCCCACTATCTTTTTATGGCACAGGATGCCCGCCTGGCGAAGCTACTGCTGTGTACGTGACATGTGGGGAAGAGAGGAATGGGCAGTAGAGTCAAAAGGGCATGAATGTAGAATCTTATGGGATTTAATCAGAAATTATCGTCAATATATCAGACCCAGTCAACACAGTGATTTCATCGTGGACACGATGGCTTGATGTATATTTTATAATTCCTCATGGTAATCCCATCTGACCCCTACATCTCCAGTGTTGGAAACTCGGGTATATCATCTAGGTGCCAAATGGATCCTTAAACCAAGGCTGCCGTTGTGAAAACGGAATGTCCATTTTGGGGCAAGACGGCTCAAAAGTCTTATTTTTCAGAGGATGATTGATTCTCAGTCAAACATCCGGCTACTTCAGAGGACAACCTTGAGCTTGGGCTGAGAGCTTTGAGAACTTAAAAGAAGGAAAATCCCTTGATCCAGGGGCAGCCCACATCTATATTGGCCTCTTCCGACCTCTTTTTGTATATATAATAATATATATAATTTATTATTTATACCCTGCCCATCTGGCTGGGCTTCCCCAGCCACTCTGGGTGGCTTCCAAAAAAATATTAAAATACTGTAATACATCAAACATTAAAAGCTTCCCTAAACAGGGCTGCCTTCAGATGTCTCCTAAAAGTCTGGTTGTAGTTGTTCTCTTCGACATCTGGCGGGAGGGCGTTCCACAGGGAGGGCGCCACTACCAAGAAGGCCCTTTTTCTTAGACCATTCATAACGTAAGAATATTCTTCACAACCGTGAGCAGGGCAGCTGGGAGGGGCGGTAAGTGAAGAAAAGCAACAATTCACTACAGTAGTACCTCGGGTTAAATACTTAATTCATTCCGGAGGTCTGTTCTTAACCTGAAGCACCCCTTTAGCTAATGGGGCCTCCTGCTGCCGCCGCGCCTGAAGCAAAGTTCTTAACCCGAGGTACTATTTCTGGCTTAGCGGAGTCTGTAACCTGAAGCGTATGTAACCCGAGGTACCACTGTATAACGGCATTCACTGTTCCTGCTCAGGCCGCACAGAAAAATACATTTTGGTTCCAGAAAGCCATTCTGACTGTGCAGCTAAAATATAACGGATAGGATTCTGCAGGTTGGCGTATTAGTGTGTGAAAACAGTCCGGATACAAGGATCCCCATGTGGCGAAGATTCCGGGCATCTTCCCTTAGTTGCAAGTGGTTGGGACCCAGGTGCGAAATGCGCCTGGCTGATTCCGAACACAGCTGTCCTTGCTCTGATTCCCACCCCCTCTGGGCACCTGGGATTGACCACTGATGCCCTTTAACTTCTGCCTGCCCAGTTTTGGGATTTAATATATAATGAACTGAAGAAACTTTTTAAGAACACATTCCCGAAAAAACCGGAGGCTTTTCTATTAGGGATAATAGGGGAGGAGGTAAAAAAGGAGGATTGTAAATTATTTCAATATGCTACAGTGGCAGCTAGGATCCTTGTGGCTCAAAAGTGGGAATTACAGGAGACGCCAACGGTAATGGAGTGGCAGGCTAAATTTTTTGAGTATACAGAATTAGCTAAAATGACTTATAAAATTCGAGACCAAAAAGGGACAAAGTCTGAAGAAGAGTGGGGTAAATTTGTTGCATACATAAGAAGTAACTGTAGAAGTCTAAAAACTGTAGCAGGGTTAACACAAATCCTGTGATGTGTATAGAAGGTAAATAAGAATCTGCAAGAGAAGATTTAAATTAAGAAAACCGAAGCAGGGAAGGAAGGAAGTCTGGGCGTGAAACTACGCAGTGTAAATAAGATGACATAAAATGATGATTGTAAAAGATTAAGTTTTATTTTTGTTTGTGAAAAACTCAATAAAAAGCATTTTTTAAAAAAAACAACCTCCTGCCTGCCCTTTAACTTCTGCCTGACCGTTCCTTTTCTGTTCCCAGCGAGCAGCTGATGCAGCTATACAGTGCCCGCCAGCGCCGGCGGCTGAACCGCGGCCTGCGTCGCAAGCAGCACTCCCTCCTCAAGCGCCTGCGCAAGGCCAAGAAGGAGGCCCTGCCCATGGAGAAGCCTGAGGTGGTCAAGACCCACCTGCGAGACATGATTATCCTTCCGGAAATGGTGGGCAGCATGGTTGGCGTGTACAATGGGAAGACCTTCAACCAGGTGGAAATCAAGGTGAGGGCTGGTGGCTGGGGAGGAACAGCTTCTTCTTACTATTATTTATTGAATTTATATAACGCCCTATCCCCGGGGGTCTCAGGGCGCTTCACAGAGTAAAATCAAGATATAAAACCACAAAATACATAATAAAAGTTAAAACAGCAACCCAATAGCCTCTCCCCCAACAAAACAAAAACACATTTTATAGGGACACAGGATGTAAATCAGATCAACGAAAGGCCTGGTTAAAAGGGAACCTAAAGGTGTATAATGAAGGCGCCAGGCAAACTTCCCTAGGGAGAGTGTTACACAGACAGGGAGCCACTGCAGAGAAGGCCCCGCTCTCGTGTTGCCACCCTCAGGACCTTTCGAGGAGGAGGCACACGAAGGAGGGCCTCAGAAGATGATCTCAGGGTCCGGGTAGGTTCATATGTAAAGTGGCAGTCCATGAGGTATTGTGGTCCTGAACCGTTTAAGGCTTTGTAGGTCAAGACCAGCACTTTGAATTGGACCCAGAATTGCAGAGTTGGAAGAGACCACAAGGGTCGTAAGTTTTGAATCTCTTGGAAATTGTAATTAAAAGAGCTTGCAAACTGAACAATCAAATGAATTTAGCAAGTTGATGCCTAATTAATCATAAGGCAGTAATGTCAACATGGCTTTAAGGTTAAAAGCGTTCTCTTATTAAAAAATCAGCATCTACCAGATTTGCAAAATTGGGAAATTCCGCGGTTGTAGAAATTGCATTGCCAGTCACTGCCCAACGTTTTGTGTCAACACAACACAAACTCTTTACTCCCAATACAGAGTCTCAAATCTCACTATGCAGACTGATAGGGATTTTTAAGGTCTAACGTGGACCACATTTGTCACCCATTTAATTGTCTCAGCATTTCTTTCATTTAACAAAATGCATTCACCACTTGATGGTTTTAAAAGCAAACAAACCCACAAACATTCTAAGCAGTTTAGTAAACCCCCCAGGTAAAGAAAAGCAATTTTGCCAACCATCTAGCCATTCCCCTTTGCATTAACTGCCTATGTCTCCAAACTTTGCTGTTCTTCTGGTGTGATTGTTTTACTCTGTTTTCACCATCCTTGACACAAAGCTAACCTTGCAATTGCATAGGGCTTTAGTCGTTTCACAGAAAGCAGTTCATAAATATATTGAATACATTATTTCTTCCTTGTTCGATTTATTCGTTGCTTGTGACTTGTGTTATTTAAGAACAAAAAGCATATTGTGCCTTTAAAAATTCAGGCAGAACGTTCGCATTCTTCTGCAGATGCACAAACAAAAAGCAGCCTCCTTCATCACAGCACCAGGAAGATTCCAGAGTGCTAACAAATCTCGTTTCCCTCCTTTCTCTTTCAGCCTGAAATGATTGGCCACTATTTGGGAGAGTTCTCCATCACTTACAAGCCCGTTAAGCACGGCCGACCTGGAATCGGGGCCACCCACTCCTCTCGGTTCATTCCTCTGAAGTAAGGGGACTTGGGAAGAGTTGTGTCTCTCGTGTAAATAAAAGGGTTTCCCAACAATATTGCCTGTACTGCTTTTGGATGGGGGCATTCCTGAACAATTTCTCTTGCACTCTCCGAATTACACTTGCGGTGGTGAGGAGCAACAAGAAAACCCGATTTCACCTCATGACACTGGGGTTTTTCCTCTGGTGTTGACTGCACCATTGTAGAATTTCTGAGATGGGCCGCTGCCTATAGAAATGTGGGGCTCTATATATACTGTATCTTAAAAAAATAAAATACCGGTAACTAGGAGGACTAGAATAATAATAATGATATTATTATTATCATTATTATTATTTATTCCCCAGGCACTCTGGCCAGCTTAAAGGTAAAGGTAAAGGGACCCCTGACCATTAGGTGCAGTCGTGACCGACTCTGGGGTTGCGGCACTCATCTCGCTTTATTGGCCGAGGGAGCTGGCGTACAGCTTCCGGGTCATGTGGCCAGCAGGACTAAGCCGCTTCTGGCGAACCAGAGCAGCGCACGGAAACGCCGTTTACCTTCCTGCCAGAGCGGTACCTATTTATCTACTTGCACTTTGACGTGCTTTCAAACTGCTAGGTTGGCAGGAGCAGGGACCGAGCAACAGGAGCTCACCCCGTTGCGGGGATTCGAACTGCTGACCTTCTGATCAGCAAGTCCTAGGCTCTGTGGTTTAACCCACAGCGCCACCCGTGTCCCTTATGTGAAAATTAGGGAGCAGGATATTAAACATGCACGCAGGTGGCAAGGAGTAGGGAGAACAAGACTGCAGCCAAGAAATCTCTTCTCCCCTGACACTTGACCCAAAGGCTGTGCAAAACCCCTGATTCCATTCAGAGCCTAGATCTTGATGTGGGAGCATTGCAAAGCAGTTGTTGTTGGCACCTGAAGTCTAACTGCTTTAGCACTGAAGTGACCCCCCAACCCCAGGGCACAAGTCTGGGCAGTGTGTCTGGAGGTCCTGGGCTGCCCCGACGACAAGACCCCTTTCTCTGCCTCGCTATTGGGGTCCAAAGGAAAGCAGAGCATGTTCCGCAGCAGCCGGGTTGCAGGAAGGAAGCGTACAAGGCACTGCACTCCGGATTTGTGTAGGATTTGCTCCTTAGCCTTCTCTTCTGAAGATGTCCTGGAGGCAGCAGAAGTTTAGGGTCAGTTTGCCTTCTCTTGGACGGGCTTCCTTCTCAGCTGGATGGGCCTCATTCTGCTCCTCGCTTTTCCCCTCCCCAGCACACGCAGAAACTGCCTTCTAGACCATTATCCACTCAAACTGCCAGAGCCTGCCTTTGCAGGCAGGGGAAGTCCTCCTAAGGATAAAGGTAAAGGGACCCCTGACCATTAGGTCCAGTCGTGGCCGACTCTGGGGTTGTGGCGCTCATCTCGCTTTACTGGCCGAGGGAGCCGGCGTACAGCTTCTGGGTCATGTGGCCAGCAGGACTAAGCCACTTCTGGCGAACCAGAGCAGTGCACGGAAACGCCATTTACCTTCCCGCCGGAGCGGTACCTATTTATCTACTTGCACTTTGATGTGCTTTCGAACTGCTAGGTGGGCAGGAGCAGGGACTGAGCAACGGGAGCTGACCCCGTCATTGCGGGGATTTGAACCGCCGACCTTCTGATCAGCAAGTCCTAGGCTCTGTGGTTTAACCCACAGCGCCACCCGCGTCCCTTGGGAAGTCCTCCTACCTTACACTGAATCAGACCATTGTCCTAAGCTCATTATTGTCTCCACTGGCTGCCAGCACCTCTTCAGGGTTTTGCCCGCAGGAAGACCCTGAGGGCTTCTCCAACTAGGGCTGGCCCCCTGCCTGAAACCCGGGAGAACCATTGCTTCCATCCAGTGTGGACAATATTGAGCTCCAGGGTGCAATTTGCTGGCTTGGCACTAGTTGGCTTCCTGCTTAAATCAGCCCATTCAGAAACAGGAGGACTAGAATACCGTATTTTTCGCTCTATAAGACGCACCAGACCATGAGACGCACCTAGTTTTTGGAGGAGGAAAGCAAGAAAAAAAATATTCTGAATCTCAGAAGCCAGAACAGCAAGAGGGATCGCTGCGCAGTGAAAGCAGGAATCCCTCTTGCTGTTCTGGCTTCTGGGATAGCTGCGCAGCCTGCATTCGCTCCATAAGACGCACACACATTTCCCCTTACTTTTTAGGAGGGAAAAAGTGAGTCTTACAGAGCAAAAAATACGGTATTTCTAAGGGAAGGGGCATAGCTCCATGGCAAAACACCTCCTTTGAATGTAGCACCTCCAGGTCAGGTGGCCGATGCTAGAAGAGACCCTTCTCAGTTGGAGAGGTGCTCCCAGTCAAATCTGGCGATGTAATGATAATAATATTTTATTATTTGTACCCTGCCCATCTGGCTGGGTTTCCCCAGCCACTCTGGGCGGCTCCCAACAGAATATTAAAAACACAATAAAACATCAAACATTTAAAAACTTCCCTAAACAGGGCTGCCTTCAGATGTCTTCTAAAGTCAGATAGTTGTTTATTTCCTTGACATCTGAAGGGAGGGTGCCACCACCGAGAAGGCCCTCTGCCTGGTTCCCTGTAACCTCACTTCTCGCAGGGAGGGAACCGCCAGAACGCCCTCGGAGCTGGACCCCAGTGTCCGGGCTGAACGATGGGGGTGGAGACGCTCCTTCAGACGTCGGTAGTCGGATGGGAGGTGTCAAATATCCGGCATCAAGAGAGGCCGTTCCAGTTGACTCTTCCCTCGGCCCGATGCGCAGTGAAAGGTTTCGGATGCCGCTGAGTACAGCCCAGGGAGACACAGCGCAAGGGAGGCCCAGGAAGCCCCAGCTACGAAGAGGTTGAACGCGTCTTTCCAGTTGGCTTGCTCAATGGTGCACAGAACCCCGTCGGGACAGGAGACGGACGGAGGGCAGTGGAGTTGTGACGGGTAGTGAGCATAGAGTCCATGGAAAACCACCAGGAAGATCCCTTCCAGGGCTGCCTTGGCTAGGAGGCTGTGCCAGTGCAGCTGCTGCAGCCGCCTCTTGCCGTGAGACGGCCCCCGCCTCCAGCCACTCCTCCCCTGGAAGCTGGGCGGGCGGAAAACGCAGGAGCAGGCCGTGCCGTGGGTCAGGAGACTGGCCATCTGCAGCAGGAAGAGGTTGAAGGGGGAGACCGGGAAGGCGGCGTCGAAACAGGCCGAGAGGCAGCCCCGGGAAGCGGTGTCGCAGTGCAGGTCTCCTTCCTCGTCCCGCCAAAGGGTTCTTGCACCCAGGGCCAGGGATCCGAGCCGGACCGCAGCAAACAGAGCCAGGCCAGCCCGGCACAGCCTGGGCGCCTGCCCGCTGGTGCCGCTCAGGACGGTCAGAAACACTTCTGTCCCCATGGGTCCCTGTGGGAGCGGCTTTCCACTGCAATCAAAATTATTCACATTGTTATTCCTGTAAAGGCATACTATTTATACCCCGTCCATGTGACTAGGTCGCCCCAGCCACTCTGTGTGGCTTCCAACATATATAAAATACAGTGGTACCTTGGGTTAAGTACTTAATTCGTTCTGGAGATCCGTTCTTAACCTGAAACTGTTCTTAACCTGAAGCACCACTTTAGCTAATGGGGCCTCCTGCTGCTGCCGCGCCGCCGGAGCACAATTTCTGTTCTCATCCTGAAGCAAAGTTCTTAACCTGAAGCACTATTTCTGAGTTAGCGGAGTATGTAACCTGAAGCGTATGTAACCCGAGGTACCACTGTAATATATAAAGGTAAGGTAAAGGACCCCTGGACGGTTAAGTCCAGTCAAAGGCGATTATGGGGTTGCGGCACTCATCTCGCTTTCAGGCTGAGGGAGCCGGCGTTTGTCCACAGACAGCTTTTGGGTCATGTGGCCAGCAGGACTAAACTGCTGGTGTAACGGTACACCGTGAGGGAAACCAGAGCGCACGGAAACGCTGTTTACCTTCCCACCGCAGTGGTACCTCTTTATCTACTTGCACTGGCGTGCTTTTGAACTGCTAGGTTGGCAGGAGCTGGGACAGAGCAACGGGAGCTCACTCCGTCGCAGGGATTCGAACCGCCGACCTTCCGATTGGCAAGCCCAAGAGGCTCTGTGGTTTAGACCACAGCACCACCCGCGTCCCTGTAATTATTGCTGTATGATCTATTATTATTATTATTATCATATTTCTTTACGTCCTCTTTTCACCCTAACAGGGACTTTTATTGCAGATAGCTCAGTCTGGTAGAGCATGAGATTCCTGATCTCTGGGTTGTGGGTTCGAGCCCCGAATTGTGCGAAACATTCCTGTATTTCAGAGGGGTTGGACCAGATCAATGTTTCCCAAACTCCAGCTGGTTTTGAACTACAGTTCCTATCTTCCCTAGCTAGCAAGACCAGCAGTCAGATGATGGGAGTTGTGGTCCAAAAACAACTAGAGGACCCAAGTTTGGAAACCAGAGGCAGGATTAGGGTTTGAGGAGAGTTACAGGGGCCAATTGGAGGGGTACAGAGGGACGCATTCTGTGGTTCTTCCCCCTCCGGTGAAAGACAATGATCCCTGTTTTAGCTGAAACGCAAGAATGAAAGTCCCTCAAAACAGTTCAGCCCATGTACCGTTTTTGAGAAAGGGCTGGCGTCCTCAGCCCAGGACTAAGGTAAAGGTAAAGGGACCCCTGACCATTAGGTCCAGTCGTGACCGACTCTGGGGTTGCAGCGCTCATCTTGCTTTATTGGCCGAGGGAGCCAGCGTACAGCTTCCAGGTCATGTGGCCAGCAGGACTAAGCCGCTTCTGGCGAACCAGAGCAGCGCACGGAAATGCCGTTTACCTTCCCGCCGGAGCGGGACCTATTTATCTACTTGCACTTTGACGTGCTTTCGAACTGGAGCAGGGGACTGAGCAACGGGAGCTCACCCGGCGGGGATTCGAACCGCCGACCTTCTGATCGGCAAGCCCTAGGGTGTTTTAACCCACAGCACCACCCGCGTCCCTCAGCCCAGGACTAGAGACGTTGAAAAAGAAAAAACATTCTGCCATAGCTTTAGAAAGAGATTGAAGGGACAAAGCAAAGTCTGCAAGTTTGAGTTTTCAGCGCAGTCCTCACCTGGCAGGGCGGCCGTCTCTGGATCTGAAAGGCTGCGTAGATCTGTTTCTTGAGGCTGGTCTGGGTTTTATCTTCTAAAGGGAGCGAAACGGCCTGAAGACGGTCAGAAGTCCTTCATCTTCCAGGCTTCCTCTCTGAAGCTGCCCTTCCTGGGATCAAGGGTAGCAGTTAAGAGACCAGGAAATCTCTCCTGTGGGTATATTTTGATATAAACAAGGCACCGTCTTCAGCACAAGGGTGGAGATTCCTGTCCAAGTGAGTTTGAAGCAGTTGAGACAAAGGGAGGTGTGCTCAGTCGTCGTCTTCTTCAGAAACACCTGAAGAAAGGGTTGTTCTTTGCAGTTTGAAGTGGATATACAGCGGTACCTTGGTTTACGAACTTTATCCATTCCGGAAGTCCGTTTTGAAACCAAAGCGTTCTTCAACCAAGGCGCGCTTTCCCATAGCAGCGGGGAACACAATTTACAACAACAACAATCTTTATTACGGTCCAGAGACCCAACAAAGCAATACACAATTCATACAGCCTACCTGCAGGTTAAACAAGCATTTTGTTCAGAATATACAAATATTATTTACAAATAATAATAATAAAATTTTATTTATACCCCGCCCTCCCCGGTTCAGATAAGCGGGCTCAGGGCGGCTAACAACAAATTTAAACACTTAATCGATGCAACAAAAACCAGCATAAAATACAAAATAAAACATGAATAACAATAAATTCAGAATTCAAAAATAAATTTGGGGCGAAATCCATCCAATAAACATTAGATGATCACCAGGGCTAGCTGGCTAAATTAGTCCTATTTGGGCCAGCGAGGAGACCAGGGGAGAATTAGCTGCGGGATCCCAGAGCGGGGAGTCTTCATAAAAAGGGGAGAGGGAGGGAAGGAAGTGGAATAAAAGATCAGGCTAAGTACAATTTGAAAGCCAGGCGGAATAGCTCTGTCTTACAGGCCCTGCGGAAGGAGGTTAAATCCTGCAGGGCCCTGGTCTCATGGGACAGAGCATTCCACCAGGTCGGAGCCACCACTGAGAAGGCCCAGGCCCTGGTGGAGGATAATCTGGCTTCCTTAGGGCCTGAGATCTCTAAACTATGAATACTCATGGACCTTAAGGTCCTCTGTGGGGCATGAAATGGAACACACTCAACAGGAAGCGAAACGTGTTCTTATTCCAAGGCAAAGTTCACAAACCAAAACACTTACTTCCGGGTTTGCAGCTTTCTTAACCCAAGTCATTCATAAACTAAGCTGTTCTTAAACCCAAGGTACCCTTGTAAGTGTTTGAGCAGGCAAATGTGAATGCCAGCTTTGCAGCTAGAACATCGGAAGAGCCCAGTTTATTTGTTTCGTAAAATTTATGAGTTAAAAAGGTAAAGGGACCCCTGACCATTAGGTCCAGTTGTGGCCGACTCTGGGGTTGTGGCGCTCATCTCGCTTTATTGGCCAAGGGAGCCGGCGTACAGCTTCCAGGTCATGTGGCCAGCAGGACTAAGCCGCTTCTGGCTAACCAGAGCAGCGCACGGAAACGCCGTTTACCTTCCCGCTGGAGTGGTACCTATTTATCTACTTGCACTTTGACGTGCTTTCGAACTGCTAGGTTGGCAGGAGCAGGGACCGAGCAACGGGAGCTCACCCTGTCGTTGCGGGGATTCGAACCCACAGCGCCACCCGAGTCCCTCATAAGTGTGGGCTGAAAGCAGGTTAAAACTCGCACCAACTGTCAGGAGTGTGTGCAGGAGCCAGGCCTTGTGACCAGTAGGACTTTGCAGGACTGGGGCCTTCCTAAGTTTGTTCTGGAGAGACAAGGCGCAGCCGCACAGGTGAGGCTGATTGGTAACTCACTGCACCTGGTGGCAAGAGCCGGGAAGGGATATAAGGTCAGCATTTCCCTTCGGCTCTTTGCCACAGCAACACGTTCCCTGCCTTGCTGCGTTTGGCTTCTTGCTTCCTGATCCTCGGACCTCGGCTCCTTGACTCCTTGCTTGTCGACCCTCGGACCCTTGGCTTCGTGACTCCCTGCTTCTTGACCCTCGGACCCTTGACTTTGTGACTCCTTGCTTCTCGACCCTCGGACCCTTGGCTTCGTGACTCCCTGCTTCTTGACCCTCGGACCCTTGATTTTGTGACTCCTTGCTTCTCAACCCTCGGACCCTTGACTTTGTGACTCCTTGCTTCTCGACCCTCGGACCCTTGACTTTGTGACTCCTTGCTTCTCGACCCTCGGACCCCTGACTTCGTGACTCCTTGCTTCTTGACCCTCGGACCCTTGACTTTGTGACTCCCTGCTCCTCGACCCTCGGACCTCTGACTTCATGACTCCTTGCTTCTTGAACCTCGGACCCCTGGCTTCTGGACTCCTATTCCTGCTCCCACCCCTCCATCTTGCCCCTGGTCCCGACGTCCTCAGCTGGGACTTCGATCGCCCATAGACCGGACCATGACACCGATTTTCTAAGCATCTAGGGAGGCTTGCCTAAACCAAAAAATGTTCGTAGCAGGCGCTGAAAAGAGCGCCGCGAAGGCTCGGTGTCAAGTGGCAGGGAGTTCCAAAGTCGGAGTACCGCTACACGAAAGATTTGAGTCCTTAGAAATGTGGAGCAGGCGTTTTGTGGTGGCAGCAGCAGTTCTGCAGACTTTTCAAAGGTTGATTGGGCAAATAAAGGGTAAGGCCAATCCCAAATGGGGGGGGGTCTCTATTCTAGCATCCTCACCGTGTCCGGCCAGATGCCCCCAAGGAAACCATCCCCCCCCAGCAGGATCTGAGCGCAAGAGAAACACAGGGCACCCCTGTGGGGCTAGGGAGCCCAGTTCTCCCGCCCCTCGCCTGCAGAGCTGACAGCCCCTCACCCTTTTTCAAACATCCTCCTCTCTCCTTGGGAGACCTCTGGGCAGCCACAACTGCCTCCCTTGCTCTCTGAGCTGCCCCAGAGAGAGGCGCCTCTTCACACTGCCCCACAGGGGCCTGGCATGCACCCCCTGCCCAGCCCCAGGGGCACCATTCACTCGCGGAGCTTGCAGCTGGGGCTGCTGCAACAACCAACCTCGCAAGCCTTGCGGAGGCAGAGACGCCAGAGGGCAACAGAGGAGGGAGCGAAGGAAAGAGGGACAGAGGCCAGTGTTGACCATCATTCTGGGCACTCCAGGGTGGGTTAAAAGCCACTGACCGCCGGCCCTTTCCCAGAGTTTTCAGGGAAGGGGCATCTCCAGGCACACCTGGTGATGCTTTTGGCACAGGTGGGCAGGTATCAAAGCCGGGTCGTCCTTTGGAAAATAAAAATAAAATTTCCAGACTGCCTTGCAGCCTCCTCCTCCTCCACCTCCTCCTCCTCCAATATTCTCTCGGCTACATTTCCCCCCCTAGCAACCCGGTGGACTGACTCTGCACTGCTCCCTAGCGCTCGCTGGAGAGCGCTGCCACCTCCGTCCTTGCCAGAGCCAGCCAAGCCCATCTGCATCCATCAGAGAGGGAGGGGAGAACCAGCCAAAGGGTGGCGAAGAATGCAGAGAACTACATGGGCTTGCTCTGGGTTCTGTCCTTCCTCCATTCAACCTTCTTTGGTGATGAGGTAAGTCCCCTTCATCTTTTTCCTTTCGCTGCCTTTCTTCTTAAAGAGATGCACCTGTCTTTTCCAATATGCTTTCTCTCCTGCTCTCAAACGATAGCCATCGACGGCAAACAAAAAAGCTTCAATCTGCTTGTGTTTGTGTGTTTTTTCTAAAGCAACCGCTGGCCCTCTCAGGTTGCGGGTTTATAAAACCAGGTACCAGCCCTTGGGGGGAACCGGGAGCCGCAAATTCAGGGTGCAAGCTGTGGAGGGTGGCAGGGACGTTTGCCGTTTTAATTTTGCAAGGTCCAGATTGCGGTTTTGAGCCTGGGCTTGTTCACGCTGCGGCGGCGTCCCCCGGAGCCACAATCTCATTTCGGTTGTGCTACATTGGCGTGTGTGTTTTAAACGATGGCCAATATTGTGCTTTGGTTGTTGCAACCTCCTTTGGTGAGAAATCGTTTGGCTGGCTGGCTGGCTATCTGTCTTGCTGTCTGATTTTCCGTCCATCTTGCTGTCGTGATTACAGACACACAAACACCCACTCTTCGCAAAAAGGACGAGGGACGGGTATCTATTTTCTACATTTTTGTTGCCTAGTGATGACAACTCCGACAAAGGTGTGTTGGCAGGCATTTGGGGA